AACCACTTCTCCTTCTTTTCCTTCCTCCAAAATACTCGCAACGTCAAGAAACTTCGAATTATGGTCCTTCCACGGGAAGGAAACATTCTTGGCATCTTCGACTTTCGAATACTTTTCCAACTTGTACTCCGTTCCCTCTGCAAACTTTCGTTTTTGTGGACTGACTTGTACTAACCGCACTGGCGACTTGTCATCTTCCTTGCGTTTGAGGTTGTTTCTTTCTCGGAAAAGCACACCACGCGTCGGCTTTCGTCCCTCTCTTGCACGACAAAATGGAAGTACCTTCCAGCAGTTTTAGCTGGCATTGCCAGATCGGAAACCCGATGGACGAAGCCTTCTACATCCACTTTTTTAGCTGCCATGTTGATAAAGCACGTGCAATTTGCAAAAAAAAACAGCCGAAGGCCGAATCGCGAAAAATCGTCCCAGTGTCCTAACACGGCCGCGCGGCCGGAAATAGGTCATGTTTCAGGGCCATAATATATCATCGCGCATGTGACGAAAACGTCTCATGTGGAACCAAATATTTCCACTAGGATTTCCACTAGGCGAAAATTTTCGACCGAAGTTGGTTTCTATTGTCAAAATTCAATAGATCATAAATTAGTTCCACTTGAATGCTTCTGAGACAAAGGAAATTTTCGTTTCGATCGAAAAATTTCGCCTAGTGGAAATCTGCCTTTATATAGGTCTCTCCGTTGTGCGCCCAACGTCTGAAATTGTATCCCTTTGATATTAACTCTACTTCTGCTCCTTATCCATTAGGCCGGCCTTACACGGTCCCACTTTTCGCTCAATATACAATTATAATAGAATATCCGAAAAAAAATTATAATCTATAGACACTCAACGGACTCAGCACCAGAAGGCCAAGAACCTTTAGCTCGACAAGCCTAACATTGCACGCCTCATCAAATATTGTAAACTAGAGGAACTTTCTCATTAAATATTCGATCTAGTTACGCAGGGACGTATCCAGCCCGAAATGAGTAGGGTACAACTGACTTTTAACAATAAACCAGACAAAGTAGTACAATGCGGTGCCCCTTGCTGAGGCCTGTTGCCTGATGGCTTCACTACAGTTTTAATATGCAGCTATGTTGCCCACAATGTGGTTGTGAACGTTCATATACCATGGGCTCACCATGAAAATCAAATTTTCCTATTAATAATTGTCAGTTTTTCCTGTATCGCCAATAGACGGTTCATACATACTCTACTTGTGAAAAAGAAATGAAAAAGATGGCGATATTTATGGCACAGAATTATAGCGACATTTAACCAGAATGCATTGCGAGCATCTGCCTGTATGCCTGTTGCTGTAGTTTAATAATCATTTATATTTAATAAAGGGAAAGGTCACTTTTTCTATTGGGAATTTAATAATTAAATATTACTGCATATAAAATTTGGTGTATTGATGACATGATCAGTACAAGAGTATGAGAAGCAAAAATTTTAATTTCATACAGTAAAACACATTTCAACTTTACTATAAGCCACGTCCTTAATTAGTGCGAATGCAGTAATTATTTACAATGAAAAAAATAGTTGATAAAAAATAATACCTGTAATATGAACTGCTGAAAATAACGGGCAGAATCAACCTATTATTAAATATTACCCTCATCAGATGATTTTACTCACTGCCAGGAAAACTGTCAGTGAAATGTGAACTATGTACAAACAATAGTAGACTATTAGTAACAGCATACATGATATGCATCACAGGTGGTTAATACATGTAGGAATTGATGATATGATTCCCCAAATTAAAGTCTACTATATGAGAAAACAATGATTATAGTGACTATTGTGGCTATACTAGGAGGTTTAAGTGCAGGGGTTTGTGCTTTGCCTCATAACTCCTACAATAAGGACCTGTGTACTGTATTTAAATCAGGATTTATACTTCTTGGGAATGTATAGTGTCACCATAATGATAATACAGTAGTATATAATAATTCATTTTAAATTAGAATCAGTATGATATGTATTCCTATTTCTAACAAAAAATTATTACAGTTTAACAGAAAACATTACCAGAATATTGGATGAAATTGTTAAAATGACATTATAAGTCTAGTACAAACAAAAATTTGTCGCATGAAATTCTTCATTTACTTGTCTATTTGTATAATCTTCAGCAATATCACTTTCATCATCATGCTTGTCGACGTTCAATGCACGATGCCGATGGACACTTCTGCAGCCGATCGCTGTAATCTGTAGGCGTACAAAACTTGATTGCCCAAAGACAAACTAATTGCATTACACATAAGCGAAATCAGAGCTTTTTTGGCCGCAAAAATGAACTTTCCAAAATAGTGGTTTGTTTACGTGCACTGGTTCAGAAGCATGTATTTCAGCACGAAAGCAACGATTCCATATCCCCGAGTGCTTCCTCTATCTCTTATTGTACATCTACGATCCTCCAGATTCCCCCCAAAATCCGAGCCCACGGTAACTGGTCTGATCAAAATCCGAGCCCACGGTAGACGTCTGATGCGTTGTAACTTATACAATTTTGCATGTGCAAGCGGTAAATACCTATCGAAGTTGGTCGGACGGACGGACGAACGAACGAACGAACAAAAACCGAGCAATTATAATGCGGTGCTAGGGCACCGCAATTACAGAAAAATCCGTAGATAATCTTTCATTGTGAATGCCTGATTCAAAACAGACTTTGCACGCGTGATTTAATAATTAAAATATCACTATGCATTCCTATAACTTCCCACTACTGAGAAACGTTTTATTTCCTTATTAATTTCTCGCCCAATTCACAACAAAATTCAACCAAAATCTAATCAACTCTTCACACAATGTTAACCATTTACTTACGAGAAAACGAATTCCTCGCGGAACAGCGGGCGCATGTACGCATTGCGGACCTATTTTTAAATAAGTTTTGTAATATGTAGGACAGTGTATAATAATGATAGTATATTTGATAGTATGCTATACAGCCTCACAAGCAAGGGTCCTCACATTGGGAAAGACTGGCTTGCGAGGTTGTATGCTGAAGGATATTGTAATGTGACAAAAAATGTTAATGCTAATTAATTTCGACCGAACAGAGTTTTTTACTTTCACAGGTTAGCTCTCATATTGAAAAGCTGAATATTAGCCTGCCAGGATAACTTCCTAAGGAAATCTCTGGCGGAATTTCGGACAGTCATCATTGGACGATACGACAACGTGTTTTACAAAAGGATTATTCCTGAAGAAAGGAACGAACGTCATTATGGGGGGAAGGGGGGTGTTTTGAAGACCGTATTTGCACTCTGGATACCAATTTTTTAAAGTATATTTTCCGGTATATTACGTCAGTTTTCGGAGAATTTTGTTATCCCTTGTGAGTCCTCAATGGTCGAGGATATCCATATGACCACCACCTATTCTGAGAACGGAAGTGATCCCCCGCTCTGTGATATTGACCCTGATATATTACGAGGATAACATCAATAGGATATCATAAACATTCAAAGTCTAGTCTTTAAAATCATGTTATAATATCTGCAGAAATGTTATCAAAAAGGTCTTTCATGGCTCATCGTCGTTGCATACATCCGTAAGAAGAGGAAGTTATTAAATCATTGTGTCACAAGAAGGTGAGGTATCGATTTAGAACAACACAATAAATCGCTTGATATTTGAGAAATTTAGACATCACAAGTGCAGGTCATGACTTGACTTCACACTCGATCGGATTTCTTTGCGATCGATGTTCGTTTCTTGGTAAAAAGCTGCATTTCGAGGTTTTTGTTTTGCGTGATGGCCATATAAAGTGTTGGCAATGGCTCATTTTGCATAAAGCGTAATTATAGGTAACTATGTGTTATAAACAATCTACGTACGCTATATGTTTAGATTTTGTAATCATTTCGTCTCGTTTTGAGCAGGAAGATCTACCAGATCCTTATAAATTGAAACCAGTCATTGGAGTTCGATGGCTAGGAAATGTAATCGGATATTATTGAGATTTATTTTTTCAGAGAAGCAAATACTACAGGCACCAATGTCGACATTGAAGGAAGTCCTAGGTTTTTATAATGTGTAGTATTTATTCGTCGTACGTGATCTTGTTTAAACAAAACTAGATATGTTTTGAAATCTTCTCAGTTCTTCTACAAGGGGAAATATTAAGCTACTTTCCATTTTAATTGTCGAATTAAAGTCGATGCTTTCAATTTGACTGTGAAATATTGTGTTACTCGAAGACGATGTCACATTAATATCAGCTTCACCTTTAAAGAATAAAAAGCACTTGCAAATTGTTGCGCCCACACAGAATTAAGCCTATGAAGTACACACTTCACACCTTGAGTCTATCGGTATTAATTTTGTAGACCTGTATTTCTTTTCACAAAATGGTGCCAAAGAGTATTCAAATATAAACTGATAATTAAATAAGTGAGCATTACTAATAAGGGTCAATTTACCTCCTGAGTCATGCATGCAATTGCTTGGATACAATTCTCAAACTGATTTGAATATAAACATTGATACAAACATCTCACTCATTTTTATTGATCAGTAATTAAACAAATATTTTGCATCAACAGATTCCTATATTATACACTTAATGTATGCTCCCTAGGGAAATAGTGAGTTTTGTTTTCCCAAGAGTCTTAATGTTTAAACATTGAGACTCGAGGGAAAACAAAACTTGCTATTTCTCGAGGTAGTCATTCATTAAGTGCTTTGTTATATGGGAACAAAAACATACATGTTACGCAACAAACTCATTTCCCAAAAAAAACAACTTTAATTTGTTATCACATTATCACATAAGCGGGCAACAATTTTTCACTTGGTTCCGTAGCGGGAAACAATGCATTTATTTAAAGTCATGTGACTACAAATGAACCAATCACATTTAAAATACATAGCACCTATATAACAAGACTATTTGTACCACTGTGTATATGAGTCTGAGAGAATCAGGATGCATTGCCATTCCAATTTCATAAGATAGTATGATGTAACTGCATTGACTGCCTAGGCTGCTTATGGTTTAACTCCATCTACATGCCTAAAATCGATCAGGTTGATGCAATATTGATATGAACAGGATGGAGCAATGTTGTGCTGCTCACATTGTTCAGCATTGTTATCAACTTTGAACAATATTGTTACATCCGATTCAGTTTCAACAATGTTGTTCAATGTTGTTGACAAGTGTGAACAATAATGGCAGCACAACATTGTTGCATGCTGATAAACTGCAGGCTCAGAGTTCTTAGCTGTGTAAAACTAGATGATTTTATGGCTCAGTTCCAGGCAATTGATTATCAAGCCATATGGGTGATATGTCTCAAAGCATACATTAAAAAAGCAAATCATTTCAACAATGTTTCTTTGATAGATATATAGTTATTTGATATATTCAGCAGATATCTAATTCTCAGTATTAGATAACTACTTCTGAGTGAAACCACCTGTTTCTAACATGAGATTTCATTACCAATGTAAGTGTAACTACTGGAATGGTAGGAGCAAATTTTGGCACGTGCTAATCAATGGATTTACAGGCCTTTGAAATACTTTCTACAGTATTAATTTATTTTCAATTTTTAGATGTCTTCAACAAAAGCAAGATCACCAAGTGATCCCACACCATCTACATCACACGATGGTTATGGTGGAGGTTATCCATCACATTTTCAAACTTTACCTGCGAGAGTGCCCCGCGATCTTCGTGCAGCAGAACCATTTCCCTCAATTGGTGCACCAGCACTTTTAGGCATGGACGTCAGCCACACTGGGTGGGTCAGGAAGGAAGGTTATGGATACCGAAGTTGTAAGTTGCTTATACAGACTCGCTGTGACTTCTGTGATATACGTAATTCTGCACCAAACAACGTGTTCTTTAATTTTACTTTTCAGGGAAGAGTAGATTCATGGTGCTTCATCACGGTTGTATTTACTACTTCAAAGAAACTGATTCAAATGGACCAAAAGGCAAATTCTCCTTAAATGGATACAGGTACCCACAATACAATGCTACTGACTTGAACCAAAATTTCATACAACGGTTTGAAAAGAAGTCTTGACCAAAGTGTTTTGAAAATCTGTTCGACTTGATTGATTTAAATTTCTTAGCAGACCACAGACCACTAGACCTTGCCCATTGCTTCCCATGTGCAATGTAAGCTGAGCTCCCCTCCCTATTCATGTCCTGGTCCATTTTAGATGTCTGCTTGCCCCGGACCGAGAAAAAAGGGATCGCTATCCTTATGTGTTTAAACTGGTCCCTGATGATGAAGAACACAGGACTTATTACATCTCATCGCCATCAAAATCTGAAATGGAGGTTTGTAAAGATACGTAGTTTAATCTTACATGTTCATGTATGTATATCATGAAATTACGATATTGTATGGTTGTAGAGCAGGGGCCTGTTGTGTAAAACTATTTAATTACATGTTGCATAGTTAAATCCTAATGTAGTTAACTCAGAAATACATGACCCTAATGGGCCACTTCTGCCTTTAACTACAGTTAAAAGTTAACTAGTCTTTTATACAACTGGCCCTCGCATATAAATTGTGGCAAACATGCAAGAAATGTTGTCTTTATACTGTCTTAACAATGCATTTCTAGGGCATATTTTCATGGCTGCCTTAATTGGAATTGAAGCTCATGACATCGATGACAACATTGATATAATCTAAGGCTGACTAAGCAATCTTTGTTTTTTGTTAGGGTTGGATGAAAAGCATTGATGCTGATATTCAGCTGTACTGCCCAAGGTAAAAATGAGGCCAATACTTTATGAATTATTTATTCTTTTAACAAGGTTTATACAGCATCAGCGTATACTGTAGCTAACAATGGAATCTAAAATTGAAATTGGTGACGTTTTTCTAATTAAAATGATTAAATCTGGAATTTTTATTTTCATTTTAGCGAGTACGATTACGTCGACACGACAAATCTTGGAGACAAATCGGCAACATGTCCTACAGTCCCAAAAAATATTCCAGTAGTAAATAGAAGGTGAAGTTGAGACCATCAGTGTTCTTCATTTTCCCCTATTAAAATAAATGCTGAACTAGGAAAAACTAACCGGTTCTGAGATGCACAAGTTTGTTGATAAATATTCCTAGTTTTAAATTAATTCAAGTTTAAAAGGGCAATAGTCTACATTGAAGGGGATATTTTAACTATGAATTTTCGCACAGAGGTTGCTCGGAATTAGAGCTTTCACAACTAAACTTCATACTCTCGTCTTTTTTGCTACTTTTTTTAAAATAATGTTCGTTTGTTAACTCCTTTGTTAATAGAGGGACAGAAACCTGTCCTACACCTCCGGACAAGATCACCTTTCCACGCTCCCTTCCAACCAGGTAAACCAACATTAAAACGTAGACTTTACTGCCTGATATGGGGCCGGTTGTGCGAAGGCTACATACAGTATAGCGGTATCCACCGGATAATGATTTTTTTCAACCGAGCTAAAGGCTAGTTTCCACTCAGGAAAAATCTCCTTTTGAATCGGAACGGACAGGAAAATTTCCTTTGTCGGTGAGTTCTCAGGCAGCGTTTATACAAAGGAAACTTTCCTTTCCTGTCCGATCCAAAGGAGAATTTTCCTTTTAGGCTTAAAGGTTTAGCAGCATCGTCTTCCTACGATGTTGTTATTAATGTTGCCAACAATCAACGTTCGTTTTGTGCTCGAAAAAATGTAACGTTTCACTTCTAAAATGGTTTTGAACTTGCACGTTTTTGTTTGGTCCTTTTTTTTGAATTTTTAAATATACTTCTGTGCATTACTCAACAAGCAACGCCATAGTAATTCGTACTTGCGTGCATGATTATATGATGAAAATTTCTTGTTATGTTACCATACATCCTTAGGGAGTTATTGTTCAGTAACCAATTATATAATATCGGTTAAAAAGATTCGAATTTCTTTTCAGCAATATTGGAAAGCCTGTGCCATTGTTACCCCCGAAACCTCGTCCAATACCATCCCATGAAAATGACGAAGATGGAATTTACGATGATGAAAAGGATCCGCACTATGAACCAGGTATAGCGTATACCTCGATTGTTTGATCACAAAATATGCCATCAACGTTTTATACGTTTTGTCTATTTACAGTCGACAATAGCTGCTTCTCGTCTGAAGGAAATTACGTCGCAGTATTGCCAAACGAAATTGATCTTGGAAACAGGTACGGTGTCATGCACACTTGTTGGCGGTTGTACAACTGGCTTACGTGAAATGGAGTGAGACCAAGTGGATACATTCCGCACTATTTTATCAACTTGTCACAAAATAAACAAAATCTTATATCACTTGCAAAGATTTCACACTACTGGATATTCTACGCTATATTCATATATGTTGGTGCTAATTTTCGAAAGGCCTGCAATACGATGTGATCGGAACTGCCTGGAAAAAGTCTTTGAACCCCTAATCTGTTTATCAGAATCTATTGATGAAGCCAAATTCATTTATAGAGCACCAGATGCCTACAACGGGAGACCATTGCCGCCCATTCGTCCCAAGCCTCCACCGCGACCACCAGAATTCAACGAATCTTCCGAATCTGGTAAATTGAATATTTTGATAACTTGAGATTATAGGTTAGGATTGAGGTTAGATATGGGATTGAGATGGGGTTCTAAAATGAAATCTGAACTTTCTTGGTAGGCAATTCTTTTTTGGTAGCGAATCCTGTTTTCTTTTTGCCTAACAAGATTTAATGATTAACAGAGCAAAAACACAAGACAAATATAATACTTCATAGTGGGTGATGAATGCCACATTTCAATTTTAATTTTTCAAATTACACTCGGTTTTTTATCATATAGAAGACGAAGACTCGGAGGAAGAGCTATATTTAGACTTAATAAAGGCAAACAAGAAAAAGTAAGATTATAGATCTTGTTATGCCTGGTTTGCAGTGTCAACATTTCTGTGAGCCTTATCATCAGGAAAATTGAAAATTTGGCCGTAACCTCTTTCACATTATTATATGGATTCTTAGACACGCAAACAGAAATGGATTGAGTCCGTCAAGTCCTGAAAGAGAGCGCCCAATCCCCTCTCCGCGTAAACCAAGTATAGATGAGATCGATGGAGTTGATGTGACGTATGTGAGCTGCATTGACGTGGGGTAATATAGACTTTGCATTTTCCGTGAATCTCGTTCGACTATTTTCCATACTTTCAAATACCTTTATATCCCATTTTACACCTGGAAGACTGCAAATTTGTCTGCGATTTTAGATAATAATTTCATGTTTAGTAAATCCTTAATGCACAAATTTAAACCATGAGATTAGGTCAGGATTAGGATTAGATTTAGAATTAGGGTTGACCCTAATCACTCATAAAACCAACCTAATCATGACCCTAATCCTAACCTAATCTCGAGGAGTATTGAGGATTATATAACAGGATTATGACATAGAATTATTCATAATGTCGTTTACTTGTTTATTGCAGAAATGCGGCAGCGAAAACAAACATACCGAAACCTTTACCAAAACCTCCGCCGAAGACGGTTCCCAAGCCTCCTCCGCGCACCGGAAAACGGCATTCCCAAGGTGAGATGGGTGAACTCTATATAGACTGGAGCGATAACTGACGATTATCTCATAGGATTATCTGGCCGCCATTTTTGAAGCCGGTGCCAGTCCTTTTCTATTGTTTTTGTCGACGCGATCGTCGACCCTGAAGTCCGCAAAAACAATAGAAATGGACTGACACCGGTCGCATTCGTTGCGATGTCCTGAATGAGGCTTTAATAATCGTTTGATTTGCTTTTAAACGACAGTTGTGACCGTAGAAAATGTTTCCATATTTTAGATCCAGTGGAATTCGATTATTTGCCACCGGATTGCTTTCAGCCAGATATGGATAAAAAACAGGCGAAAGTGTGAGTATATGAGCAACACTGCTAGCCTATGTTTTCGTTCTACCCCTCGTTTTTTGCACCTACGCACACGCACGTAAAAGCTGAAAACCTTCAAAGTTGTTGTATAATTAATTTTTACCAGAAAAAAACACAGCAAATCATCAACAGAATCCAACCCTATGCGTATATTCAATCGCTGATTTCATAAAAATCATTTAAATGATTTTAAGCTTTTACGTGCGTACAAAAAACGCGACAGTAGAAAACAGACCTAACAATTCTTTTCTCAGAGTGCACCACAACATTGTTCATTCTTGTTTTAAATAACCCATATCAACAAGACGACTTTTCTGCGTGTAGTTACGACAATGTCAATGCTTACAACTTTTGTATAGATTCTTGGAATTGGGTCGAACAATTGGGCAGTACATAATTAACAGTAGTACAACATCAGACACAAAAATGGTAAGAAAATAAAAAATAAGCGCAGTTGATTCCTTCAGGCGTATTAACACTATACTATTAGTTGTATGCGATTATCATTCTGACAAATGGAAACGAGTGCTGACGCCACAATCTTTTTCATTTCGTAACTGAATGCATAATTTAACATCTGACGTTTGTACGCTTGTTCATACGTTCGCATACGCCAGGCTTAGAATCGTATACAACAAATCGCATAGTTTAAATGTACCTTGACGGATTCCTGAACTGAATCATGCATGATTTTATTTGCCAGATTAAGTAATCTTGTCTTCTCATTTCTTAGTCGCTGTCCGTTTGGTTAGGCAATGGCGTCAAACACTACCTCCTTTTTAAACGACAGGTAAGGTCAATCTTTTAGACCTTTTGTAGAGCTAAGACCTAGTTTATACGTCGAGTTTTAGTGGCGAGTAATAGATTATCAACTGGCAAACCTCAGAAAGCTGTTCTTACACAGGAACCTGAAACTATGTGCACACGGTAACGTTTTCGAGCGTTTTCGCATTCGTTTTCATGCCAAAACGGTTTCAAACACCGTCAATTTACAATAGAAGTTAAAGCTAATTTAACATATGAAGCATATTTCTCCTTGGATCATGTGGAAAGGGCGTCTAAACAATAAAATAGAGAAAAATGATTTTGCTCGTGTGTACATAGCCGTGTGTACAAACGACGCTCGTGTGTACATAGCCTAAGTTTGCATATGCTGTTGAAGCCGTGATTAAAATCAGGCAGTTTAGGTATTTTTCTCTGAAATGTACGCGGTATATTTTCTTTCTAGGACATGTACACCTTAGACCCGTCGCTCTCTGTCGACGAGCACTTTACCGACCTTCGCCAGTTAGTCAAATATTATTACAAACACAAGTTGCCGAAAAGCGATAACTATTTAAAGTCTCCGTTTGGATCAAAATAATTTATAGGAGGATAACATAAGTAATTGCTTGTAAATCACCTTCATACCGCCTGAGCGAGGGGCAACCTCGCATAATTCTCCAGCGTTTTTCCGGGTTTGGAAGAGCGAAATTGATCGTCGTATGTGTAGTAGCAAGGCTACAATATTATTTTTTCTCACAGTGGAACCTTGAGCCGCGTTAAATAATCTAGTATCAAGGAATATCGTTCGTAGTAAATTTAGTTAACCAAGCATGCACAATATGTAATTTCATAAATTCTATAATCGGGTGTCGTTTGCATTCACCGATCTTAAAATTACTGGATGGATAGATGACACCCAACTTTTTGAATCGCTAATATTGAAGCTAATATTGAAGCCAATCGCTAATATAATCGCTAATATTTACTGTGAGTTGGCAATTTCAATCCTGTAAATCTTTTACAAACTGAAGTGTAAGGTGCCTAAATTATCTAAATTGTGTTTTGCCTACGTAGCTGGCTCGTACAAGACCATCCAGTAGTTTTTAGATCAGTGTTTGGGGTAGCCTTTGCGAAATTGAGGCAAGAAATTGGTGATAGTAATGTTGGCAATACATCGAGGGAGTATGGGACCGAGGCGTGGTCACTGAGCTATATAATAATTTTAGGATTAGTATATTGCTCAGTAGGGGGGGGGGATGAACTGCTTGTCCCCAGCCCCGTGATGCATTGGCAATTTCGCTATTACCAGTCCTCTACCGCAACATCGGAATGGCGGCAGCCAACAGTTGATCTTGGCACCCTCAATATTTTTATATAAATCTTTGTATATTTTCTATCAAAAATCCGTTTTTTTCAATCTAGTCTTGTATACGCCACATTTTGGCAACGCATTGTGACAGAGTCAGTGGCGTAGGAAGCAGAATTGTGTTTATAGTCTTTCAAGATGAATATATAAATATCCCCACCATTACCGTGCTTCCTTCGCCACTGGGCAGAAAAGATATGAAAAACAAACATGTTTAACAGACATGACTAGATGCATCAACTTGTACAGAATACAACAGCGGTTTCTGTTTTGTATGAGTTATGCTAATGTCGCAAAACCAAGACTAGCATCTAAGTGATCTCAAAGCGTGAAAAAGGACTGGGAATAGTTGTCAAATAGTAATCTATGTTGGTCTCCAGTTCTCTTGCTTACCAAACGAAGTTTATTATTACCACATTTTCACGAGTCAATTCATTTGCATATATTCTTTGCTATGTAAAATTAGGGAAATCTTCTCCGTGTAAACTTGTCTTAAGGATCACCAAGAAAGACTGACAATGAAAACACGTGAACAAGGACAGCTAAACGATTCCTATTCCATTGCTAGTCCCAGGCCTTTGATCACCCGCAGATCATCAGAACCAATAATAATTTAGATATATTATAGTGAACGATACATTTAATGATTACCCATGGTACGGTTAGGATGGATATGATTCCAGTATGTTTATAGAATAACAGGCTAAATTCAAAGTTGACGCAGAATCAAATGCATTTGCACTCATCAAAGTGCCCATGCAGCTGAAATGCGTTTTTTACCAAAATAAAGAATATCGTGATTTGTATTCGTGCGTGGTGTGTTTTGACATTTTCCGAAATGATTTGCTTTGAAAAAAGTAATTTGTAGTTATCGCGGTATTATAAAAATTCTTATATTAAAAAACAGCCCGAATGTAGCCTTAAAATTCATATGTAATTCACTATACTAAGGCGAACTACCAATTCGCCAAAGCTTTCTTGACCATTGATATGGACAATTTATTTTTGACGATGTGAAATAGCCTTGTTCTTTGTTTCCGTGTGACAAATGTGTGTTGTTTGGAAATCGATCTTCACTGATAGCAAAGATATTAGCTTCATTAAACATTGTTTTCCAATTTGCCATTTGCAATGCTAAAAGCCCATCTATAACTATATATAGTCAGTTCATTAATTTGTTGTATGTATTAATGCCATGCTGAACGCGCTGGACAGCTGTGATTCAATTAAAATCTTCCATTTAAAACGGTCCCAGCACAGCTGGAAAAAAGAAAGAGTAACAACAGGTAGTCGCGAGCTTGCTTGTACATTTAGCGTTTTAACTTGGTCGTCTTACAACCTCGATATTGTATGTATAACGATATACCGTCAGACAAGTAGCTACAGATGCATTCAAAGAACCTTGTGTGAATTTATCCTATCATGTTCTTAAGGTTTTCGTATCGACTAGAACACCATATAAACCTTCATCATGCACAAATGAACCGAATAAACTCTGCCATTCTATCATTTTTTCAATAGAAAAAATCATTAAGATTCCAACCTTTCCTTCGTCTACAAACAGGTGAAAAATACTGGCGCAAAACAGCCTATTTAATTAGTTAAAACAATCTCCTGGTTATGCAGTATACGGTTAATCATCACAAGGTTTGAACCATGGTCTGGCATTGTTTGCAAAATATCCACCAGAATAGCGATTAATGAACTTGAATTACCTTTCACGAAACTGATGTTGAAAACAGTGCCAAACCATGTTCCATACGTTGCCAAGATAAGTCGAAAACTCTTGTTATTGATCATGTAATCGTCTCATGAAATATGCATGATGAATTTCAAGGTCAAAGTTTTTACGCCATTTCAGTTCTCCGCGCCGCATGAGAGCAGAACTGATCACTTTTATACGCCATTCATTAATAAACGTAGGCCCAGGGGATTGCTGTGTTTATAGCATACCATACGAGCACGACTGTCCTTCTTTGTCGTAGCGAAGTACCACGCCTGAAAAACCGACAATTATATCGACAACAGCTTGTATTTTCTTTGCAAAACACACTTGTCTGGGTTGCTGAGAGCCTTGAAGAATGTAAATACCGGACGGCTTTTCTTGTGGAAGGACTTGAGTTGTGAAAACACGTTTGAGAAGTTCTTGCATTGTTGAATGGAAGCGTTATGAATTATGGTTGGGCTGAAGTCTTCAGTCGAATAATGTAACATCGATGTTTTGACGAATTCACTGCTGGTTTTTGCTCTCTGGGGAATGTTTTAGCAACAGCTGAACTAAAGGCCAAACTTTAGAGCACACAAAAACGGTAGGTTAAGCAGCAAAGACTGCGATAATCGATTTAATACGTGTGTTAATATAGTCATTGCCATTGGTTCGGCCATTGCATTAACTACGTTGACAGCTAAATTAGAATGCTTCGCGCGGTTCCACTATTCTTGTTAGAAGTTTAATAACATCTGTGCATATGCACCGGCGCCTGTAGACTTATTATGTCGTCAATTCTGTGGTAAACTTTGTTTTAGAGTTTTATTTATAAGTGAATTTGATAGCGGGTATGTACACGGCTCTTCGAAGTTCACCTGTGATATTTTAATTATGTCTCCCTATGTTTTGTCTGTAAGTGTATGTAAGTGCTCAACATCAACTCGCGCTGTAAGTTTAGTTTGCGCTTATTCGGCTCGTGTCTATATGTTGTGAATACTCTCGAGAGAACAAGAAAGTTAAAATAATCATGAATCGATAAATTACTGGTAATTTACTAGCTTTCCGTTTGAGCAACAAAGGTGTTTAACACTTCTGTGTGAACTGGATGTAGTTTGAACGAGAAAGAGTCGCTTTTAAGCGAATTTTTAACACATTTGAGGTCTCCATACTGTAGCAGGTCATCTATATGCAGTCATCTTGTCCATCATGGAGCCGGTCTGAGTTTTCACACGGACAATGGCCATAGCAGATTAAGTACCACCCGCTGTTCGTCCCTTTCAAAATTTTACATGTTTACAGGATTATTGGGTGCCCTACGGTTATTCGCTGGGAATTTTTCAAAAGGCCTACTTCTAGAACTTTCCATTTTCCTATTGAGATATTTGGCAAACAAATGGGGGAAATTAGTCGTTCGGACAAATTGAACTCCAGGGGAGTGAAACGGTCGTTTTGAGCTGAAGTCTGTTCGTGTTAGAGACCAAAATATAGTTATTAGCCGGAGTTTTATGCAACTTGGGCCGGTTGTATAAAAAGGAAGGTCTTTGATTTTGGTGCGGGTGCCAAAAATTGACCAATCAGAATCGTGTTGTGTTAATTTAACTGCGACTTATCTATATCAGTGATCTATACCAAAAATGCCACGGGCACCATGCAGGAAGTCCGAGAAAGTTATTGATAACACGTCATTACTCATTGACTATATATGAGACGAGGACCTCCAATGATTTCCACAAGTGTCCAGTCTTCGGGGCATTATGACAATAGACAGTCACATTGCAGGTACTCTATTATATAGAATATTTGCTTTATTGCTTGCTGATCGAAACTCGATGTGGCTTCCATCTAATCTTATCGAAACTCCACTATGTGCCTTCTCTGACCTTAATAACTTGTTTTGCTGAAGAAGTGACTGTCATACATTTGGAATATTGGCTTAAAAATCAAAATTCGATATCGGATTTTCCTTCCATTTCATTGCAGAAGTTGTTTTGATAAAAGGGAAGTAAGTCGTAGTCTATTGACACATATCCAGAACAACCTTTATAGCTATTGATCATATAACAAATGATCCAAGGATGATGCAATGACAAAAATGGCAGTTATGCCTTTAATCACCCATAAACAGTATAGGATACTTCATATTTTATCGATTTCACGAGATATAGAGGAATACGAAAAGCTGTTTTTGCAATGCTTGAAAAATTATTTTAATTACTTCCAAATATTTTACTACAAAACTACCGACACCCATACTTAAGTTTATCATGTTCGCCCCTCTACTAAAAGACTACTATACTATACTATATTGTGATGATATGATTAAAACGATTATTTTTCGTGCCAAATGAAAAGTTCATCCGTTTGTCAGTCCCTTTCAGTTCATTACTCGGAGAACACCAACGCACTTAACAATTGCTATTCTGAACCATGTTCTTGACACAGTGATATGAGCTCCATTCTTGCTTTGTAACATAGTTTCCACTTTGTTCCAACAAGATTTATCCGTTACTGTAACACAACCCTGGGATAATCTACCAGGGTGAAGTCCAATATGACTTCGCGATCCGGGTACGTCTGGGTTGCTGCGGTAATAATCCCACCAGCCGTTATTATGCTGTTTTTTTGGGTACAGATTAGCCCAAGATATGCCATGTTTGCTGTGCTTGTAGACAGAACCGATCGCATAACGACCATTTGGAGCTGGGCCGTATTTATCTGCAGGATCATTTGTCTGTGCACGTTTTGTATCACACTTGGCATAGTTTCCATTTCTATATTGGCAGGAAAAGTCAGTAAATTAATGTCTTTGAGATGATAACTCGCCGGCCGCACTTGTGATGTAATAGATTAAATGTGACATTCATTTGTAGGTAGCGATAAGAACCTCTATCAGACCTCTATGCGTAATAGAGCAGGCGCGCAATGCATGCTGGAAGTTGGGTAACCACTAACTAACCAATTCACTTCCAAGGAAAATGGCTGTTGTCAGGTTGGCGATTTTCCTTGGAATAACGTTGCGGCAGTTTTTTGCTCCTTCCTCGGTACGATCGGCAATTTTTTTTACTGCTGTGTTTAGAGGAAGGTTATATGTATCTCGTGTCATATGGTCATGAGTTTACTGCATGAAATACAAGAGAAAATCGGTCCGAATTGGGTAACACGAGTGAGCACGTTTCGAACACAAACGGCGTTCAAGATTGACTTGCTCGACGTTTTACAGGTGTTATACAGTTGTAAGACACCATCAGAGATCGATTTTACTCTGGATATATTTTCCAGTTGTCTTGCTACGCTTTTCTTGTCTTCTGAATTATTGTAAATGCATCTGAGAGCATATTTTGCCAGCTGAAATTCGGAAGCAAAATTCGGTCATTATAATCATTTTAGCAACATTAGATAGCCTTCAATCTGACAAGGCTTATCTTTTGGGCTTGTTGTGTTTTTGCGTGAAATTTTACCTGCATGTATACTGAATTTAATTATTTTACAATTCATAATATTTACAATCGTATTTTTGCTGGTTTCACCTGATTTTAAAGCTGTGTTTTGTGAGTTTTGTCTTGGAGTGCCTCGGTTCTTGTATTAAAAAAGTAAATACTTATAATATAATGGATAGTGAACCAGAACCAGGTACCTCTAAAAAAGCAAATGAACAACTGCAGCAAAGTGAAAGGGTTAATCGAGGAAGGGAAAATTGTTGTGTGCCCCACTGTGGAAATAACAGTCGTAGAAATCCTTCAAGTGCTGTCATTTCATAAAATACCTAAAGATGAGAGTTTAAGAAAGAAATGGATAAAACTTTTAAAAGCCAAGGGACTATGCAATCCTACCGACAATCATCGTATGTGTGCAGCTCATTTTCCTGGCGACAAAAGGTCTGGACAAAAGGACATATTACAATAACATTCCAACAATACTTGATACAAGCAAACCCCTGAAACAAAGGTAACTTATTGTGAAGCAGCAAAAAAAACCAGCTGAACAGACATTGTTAGAATGGAGAAGGAATCTGTGGAACTGCTCACTGCCAATATCATTCAAGAACAACAGGATGATTTAAACTCTACAGATGTTGTTACAACAGAAAATAAACATGTGAAACAGCTCAGTAACATTCGGAAGAACTGGAGGCTTTAAAAGAAAAGTAAAAACAACTAGAAGATAAATACAACAAAGACACAAAAGAATTAAGAAACTCTTTATTTGGGTTAGAGAGTTTTATTAGCAGTGATATTCTACACTAGGTTTCCAGACTACACAACTTTCAAAGCATTTTTCAACTACTTATCACCTGAATGTTGTCACCTAAACTACCATGCGACAACAACAGCTCATATTCTCTCTGATGCACAAAAAAAGTCAGTCTGTTACCTTTTCCAGTTACAAAAATCATAACACTGCAAAAGGCATGCTCGGTATATCACCAAGTGGTTATGAGCTCGTCCTGTGTACGGAATATCCCGGTTCGATCCTTGGTATGGTCTTTATTGTTTTCAAATTTTTTTTGGAATTTTTCAATATTGAAATAATTGAATCTACAATACCTTCTGGTTAGTTTTAGGGTTTACGGTGTGGGACAGGTTTATTTTTAAATGTATTTGCCTTTAAGAATTTCTGCAGTCGGTCCCAGACTAGATAGGCTAGACAATCACAGCCGGACTGTATTATTTTCTTTAGCCGCAAATCGCCAACCTGACAACAGCCATTTTTCTTGGAAGTGAATGGTTACCCAACTTCCGGCATGCATTGCGCGCCTGCTCTATTACACAATGACTCTATGTAAAACAATTTGGGGAAGATTGTCAAATACGCGTTACTTTACCCAAAATAAACCACTAAACATACAACGATTACTCACGCTTTGCAATGCAAACAGTCAGAGTTTTTGAATTGAATACAAAGTACGAGATTGCTGTTGTCTGCACTGGTAATTGTTCTCCTTTCACTGTCGCATCCACTAAACGCAAAACGGCATACATTTAAATTGGTAAACTATAGCATTTATGAACGTGTTGGAGTAGTATATACCGTGATACAGTGATAGATCAAACATATACATATAAGCTTACCATTCGACAGACGAAATTGCAGAAATTGCAACGATAAGGAATAACCATAGCAATTCCATGGTCTCTGAAGACAAAATTATACTCAATCATAATTTCACACAGTCACAGTGATTTTTCGTAGAAACATTAATGCACTAACTGCACATTACTAGTATGTTTTGTATAGCACAGAGTATATAGTTACCTCAGAAAGTCTTCACAGTCTCGATCAGTTTCTCTTAAATTATAAAGATTTGGGATTTGCACACATAAATCCTTATATACGACGGAATAAAATGATTGCAACTTGCAAATGTTGGGTCGTTTTGTAGAAAATTTCCGCATTTGCAGTAATTTAAACCTCGCTGTTTTAGCCAATAGGCTAAAGGGATTTTATTAAAAAAGACATCATTTTGCTGAAAAGGAAGTGTGTATATATATCATAAGACTTCCGTTAAAGCAAAACACTACAGTAATTTTAAATGAGAAGTTTCACCTGACATAACACATTTGTATAACGACTACTTCGCTTTGAGTACGCCATATTTTAGACAGCAAATAACTGTAATAAAGGGGATATTCGAGAAGGAACCGGGAGTGCACATGATCACAAAACGGAAACGATAACACTTCGCACAATGAACAATGAACAATGCACAATGAAGCACTATATAGTTGTAAATCACGTAATCTCATGGGGTTGGGATAAAACGCGGAATACGGAATGGCGGAAGCGGATTCCGGAAGAGGATTCCGCAAATAGGCCTTGTAAAACACGGATTCCGGAATGAATATTTGAGAAATATATTGTAACGCTTTCTGTATTTTTTATTACGCTTTCTGTATTTTTTATTACGCTTTCTGTAATTTTTAATCTTGTAGACGCCCCCCATGGAAATCAACGTATTGTTGTCGGGGCTAGTGTCTTTAAGTAAAGTTTTATGTACATACATATATACAACTTTGTCAACCACTTTAGGGGAGTCGTCGACGACAACTTGCCCATTTGGGTTACTATCTGCTCCTTAATCTTTTACCTCGGAAAGTTACCTCGGAAAGTCTTCAAACAGTTCGCCTGAAAACGACTAATTCGACCATGGTCGAGTTCGCCGGAAAACGACTAATTCGAACATAGTCGAGTTCGCCGGAAAACGACTAATTCGACCATGGTCGAGTTCGCCGAAAAACGACTAATTCAACCATGGTCGAGTTCGCCAGAAAACGACTAATTCAACCATGGTCGAGTTCGCCGGAAAACGACTAATTCGACCATGGTCGAGTTCGCCGGAAAACGACTAATTCGACCATGGTCGAATTCGCCGGAAAAGGACTAATTCGACCATGGTCGAGTTCGCCGAAAAACGACTAATTTAACCATGGTCGAGTTCGCCGGAAAACGACTAATTCGACCATGGTCGATTTCGCCAGGAAACGAGTAAGTCGACCATGGTCGAGTTCGCTAGAAAACGACTAAGTATGGTCGAGTTCGCCGAAAAACGACCAATTCAACCATGGTCGAGTTCGCCGGAAAACGACTAATTCGACCATGGTCGAGTTCGCCGGAAAACGACTAATTCGACCATGGTCGAGTTCGCGGGAAAAAGACTAATTCGACCATGGTCGAGTTCGCCGGAAAACGACTAATTCGACAATGGTCGAGTTCGCCGGAAAACGACTAATTCGACCATGGTCGAGTTCGCCGGGAAACGACTAATTCGACCATGGTCGAGTTCGCGGGAAAAAGACTAATTCGACCATGGTCGAGTTCGCCGGAAAACGACTAATTCGACAATGGTCGAGTTCGCCGGAAAACGACTAATTCGACCATGGTCGAGTTCGCCGGAAAACGACTAATTCGACAATGGTCGAGTTCGCCGGAAAACGACTAATTCAACCATGGTCGAGTTCGCCGGAAAACGACTAATTCGACCATGGTCGAGTTCGCCGGAAAACGACTAATTCGACCATGGTCGAGTTCGCGGGAAAAAGACTAATTCGACCATGGTCGAGTTCGCCGGAAAACGACTAATTCGACAATGGTCGAGTTCGCCGGAAAACGACTAATTCAACCATGGTCGAGTTCGCCAGGAAGCGAGTAAGTCGACCATGGTCGAGTTCGCTAAAAAACGACTAAGTATGGTCGAGTTCGCCGAAAAACGACCAATTCAACCATGGTCGAGTTCGCCGGAAAGCGACTAATTCGACCATGGTCGAGTTCGCCGGAAAACGACTAATTCGACCATGGTCGAGTTCGCCGGAAAACGACTAAGTCGACCATGGTCGAGTTCGCTAGAAAACAACTAAGTCGACCATGGTCGAGTTCGCCAGAAAACGACTAATTCGACCATGGTCGAGTTCGCGGGAAAAAGACTAATTCGACCATGGTCGAGTTCGCTAGAAAACGACTAATTCGACCATGGTCGAGTTCGCCGGAAAACGACTAATTCGACCATGGTCGAGTTCGCGGGAAAAAGACTAATTCGACCATGGTCGAGTTCGCTAGAAAACGACTAATTCGACCATGGTCGAGTTCGCCGGAAAACGACTAATTCGACCATGGTCGAGTTCGCGGGAAAACAACTAAGTCGACCATGGTCGAGTTCGCCGAAAAACGACTAATTCGACAATGGTCGAGTTCGCCGGAAAACGACTAATTCGACCATGGTCGAGTTCGCCAGGAAACGAGTAAGTCGACCATGGTCGAGTTCGCTAAAAAACGACTAAGTATGGTCGAGTTCGCCGAAAAACGACCAATTCAATCATGGTCGAGTTCGCCGGAAAACGACTAATTCGACCATGGTCGAGTTCGCCGGAAAACGACTAATTCGACCATGGTCGAGTTCGCCGGAAAACGACTAATTCGACCATGGTCGAGTTCGCCGGAAAACGACTAATTCGACAATGGTCGAGTTCGCCGGAAAACGACTAATTCAACCATGGTCGAGTTCGCCAGGAAGCGAGTAAGTCGACCATGGTCGAGTTCGCTAAAAAACGACTAAGTATGGTCGAGTTCGCCGAAAAACGACCAATTCAACCATGGTCGAGTTCGCCGGAAAACGACTAATTCGACCATGGTCGAGTTCGCCGGAAAACGACTAATTCGAACATGGTCGAGTTCGCCGGAAAACGACTACTTCGACCATGGTCGAGTTCGCCAGAAAACGACCAAGTCGACCATGGTCGAGTTCGCCGAAAAACGACTAATTCGACCATGGTCGAGTTCGCCGGAAAACGACTAATTCGACCATGGTCGAGTTCGCCGAAAAAGGACTAATTCAACCATGGTCGAGTTCGCCGGAAAACGACTAATTCGACCATGGTCGAGTTCGCCAGGAAACGAGTAAGTCGACCATGAGTTCGCTAAAAAACGACTAAGTATGGTCGAGTTCGCCGAAAAACGACCAATTCAACCATGGTCGAGTTCGCCGGAAAGCGACTAATTCGACCATGGTCGAGTTCGCCGGAAAACGACTAATTCGACCATGGTCGAGTTCGCCGGAAAACGACTAAGTCGACCATGGTCGAGTTCGCTAGAAGTTCGCCGGAAAACGACTAATTCGACCATGGTCGAGTTCGCGGGAAAAAGACTAATTCGACCATGGTCGAGTTCGCTAGAAAACGACTAATTCGACCATGGTCGAGTTCGCCGGAAAACGACTAATTCGACCATGGTCGAGTTCGCGGGAAAAAGACTAATTCGACCATGGTCGAGTTCGCCGGAAAACGACTAATTCGACAATGGTCGAATTCGCCGGAAAACGACTAATTCGACCATGGTCGAGTTCGCCAGAAAACAACTAAGTCGACCATGGTCGAGTTCGCCGAAAAACGACTAATTCAACCATGGTCGAGTTCGCCGGAAAACGACTAATTCGACCATGGTCGAGTTCGCCAGGAAACGAGTAAGTCGACCATGGTCGAGTTCGCTAAAAAACGACTAAGTATGGTCGAGTTCGCCGAAAAACGACCAATTCAACCATGGTCGAGTTCGCCGGAAAACGACTAATTCGACCATTCGCCGGAAAACGACTAATTCGACCATGGTCGAGTTCGCCGGAAAACGACTAATTCGACAATGGTCGAGTTCGCCGGAAAACGACTAATTCCACCATGGTCGAGTTCGCCGGAAAACGACTAATTCGACCATGGTCGAATTCGCCGGAAAACGACTAATTCGACCATGGTCGAGTTAGCCGGAAAATGACTAATTCGACCATGGTCGAGTTCGCCGGAAAACGACTAATTCGACCATGGTCGTATTCGCCTGAAAACGACTAATTCGACCATAGTCTCGATTTTCTCTCTTAAATTGTAAAGATTTTGGATTTGCACACATAAGTCCTAACAGCGAAATAGCCAATAAAACTTAACCATTTTAGACCATATGACTTGACCATTTCAAGAGCATACAGGTCTATTGTGTTTACAAAAGCGTGATTGTTAGCCAATCAGAATGGACTATTCGATGTTAACAATACACAAACGTATATCACCCATGTCAAAATAGGTCGGCATGTTTTCACGTTAGGATATTACGAAATCACTGTACTTTCATGAAACCACGAAATGTTAGCGTTCGATTCGATTCGATTAGTCAGGATTCAAAGAACTGATTAATTTAGAAACCTCGAAAAGTCGACAAGTATTGAACATTATGCTTATTGCGCAATCAAAACTACAGGGTGTCTCAAAAAAAGGAAAACTATTGAAATCACTCATTGTTAAAATTTGCCGTGTTTACGAATTTTAGCCCGTGGAGATTTAATGCAACTTTTAAAATGCTAAATACGAAAAATTTGAAATTGTGATTATGACTAAATTTTAATTAGCCTTGTTATTGCTTCGATCGAAAGAAAATGGTAAAGCTGACCGCAGAACAACGAGTGTTTATTGTGATATTATCCCAACAGAGTGCTTAGGCATTCAAACTCAAAAGCACGTAACCAAAACTCGTCCTGTTATTGGTTGGCAACCCTGCACCGTGGCTGAATGACGCTGACCTTGGCAATTTGTTGCTGCGATCGCATCTTCCGGCGAGTTTGCGACTTTATTCCGTGCATATTCAAGTAGGACTCGACACGTTGTCGGCGCGGGTGCTTTAGAGTGCATGGTGTGCGCTGAGCTCTATGATTCCTTAAGCCGGATTTTGCTTCAACAAAAAGTGAAGCGAAAAGATGACGGTTTTTTACGTTTGCTGGCACCACAGGAGTGAAAACAGGTTGAAAACAGAGAATTAAAAAAATTATCGAGGATCCATATAGTTCGTGCATGCATGCCATTTGTTACGTGCTTATCTTGTTCAAAAATTTTCAAGTATTTCTTCCTCGCAAATTGCAACTAAACCAGTAATCGACACACGCGATGCTACAACTACTGACCACTCTACTGCATCTCATCACGATCTTATCTCGCCCATTATGAATTTGGCTCAGACATCATGAGATAAAACAATCAGAAATAGTTGAAGTGCATTAGAGCATCGGAAATGAAAAGCGATTTTCAAATTTTATCCACTCTCAAGCCATTAAGGAGGTCTCCCGATGTTATCACAACGACCTGAATCACCTGATAGACTCCGTACGAATGAGCAGCGACAAAATAAATATCTCTAATGTAATTAAAAAGAAAGCGTGCTGCGTTTCATTCCATCATTCACATGAAATAACTTAGGACAGTTTAAAATGCAAAGCGTCATGTATAATACTATTGACTGATCGTGACAATTGTTGGTGCTTCTATAATGCGCGAAACGGACTGAGAGAGATCGGATTGGAAAAATTGATTGGATCATGCGAGTGCGCAATTGGGATATTAAGTTGAAGCAGGGCTTTACGCTTGATAAGAATTCCGCAAGACATGGCTATGTCGAAGGTTGGACCATTAATACATACTCATCCCCCTTCTAGAGGGAGCCTTATCTCTGATACTGACGCCATTAAATTGATAAAAACATTCTCTTGAAAGTAGATAACGTTCACACAGCGATAGTTTAACAGGCTGCACTGGCTGGCAATCCTCAGCTTGAAAAAATCAATTCAACTTTACCTCTCTCGCCATTAGGCGGAAAACAAACTCGGACTGACAAATCATATATGTGTAAGAGCATCTTGAAGATCTTCCATGAATTACATTTCTTTAAAGACAAAGTACAATGCGATCTTGGAACAAAGTGTTTCAGATTACGAGTCTAGAAGTCGCCCCCCCCCCCTCCTCTCTGCCTATTATGCATAATGTTTTTTAAGAATTGTTTCTGTGCGTATATGTTTGGTAGTGTACCTTCCCGGGGTAAATTTTTTAAACTGCACTTTCAGTATTTATTTATAAGTGTAGTGGGGAGAGGAAGGAAGGGGGTGTACCCTGTTATATAACAAGGTAATGTCTCAGCCATTTCGTCTGGCTCCCCACTTAAAATAATTCGACCAAGCAGGGTCCATCCTCGAACATAGCACGTATTTGTTTACCCAGGTTCAAGAGGTTAATGTTAGTTAGAATAATGAAATTAAATCTCTGCATCCAGATTACTGCATGTATGGCTATGTTCACAAAACGTAGCTGAAAGAAAACTCTTTTCTTTCGCTCGTTTGGAGACAAACAACAATCGTTTGACGTAGAATGGATTCTGGTGGCTGTTTATCGTGATTTCGGGTACCTGGAAACTCTTGCGTCCGTAAATGCGTAAGCCACCGTGATAAGCTAAAATCTCAACCTGTCCCGTCGTCTTACTGTCGTTCACATTAAGTCTATTGGTAAAGTTCATGATTGTGTGAATAAGCATCGTTTTATCGATAGCACCGTTGACGAGCCGAATTCTTCGTCTCCTGATGCCAATGTAACCATAAGCAGTTACCATGGAGAGAAGTTCATGTCGACGCGATTATTTTGTATGTAAAACTATTTATGTACCTGCAATTAATATGGCTGAACAATATACGATCTAATTCCAAAATAAGTTCTTGTTCAAAATTAACTTCGAACTCAGGTCTTCCCTAATACAAATGTTGAATACTTTTTGCCAATCAAACCTAGGTATTTTTCATGCTCTCCTTTTAATTTTTTGAACCATTTTATCAGCTGTAATTGCTCTCGTCTATAATCAACAAGCATTTTAAATATTTAATCCAAAAGCTGAATATTTCAGTCGATTCTCTGGGTAACCTTCATCATTTCATAAACGACTCGAACAAGTTCTTCTTAAAAACTGGCTGGCATTGTCGTGGCTATATTTGTGTGTAAAATGGTGTAATTGTTTAGCGGGAAAAATGCATTCTTTACTGAGCTATTTGTGAGACCAGGAGCAATAGACTAGCTGTAGTGATACTATAGGGAAAGGCCAATTGAGGATTCGTTTTCACTTGCAATTTTTGGCTGCGAACTAGCGATTTAGTTATGAATTAATCTAATTTTAAACTACAGCTTCAGAGCCATGCTTGTGGCACATGACACGGGTTTGTGTACGCTCCTGTACTATTCCGGAAAGCATTATAAGACTTTATAACGTACGTGCTGAGATGCATTTGTTATAGAGATCAGCCTTGGCCTTTTAAGTGAGGTTTAAATAAACACATCGTTATAACGCGATGTATCAAGTAATTGTCAAAGAAGTACTCGAAATATTTAATAACTTTTGTGTGCATATATACTGAGGTGGGCGGGTAGGGGGCGATTATACCTGAGAGATGTCTGCTTCGAAAAATGGCATCATAATCAATCAATTGTATGGTTTCCATCAGTGCTAAAGCATTCACTACTAGATTAGATTTCCCGTTCGTGTTGGGCCAGCTTTAACTGCTGAGAGTTGAGACTTTAAATAAAGATGACTTGGTAGTACTTGAGCAATTATGCTTGCTGAGGAGGGGAGAGTCAACCTCGTAAATCGTAATGAGGTAATATATAACACAACACTCTGAAGCATCACTTTTATTCAAGGACTAAACATGCAAGAGTAAAGCTGTTGATGAGGCAAATTAAAACACAGATTTTAGCTTTAAATTGTATGTTGTTTTCACTCATCGTTGAAACACTTGGTAATCAAGCATCATTTTTAATAGCGGAAAAAAGCGCTGTAAAAAGTAGAACTGGAATTCAGCAAGAATTTAATTGAAATTTAGCAAATGCGCGTTCCGTGTAACTCTAGCTCAGCTGATATAATTTTTGTGATTATTATCTATATGAGGAATTCGGAAAAACAACTTTGGCGGTAGTCAAGACATGTCGTCACGTTTTCCAAATGGCATTTGTAATAACACAACGTAGCCAAAATATCTGAGGTGGCCATCATGTTACCATTGTTTGCATGCAATTCAGTCCTTTCGAGTACAAACTGCGGTTGAGTGTTCCGTGGCAAATTGAGGACGAAGCTTTGCGATTATTCAGTCTTTAAAACAGGTAACTGAAGAAAAGGTCTTGGGCACTTCTTGGTGTAGTATTTTATAAAGTATTCTTGTTGATCGTGTGGTAAGAATTTGTACAAAAAGTTCGGTCTGAAGCTCATTCAAATATATCTCAGCTTCGCTCATTAGCTTATACTTGGTAAGTCCGTTTATTGAAGTGTTGGTTTGCTCATTTTTTTAATGTCAATTGAAACTTCTTGTAACAATTGTGAGTGCTAAACGCGTATTCATCTTCCCAAATGTAATTTAATTTAGACATTTAAGACTGACAAAATTTTAATACTGGCTGTATTGGAATGATCGCTTCTCAGTCGGCAGTTTTGCCAGTTACGATACCGAGAACCCCTGTACTACTTTCAACCGTGTAGAGCTGTATCTATAACTTGTTAGATTAGCAATAGTATAGGGCTGGGGGTTGTTAGTGCGCGGCCCTTACCTCTGATAGTTTGAGAAAGGATTGAAGGCACAGGTTTGGTCAGTCTATAGAGGAATCCTCGTCGATGTATCTGATTAACTCTGAAATTCTGTGGTTTTTATCTGCGTTTGAACGCTGTAGAAATTGGGCGACTAGAATTCTATAGTATAGGGGTGCAAATCACTTGCTTATAGTGCGAGGCGTCCTCATTAATTGCGAGTTCAAGATTGATCAAATCTACGGCAGATCGACATTGTTCTGAAGTAGTACTCGAGTAACTTAGTACCGCAATTCAAAAAGATGGCTGAGTTTGAGAAGAGAACGTTTAAATGACATTCAGGACTCAAATTTAGCTTTTAAATGTTTAGAACAGGAAATACAACAGACAGTCCCTCCACAGGGATAAAAATTATAGTCTATTTGTGCCTGGTGGTTGGTGAACGAAGTCAGAGATGCGTCTGACACTAAGAAGAATTGAAATTTTAGTAATAGCGGCTGGGTTTATCGCTAGCATCTGTTATATCCCCGTCGTATATTTGAGGCATCTTAAACTAACATGCAGTAAACGGACGGCGTGGCTTTTATTATCTTTCAAGCAAATCGCTCGCCGTTTCATATTGTTTGTTGATTTCATCATCTTTTTCATTGAATCTTTTCCCCACGCCGAAACCAGATCCTCCAGGCCAGCTGAATCATCTGAAAATAAATAGATTGAGATCAAAATTCTAAAACGTTTTCCGGTTCACTTCAAGACCTCGGGTATTGTCTTCGTTGACCTTCGCGACGTGTAAATGAAGCGAATTCAACTCCTGATTACTTACTTGACTCAAATGGCTAATTCCTCGGCCGACCCTGTGGGAAAAGACTAAGATTATACATGTTACGCTTGCCGTTTAACTGTGGAACTTGGTTTTCGTGGTGTGATTTCAAATTCTACTGCAATATCCCGCCGCTACAGCCCACGTTTATCTTTAAACCTCCAGTTATGCTGTGCTTCCCGAAAGATAACCGGAAAGTTTGTTCAGGGTTTAGAAAACTCAGAGATAAGACTGAAAGCGGAATTTTTAAACTGCCCATTTGATCCATATCAATGCAATTCATGATTCCATTTGAATCAATAGAACTCAGATCGCATGATAACTTCCTACGTAAGTTCACTGTTGGCTGTCATTTTAAAAGTTACATATTTTCCACGCGCATATAGGAAGACGTTTAAATTCATAAAGAATACAAAGTACACGGAAAGGCTTATCTTTGTATAAATATCTTTGTGTTTTAGCCATCTTTTATCGAGGAAAAACCACGCTGAACAAGGAGTCTACCGTTGTAAACCAGGAGCTTCGAGATTGCAAGGATGTTCTCAAAAAGCGTTATTCACGTCGAGGTTCTGTCTCTGGAGTTATGCCAGAAGACTGAGGAATGGGCGGAAAGCGTACGGGAAAGATTTGGGACTATTGCGGGCGCGAAAAACGACGACCACGATCATTTAGCACAAGAAGGTCGGGACATTATTGACTGTGGGATACGATTAATGCAGGTAAGAAGGGATCTTTGTCTTTTTCGTATCTCGTTGTAAGTTATTAGTTCACGCGGGTGATTTTTGCTGCGTTTTCAGATGCGATTTCCTTTTCTGGATCGATTTGATGGAGTGAATAAGTTACAATGTTTAAACAAGCGCACTTAAACACAGGACATTCATAACTATTCGCTCAATTGCATTATTTTGTCAAAAGAAGATAATGGCAGTGAAAACTGCTAGCATGAATTGGCGGTAAGTTTGGTTGTAGTTTGATTCAAGTCGGGCCGTGGCTGACCGATGAACGAGTACAGTTGGCACTTGGCAGCTCTTGATATGCTAATATACAATCAAATCACGTAATCTAATCGTTGAATTCTCTACACGCGATAAAAGGAATAATACTGATGGGTAAATCCTGTCAAATCTTAAGAATTGACACGGAGATGGAGATGAGGGGTGCTGTATTAGATGTGCCATTAAGGCCACATTCCAAAGGTTAGCCTTTAGCCTGTAGCCTTTAGCACAGAGTCAGGCAGTCGACGAACATTTTGAAGTGGTGCAAACGGCTCGCATGCCAGCCATTGCAGGAAATCACGTGGAAACGATTTGGATATGCTGCCGAAAATATATCGATTGCTCCAGGCAAGTGCTTTACGGGAGCGGAATTGAAAGAGGTCACTACGTGTTTTGATAAAATCTTAAGAATATCTGCAGAACGCGAACGATTCTCTCGAGAATGCCAAGGTGATGTCTACAGTTTCGATCCATCGACTGATTTATCAGCGCACTTGTCTTCCACATGCCAAGAATTTTACGAACGACATTCTTCCTGTGTGGTTGAAGACGTTCGTAATTGAAGATAAAACTTGCCTGACCATCCAGTTTCGAGTTTCTGCGATGGGTGATTAAGAGGAATCTTCACAGGTCAACGGTGCTCATCGAATCATCCTTTTGTGTAGGAATTTGACGAAATCACTTTATTATTCCCGTGCAAGAAAGCTTGCCCCCAAGTTAAGTGCAATCTTGATCCAAGGGTACAACTGAATATCCTATTAACTCGAGTCTTGTACTAATAAGATATTTAGATACTAGCCTTAGGGATTTCGTAATGATTGGGGAATGCTTGCGTGATGATTGCGTCACACATGACGACAAGGTGCGTCACCCCCCCCCCTGCTCCCAATACTGAAATTTCGTCTTTGTCATAGTCAGATAAATGAGATAATGGACACCCAACAAGCTAGCCTAGAATAGCTTGTTTATACAGCCCTGTGGTTCCTACCTAATGCGTGGACATAACACACGATTCATCCTGTTACATCACCACAGCGAATAACGTGTCACGTGGCTTCTAGCTCGTTCCCAGGCTGTGGAGATTGAGCTTCACCCAAAAGATTTCCCGAGGAGCGAGCTTTGTTTTGAGCAAACCTTGTTTTGTGCTCTGGCTTTGTAGACAACGCATACGGGTTGGTTTTTAAAATAGGAGAGAAATGTGAGTCTTAAGCTCCTTCGACAACGCAAGCTAGAAGCTGTCTCTTACACCTCACGCGAGACAGTTTTAGCCGTCTTGTTTCTTACTTACAGTGTTATTATTGTCACCCAATTAAATTAATTAAGTGGAAAAACCGAGGTGTCAGTGGTTTTTTAAATCGTATAAAACGCAGATCTGGATTAGAACACCCGCATGGCAAGCTCACCAAACACCCCACCCGTATAACTGGTGCATATTCTGCATACCATCAAATATTATGTCACCCTTTGCTTCCGTCTTCACCAAATGTTGTCACACAAAACATCCAACCAACATAGTGCGACCCCGATGACGCAAACCCGCCAAAAAGTCCTTTCTCGTTGTTTAAATTTTGGGCAAAGGAATTCAATTTGTTCCCTTTGCATTCTGTAAATTGATTGCCTAATTTTCATTGCATTTATATAACTAACTGCAACTGTTGATCCACTTTCATGACTAAAAATTAATTCCCAGCAGATTATTGATATTAGCTCGGCTTAAGTGAAATATCCCACAGCGGTGTTTTTCCTGTGCACGTTTCGTATTTCGACAAGTAACCACATAATCTATATTTTTATCTAAACACGCGCCGGGTATTTGAAACTCGCCAAAACGAGTAAGATATTTTTGTTTGCTTAAGTGGGGAAAGTTTTGAATTCCTGAGCAGGTAAACTATGGAATTGTTTGCTTATCAAACATGGCAGGAGGTTATGATATTAACACGCCATTAACCATTACTGACAGCCAGATCCTGATGCCTTGTTTGATATATTTTAATTTCGACGTTCAACAAAGACGTGCCTTCTCTCTTCCATAGTGCGTGGAACAGAGCCCATCCAGTGTGGATCGTATCGTTGCCGAGCTCAAAGGCGTTTCATCGAAGGAAAAGAGTGAAAAACCTGGTAAGTTGAGCAGAGATCCAACTGTGTTTATAAAAACATACAGTTTGTTTTGTTTTGTTTTGTTGTTTTAAACATGCTAGGGTTTTTAATCCCTTTGCTTCGAGCTCCCTGTGCGGGCCTGGGTATATCTAAACGTCGCTTTAACGTGTTTTCTTTTTGCTTGTAAAGAAACCGCGTAGAAAACGACTGCAAACTCATTTAACTTCACTTAATGTTAATTGTTCGTGGCGTTGTGCATTCGTGATAAAACTAAGCTCATGACAGGGTCTGTAGATCGTTACAGGCTAGGGCAATCAAAGCTAACGGCTTATATGTAAAGGCTAAACGCCTTATTACGCTTTCCAAACGGTCAAGTCTTAGGCGTACACTCGTCGCGAATTTGAAATTCCACATGCATTTCGTTAGTGTAAATGTGTGAATTGGTGCTAGGTCGTCGACGCCGCAATTGGGAAATAGTTTGTTTATTTTAGGGATTTTAGACTTGTATTGAAATACTTAAACAAACCAAAGAACATGCTGGAAAATGGCCGCGGGTGATTCGCAAATTTTCACTTGAGTTTAATCATGTTGAAAGTTATTATAATCTCTTAACCCCGTTGCTCCGAGACAAAATTTTCTCGCTAGATTACCTGCGGCTCGCTGACTTCTCGCGGGAACTCCGTCCGTTTCCGCCATCCGAGCGCTTTCCACGCAGCGCGCGATCTCGCTTTGTCGGCTAGATGAATTATGGTTGAATTGATCATGGACAGCGAAAACCGGACGTTCGGATGTGTCACGAAACTCTGGTGCCAAATGCCAATGATAGAGTATATATTCTTTGCGACCAGACATTCTCCGTTACATTAAGGAAATTGATATGGTCTACTCGCTTGGATGGCGGTTTACCGTTTAAAAAGTACGAAACGATGCAGGTTTAATAGTCGAAGAAGAAAACAATCCTTCAAAATTCAAGATGTGATTTAGAAACTAAGAGATTGCTTGTAGCCTTGCCAATGTCAATTTTCTACGTCCAAAGTCATCGTCAGACTCACTGAAACATGATACTTTACATACGGCAGATGTACACAAAGTACATGTGGCGAGGAAAAAAATTATTGAAGAAATGTACCTGCAAATTGTGTGAAAGTTAAAAAGCGTTGAAGTAAACAACGTCGAAAACACGAGAGTTTTCAGGCGAGCTGTGCACACAACGGCTTCAAACACCCAGAGGGTAAATTTGAAGGGAGCGTTGCAGTGGTTGCATTTCTTTTGAATTTTCAGTGAGACGTGAGCTAGTTCAGGCGTGTCTGAAGAGGCGTACACGTATTACTTGAACTCTTAGGAGTGAGGTTTTTCACAATGAATGAAAAGTACTTATTGCATATTCGATATGATCTAATACATAGAATTCACGCGAAGCTTACATAATGCAGTGTTTCGTCAACATTACTAAAGGGATCATGGTCTGAACTTCAAGAGTCGGCAAAAGATTAGATTGGGTAGGTGAGAAAAATGGGCGATATTTTTAAATTCCTGAAATCCATCAATTTCCTGGGTATTTTTTGACATTTTTACACGGAGTTGTTGCCCGGTGTTCCAATTAAACATCAAAACGACCGTCCCGAGGTTTTAGTGTAATCGTGTTAGCTTAGAAATCCAACATTTTTTGTTGAATGAATCTACTTTGACAGAAGATTTTTGAAATTCTTCAACTTCTAAAGAGACCAGAACGCTGTCGCTGGTGATGCAAATTAGATTTTAAACCCATGCCACGTCAATGCATTCAGATCCACCCACATGTATGTTTTACTCTTTCAAATTCGTTTGATCATTTCACTCGTCACCTGGTAAGGTGCTGTCGGTCAGAGGCACTGTATCCATTAGCTGGTAATGCGCCTAAAAGCACCAATTTTACTTCGTCTATTCATAGTCAATTTCCTTTTAAGTATATTGAAAAATACATTCGTCAAATGTTCCTTCCCAAGTTTACAGAACAATCACGTTTCGAGATGTTGCATGATTTATCTGTTCCATAGTGATATCGAGGTAGCTTTAAAAGACCTGGGTCAACAGACAACCACGGTTATATAATAAAATACAACTATACAACTATTATATACTTATATCAGGCACGTAACTGCTATCTTGAATGCATGCCTCTACTGAAATCTACCTTTGCTCTTGTGGACTGAATGTCAAAAGGAGTTTACGTTTCTAGTTGTTGGTGGGAAAGAAAAAATATTCCCTATTTGATTTTTTTATCATCAATATAGTTCCTTATTCTTCCTAAATTTTACAGTGAATAACTAATAAGGTTCACTCAACATGGCTGCCGAAAGTCTCATCATACTGGTTTTATAACCGTCTCTAAATAATAATACGAAAATTTAAAACTGTATTTCACATGGTGAATGGGGAAAAATGTTTCCTTTATAGCAAATACTCAAGTTAAAAACCTAAAGATCATAAATATTATACCAGGATAAAATCAGTCCACTCAATCTAATATATTAATTTAACATATTTCAATGAAAACAACGTATCGCTTGTCTAGAAACCGAGTTTTGACTCAAGCTTCAGTTTCTAACAAGTATAAATCAATACAACTCAAACGCGTATCTCATAGTAACAGACTTGTTCAGTCTATGTGCGATAAAATCTTGTCAGTTTTGCCTTCTTCGGAATATAGTCTTTCAAAGGATTGCTAATGGTTTACCGGCTAATGTATTTGTGTGTCCAAAGTTAAAGTAGAGACTAGAGAACATTCAAAACATTGTTCATGTTTTCATTGAAAAATTGCTTTCGCAAATAGCGGAAAATGTAGCTACATACAAAAAACCACGGAAAAAGAGCGGCTTGATTCGGGTTTGAAATTTTCTTGGAAGTGTTGAGCATGCTTAATTGGGGGCAGGAACCGCAAACGTAATGGACAGACGTTGGATAGTCACGGGCTTGACGTAACCTAATCGTTTGCTGTTGTGATCAGTTAGTTCGAAGATTATATCCCACCAATATATGATAATTTAAGTTTAAGAAAATATTGATCTACTCTCCATGCAAACCATAAAAAATTTTTAAAGACTTTTTTTAAAATATTGGTCAATACGCGGTGGAATATTAAATGAAAGGGTTCCATTGTAAAAATTCCAAAATATTTTTTAAATGTTCATTATATCTTAAAAAATGATCTTTTGGTTCCTCGGAGGCGGATGGCCGGAGTTATTAGCCTCTTTAATTTATATTTCCGAACTAATACTATCGCACAATGCTGGTGTTCTACACAAAGTAGCCTCCTTTGAACCGACTCAGACATCTTGACTCTTCAGTCACTATGTTAATAAGGCAATCGATAGATTAATATTACAGCCACAAGATCCTACGCGCGATACGAATTTCTTTGTGATTACCCAGGCAACAAATTGATTTATTTGAAGTCCTGTTTCAAGTTGCCGCCAATTGTGATAATGAATCGTTGCAACGTGAGCGTGTTTTAAGATAATTAAAGTGTAGCACATTACTCCCGGAAGGAAAAGATACACAAAGGTATCAACAAGGCTTTAGCTAACCCGAGTTGAGTGCCTAGGTAAACACCTTTCGATAAATATTTCATAAAACTAAGTTCCTTACAACTCTCGGGTTGTTTATGCTGTAAGAATTCTCAAAAAAGTCCACTCTTTTAATCCTTCTTGACTTAACCGCTTTCGACATGTTTTCTTTATTTGGTTTGAATCGTTTTGCCGTTCCTATGTACAATGTGTATAATACAGCACCTCACCGGGCGGTCTTGCGTTTCGCGTTTAATAGAATTGGACGGGTGGCATTGATTAAGTTCCCCTGACCGCATTCGATTGACGAGAACGATGATTTTAATATGCATTGTTATTGTCACTCACGAGTGAACTGGAGTGCTTCCCGAAATGGACGTGCGACCGCAACGATGTCTCTGGCACTCGTAGAAAGCAAATGATCATTTTGAAGACGTGTAAATAATGGCCGTACGACACAGTTTTGTGTGAAGTCTTTCTGATACACACACTGACGCAACGCCTCCGAAGTTAAACTTGGAACCTGATACACAATGAACGTCTTCCATGAACCACGTACTGGTAAATAATAACTTTGTATATCACATAATTGTTGTGATTTTGTATCAGAACGCAATCGGTGTTTTTTCTTGCACTAAGTTCTATTGTATTACTTGATTGGTTTAATGGTAGTATAAAGACGTACAAGGTAGAAATCTGCACTACGAGTTCACGATATTTGATTCGTGCTTGATTGATGTACGGTTGTGAAGTAAGCCAGATCGTATAGGGTGATGAAAAATGCTAGCCGAATCCTGAATTTGCTGTGTCTATTGATTATTTATGCCATGTGAAGTTCCTTTGTGATTTTCTCACGACGAAAGGCGTAAAACAACGTTGAAATCGATTTAGTTTGATATTCATATCTTGTGTAATTTGCACTAGAAGTGACTACAGGGGAAAGAAACATGGTGGTCGTTTCTTTGACTACCGATTTTCGTTCCTATACCTGACCATGTTTGGTGTTAAACTACCTCGACCTTTGCTTTGCACGTTCTAGTTCACTAAACTACCATAAACAACAAGGTCAAAACGATTGTGACTTCATTGGGAGGAGTCTGCGTGCTACAAATTTGCTTTGATGTCATAAATTGTGATAGTTTCACTTGATTTCATTCGCCGTTTATTTCATTCTGTTCTAAAGAACAGAAACGATTAACCGTTTGGCTTCAAATATATTCATCGCAGCTGCGGAACACAACTGCGCTAGTGAATATACTCGAAAGCGCGTGGCCAAAGGCTCAGTGTGATATTTACATTTCGAAACGAGAGCCCTTAAACTCGACAACACGATGCGAAATCTCCCCGATGTGTGTATGCCACAAGTTTTGTTGTTAATTGAAATGGCCTCGTATCATTGGAGGAGTTGAATTAAATTTCCTACCCATGGAGCATATGGTTTTATTTAAAGCGGATCTTTAGGTAACATGCTTGTTGTAGAATTCCATCGTTTCCTTTGAGCAGAAAAGACCCAATATTTAATGTCATTTTTAACTTAGTTCGAGTACCAACTCTTCAGCTACACTCGTCCATGTTGTTTGATCCGCGCCGCTACGACGGAAGTCTCGATAAATCCAGTTTCAGCGAGGATTAGTTTCAACTCAGAATTAGGAGGAAATAGATTATCGGATTCGCAGTTCGAGCAGAGCAATATTTAAAACAAAGTATTTGGAGTTTGCCAAACATACTGTTCGAAGACGAAAGTCACGAAACGACATTTGATTCCGCATTTAAAAAGCAATAGATTATAGATCCAACCGTATTATTCCAATCATATTAGCCTTTGACCTTTCTGATACTCCAGGAATACATGTTCAGTTGGAATTGTGAGTATATCGAGGAATAGAATTCTTCATTAAATTTCATTTTGTTCTTCTGTTTCAGAGTCGGAAGAGCCGTCGACCCCAAAGACGCATCCAGCTTCGTCCGACCGCGAAGACACAAACAACGACATCCTAACACCAACAGCATTTCCAAGCGTGTTCTCCGGTAAGTTTAGCTTTAAATAAAAAAAATGGTGTGCTTGAAGTTACTATAGACATTCTTAGCATCTGTCTTTGTGCTTTACGATCTTACCAGATATCCTGAGAATGCTCCACTTGTATTTCTGCTAAATGTCGTTGTTTTGTTCAAACTGAAATTGATTCTTAAGCTTCATTCATTCTTTGATATATTCCAATATGGACGATATCTTTTTATTAGTCAATTCGTATATAGCTGCACTTAAGGGGCCTATTGGCTAGCTTGCTAAAGCTATAAGCCTATAAAGCTTTCGTTCTTTCTCATTTCGTTAGTTCATATGTTCAGGTAATGAATACATTCAGTACTTTAAGCTGGATTGATCTTATATACGCGACTGGATTGCTTTATCTTATTGAATTATAACAGAAAAGTACTTTGGCAAAAGCCCAAAGGATATCACTTTCGACTCTTATTAACACATCTTATAAACCCTACTGTTTGGGCAAAAAATATAGACACGGGATACTTGGAGTAAAATATGGTAGTATATAATATATATAACTGCCTTTCACGGAAACAATTCAGCATTATATCACAAATGCCTTTGTTAGGTTAACTGTTTACAATTTCCCGCGTACATGCATTAGTACATTTTGTACCAATCCGAAAGGATATATATAACGAAATGTTTCCTTAATATATTGACGTTAAATATGGCGCCTTCATTGTGCTTAAATTTATTTAAAGAAGAATTCATTCAGCGTCCAAGCATGTGCAAAGCGGGAGATGTTTGACGATACAATGGAAGCGTTCAAAGGGCTTGACGTGAGACAAAACTTGGTTTGTGTGGTCGTGTAAATTGTGCATTGTTTGGTACCAAAACGCAGGAAGAGCTGAGGGATTGTGTGTCGATTTTACGGAAAATCTTGCTGTTTTTCAATACAATTTCATCCGGTTTCCCGGTTCTTTGTGACCTCAAAAAGCAGAGAGATACAGAAAATCAACACATTTCGGTAATTAAATGCTCATAAAAAAGTAATATCCGGCCCAGATACTTGGAGGCTTTTACAAGATTATCTTTCAAGTAAAAGAAATAAATGCACATTGTCATGCAGTATCCATGCAAAACAACAGTTAAGGCGCGGAAATTCCCACCGAAAATGAACGTGGTTCGTGAAAATCAATTCTCAAAGCAATTTGTGGCTTTCAACTTAATTGAATTTGCATTAATGGCATATGATGTTAGAGCAATTTAAGCAAATGTAGGTGATAAAGATTATGCAGTGATTTTAATGCCAGCATGTTTGTTAAGAAAATACTGCCTGTGACATTTGCTGCACCTTTTAACTCGAAATGGGTCGGCGCGATATTTATAGCGTGTATTCGTCTAAGCCATCGACTTACTTTTTTCCCTCTCTACAACTATTCCGGGATTATATAGTTTAGGATTATGTACAATTCTCTGATGCTCTTCTATACTTAAAAGAAAAAAAGCTTGAGTGAGGCTAAATCTAAAATCCCTTCCTGAAGGCATTTTTTACAATTCTTGCGTCTGTTGAAAGATATGGTCATAATTCATAAAACTATTCTCAGCGCAGGATTCAAGGGCAGTAGATCTCGTCTTTGCTCGGAAACCCAGCAAACAGATTCTCTAAAAGCCAACTATACACAAATGGCACTTCCATCGCCATTAAAAGGGCGATGGAAAGTATACATGCAATACTGCATGCACGATCGTTTTCTGGAAGGCCAAAATAGCATTTGTGAAACATAATTATAATCTATTAATCTATTTTAGCTTCAATTTGTGCGCACTTAAGTCATTCTTTTATTTAAATTACATTCTTTGATCTGAGAGCCAGGTTATTCAAGGCTACGCAAACGCTGTCCACGGATTATTCTGTTTTAATCCGTTCATAAATTGGATCGGGACGATCGTTTGAGAACTTCACTTTTACAAAACGAAGCTATATTTCTCGTCCAGAACGATTGTTTAATCGATCCAGTTTGGTGATATAAGTATTCAACTTTAAAATAAACAAGCCAGCCTTCAAAGGTTTGTATATAGAACACTTTTGGTGAACATGTTATGTGTACACTTTGTAGTTTCTATATACTTATAGTTATGCCATCAATTTAATTTGTGTTTTGGCGTACACCGTAATAGGAGGGTATGTTGGCTGGAAGAAGTGAGGGTCACATTCGTCAGACTTAAGGGAGATGTGGTATAAATAATATACTGATATTAAAATGCTCGTATATTAAACGTGACAAGAAGGGGATTTCGAATTCGTTTGATTTTAGCGCCATTTTTCTCAGTTTAATTTCAATTTAACAGCTGAATGCTCAAAGTAAACAAATCAATACTTGCCCCTTTTCATTAAATTTATTTCAGTGTAGAACAAAGTATTTTGGGAATATGTTATGGCTATTTACCGAGTCGGTCATCTTTGTATTTTGTACGGTGTTTTATGTTAGTTCTTGGCTTTTAGTTTCATGCTGTTTAACAAAGACACAATATACTTTGAAGCGACCTTGCCCTTGGCTTAGCTGTGACCTGTTCACATGTTGTCGCTAAAAAACACAACACAATGTCAGTTGAATGTAAATATGTATTAGTCGCCACAAAGGGTACAGTACGTTAGTTACTTTCCAAAACCACATGTCGTAGTTGGCAAAAGTACAATTTGGGTAGAATGATAATCATATAGACACGAGCTTGTAGTATTGTTTATAAGTCAATATATAATTTGGCGGTTGGTTGAGAATATACTTTAGGCCCTTTAACAATGGTATAAATGAAGCCAGCTGGGTTTCCTATGTCCGTCCATGCTGATACCATGCTGTGAATTGTTAAACGGGAGTCTTGTACAGGTAGCCGTAATTACAGGGCGGTAGATTTGCATCCAATAAAAGTGAACAAAGTCTCTATGTGACATATGGAATGATAAATATATAGATAAGGTCTATTATGAAGCATCGCCCAGAAGCTGAATTGGGTTCAATATCACACTGTTCCAATGTCCAGATAATTTACTGCAAGAGAGTTATATATTTTTAATAGCTCGCAATTAATACTATATTCTCGGGGGCTTAATGTAAACAGAGTACTCATAAGTAATTATATGTTAGTATTAAGTTACTCTGATAAACACTCTGCCGATATTCCGGCTATAGCTATATGACTTCATTTTTTAATACAAAAATACCAAGTCACATAAAAGTATTATCAAAATGGGTGAATACTGAATGAAAGTTGTAACTTTGAAAAGATGAAATATGCCGAACTCTTTTTGAAGTCTCTCTTTTATAGTGAACGACATTGCACATTTGTACACTTATTTTACCGCCATAACATATGTTACGACATCGTCGACATGCAAGTTTTAATGTTTGAATTCGTTTCAAATGCGGAACTCTTTGTCTTGTAAGTATTTTCGTATTCGCATCGTTTTGTAAAACAAACGCTGAATAAATTGGCGCAGATTAATTTGGCATTTGTTTATCCAGCGTTCGAGCAATGGCAACACTTTGTTTGTAGAAAAAACGTCCGGCGGTCATCGTGTTCAAACAACTTCATCAAATATTCCCACAAAAATCACTCGGCAAATAAACGGAAGGGCTTTGATGAAGCTAAAAATATATCATGCAAAGCTTTGTTTTGAACGATGGCGCAATGATCGGGGAGACGTTTGAGTACTCTGCGTATAAGGTATTCAGAAATTCAGCTGTGTTTTTGTTCATTTCACCAGCATTCTTTGAAATTTCAAGTCAAGCCTTTTGAAATTTTGTTCTGCAGGCTATTTTTAACTCCAGTTCCCCCTCCCTTTCCATGCATGGGTCGTATCGTTTACCACTTATAATTCTCATCCGTGTAACAAAAGTCTTGCGGAAAACGTTTAGCTTGGCTAAGCCATACAATGGATCCATGTATTGTGATACTATATTGGCGCTTATTAACACCTTCGTCTTAGATGGGGTTAAAAATATCACTACACTCCACACCCTCGAAGGGCATTTCACTACGCACATTGAACGAATGTACAAAGTTTAAAGATTTTCATCAATGTTTTCGTCACAGCATTCTTTATAACACTAGCCAGTTTAACCTCGTGAAATCGGTCAAATCGCACCAGCCAGGCTGCCATATTTGACCTCAATTTACTCTCGAAAGTAATACGTCTGACAAACGCTTATACGGAAAGGGTTTATAGCTTGGCAAATCCACAATGGATTCACGTATTGTATATACAAGGCGCTTATTAACACCTTCTTACAGGCAGCTCAATTGCGGACGACCATAAAATGTGAGTTGGTGCACGAATTTCCCTCACGGGATCTGAAAGTCCTTGTCACATATAAATATACCTATAATCTTCCGTTTTCAGATAGTGGTATCGATGTGACTGAGGAAAATAAGAACGAGAACCACTTGTCCACGATGAATGGTCTCACGGCGGGGCACAAGAATTACGAGCCGTTAGAAAGCATCAATGCATTACGGGATACGTTACGTCATTTGAAACAGACTACGGACAAAGCTGTGGTACGCTTTCTCGTTCGCTCTCGCGATGTGTTGCGAGAAGAAGTGAAAAGTCAAAGTGAGTTGGTTTATATACGTTATTCTATATTCGGAGTTAGAAATAGCATTTGTACATTGATTTCATTAGCTTTTTGATCATATTTATCAAGCAAAATACTGCCATTAATTAGGAAGAAAAATAAGTCGCGACTATCGCTAAGACTGCGAAAATTATGACCGGTTAAAAGTGGTGCTTGAGTTAAGACGCGACTTAATGCATTTTAATAATTCATACGAGTTTGTTTGCTTGTTTGTATATGGTAGTATTCGAGGGCATTTTTTAACTACTCCAAAATCCGTAAACAATAGTATGTTATATTTCATCAATTCTGATCAATAATATCATTGCATGGAACAACACCCAACTCAAGTGCTAATAAACATTCTCGGAATACAATATTGTTTTATCTTGTCGATAAGATTTTGTTGACAAGATTGCTCCAACGTTGCCTTGCCTAAACTCTAAGATATTGTTCACTATTCCGGTAACTTGTTCTATTTTTGTCCGCATGTAAGCTGACCTGCATTTAGAATTGTCACGAATTATTTCCTATTTTTGTGTTCCTCTTTGGCAACATTTGACCTGCTGACGAAGTACATCATGAGAACCTAATTTGAGGATAACTGACATGACAAGATTGTGAAAGTTTAGTTCATGACTTTCTTTTTAAAACCAGTGCTGGTAACCTTAGATAGAAATGTTGTCTACACGTATGTGTCCATTGTCAAAGAGAGAAGGACAATAGAATCCCATTTGAAAATAAGAACTGACGAGAGATTTTCTCCGGTTGACTTTCGACGCATTCTCAAAACAATCAGTTTTTTCAGAGTTCATTTAATACTTTGTAAAATTCCAGCCAAAAATTAAACGTAGGTGAAGACATAAATTTATATGAGCCTCATGTGAGACTCTTGTGACATTATATGATGTAATAGGATCGGAATTAAACAACGTTTTAGCATTTTTCGAATGATACATCTTCGAGTGGTCTTGTGTCGAGAGGTCCAATATTCATTTTTACTTGCTTTTTGCAATCACTTGAGACCATGGCGTCATTCATGATGTAATTTTCCTTTTTTGGTAACTGACATTTTTAGAAAGTAACGCCTCTGTATTTTTAAGAACGGCAAACACATTCCTGGTTCATTCAACAAGTGAAATTGTAGTCTTCTCTTTTCATTATCGTTGACCAAACTGCACTTTGCGCCTCAATTTGCATTTATCAAAGTGCGAAATTGTATATAATTTGGTCATTATACATCAAAAGCCTGGTGGTAGATGCAATGAATCTAAGTGAAAATTGTTGTTATTAATATGAACGTTCCTTAGTCAGCTGGAGATAACCCGGTGCTACAAAACTCCGGGTGAAATTCACCAATTAATTTACCAGTCGTTCAAAACGCCTTCCTGTTTATCTGTAAATATAACCTACAACCACTGTAATTACGTCATTTGTAACGCGGCAAAGCGGTAGAATTGTAAATCAGGGGATTCTTTTGAGACTTGAGTATTGTTTCATCGTTTGAGAGGCGAAACTTGCTGCATGATCGCGAATTGATATGCAATGACGAAGTGCATTTCGAAATACGGTAATTTATAATTAAAGACGTTTCTTTATCATACTGAGAATGGGTGTAATAATTACGTGATTATACATTCCCGCCGTTAGACCAATAGTTGGCGATGCGCTCAAGTTATTCTTTAGCCGTAAACAGAAAGTTTGGACCAAGCTTCTACCAATGAACGTGGTAGATTTAAGCATTAATTCAAGGTGTATCCCAAATCTCTTTCACTTTCTTTTACACACATAAACATTGCTTTCTTTCTCTTTGTATTGTAGATGATATTGACCGTGATGAGAAGCTCTTGGGTCTAATATCAGATCTGCTACGCAACAAACACGAAACGGAAAAGCAACTTAAAGAGCTGTCATGTACAAACGACGATAAAAATCCGTTGTCTGAGCTAGAAAAATCACTGTGCTATGTTCTGGTCGACAAGGCGCTATTGAATTGTTTGCTGGTGTTAGACAAGGCACTCATGGAAGGAAAACTAACCGACTGCGAGCTGAACGTACAATGCGGCACAACGCCGTCAGGACCAAGGCTTGTATCGGAGTTTTCGCAAGCCTTGAACGATAAGAGGCAATTTTTGGAGCTGAACGAAGAGTTGAAGCGAAAGGACGCGCTCGTGCATAAGATGAGAACCCAAATCCGCGAGCTCTCAAGCGAGAAATTGAGACTGGAAGGCGAGAATAAAAGTCTCGTAGAAAAAAGCCGTTTGTGGCAACTCAAAAGCGAAGATGAAGAAATGAGAAACTCCGTTATCGACAGCGATAGGCAACGCTTAAAGGAGAAGGTTTTATTCCTCGAGGAAAGCATGAAAGGTTTACAGTCTTCCACGGAGCATTTGAGACAGCAATTGCAGACGTTGGAGCAAGAAGACGATGCTTCTAGACAGGAAAATAAACTTCTGAAAGAAAAACTTCACTGTTATTCAGAGAAAGCAAAGCAAGACGGAGACAGAAGCCGGGAAACTGGCGGTGAAAATCCAAGCTCGTCAACAACCGGAGGCAAACTTTACGATCCAAATCTCACGACGGACAAAATGGACTCGTTGTTAAACGAAAATTTGAAATTACGCAACAGGATCGAGACACTGGAAGCTGGCGATTGTGAATTACGAGAGAAGCTGACGAGTTTGACGCGTGCGCATAAGGAAGGGATCCGACGGAAGAACGACGAATTGCAAGTACTCGAGGAGCAAAATAGGACACTTCAGGACGACCTAGATACGCGCTTGACGGAAATCGTTTTACTAAAAGCTCAAGTTGTAGAAATGCAGAAAACGGGTTGTTCTAAGCACGAAACTCATGCAGTCGCCAACCAGAATGGAATCGCTGAGAATTTGTCATCTTTCAACGGGATTTTGGCCGACAGAGAGCTGCAACAGATTCAGGAGTTGTCACATCGAGCGAAGACGTCCGAGCATCGTCTCGAAGAGTATACGGCACTTCTCGAAGACCTGACGAAGAGGAAGCAAATTTTAGTGAATAAACTGGAAATGGTCGGCGCTGTGACTGTGATAAAGAACGAGTGCGATGTTCCCGATGGCTATACGGAAGCTATCGATGGTCTGTTACGATCCCAGAGCTCTCTCATCGAGAAAGGTAATGTCGCTGTGGGATCGTTATATTGATAAGGTTTTTGTAATCGGTGTTTTAATTTAAGTGTTGCTTCGAGGGGGTTGAATAAATATTGTGTTGTATTCATTGGGATCCGATTAAAGTGAGCTTTCTTTAGTCGGTTAGATCGTCACAAAACATCGCTAAAAACGATGGGAAAACGTAATGTTGCCTCATTTTCCTCTTGATTTTGAACAGGATTTCCGATTTTTAACATACTCACAATCTATTTCATTTTATGGCTCTAGGTACGAGATTTGACTAAAAAGCCATTTCCCAATGCCTTAATAAATAATATGACAACACAAATTCAAATTAAACTCTCAAAGCTAAATGGAGATATTTCCTTCTTTCGTCGTGGAAAATGTTGAACCTTGATAGTTATAGTAATATATCTTAAAAATAATAGTTTATGTCTCCTGTGTGTTTAAAAAAACCCAATAACCAGCCGCCGGACAATTTAAAAAAGTAAAATAAAAAACAAATTCCGAATAAACAGGACATCTTGAGAGCCAAAATATGAATCAAACAAGACACAGGTTGAGGTTGTCTGATTTATATTTTGATTCTCATGCAAGATGTCCTGTTTTTTCGGAATTTGTTTTTTACTTTATTCTGTGTGTTTGCAGCATATCTTTGTTCCTTCAAACAATCCCAGAATACACCGTGATCTGTATCAGTAAAGAGTTTTTGCTCTGATTTTACTTTTCTTCTTTTTTTTTTCTTTACAATCAGTAATCGTATTTTTTTGCTTTATTTATAGGAGTTTTATCGATTCTCAGCGAGAGGGAAGAGAAAGAAAACCAACGCCGATCACTTGAGGAAGAGAACAGGCGTCTGCGATTCACTGCAGAAGCTCTCGAGACCGAGAACCTTCTGCTGCAAGTTCAAGTGAGTGATCTCACACAGACCGTTGAAGAACTGGAGGATGATCTCATTTATACGAAGTGCGGTGGGAAGCCAGGGAAGGGAAAACGTCCAGGGACACCCGGCAACAGTTCGGGACACCGGGTGACATTTGATGTTGAGACGGACAAAAAAGAGGATGAGAAGTTGGAGTGTTTGATTCAGAACGCGAAACAGCGTTGCGTAAATTTGGAGAAGCAAGTTCGCAGCAACACGAGTCTGCTGAAGTCAACTCAACACAAAAATGAGAATTTGATAAAAGACTACGAGGAACTACGGCGGGAAAATTGCAATCTGAGACAATACTTGGACGAAGGTCAGAGAACCAACAAGATTTTGCATATCAAGATTGCTGAACTAGAGGAACGCTTGCAAGCAGTTGACGATAATAAAAGCTTGGATGAAATGGAAAAGCAGAGCTTGCTAGATCGATTGAAGATCTTTGAAGGCCAAATTAAGTTCCTTAAAGTCGAGAAAGAAGCTATGAGATCTCGTATGAACAGTTTGCAATACGATTCAAACAGCTTAGATAGCAAACCACGGTCGCCTTATTCGAAATTCTTCCTCCTGGAAGAAACTCCCAACGAAATTCCTCCAAAAGAGAGTGGTCTGGTCGATGAGATTGAACGGTTGAAAAACAAGTCGAAAAAGCAATCAGCCAGAAGTCGAATCTTGCAAAGCGAGATGTTCGAATTTCTGGACGATATAAGGTGTTTGGAAAGCGAATTAGGTTCGGTCGTGGATGGGTTTTGTCCGTCGGACCTTGGGGCAGCCCCTCAGAATGGTGTGAAAGAGGAACAGGGTGTCATGCCCCTGGAGCGTGGTTCCCCCACCCTTTCGAGAAACACCTGGGGGTTCGAAGCAAGTTTATGCCAACAAAACGGTATGGCGCCAGTTATGGTGGAAATTGTAGAACTTTTGAAGTCAACAGTCCATCGTCTGCAACGGATTTCCAGAAGTTCGTCTTCCGCTTCGTCGGAGGGTGTCGATTGCTTGGACGGAAGACGGGACTCGAACAACAGACGCGGCGATATCACGAAACAACTTTCTGATAATATCGCACAATTGCGCAAAGAGAAGCAGGTCCTGCAAAGAGAGGTTCTGGCTTTGAAAGCCATCTCGGAAAGCACCCTTGAACTTCAGTCTGCGGAGGATGTACGCAAAGCGAACGAGAGAAACCGCACTTGGGACTTACGGAAACAAGTCTTGAACTCTGTACAACGGAACTCGGAACTGGAAGGAGAGATTCTGGACTATTTGACGAAGAAATGGGCTCTCGAATCAGAGCTTGAGGAGCTGAAAGAACGCATCTTAAATCTGAAAGACGAAAGGAATATCTTGCTCTCGTTAGGCGACGGCGAGCGCTCGCCATGTCTCGGACAAACCTGGGGAAAGTCGTATGAGAAGGGCATGAGGAATTTTTGTTTCGTGAAAAGTGGTGGAAGTGGGTTTGAGGTTCACGACGTGTTACGAATTGAACCCGATCTTGACAACGAGGATGTTTTCAGTTGGTGAGTAGAAATAGCTCATGGCAAATACTTAACAAACTCAATAGCGCATGACCTGATAGTTTTGTTGGTTTTAACAATCATTCGTTTCCATATGGTCGTGGCTGTCGTGCTAAGTCGTAGTCGCCGATGAAAAATACTCCGAGCATATTTCTCTATCAGTTTTTACAAATCAGTCTTCTTACTGATTTCAGAGACTTGATATTGACACTGAATTACATCGGCGAGACGGTGACCTTGCGACAGCAACGATAAAATGGAACCGGACTCAATGAATGGCAATTCTCACGGAACAAAAATAAACTTTATTTACATGTCTACACGAATACCCAACTATGCATGATACACGTACGGTACACTCAAGAACACTTTGTTCGAGAGAAACTTAAAACACAGGCAAGTTAGTTGTTCGTCCCATGATCTAACCTGGCAGTCTAAGATCTAGATTGGCAGTCTAAGATCTAGATAAGTAGTCTAAGATCTAGATAAGCAGTCTAAGATCTAGATAAGCAGTCTAAGATCTAGATTGGCAGTCTAAGATCTAGATTGGCAGTCTAAGATCTAGATAAGCAGTCTAAGATCTAAATTGGCGGTTTCAAACGTCGTGCACCTCGCGTTCCACACGCAGTAACAGCAATAGATGAGACGACTCAGCCGATTATCTATTGCTACATGTCGTTGCGTTCATGCAGCAAGTGAGATGTTCATCGTTTTTACCGGGCCTAGAAGTAGAGCATGATTTCTGAATGAACCTACAAAATTCTTTACGAATTCTAGCTAGCTAAATTACTTAGTGAAATAAAAGCAATAAGGACACAGATTGTTTTCAATGAAAACGAAAGTTTTGTGTCGTTTTAGTTTATGTTAAAACTGAGAGGTAATTGTGTGTAAAAATGTTAAATAATCATTTCCTAAATTCTCCTTTTCAGTCCATCTGACGAGGGAGTATGTCACAGTCCAGATCGTGAGGCCAGTAGCTGTGATAGTGGTTATCACGAGGAGGGACATGCTGGGTCTGTGAGTGATAAAGGGGATAGCGGACTACACTGCCGGTTTTCAACGCCGTTTCCCACAACACGACCTCTGAATGTCAGTTACTATGATAACTCGCAAGGTGCGGATAAAAACGTCAGCGAGCCGTTGCCTATGACAACAGCAACAGAGAAGAAGCCGAAGGGAATTTTGAAAAAGAGAAATCGCAAGGAACATAGTGAATGTGTGTCTACGAAGCCAGCTAAACTTCTTGTATCATAACTTGTCGTTTGGTGGAATTTGAATTTCAACTTTATTGCGTCCGAAATGGTTTACATACAATGTGTATCGCATGTTTGTTAACTGAAAGGTTTCCCATTGCCTTTTCCTATTACGAATTAAAACAAGAAGTGAACATAAGTTGGTGAAGTTTCATAGTAAATGACACCGTTTGAATTAATGAAATCGTTGTTTGAGAACAACTTTTACCAAAACGAAATCGATCTTAATATCAAAGGAAGAACTACAATACTGTAGAAAACAATCAATTTTGTGACGTTTTAATATATAGATTTACAAAAAGTAGGATATACATTATAATACTGACCAGACCATAAATAACTTCTCATGAAATCTGGTTCAGTTACTGCCCAAAATTTACCGCCCAAAATATAGTTTCGACGTAAGGGCCTGGGGAAGGGTATATTTTAGGCAATTACTAAATATCATTCGATGGGCTCGAGGAATCAAAAGATATACAATGATAACGTCTTTAGCCACTACAAAGAAACAGGATTTATATTAATCAAATTAGAAAGACATATTATAGAGTATATCTAAATGTTTAATAATATATTTTAGTACTATGCAATGCTGTATTGTTCATTAGATTTGCAATTCACGCGTACGGTACAGTAGGAAACAACGTTTACAAGAGCTGTAGTTGCATTGTAATTGCTGGTAAATCTGCTCTTGACGTATATTTCCATGATGTTATTTTATTCGGTAAACCATGCATTGAATTCAGGCTGATGTTTTGAAAAAATCTACAATTTTTATCGAGATATTTCAGTTTGCTTTTTCGTTTTAAACTGATCTTTTTCCCAGGTTCCTTTGCTCAAAGAATTTTCAATGATTTTCGCGGCTTCGGCTGGTCTCAACGTTCTTATATCGTCCTCTTGAAAACCAAGTCTTCCCAAGGATTTGCGCATCTTTACCGTGATCTTAAAAAGTGTGAAATGTAAAACTCAGAAGATAGTATCCAATATCCATAGCATTGATGGGAGAAAGCAGATTTAATCTTACCATAAAAGGTATTCGTGCCCCCTGGGATTTTTCACCATAACGCAAAACGCTTATATACCATTGGAGGTTGTACCTTTTATTTGGAAAAAAGGATATTTCAGGGGAGGGGAGAGGTAGAGTATCTCTCTATTCTACTGATCTATATACACACTGAATGACATTAATTTAGAACCTGCATATTGGCAGCGCACCTCTGCTGCTATAATACATGTTTTATTGAGAAATTTCTTAAGTTTGTGTGCTGTATAAGAGTTGAAAGTAGAAATTAAGTTCCCAATTGCCTTTCAAACACCCGACAAGTTATACCTCAATAGATTTAATTTATAATGCATCCATGTTTTGGCGAAAACCGATCTGTGACGTAGCGTATTCCAGGATTTTCTTATTTTCCCCCAATACATAACAATGAAAGCGAAGATATCATTTCATTTTAGTGATCTCAATCTTCAATTTCAACGATAAACGAGAACATTAGAAAACAAGGTTGACATTAGAAACCAAAGTGGCAGTGGGCTCATCTCTTCTCCATGTTTTCAATACTTCGTGTAAATAAAACAAACTGAATAGGCATCATTTTTCAAAAAAACAAATATGACTTGAGCCATTTGGGGAGGAAGACATGTGAACGTGTTGATATTTCAACTGGATATTCAGTAATGTATTTATGAAGATATTTGTATTTCATTGTTATGTTTATGCTTTCGAAACTGAAAGAAGCTGTGAGCGGCCGATCGACCAAAAGTGAACCAGTCAAAGGGTATGTTTTCGATGTGTGATTTCGTTTAGTTGTAAATCCATACGATGTGGGGCCTTACGATGTACTAGCTAGCTTTTACCCAACGATCTGTCTCAATTCTCTTTAGGAAAGACGTGGAATGCGAAGAAGGGAGAAAGGACGGAAAGTCAAAGGTCCGTTTAAGCCTGTAGTTGTATTTATCTTAATAAAGAAAGCATTATACTTTGATCGTTTATTAAATCAGAGACAAAAGTTATAATCACATTGAACCACGTGGATATTCTTCAGAGCTAATGTGTACACTGTACAGTGAATTTCGTGCGCAATTATTTTCATTATTTCATATTCTCACCTTATTGAAATAACTCGGTTCTATTGTCCTTTTTGTGTGCTTATGCAAATCTATTATCAACAGCTGCAAATGAACGTAGCCTTTTTATACATTTTGTTTTCAAATTTCAAACGTTGATCAACATCCTCGCCATAATGAAGCTACTCGTTTAATTGATTTCAAATTTTAGCCAATCTAAGACCAAATATATTGTTTTAATAAACTTATTTTAGTCAGAAGTCGAAGAACTGCTACAGCAATGTTCTGAATTTGAGGAAATGGACACACAAGGTTTGTGTTGTTCCAGGCACTGCTGAAAAGCAATGTTATATGTTAACAGCTTGTTATTACAAAAGCAATGTTATACCTAGCACTATGTAGCACCCCCCTTCCATTAAATGTGGTAGCACTGACTGTATGTTTGTGATAAGAGTTCTTTTTTTGCTGGGTTTATTGAGTAGGGATTAGCTTTTTCAATGTGACCACACTAAACAGTTCATATTAGCAGTTGTAGATGATAATGTAATTTACATGTCTGCTTACAGTAATTACTAATTAGCAAGCACAAAACTGGTGTATATACTAAACAATTAACTCACTCCAATTTTTTAAACACATTAGACTTGGGGATGTAACCATTTACGTATAATCAAACATTTAATGTGTCATTTTATTAAAGTTTAATTCATGAATGCATTTTCAGACTTTACTGATTCGCCAATCCTATTTCCATCTCAAAATTCCTGTAATAAGGTATGGTATAATTACCAGAGTACTAGTTGCTGGAAGAGTAATACTATTTACTATAGCAAATAACTAATAATGGGTTGATTAACATCAGTTGTCAAGACGAAATTTCATGCCATTTGTTTAACCTTATTTGTATCATCTCAATTTCTAGGAAAAAAGGGCGGAAAGTGACGAAGAAAGTGATTGTTATGAAGTTGTTGAAAGAACTGGTAAGCTGATAATTTTGATGTCTGCCTGATGTGCAAGCAAGTACTATATGAATTATGAAACTGTTTTCTATTTGTAGACTTTAAAGAAGAAAAAGGCACAAAGTGAGTAGACATATGCAGACAATTTATAAATCAGAAATGTATATGGTTGATAGTTATTTTTTGGGAAGAACCTGTCTAATTAGGTATTTTTTGGGTCTTCTAAGGAACCCAAAGAACAGAAGTCGCTTGAGCCTGTCCAGGAAGCGACAAGTTACTGAAGAAGCAGGTCAGGGTTTTGAGTCTACAACAAACAATGGTAGTACTTCTAGTAAACAGAGACGAATGGTAAATGAAAACAATGTTGCATCAGTGGAACCCGTCATCAGTGCTCCTGAGCCAGAGGTAGGTAAATTGTCTGTAAAATCTGAATAATTGTATGAACAATAATTTTGTATATGATTTGAATATGGCGAAGGTTATACGTCGCATTTTGGTCACGTTCAACGCAATTCTAACAATAGTTAATGAGATTATCATGAGGCCTAATTAATGTGGTTTATCATCTTTTTATACATTGTTTGAATTGCATTCAGCACGACCAAAATACGACGTATATATAACCTTGGCCTGTCTTTTATTATAAAGCTTCTACAAGCGAGTTGCCAAACAGATTTTTCTAATGTTGTAGGAAGCACATTTAAAAAGACTGTACAAGAAACCTTCGTGCAACACTTTAGAAGAGGGTGACCGCTATAATCTGTACTATGCTCCGAGACACGTGAACGCCAATTTGTATACGGCCGTGATCTCACGGAAGTTTGAGGTTTATCGTCGGAGGCTACGTCGTGCCCAGGCCAATCTCAGACCGTCTTGGTCGAGGCGGCGGCGACGACGTTTCAAAGCCGTAGAACTGACGTGCGAGCAGTCACGGGACCGTGCGGGCAGGCGGGTAAAAGGGGCGAGGGTCGTGAAGAAAAGCTCCCTAGAATGGAAATATCGGGCGGAAAGGAAAATGGCTGACGATCCCTTTGTTTCAGCTTGTCAAGACATATGGTTGTCTTTGAAAGCTAAGGAAACAGGTAAGTTGATATAACTGTTGAAAATCCAGACTTCTTGTCCGTTTTTTATTAAAACACAAACTCAAAAAAGGCCAGTAGTCGGTTGTACGTGTATAAACATATAGCTGGGACTCAAGTAGAGCTTTATATTAATTACAGTCATTTACAATAGCTAGCCATATGCATGAAATTTTTTTCGTATTTTAGATGCCAAAGTTGTTAATATCGAGCTCGAGGAACCATCATTGGACGATTCTGACACTAAAGATGAGCGAGAAAATAACAGCAAAGACGTCGCATCCGTGAAAGTCGCTTCAACAAAAAAATCAGTCCCCGTTCCAGAAACCGCGGCAAAAACAACAAAAGGTTCATCCAGTTGTGAGACAACGTCTAAGACGACGATTCCCACTGCGGTCAGTTCAACCACAGACATTGCCATAGAAACTAACGTTGGTGACGATGCCGCGAATACTTTGAGCGATCACGCTGCTATGGAAACTGCGAGTGACGACATTGCCGTGGAAACTGTGAACAATGACGCAACCTCCGAAACCTCGAACAATGACGTTACCATGACAGCTGTGAACAGTTGCCTGGATATGAAAACTGGAAGCACTAGCGTTGCCTCGGAAACATTAGGCAGTGACGTAACCATGATCAGCGTGGACAGCAGTCCCTCGACAACTGCGAACAGCAGTGTTGCCATGGAACCCACCAGTCCGGTAAAACTGGTTCTGGACGAAAAATATCGCACGAACCTGCTGAAAGATCTCAACAGTGAAGATGACTTGCAAAATTTCAATTTTCGATGTCCGCCTGCGCCCGCGGAAGGGAACAAAATAGAGGAAGCGGACTGCGTTCTTGTTGAAGCAGTATCATCACCCACTACGGTTACCATGGAGAAGTCACGTAAAAAGGAACCCGAGTGTATCGAATGTCCAATGTGCTATAAAGACTTTCCCAAGGATAGGATCCAGGAGCATGCCTACCTATGCAACGGCTTAGTTGAAGCATCCACAAGCACTGGCAGGTAAATTTTAGCCGCTTGCAGGCTCATATTAAAGGCGCCTTTGGCTTAGATGCATGTTGAAGATGATTTTCTAAAGAATGCGGTAAATCAGAAAACCGTTGATGTTTTTGAGTGCGAAATCAGACATTGGGTCCCTTTTCTCTTTTCTTGTATGACGTTGATTGTCTTAACATACATCTAAACCAGAAGTTAGCTCGTATGGATTTGGTTTTATTGTTGAGCTGCAGTTGAACTACAGTTTTGGAAAAACTTTAAAATATGAAAAAACGAAATATTACAGAGTTATCTTGATGTAAAAATTATAAATATTTTAAAAAAATATCTTACCTTTCAACTGTGATAGTCTGTTTTCATAATTATATTGATTATATTTTAGAGATGATTTAAATAAAGTTGTCCACTCATGTTTTTAATAGACGTGAGGTTTACGCGCTTTCGTATAGCCTCGTCTTTGCGCTGCTTGACTTTTTGTGTTTAGATGTATGTTTTGAGTAATGCACACTACTCAATGTCCTGAAAATTACATTACGAGCCTGAAGGTATCATGGTATAGCCTTTCGTATCCAAAGATGACCCTTCGGATCCATGTCTCATAGATGAAACGCGCTAGATTTAACAAACAAACAGACAAACAAATAAACAAATATTCTTTAAGCTGCCAAAAGGCGATCTCAAAGGTTATGCAAGAAATTTCGTAACGGGAATGAAATGATTCGTACTTCTGGTCTGCTCCTACTCTGCGAGGCTTAGCCTTCGTGGCCAGCTGATCCGAATGTGTCTGCTGGACAGTCATGGCAGTTATTTCGGTATTACCCGCCTTAATGTAGAGTAGTAGTGCGGATATGTTAGAGAAGTTTCTTGCAATTTCTGATAACCATCGGAAAACAAGTAATGAATCTCTGGATACAAATTGGTCCATCGTTTTCAGATCAATGGTGAACCCGGCTATATTAAATTACAGAACATATAACACCAACTTGTTTTTCAACTGACGTTCATTTGTTTTAAATAACTCCGTATAACCAGCTGCTTCTTGTGTTAGTGTTTCCACTTCTAAAGATGAAAACCTCGCTGCTGGAGTGGCTGGAGCCCAGGTCATGACGCTGTCTCCTGTCATTAAAACCAGAACACCAACAAAGGTTAAGGAGCTCAAACTATTAGTCAACTTAGAGAAGAAATCAAAAGATATTATTAAGAGAAATTCCACCGGGGGCATTACCACGAGTGGCGATGAACAAAAGACGAACAAAAGACGAATCTCGTTGGAGCCCAGTATACGGCTCAGAAGTCTGGGGGTATCAGGGGTTAAGTGTGGTGAGTCGTTGACAAAAGGACAGCAAACAAGGATTGAAGAGGATGAAGAGAACAAATTATCACCTCGAAAAGATCTTAAAGAAAAGTGAGTTAGCTACAAGAGAATTTTATTACAATACATTTTAGCTTTTCCGAGCTCTTGTTTGTATTTGGGGTAAAGACCCATTTGACATTATTTTGCCTGGTTAGTATGGGTTAGCTAAAGGCATTTCACAATAAATTTCTCTCCAACACCTTTTGTTTTTAAACAATTCATATTTCTAAGTCATGAAACACCTATTTTCATCTTTTCAACAGGGAACAGCGAAAGCGACTCAGTATAAGCAATACACGTACGTAGCTATTTGTTTTTTGACCCTTTCATACATTAAATAATAGATTGCAGACACATCCATTACCTTCAACAACTCTGCCAAATCCTTTTACAAATATATGATATTCTTTGATAATTTAAGGTATGCGAGTCTTCTCTTGAAGACTTGATCGGGGGCATTACCACGAGTGGCGATCATTTTAATTAGATAGAAATCGCATGGCTTCAAATTCATCGAATCGGGTCGAGCATCAATTTTGACATCCAGTTTTCAAACAGGAGAAGCCCTTCGGGTACATACCGAACGTGATATTCCGATAATCTTTTGGATGTTTAGGTAGAAATCTGTACAAGAAACAATGGGACGTTTCCACTTTAAAAAGAGATTTCATTCCGCTAGAATTCGAGAAATCGGTAGGTCGTGTTTTAACAAATATTTTGTATTAGTTTAGGTTGTAAACGTTTCAAGATTCAAAAAATTACCGTTCCTTAATAAAGGTCTGCAAAACCACGTGCATTTTTATCAACCTAACATAGGGTAATTCCGTTGTGATTATTGCGTGCAATTTAATATTCTTGTATGTTTGCATGCTGACAATCGATAAGTAGTTTAGCTTGTAGGTACACCACGTAAGTAATTAATACTGCAAAGCTTCGGTCCGTTAACCCGGGCCCGTCATCAGTGCAATTGCAATTTGTGCAATTTGTTTATTCGTTCAATTTGTTTATCAGAATGAAAAGATCCCTTCCAATGATGTCCATAAGGTTCTCTCAATGATGGATGCAAGTAATTTCGAATCGTCTTCTTCTGACGAGGATTTGGACTTGGATTTGAAGAAACCGGTTGCCTCGAAAAGAAAGGTTGGGTAAATTTTTTCATAACAAAAAATATGTATGGGCTTTCCACCCGTCCGCCAACCATCTGTGTGCGTCTTCCCAACTTTCGTTTGCATCTCATCAGCCTAAACAGTTTGTATTTATCTTCTTTATATATATAGACCGGCGATGTCCAAGACGATATGGACGCTTTATCGATGCTGGCAAACGAATATAAAGGTCGAAAAAGAAAGAACAACCGTGAAAATACGAGGAAGACTGAAAAAAAATTGAAAGTTTTATCCAATGAAGAGCATTGTTCAATTTGCGGCAATGATATACCTCGTTCGCAATATGCGGAGCACGTCGCTGAAGAGATCAGACAGCTGAACGAAAATGATGATAAAGGTATTTTTGTTGAAAGTAATTTCCGAGACCATTTTTGGCCGATTCGACCATTGGTGTTTATTTCGTGTTCCTAGAAAAATTCTCATTCTCGATATATTTCATAGCAGTTAATCTATCGATGTCATCCTCACCACAAAATACCCAATCCGATGTCGCTGCTACAGATATTGTGGACAGAAGATCTTCAGATTCCAGGTGATGTGATTTAATCGATATGTTTACGTTCGTAAAGCTTTCATACCAGTGTTTTAACGTTGATAGATGATAACACTAAATTCTTAAAAGCTACAATTCGTAATTGTCATAGACAGTATGAGTTGAACGTTGCTTTCTTTTAAGGGTCGGTACCTTCCTATACGAACAAGGTTTGCTATTTGGTTGATGATAATAAAACACAATGGACTATATCAGTAGAAATTGATTTTCAAAACACGGTTATATTATAAACACTTTTACTATATTGTTACAAAGAGCCAATCGCGCGATTGGATCATATTAAGCAGACATTGCGATTTTTGACGCAGACGGGAAGTCTGCAGCAATGGTATTTTTGTGGGCCTTGTGTACCTTTTTGTCCATTCTACATCCTAGATAACACATGGCGGAACGCACCAAATGTCTGTACGTCGTGTAGTTTATATTATAACAGCTTAATATGATTCTCCTTATATTTTGCCAGGCTTTCTCTGCCAGACCTTGCAGAAGGGACAACGTGCTTGGAAACAGGTGACGACGATGATTCCGCTTCGGACGATGACGGGCAATTTTCATTGCGCCAAAAGGAAGGTCAGTTGAGTCGCGGTAGCAAACGTTTGCAGCGTGGAGCTCAGTTAGCGAGGAGAAGACAGCGCAGAATACGAAGATAGTTCGCCACTTGCAATTTTTGCTGCGATTCTGTGGGCGGTTTTCATCTTTTGATAGATGTGAACGAGTGCCGATTAGTTACAGTTACAGATATTGAAATAAGAGCTCTTGTACATCAACGCATTTGTAACCAATGACACGTTCACATCCATCAAAAGAAGGTAATCGCAGGCCTTGGAAGGTAAACAGGCCATGAAATGAATAGCTCAATTTCAATGTAGAGACAGCATATTGAGCCCAGGATCGGGCATTGTGACACTATTTGTGTATACATACATACTGATTTTAGGATCGAACATGCACCATAGATTTTGTTAGTAGGTTTTGCAAAAATCAGTGAACTATGATAAAACCTGGAACGCCAACTTTGGCCGTCATCTTTGAAGCCAAGCCTTAGAAGATAGTTCGAGACAGACGTAGAGATGGATTATCTTGGGTGAATGTCTAGAACTATGTAAAATACAATCAATTGCTAATTTTTAAGACTAGAAACAGGGTTGGTTTCAACCAAGTATAGTGCTGAACTATAGGAGTTAGCGTTCCACATTTTATTATAGTTCGCTAATTCAATGTAGAGTACATGTGCATATTAATTTCCAGATAGGATAGTAAGTTTAATAATAGAGTATGATTGAGAATTGTATTGAGAAATATCAGAAAGTCTGAATGGCGGCGACGTAATCGTAGATAAGTATATATAGGGTTTACATAAGCAGGGTTAAGCCTTGGTACGAGGTTGAAGCAGTGAGCTCGCTGGGTTGAAGAACGCGCTCTGACACATTTTCTTTGAGTGTGACTGAGAAATTAGCTACGGTCTTGCTTGGCAGTTGGGTTATGTCTCGGATCCTGCTTCAATAGTATGAGATTTTGTATGCAATACTCGTTGAGGGGCCGGTTGTATCAAGCCCGTTTAGCTTGAACGGTGGGTGATAAGTTTAAAATAGAAAGCAAGTCTATCGTTTTATTTAAAAAGCGAACTAAGTGTTTTTAACCTTAATATACAAAGATACTGTTTACAACTACATATTCAGTGCATAGCCTAATATTCAAGTTGACTCATTCAAAAGAGTTGTAAGAATGATGTTTTATCGTTTGTTTACGAACTTCACGAACGAAAAAAAATATATAATTGACTTTGCCGTTCTTGACGCTATCTTAAACTAATCATGATGAATCAAATGTGATATAATTATGATGAAAAACGTACTCTCGAACAATAATAACAACTAAGTAGCTTTTGTTTTGAAGACGTTTTTGCGCCAACAGTTATTAATTTCAGGTCGTCATATTTTAAAAATTATACGGTAATTGACGTTTTCACTTGCCAATATGGTGGTTTTTAACTCGGTTTTTAAGAGGAAAAAAAGATCAACAAAGAAAGGTATAAATATATATGATGATTCTTCTTTGACATGCATTTTGAAAGCCGGGATATCTGCCTATATCATACTCCCTATATACGAAGCAAGGCCGGAACAACGGCCTTACCCCGGAGGAAATCCAATGCCTCGGGATAACACGTGGAGAATAATTCCGTTGTAGATACAGACCATATTGGTGGCGCGTTTCAAATTTCGTGCAGGCAAGAACTAATTATCCCCAAACACATCTTCGGTCCGATGCTAATATGCGAATAATTAATTATGACTATTTTTACAAAATAACGAACCGTAAACATGAGAGCAAATGCAGTTATACGGTCTTTGTTATTTAGACTCGTATAGAATTAGAAATTTGTCCTTCCTGGAATCCCAAAGTCTGCGAAAGGGAGGAATTCCTGAAACAAAAATGTGGCAATTTCCTGTCTGTGAAAGCCTGACAAGTGATAAATGCATCATTGTGTGCGATCATATTCCATTTGAAATTTAAATTATCAGTTCAAGGTTGAAATTTCATCTGCCTCTATCGTAGTAAATACCACTAATACGTAACGATCTCTTCAACAACACTTTCAGATGCGTCTCTGTTTTTGCTGTACACGTCTGCGGTCCGTCAACAGTTTCAAACTGTTTGCATGGACAATTTGAATTAAAATCCATCATGCAGGTGCACTGGTGCAGTGAACTGTGTGACGACTATTGCATTATTTAATAACGTTGTTGTGGCTTTTACGTTATTAGGGACATTATCGAAACGTGATAGGATAATGATAAAACTTATTTCCGTCTGCAATTCACTCTGCATCAGTTTACCATTGTATGATTCATGTCTTCATAGTCGCGTGGACTTTGAAAGGAAGATTTGTCTTGCGCAAATTTACAAACCAGAATTTGGATTAAAGTCTCTCATTTGGTATTTAAATTACGATTTTGCTATTTTGTTTGCCCTAAAGTTAAACAAAAATATTTCCCATTAGTTACAATATGGAGATCAATAAGACGTTTGAGAGAAAATTTTGACAGTCTGAACAAATAGTGTTAGTGCTTATAACAAAGGCAATTCGCGAGTTTTCACAATCGATCCAGCAGGTACGCGGTTACTTCCTGGCAATAAGAAAACGTGCAGAAAATATTTTGAATAAACATAGGCCTTTATTTCCGCGTCGTGAGCATGGCAACGTCTACCGGAGTTGTCGGACAGGTGATAAAGGACGAATGAAACATTTTTTCGTGAAGTGTGTATTTAACCGTGATGGAATGAATCGTGTCAACTTAATTGTGTGTGGTAATAACGAATTAAGAAGGCCTCGGAATGCTGTAGATTATAGTTTTAGCTGCTAGAATTGGACTATCAAGTATCAAACCGTAAACAATGACGATTGTGTGGACAGTCACTTTAGGTTTATTGGTCCTGCAAGTAAATCTATTTGGCTTGGCGCAAATGAATGTAATCGATCCAAAGAGTCAAGTTCAAATTCATGGCCTCGATGGAACATCGTTGAAGGTTGAGTTCACGTCAAGCGAATCGCAAAGTGTCGTTGAAGGCGGTACGAACATTAACTTTAACATTACAATATCTTACGATAGTGCGACGATTCACAGTGGCGTTGATGAGAAGCGACAAAGCGAATTCAATGAATATTGTAAGTACGTTGAAGAGCTGCGAGGCACGGTTCTTTATAGAGGAGGTGATACATTCTTGAACTGTACGAATGTGACACGGCTCGTCGAGTCAAACTACACATGCAACAGCACCGACGGAATAAACTGTATTCTGAATGCAACAGATATTTCACCTTCAATCTTTGGCAACTGGAGTTTGTTGAACGTCACGAATTCTACGCTGAATTCCAGTTCTTTACAAAACAACGCGAGAAATCTAACAGAGATTTTAAAGACGGTTTATCGAAATGTTACTTCGGTTGTCTGTGTTAACTCTACGACACCTTTGGTGGCATACAAACCAACTATACAACCGCCTGGGTATTTTAACCTCACGTATCAAACGGTGGAAATCGACATCGTCCTACCGAGAGAGTTTGATATCAACTCGGTTGAGAGTCTGAAGCTTATGCATGATTTCAAGAACTCGTCTAAGAACTGTACGAGCTATATTGTGAACAGTACGATAGATGCTGAAATGCCGAACGTTACACTTCGTGTCCAGTTAGCTAATATCAGCTGGAGCGGTTCAATGATTATCCATTCATCGGTGAGCGAAAGAGTTATCCCTAAACAACTTCTGAATGCGACCGGTCGCGTTAAATTCGCCGGCGAGGATAAGGAATTGTGGATCGGTTCCTATACTGTCCCTGGACTGCAATACAAAAGTTTTCATTATCTTTCGCCGAGTTTTGGACAAACGCCTTTGACTTTACTCACAGATGAAGAGGAAATTACCGTAAAAGCGAAGTTCGTTCTGCCCAGTGTTACAACAGAAGTTAAAGTGTTTGTTCAATTTCCCGTTTATAATGGCACGATTCCTCTCAAAATCACCTCAGCAAGTGTTGAAAATATGCACTCGAATGTACACTCTCCAAATTTACGACCGGGCTCTAGTGTTGGCAGTAATATCGTCCTTACAAATCCTGTATCACTCAATCCGAGCGCACCTACTTTGGTCACTTTCAAATTTGGGACGACGGTTACCTCGCCTGGAGACGCGGAAAAAGGTGTCTTTCTTCAAGTAAAAGGTTTAGTCGATTCGACAAGTCGCTATGATGTGTACGTTCCAGGGACGTTTGGAAATATAACGTCCTGGTTGGTTTATTCGACAGCGCTAGGAGATGAGACAATTCAATCTCCACAACGGGTTGAAACAGAATTGGGCCAACCACAAGTGAAATATCAAATGAAATTCGAAAGAGGAGATGGCAATATAGAAGGTGGCCTGGAAATAACGAACTTGTTCGAGTTCTACAATCCATCCTTCGCTACCGAGGGGGCAGAGGTGCGTTTTCAAGTGTCGTTTGCCAGTTCCTACATGGATTTAGTGAGTTATGAAGTCAGAGTTTGTAATGTTTCTGTGGATACCCCCGATCATTGTCAAAATATCTCCTTGTGGCCTCTGTTGACGATCAGCAATACGAGTACAAGTCTACTGGTTGAAATTACCAAGTAAGTGTTGATGTTTCTGACGTGCCGTGTCCCGCAATATCAGCAAAGTATTTTTGATTCATGAGAAGCTTTATCTAAACTAGTTAGGCTAGTACAACAGTTACTCGTGATTCAGTGTCGTGACCCGTAAAGGTTGCTGATGTAATAGAATATAACATTTCCGTAGTTTCGTAATAGCACAAGACAAGTTAAACATTTCAGGTAAACGACTAAATTTTTAATAGCAAACATGTTTCGGCTTACACTAAGCCATCTTCAGTGCGAAGTGGGCTGAGAATATTTGTATCACACATCCAGCTGTAAATATTCTTAGCTCACTTCGCACTGAAGATAGCTTAGTGTAAGCTGAAACATGTTTGCTATTAAAAATTTAGTCGTTTACCTCAAATGTTTAAAAGACTGAATATATGTGTGCACGTGTGCAGTCAATAATGACCGATTGAAATATAGAAAATAAAGAAAGATTTACGTCCGTGCTATTTAACATCAATGATAATTCATGATGTTCATGATAATTACGAACAAAATGGAAATATATTATCTGTTTTTCAATGCATTCTGTACATGACAGCAGGATACTTCAAGCAGGTCTTTATGTTTTCGTTGCGGATAGATCTACATCTTTAACTTTAAGTGCTAATTTCAAATGCTGAATTACGTTAAATAGACCGTTTTTATTTCCAGTTTAACGGCCGGTTTTGGCGTATTTGGCAAAGCCGTGGGCATCATTCTTCCTACAGTTCCAGCCAGCGAGAGGCTCCTCAATCAAGCAGAGTTGGATTATCAGCGAGAGAGATGGTCGAAAGTGTCAGATTCCATAAATCCAGAAATAATTACTCGGGAAGTATCAGTATCAAGCCAGGTCGTGTCATCCTCTGTTGCCACGACGTCTCGAACAGATGCAGCTGTCGGAGAAGAGGTTTGAAGTATACTATAGAATCTACACTTTGTTTTTGCATGGTTTTTAAAATTGTGAACAGGACGTTTTCCTTAGGGAGATCTGCTTGCCGTTAAATTACCTTCTTTTATATTTAGTTTAAGTGTCACATAGCAGGGATTATTCCTGTCACGTCGAATAGAGATTTCGCTATCGTTGTCGGCAGCGATGCTTCTGTGAGTTATGGCCAAGGGAGCTTGGTTCATGTTGGTGAAAATTTAGCTGGAGATGGCTTTCGCCAAGGAATAGGTATACGGTGTATTTTTTGACTTAACTGAGTTTCACGGACAACGAAGAATTTTTATGGATTAAGAAATATTGGAAAGGTCGCTATGGCGATTTTAGTGGCACGGCCCAGTTTAGACCTTAGCATCCCGGCTTGAAGTAGAGTTTCCCCCTAGTTTCCTCTATTTATATATGAATTATATCTCTTTAAGTAATTGAGATTGTAGGTACACCACGTATTTAATACTGCAGTATTAAATACCTACGTAGTGTACCTACAAGCTAAATTACCTATTGACTTTAACCATTTACAAGAATATTATATCTCTATAGCTTCATTGCATTTCAAGCACTATATAATTTACCAACGGTTTAAGAAAGCACTTTTTGGTTTGTAGTCCTTTGTACAACCGACTATAATTTCTCGCAAGAAAATTGAAAAACGATATGGTTGTTGTCTTTTTTCATTCCAGTTCTCAACATAACATCGGGAATCACTCCATACATCGGGGCTTCTCCAGCATTCTTCGGCCAGTTTGGAACCGTTACCAACAACGGGCGTTCAACTTCAGCAGATGCCTCAACCTTCATCATAGAAGTGACACTCCTTGTCAAAAAAATTAGTGCAAACACAAACGGCAAAATAATCCGTTTAACTTCAACCGTCCACCATAACCCTGGCAACAGAATATACAATTCAGTGATAGGTCTCAAGGTGCGTCTTAAATTATAGGCCTTGTAACAAGTCTAGGCGCCATGTTATGCTTTCAATAGATTGGGAACGAAGGAAAAACCTACTCTAATTTATTTGTATCTGGCACAAGAAGGATCATCGCCCGGCACTTTATGTCATATCTTCATTTCTTAGGTTGTTGAGCCTTCTTTCACGGCATCTGTTGTGGTGAGTCCCAGCAAAGATGTAAATCAAGACGTAGAAATGAGCTTCGTCGCTACGATAAAGCGCAGTTCGACATCTAGATCAACAGCATTCAATACGATTCTCCTTTTGTCAATCCCGGCTCCACATTTTACCGTTACTGAATATACGTCTCAAACCGGAACATTGAAAACTGTTCCTGGTAGCCAGAGTCCGGTACAGTTCTTGAGGTATTGTATTTCACTTGTTCTTCATCCGCTATTTTTTCTTTGTCGTCGTGTCTTCCACGAAAAATCTAAGCAATATGTATCTTCATTTTTTTTGTAGCCCAAGTGACATCAATTCCACCGTGATCGTTTACGAGAATGACGCGATTTCTCAGAGTTCAGTTGAGATAAGATACAAAGCAAGAACTAGCTCGACTTTACCAGCGAGTATTTTTATTGTTCCATCATTTGTGATGTCGTACACCAGTCTTCCCAAGAATCTCAACCAATCGTTAGCCAGAGAATATCAGTACGGTCGGAAATCACAGGCAAGTCAGTTCTCTTTAATTAAGAGTCCTTCCTAGCTTTTACTTCGTTTAACTTCGAACTGAAGAGGTCTTGAAACGGGAATGAAAATTTATTCAAGCCAGTCTAAAGTCTAAAGTAATTCAAAGCGAGATTAATGGAAGGACTGTCAAAGTATTGTTGTCAAAGTATTGTTCTGTACACTATCCCATTCTTATATGCAGTAAACATGGCACTGATTGTGCACAAGACATCCATAACATTCACAATTGTGTTTTAACATAGATTTTTCTTACATAAACACACCGAAAATTTAATTTTAGTCTGGTTCATATGATCTGATTCCATCGTAATGTTTTTTATCTGTAGCCAACGATCCTTACGTTCCGTCCTGATCCATTCCTGAGCTTTTCATTCCACTCGCACAACCAGGAAAAATTCGACGCCGGTGATGTTTTGAACTTCACGATCGCTGTCAAAAACATAGGAGTTGGTAATGTAAAACCAATTGCATATACGGTGAGAGTAGAGCTACCATTATCGAAAACGACATTCAAAGACTCGTCTTTCAATTGCAACCAAGGAAGCATTACTGCGAGTTCCGACAGCCAAGTCAAAACATATTTGGTTCAATCAGGAACATTCGTTTACGGCGAAGAAATTAGATGCGATTTGAAAACGACATTGAATACTGTGACTCCAGCTCAAAAGATCAAGCTTTCGCCGAGATTGTCCTATCATTGTCTCCCAACGGCTAATCAAAACGAATATGAAGGGTATACTTCGCGGGACAAAAGTGAAATATTCATAAAAGAATTAAGCATGCAGTTGACTGCCAACGGCGATACATCCAACGTTCTTTGTAACGACGTCCTGGAGTATAATTTAAGGATTGTTTTGCCCGAAGTAACTACGAATCTCAGAGTTGAATATAAGATCCCGACCATTGCTAGCAACGCAAGAGGAAAGAGATCAACCAGGTTAGTGTCAACGTTTTCTGTTTGCAAACCGATGTGGATTTAGTGGTCTTTGATTAAACTGAGTCCAGTTCCTTCACCAAATTCAACTCAGTCCTCTCTCTCCCTTGAAGAATAATAGCCTGCTTACATGCTTTTGTTTTATAGAGGAAAACGTGCAAGCCAGATCAACACACTTCAACCAAACTCATCTCAAACTTCTTATACAAATGGCGCCAATCTTGTTGTATCCTCGATGACAAACTCCCTCGTTGGAACCACGTATACCGTCGAATTCCCAACAATTACGAACCAGCCCGATAACATCGATTCGGAAAAGGACGTACTGACGGTAAAAGTGAAGTTTCAGGTCGCCAATGAACCAGTTATATTCAGTGGTAGAAATTTCGATATCGTGAGTACAGTGTTCTATCCAGGCGGTTCTGTTTCCCAAACAGCGACGTTTTATGTCGTTGGACCTCTGGTGAAACCGCTCCTACAGTTGGCTAAATCCTATCAGGTAAAGTTGCACGATTACCTTTGTTAGTGAGTTGTTTCTGTCTATATTTTTCTTGTTTCACTCAATTCAGTTCAGTTCAGTTCAGTTCAGTTCAGTTCAGTTCAGTTCAGTTCAGTTCAGTTCAGTTCAGTTCAGTTCAGTTCAGTTCAGTTCAGTTCAGTTCAGTTCAGTTCAGTTCAGTTCAGTTCAGTTCAGTCCAGTCCAGTCCAGGCTTAATGAAGAACTCAACTTGTCTTTTTAGGTCTTAGATACTAGTTTAGATTCCCCGAGCGGTATATTTTACGTGAACGTCAGTCACACAACCAGCTCGAAGTACGACGCTTATGACGTCAACATTACCGACTTCATCGAAGGCATGAACGTTATTCGTGATAAGGAGTTCCCTGGAATTGAAATATCTGCTCTAAAAAGTAACACATACCAGTTGAGCAGTAATATTCCTGTGATTAAAGGTAATATAAAGAAACCTATGCATGTGTCTGCATGCACAATCCCAGTTTTATTATCCTCTTAACAGCAAAGTATATCTTCTTTTATTCTGTTCAAAGCTTCTCTAAACATCAGTGACCCTGTTCCTACCTGCACGCAGCCCTTATTCACACACATATAAGTACAATTGCCTACCGTTTCAATTACCTCACATTTTGTTAACCTAGTGTAAACAAATAATTTGAGTCATAATTTTTATTACAGTGGGTGAAACAGTTCATTTTTATTATAAATCCAAATTTAAAGTCGAAGTTAAGGTTAGTTGCATCCAGTTTGTGAGTGATGCTTTCTTTTTACGATATGAAAATACGATATAATTTATATAACGTCCACGAGTATGAAGATGACTCCCGTCGCCTCGGTATGAATACCAGATATTGAAATTCCAAATATGGAAAACTAGTGAAAATGAAGAAGTAATGTGTTTAATTTATCTCGCCATGTCTTCTTCGTAATCATGAATTGTTGTCATTAAATTCCGTTGTTCTGTTGTTATTCTAGACTCCAAAATATATACGTAAAACTGCGTCTGTGACATGGCGAAGCCCTCAGGTAATTGTCGATTACATGTACTGTTGCGTACCATTGGAGCTGGATGATAACATTAGAAGTTTATTTCATAAGAATTGCATGACACGGAGTCAAGCCTCAGGATGATTTTGCTAACCGAACTCATGCAGAAGCCGAACAAATAAGTACATCTTTCTGTTAGTTGTTTCAATATTCTTTCAAATTGTTATAATTTGTTTTTTAGTTGAATAGTCCCGCGTACGGCCCTGAAATTAATTCCGATGCATGTGTTGGACGAAATGACACAGATAAAGAAAGGGTAAGAAACCTAAACAATGCCTGCCTTGATTTGAAATGTTTCTTGAATAGATTAATTTGCGATTAACTTACAGCGCTTTACGCAAAACAAGGGATGCTATGAATCCCGGGGGGGGGGATGTAGCCTAGTCAGAAATATTCCGAAAATGATTCAAAACACAATCGCCCCTGAGTAATTCAACAGTGAATCTTGTGGCTGAAAACCGTAATTAAGATATTATTTTTTTATAGCGCGATCCTCTCTATCGCTTTCTTGCACTTGGTGCATTTATTGGTTTACTGGTCGGTTTTCTAACGATTATCATCAGTGTGTGTATATTTATCAAATGCTGTCGGAAAGGAAGATTGGTTCCGTACTACAGGGTGAGTTTGACGACTTGCGCGTTCTCGTATATAAGATTCAATGATGACTTTTGTTTTATACGATTTTTGACGATTTTTGTTATATATAAACAATCAGATACTAGCGGGAAAACCAACATACACTGCTCTTCAAGAAGAGGAATGTGAAGAGAAGCCGTTCACTGCTCCTGCAAACTCGAGGTAGAAATCGATCCGCTTATTTCATTTTGATATGTCATTAAAACTGTTGACTGTGTATTTGTATCGAGGGTTGATAAACCTTTGACATCAACAAAATGTCCTGCTCGCTTGGTCTTTTAATAACTTAATTATGGCACTTTTCAGCGTCGACCAAAATGAAAGCGTCGTTTACATCATTTCATTCAACGACCCCAAGAAGACTGAAAACGAGCTTGAAAGGTAAGTTTCGAGCCGACACGTAAAATAAACTTTACTGTATAAGTATACATACAAATTGTCTTCGTCTAACATACCCTGCAAGGTTCTTGTCTAAGTTGTCTTGGCAAGCTTCTGGTTAAACACCTGATCGTTTTGCATGCATCATTTGCAATTGGATACGTTTAAAGCATCATTCAAACAAAATCTCCAAATTATAAGTCACAAGACAGTGTTTATCGAGATGAGGAAGAGGCGAAAGTAAATCGAGTTATTCCGTGTTTATAAAAGTTGGTTTGGTTTAGTTTCCGTTACGAAGTTTATTTCCTCTCTTTCATATAGTCTCGATATGCAAACGACAAAAGGTCTTGATCGTCAAATGGAGAACAGTCGTCAAACAATGTTTATGACCGTGTTTGAACGCATCCTTAAGAATCTTCGCACAAAGCGAGATATTTCAGAGGATCAAATGAAAATGGTAGGTGCTAGAATGGTAGTTGCTAGAATGGTAGGTGCTAGAATGGTAGTTGCTAGAATGGAATGAAAATGGTAGGTGCTGGAACCAGATATAAGATAGGAACAAGGTAGTCATTTTGAGGCTTTTTGAATACAGGTGTTAGTCAATTGGTTTGAAAAACCTTTTGGAGTAGAAATGGACTTGAAAGTTCTTTTTGGTACTATTTAGTACACAAAGAAAATGCACGCTCGTTTGGACGAGATATCCGCGAGAAATCGTCAAGAATATACTAAAAGGTCTGAAGATTTACAGAAGAATATGCAACAGAAAGGAGAGGTACGAGCACCATATGCATGCATGTTGTATTTTTTCTTTAACTTGCTTTCTAAGATTTTGCGCTCAGTTTTCCGTGAATAAGTTGAGATTCTGAAATCCATATGAGAAGATAAAGAGAAAAGCGTTTCGTGTTTTTTGAGCACCACTGGGGACTGGGGATCCGACGTGTTTCTGAGCCACAATATAACAGGTGCATGTACAGCGGTCGAGTTGAGGCACTGTGTATATGCATGTGTATAGCACGTGCCTGCTATATACATACACGCTGTCATTCTCCCCCCGTACACCGTGTATTCGAAAGTCCCCTCCCTGATAGGTTGCCTATACTTTCTTGTTTTCCCTTTCGAAAAGCGAACTTTTTGAAGCTTCCCAACTGCAGCGTATTGTGCAAGTCAAAAATAGCAACAGGATGATTTTTTTATGAAGTTTATAAAAACGCGAAATGTGATGGCTATTTCGACTGAAAATCATAATTATCAATTTAAGTTGATGAATAAGTAAACTGAATGTCTGTCGGCGGGCGTTAATTTGTCACGCATGCGAATTCAGCTACAGAATTTCAAAAGCTATGTTATATCGACATATCATGTATGAAACATAAATTTGGCGTTTTCCTCAAATGTTTGTCCCAATGGACGACAGGGCACTTTTTGACAATTGAAGTTTACTTATATATTTACAACCCCTATAATGGCTATATGTATACAAGAAACATGTTGATTATTTATACGGTCGTTTTAAGCATGTCATCATTCATAACAAATCGCTGCGGAAAATTTAATAATATTATATATATAGCCTAACGGTGTTTATTCTAATTGTTTTATTGTATCATATCGAGCAGAGGTAATCTGTGAGGTAAAAGATTTTACCAGTACAGTTATCATGCTTTTAAACCTACAGAATGTAGTATATCTAACCTCGTTCATGTGACAGCCTATAATAGCATACATTTTTTATGGAAATATTTAATGAAATTTGTCTGAAAGCTTGTGAGGACCGCGCGGCACTTTCCTCTTTTATGTGTTGTAAATTTTCATTATAGTATGCAAATGTCAAAACACCTGTTTGGGAAACATGCAATAATGGCCGTTTGACGTAAAATTTCATACAACGTAACATCAAGGCATGCGCTATACGTTATTACCTACCTTTCCACAGGTTTAAGTCCTACCACGATCGTACTAAATTGGATGTTTTAATTGTTTTTCGTCGAGCAAAATTCAGGCAATAAAAATGGCGATACTTGTCCACTGGAAACTTTTTTTGCCTTTTCATCCGGCCTGCCACTTTTAATATTCTCTCAGCAAACACGTCAATTTTCGAGCTGGTATATATTTTATTAGTTTTATTGTGCGTTTGTCATCGTTTTGAAAACTGTTTAAAGTGCCCGTGTAATTGAGAACTCCAATTTTTATATTAATACATTATATCGATCTTTCGTAGATCGTGGTTCTCTGATATAGCTATAGCTACCTTGTCAAAACATATGCTGTTTTGTTATGACGATGGCCTGATATCTGTTTTGAATCATTTTACGTATAGTTGGAAATGCAGAAATTAGACGAAAGGAGACAACGAGAAGTTGAGGAAGCTAAGACAAAATTGGATGGCGCCGATAAGGTATGTGTTCGTATATTTATATATAAGGACCCAAAGAACACACATAGCAAAAATGTCCATACAATTATTTGACAAATGTTATGTGTATAATGCTTTTTGCGGTGCTATACCTGACCAAAATTCTCTTCATGGTCGTCTTTGCCTATCGAAAAAAAGATTGTAATCGATTGTTATTCTTTGGGGTTTCTTTTCTATCGATTGAGAATTTGAAAAGCTATATCCGGGATATGTTTATTCATAATAAAACTGGTGGATGTTATCGATAATAGCCTGTGACAATCTTTAACTGTTATAGAGACAACAATGAGATTGACTACTGTGAGAATTTTACATCGCGTAGCATTATTTCAAGAAAACTTTTATGCAAAATACGTGAATAAAGGTCTGAAAGTCGTATATGTAAAATTCTTGTCGATCAATTTTAACACACATGCATGACTTCAAACGACTGCTGTATATTTAAAACAGTTTTATACATTTTCCAAGAAACTATAGTGTTCCTTTTGAGATAGCAATGAAGAGATATTGGGTCATGGTTTTCACGTTTCAGTTATGATCTTCTAATTCCATTATCAGCCATTGTTTTCTTCCGTTAAGTCTGAAAAATTAGACATCAATGACAATGAATATTATCCCAGCTGCAGACTGTTCAATTATTTGTTATGTAACTGCTTCGGCCATTGCCGATATTCATGTCTTGAGAACTAGAATCTGTCGCTAAATATAAGATTACTGCCATTTTCGATTGTGTTAATTTCAACGCTATGTTGAGTTTAATAGTCTGAGACCGGTTGTACGGAGACGAGCCGGTACGGTAAATAAGTCAACACTCTTTTATGTTTGTTGTGAACGTTTAGTTGTAAAAAAATATTGCTGTATCAATATAAAAACTTTAGTTTTCACCGTGACAAATATGCTTTTTTTTCGAGTTTATCTACAATTTTAACTAAACTGGTTCCGAACAATCGGTCCCTGTGATTAGTATGAGAAATAGAAGGGATTAACTTAATGACTTATAATAACCGCCTTGACTAATGATGCTTCAGAGAATAATTATTGCCTTCTTGATTTTGCAGAAAAAAACGAAGGAGGTTTTGAGTCTGATTGTCGCTCATTATCAGACTCTTGAAAATGACGTTCGCGCGCAGATCAAACTTGAGCACGATGTGGAAATGGAAAAGATTAGGAAGGTAAGAAAATTTTGGTAACATTGCGCCTTTTGAACTTTCTGTATTGCTCCACAATCTTTGGCTATATGTAATTCCTTTTTTTCATTGGGATACATGGTACAACTCACCCGACATCTTTCTCTAACTATATCCCTGGAAGTGTCCGATATTTTTCAAACTGTGTTTTCTTGTTTCCACACAGGAACTGTCGATAAACAGCCGACTGTCTTCGAAGGAGGCTCAAGGGAGCTTGCTCAAGGAAATGATACAGGAGGCTCAGATAAACGAGGCGGAAGCTGAAGTGATCGTCTCCGAGCATCTGGAAGCCGTTGCTGCTGTCGAGAAAATACACGACGATGAAAAATCTCGTCATAACATGGCACTCGAGATGAGAAGGGAAGAACGAAAAGCTTTGGCGGAAGAAATGGTACGGATCTTCATCATACTCTTGCATTTCTGTCGGTCGAGGACACGAGATGTAAAATTCTGGACAATTGTGCAAAATTTATTTGTAGCCAAGTTGTAGCACTCTGACTGGCATGATATATTTTAAGATTTTCATTGCAACACGATATTTAAATTCTGGTGGAAAATTACCAACAGTCTAATGAATACTAGTGATCCAAAGTGGATTACCACGCTGATGTTATAACTTTTCTACTAATCTAATCTTTCTCTGCTAATCTTGCGATCTTTCTTCCTCTCTTTTAGCGAGAACAAGAGGAGCAGGAGGCTCAGGTTTTGGCAACCATAAAGGAGAAATACGACAACGCTTTAGAAAATTTAGTATCTTCCTCGCAAGTTTCCGAAGAAGAGGCGACAGCGTACAGAGAGAAACTCATGAAGGACGTCGAGACTTTGGACAAGAAGCTCGAGAAACAAAGAAGCCGTCAAGAAGAAAGTCTTCACGACCGTTTGAGTTTGCTAAAGAAGAAAAAGCTACAGGAAAAGGTAAGACTGATGTGGAGAGAGAGTCACTTCGCTATATTTTAAATATTATTACGAGTTTAATATGCACATTTTTCCTAACAGGAAGACGGATACAAGTTGGCAGTGAAAAATATAGAAGAAACAAATAATGACTCGGAAAGTAAGTTGACATATGTTTCCGATTCAAAACTTTAATTTTCACCGTCAACAGTGAATTGTTCACTGAATGAGTAGCAAGAGTGAGTCGACTGACTACATAAATTGATTGAATTCCTTGTGTGTTATCATCCTAGGTCCCAAGGATGTGATTTTAGCGAGACAGAAATTGACTCAGAAATATAACGAGGAAGTTCACGAGTTGGAACGGGAACTTGATAGAAACGTATGTATCAGTGCATCACGTTTATAAAACGTTTTCACATTCCGCAAAATTATTCCATGCATTTATGGTGATAATATTCTCTGTATTTTCCTACAGGCTGCAGAAGATTTAAAGGAACTTCGTAGTCAATACGCCGAACAAACCCGTGGCGAGTATAAGAACAAGATTGAAAAATATTATAAAGAACTAATGAAGAAAGGTGAGATCTTGCTAATACAAGAACTTAAAGATAACTTGGATGTTAGTATTCGTACTTGAGTTATTTACTGCATGAAAACCTTTGGTGAATTACTATTCTTTGAAGCTTGCTTGTAATTTCTATTTCCTAATTTTGTTTTTAACATTGAAGGTGCTATGCAAGAGGATTACCAGCAGCTTTTGGATTCGCATGATCAAGATGTGGCAAGGATTTTAGTAAATCAACAAGCTGAACAAAATAAACAAAAAATTGCTTTAGATGTGAGTTTTTTTATGGGATATTCGGTTACCATGCAAGAGAAGGTTGACTGAACAAAACTTTACAAAGCAGTAAACACTGGTCTTGTCAACTGAGTCAACAGTCAGTCAGACTAGCAGTATGTCAGTACGTGTATTTTGTGTTCTTTTTGTACTATAAAGACAACTTTTCTCGACAGGAGAAACTGAAGAGGCGCCGGGAATTACTGACAGAGAAAATGAAGGCGGAACAAAAGGAACAAGAACAGATCAGAAATGAAGAACAGAAAGTTTTGAAGTAAGAATCAAAATTGGGCGGGAGAATCTTGGCATACTTATGGCTATATTGTTGACTTTTAAGCAGGAATTTTACACGTGATTCCTAAATTCAATACGTCGTTGTTATGTAGGAACATGATAGATAATCAAGTCGTGATATCTGAAGAAGAAAAAGAGAAAATACTACGGGAACACGAGCAAAACATGGCTGAACTAGAAAGCAGGTGAATGCATATGCTGTGTGTCTTTTTAAATCGTTTCATCCACTGCTAAAACACAACGATATCTCCCGCAAAAGTTAACTTCGTGTTCAAAGATGACGCGAAGGATGTTTCTCTTGTATCATTTTCCGTGAGAACAACTTTTTTCGCGTTCTAAAATGACCGTTTTCTGTTTCCATCTTTTCGTATAGTTTGACGTTGAGTAAGTTGCGACAAAAACAAATGCTGGAAGAGAAATTGGAAAAGAGACGAGCGAAGAAAATGGAGAAGTTACAACAGAAACATGAGAATGAAAATAAGGTATGGTTAGAAATTAAAGCCTCTTTCGTTCATTGTTGATACGATACGGCAACAATACAGAAGAGAGTCTGGATTGTGTGTTTGTCGATATTTCAGCGAATCAAAATCGAGAACGTCGAGGGTGCGACAGAGGAAGTGGATCTACTTAAGAAACAAGAGATGGAAAAGCAACAACTCATAGAAAATGATGCGAATATGGAAAACGAGATTGAACAGGTATACTTTGAGTCCTTTGTTGCTACTAAATTTCCTACACATGCATATCAGATAATGAATAATATTTCGTGCTAAAAAGTTCATTCGTGTTCCGTGCTATACTGAAAAGAGCAAAAAAACTAATAGACACTGATCAGTGTATTTGTTAAGGCAAGATGCTTCTCATTGCTAACCTAAAGCTTGCCGAAGGAATTGTGGCCTGCGGACTGCTGTAATTTGATAGAGCTATCAATTCCCGAGAAATATATACTGTTCTAACTAAGATTGCTTGCTACTTAGTTCGTGGATGAGGCCAGCATGTGATTAGTTAGGATGAGGAAGTCTTTCACTGCGGGTAATCTTGTTGATGTGACAATATAGATTCGTGAAGAGATGCTGAACGCACGTATGGAGGCCCTTCAGGAACACAATGATCGTCTCGGTGCTCTTATTTCTGATCTACAGATCAAGAGAGCTAGCCAGGTACCGTTTACTCAATCATCCATCAACTCCACGATGATAAGTACTTTAAGGATTCCGAATTTCAATGAACCTGGGCGTCGTTAATTTATCTTGTCATTACACAGATTGCAGAAATCAACAAACAGCAACGAGCCTTAAGTCAACTTCAGACAAGCATTCTTGATGATTTGGATGAGAAAGGTGTCTTGGTTGATCCAGAAACTAAAGCGATCCTGCAACAGCATCAAGAGGTGTGTATACGACTTTGGAAACTTGTATCATTATATCATTGTATGTGGTTGCCATTTACAAATGGCCATGCGTTTCTTTGGTCTAAACATTCAATATTTTTGCATAAACAGCAATCCCAAAATCTGGAAAAAGTCTTGAAAGATCAACGCAACCAGCAGGAAAAGGTAACGTTCACCCTTCTATTATTAAACTATTCACTCACCCATGTACTGTATTTCAATTGATTCTTCTATTATCCTTTTATCTAGGCTCTTAAAGAAAGATTGAGCGAGAAACTTAAACAAAAAGAACAACGGTTAATGCAAGAACAAAAGGTATTCGGGGATGTTATGGAAACTATAAAGTTGTTGGATTAGATTTAGGGATTGGGATTAACTCTTTGGATGAGATTAAGGGATTAGGATTAAGTCTCGCCCTTCCTGGTTTGATCTCGTGAAAAACTTATCTATTTTTTTTAATATCCTGTTATTTATTAATCTTCGTCTCAGGATGAGATTGGTAAATATATTGAAAGCCACGAAAGTAGCAATGCGGTTATGAGGTTCCGAAAAGCAGCTTTGAAGGCCAGACACAAAGCTCAGCTCGATCAAGAACGGCAGCAAATTGAGAAAGAGATCGAGCAGTCTATGAACGAACTAAAAATGCAACTGGAGTTAAACAGACTTAAAGCAGTTGAAAAACAGGTTGGCTTTTGAATTATCTTCGCTCAACTTTAGGATGGATAATCGTAGTTTTCCACAAGCAAGCAGAACTCCAAATCAAAGTCTGCTTACTCCTTCGATATTTTATCTTCATTTACTATCGTTTTTACAGAATATCCAATTTATTTCCGCGCTGGTTAAATGTGGTAAAATCCAGGAAGAAGAGCTGGACTCTGTACTTCAAGTTTTATTCCCAGCAAAGTATGCCAAGTCAATTACAGCCATATAAATGGCAATCCCATATTAAACTGTGAAAAACTCCCAGCGTTTCATGAACATGCATGAATTGTATTAATAAAACGATTCATTTCAAAGGCTTTATAAATTATATATCTGTTCATAAGATGGGACAAAGACACAAAGTATTATTAAAGTTACTAGAGACTCCATTTTATTTGATTGGCTATCGAACATTAACAACAATGCATAATGTGTGATTAGATATCCTGCCTAAACAATATAACGAAACTTCGTCGCTAAGGAAAAAATATCGTTTAAACGTAAATTTGCGGGGGGGGGGAGATTATTTGTAGTCGGTCTACTAATAAATATAAATAAGGCAATTAAATGGAATTAGTGAAAGGAAACTGTCAACAAAATATGGAGATTAAAGCTGTTGACATGATGTTAGAAGCGGAAAAAAATACGTGAATTTGTATAGGATATTTAGAAAATAGAAAATCCGCATGCGTCGTTCCGAGTTTAGGAAATCAGGCTCACTTGCTGTTTTTATACGAATGCGCCATTTCTACCAGAAATGGGACAGGAGCCGAAATTCGCATTTCTGACCGACTTTATCGTCTGTATAATAATGACCACTACGATGTTTGCAAGTCGTGTTTCTGAACATCTGCCGGTTTAGTTTCAAGTAGAAGTTGTCGTATTTACTGCAGCATTCACACCTGCTTGTTTTCTATGGTGTTTTTTCGTGCCTGTGTTCAAGCTGTACATGCACGCAACCTTTTAAAAAAAAAACCAAAACACGCAATATTATCCACAGAGTGAAACCTGATACACGTCATCTGTTTATACTTTTTTTTCACCAAAAATATTTAAACTCTGACCTGCGACAAAACAAGGAAGTGCACGGGAAAAATATCGTTATATTTTAAGGCAGATTCTCTTATCACACAATGCATTTGTATAGAATGTACCTAATATTACGAGCGCCAAGGAAAGAAATGAAAGAAAGTTATCATTAGGTATAAATATTGTCATATTTCTGCTGGATGTTCCTAACATTTTAACTCGTTTACTTTTGACAGGAAACCGGAAGAGATAGATGAACTACTTGCGCAAATTTACGGTCCTGCTCACACGAAAACTAGTGCTTTAGCATTGCATTCGTCCAAGTAAGTTTGCCAATGATATTATGATAACTATCCAAGCATTGTATGTTCTTGTTTCAATTACTCGTGTCCCAAATGCATATCAACCGACATGCCTGAATAATGCTCTTGAAGGCTTTTGGTGATGACTGCAGTGTGATCATATTGCAAATTATTTCAAATAATATAAAATAATCTGTTCACATGATCCTGTTACCGAGATTTAACGAAGCGTAAAATGGACTTTTGAGGTATTGAAAAAAGTATTTTGAAAACAAACAGTCACATTCTATTGTTAAAATGCTAACGCGACTACCAGAATCGTGTTATTTACTCATTTCAATACCTCAAAGTCTATTTTACGCTTCTTTAAATCTCGGTAACCAGGTTCATGTGAACAATCCCTCAGTCATATTTTAAAGTTTCTCATTTATTTTGTTCCAGGCCCTCTTCCTTAGAATTGAAAGTTATAGCTCAGATAAGTCCTATGCCGTCTAGTAAGAGGTACGCATTCACCATTTATTGTTATCTTCGTCAATAGTATCTCCCTATTCATGTGTTCAAATCGTCTATTCAGGAAAGTCAAGCCTCGCTTCGAGAAACCAGATGATCTGAACGATCTCCCGCCCCCGGAAGTGGCGTCCGATCTCCCCCCCGTTATTCTTCAAGGAAGCAAAGGATTCAACCTTCAAAACAGCTTGAAGAGTGATCGTAGTAAGAATAAAACTGATGGCAGTAAACCGCTGGGCAGAGTTCGGTTGGCACCACTCGACAAAAACTTATAGGCACATATTAACAAACACAGATTTCAACGATAATTGGTTTAATAACGTCAACTATTCTCTAGACTCGTTGTTTATGAACAAATCCAGTACTTTATATCCAAACCCAATAATTTTACCCCTTGACAACCCCTGACATCCACATTTTAACCTCTGAACTAATATCCTGTATAGAACTGTGAACTAAAACCTAAACCTTTAATTAAAGACAATCCCTAACCCTAATCAAGAATCTAATATATATTTATCTAATCCAAAAATTATTACTAAGCCAGTTATTTATTATTTATTGATAGTCGTATTGTATTGAAAACTCAACGCACCATCCTTAACTAAGTTACGACCTCCGTGCTCGTAAATGAACGTACAAATACACGTTGGTCATATTCGGCAAATTTTCTCCCGGTAAAGAGGGCTCAGTTTTCCAGCGGTCTTCGCATGAAAAATTAGAAGCTTTTCGTTTTACGCCTTGCTCTCAATTTTGTGTAAGTTGTCCGCTGACAATATGAGCCTGCACGAGTGGGAGAAACTTAGCTAAGTTGGACCTGCGTGATAACTTTAAAAATTTTAATATTTGGAGAACTTTTCCATCTATATTTTTTTCTATGAAAACCAGGAACTTTCAATGAAACACCTTAATGTGTAATTACTTTTATTACCTTTATTTATTATTTATTGTGATCCACCGGAAGAACGAATTGTATTTTAAATTTTTCTAAAAAGGACCTATAAATAACTTTGTATTAATTGTGAAAATTTGTAAATGATAAAATTTAATTTAACTTATGACCTTGTATTATGAAGTTTGAAAGATTTCAAATTGGCAGTGAACACTCTTCCCAAAAAGAGAAAACCCATTAAAAGTAAAAACTTATACACGTATGTCATTTTCTTATAACCAGGTGTTATTTATCTATTTTACATTTTCGTTTTTCATAAATATTATGAGAATACAATGGCGTAGTCTTCAGACAGGTATATAGCTATAGCAGTGATAATAATATTCGAATAATAACTATTTCTTTGTCATTTTTGTGAGTATCGTCGATTCTCGATCTTTTAGTTTCTTTTGCACAGAATTCTAGAAAAAAATTGTAATTATTTCATCGTGCCTTCATCGTGGTATATCATGTTGTGTTGTGGCTGTGCTGCACGTTTTTTTTGTGTTGTATCATCACATCCAGATAGATTTATCGTATCGTACAAACCTTGACTTCACTGAGTATTCCATCCGAGACATCTTTCAAAACTTGTTTCATTTCGTCTGGTTTTAGAGAACTAAATAATGGCTCCTGTGTTAGTTCACAAGCTTCGTTAGTAATTTCGTTAATTTCGTTATCTTGTTTATCGTTTGCAGTATGGATTTCCTGTTAGAAGAAGAGGTGAAGGTTAGCAAACAGTATCGTATGACATGGAATGGTTAGTCAGTAATATACGGTTTGGTTAATCATACATGTACGGTATAGTATGATATGGTATCGTATGGTATGGTGTATGGTATGGTGTATGGTATGGTGTATGGTATGGTGTATGGTATGGTGTGTTGTGTGTATGGTATGGTATGGTATGGTGTGGTGTGGTCATTGGTGTGGTATGGTATGGTGTGGTGTGGTGTGGTCATTGGTGTGGTGTGGTATGGTATGGTATGAAGATAGGGTTAATGTGTAGTACAAAGTCAGAAGAAACCAAGTATTTGCTTCAGAACGAAGAAACTAAGTATTCTTTTCACCTTTATGTCAAGATCCTCCCCGTTCACAGTCGACTGTTTCAGTCCTAAGACATGTTCACTGTGCATCTCTTCTGGTAGACCTTCATCAAGAGGCGGTGGAAAAGGAACGTCTGCCATGGGCGGTACTTCAACCAACAACTTGAATAACAGTAAGTTATACAATTAAATTACTCAAGTCGTTGTCTAACGCCAATCCATGAAAACCCATAGCTATAGATTACGACGACGGTTGGCATTTGTTTTCAACGATGATCATAATTTATTTAGTACATTTATTAAATTTCTTCACCAGAGACTTGCCTAATTTTGCACTTACTTTCTGCTTAACGGAAGGCTCGTCTGTGAGTTGTGATGAAAAAAGAAGTTGGTACAGCTTGTAGTGTTGGAAAAGACTATAATTACATAAGAATGAGTGTTATGGTTTTCAGGTAATCGTCAAATTCACAGCAACTTCGTTTACATGTGCTTTCTGAGCAAAGCTAGAATTGCCAGGCATTGGAAAGAATGAAATATGAAGTGATTGCGAGTTTTCCTTGATCTGAAATGGTGCAAAAGGTTTGAATACCTTTCAGTAACATAGTCAGAAATAGTCTTCGTTTGATAAACGCTAAATAACGAAGGTCTATCCGTCTTCTTGGAGTTTGAACAAGTCCCGATATAGTTCTTCATTTCCAAGATATTCCTCGTTATTGACATCTTTTTATCTATAGTAAAAGAGATGGGTTATCCAAATGGAAGAAAATAGACATAGCTATAGCCTGTCAATACATCTCGGCTTTTCCAGCTCGTACACACAGATGGCTAGCAGTTAAACCGAAGGTACTGTACATTAAATACGTTGAATATCAAATTACAGTATTAACCTCGTATATTTTCCAACAGAATTTTAACTAGTGAAAAGAAAGCAGATATCTGTTCGCATGTAAATCGGGCTTGTTTTGCAAACCTAGAGAGGAAAAATGTTATAATTTAGCGTGAACAATTAAACTTGTTTTAAAGATGTGCATTTCAACTTACCAAAATGCTGACACATAAAAATCTACTAGACAGCCTTCTTTCAAACATACGCGGTAATTGTACAGAGCAAAATTCTCCGCAAGTTTTCTAAAGTAATAGTAAAGTCGACAGTAGAATGATACCTGGAAATTTGAATTGTTTTATTTGAACTGAAATGCACACTTACGATTCCAGTTCAGGTGGCGTAAGAGCAATAAATGAAACAATTTGTTCCTCGGTTAGATCTTTCCAAATGAGATTCTGAATTACTTTTTCCTTTAAAGAAAAGGTCAAGTATTAGCAGAAGATGTGATTATTTTATACCAGGACTAGGAGTGATCCATCTGGACGGATGAAGACGAACGAAAACAATATCTGATATTGAATAGGGATAACTTTAGTTCGTAAAAGTGGACTTGCGTGATGCCACTGGCAGTTTGACTATAAGTTACCGTTTTGACTACAAAACATATCTTAAAACTAGTTACAATTCACGATCTTCTTGCGACTAGTTTGATGAAAATAAGACATGGTACAGTACATTCTCTCATAATTATTTTCTCTGTTGTGAGGAAAGGTTACCTCTAAATTTGCAATAGAATTACTATTATTATTTGCTTTCAAAGTCTCGAACCTACCTCAGACGTTGTATTATTGCCTTCACTGTTCTCTATTTCAGATTGTTGGAAGCCAAATTGCTTCGTTTGCAATCGTTCTTTCGAACGCGAATTCTTTTTATTAACGTCCGCCATATTGTTATTCTTTATGACGCTTTCGTGTCGCCATGACAACCAAGACTGAAATTATGAAATAAAACGTTCTTTTCAAAAACACATTTATGATTTATTTAGGGTTTAAAGTAGCCATATCATCCAAGTTATTCCGAAGGTGAGATTCTAAAATTTATTTAGAGAAAGCCAGCAGAAGCCGGCCAGTAAAGAATATTCTGGTAATAAATAGCCATGTCTCTATCCAGTATGTTTTCTTATTTTTGAGATCAGAGAGAAATTTAGTTTCCCGCCATTTGGCGCCAAAAGTTTAAAGGGCCATTGCAAATGGCGGCTTAATGAAGTGAAAAATTCACAGACATCTTGAAGTTTAAAAGCAAAGATCGCAAAAGTGTTTGCTCTGTAACGGGGAATGGCTTCAAAACTTGAAAAGACGGTTATCAGTTTAGCCAAAAAAGAGAACAAAGACGAGCTAGTGCGAACGTTGAATGAAATTAAGTTGGAAAAGGTAGAGGCTTGTTATTTAGGAAATCCGCGTCAATACCTTTTACAACAACAGTGCGCAAAACGATAATCTTAACGTTTATTTACTTTCTTGATATTGATCGTGATGAACGTCCTCCAGCTCTGAACATACAGGACAGCGATCGATCATCGATGCTCATAAAATGACTTGATATTCAATTTTGTTATAGCTTGGAATTGTACTAACATCTCGCGTGAATGAAAATAATGGCGATGTTGCTGAGTTCTTACGTGCAGTCTTTCAAGGTATGATAATATATTACTTTTCAACGCAGTGATTTCACTTGAAACTTGAGTATTAACGATCGCTTTCTAGGATCGCCGTCTGAGAGCGAGAAAGGTTCGGAAAGGCAAAAATTTTTGTTTAATCATTGTATGGATATATTGAAGGAGGCTGATGTGTCATCCAAGGTGATTTTCAATGTATTTAGTCATTGTGAAGCATGCAAATCATTGTGAACAACAAAAACGGTAACCCTTTGTATCACTACTAATTAATACAGCTTGCAACAGACTTTGTTGGAGTGCTACTTTTTGAGGTACATACACAATAGACATTTTAATTAAGTGCTTTCCAATAGCACACCTCTATGCAATTTGTGCCAGTAACTGGTTGCGATTGCGATCATTCACTAAATAAATAATGCATTGAGATATTGGTTTAATCAACTTTTTAGATTGATAAAATTTCAAGTCAATTATTGTGTGAATTGGGTGATAAAATTGTTGAGAGTGTTCGAAAAGGCTCGCTAAAGAATGGAAGGTCTATATGCCATGTGTCATGATTTCTGCATATCTGTACCTATACAATTAGATTGATTGTAAAAGTATGAATCATTCTTAGTACATCTGATTTCATTTTAGAGTGCTGCAGCTCTTTCCAAAAATTTTATCATCCATGGCTTCAAGAGAATCCATTCCACTTCCCACAGGTAAAGAATGTACAACAATGTCCTAAAAAGCAAAATTTCATGACAATGATCTTGCTCAAGTCAGATTATATTTGAAATATTTTGTTTTAGATCATGGTGGTGGGGAACTAAAGGGTATTGAGTACAAAAGTCAAATGATTAACACTTTGTGTTCAACAAAGTAGGATATTAGCAATAATTTTTGGAAGATATTTGCAAAATATATATACCAAGAAACTGAAAATAATCAAACATCGTCATTTCCCTTCCTCTTTTGCAATCTTTTAGAATCTATATTTGCTTAAAAAACTGTAGTACTATAGTACCATTGTAGTACTTGAATTCTATGTTCATATCTAAATGAAAACAGTGATTAACTAAATCAGTACATATGTACTACTACATGTATGTTATTCCTAATGCTTTGTTATCTATTTGAGGTGGCATTCAAGCTGTGTGATTCATTTGGTTAACATGTTCCGGTATTTATCTTCTCTATTCTTTACCGCGTACACTACGCATTTGCATGCAATTATTCCGGTTATTTATGTACATGTAATTATCGCTGAATTGTATGTATATTTCATGTAAATTTCAGAGAAGTGACCTTAACAAACGAAGAATTGAAATTTGTCATAGAAAAGATTTTAAGGTCAGTCAAACAAAATGGCCAAAATATTGAACCGTATGGTGGTACTTAACATTTTTGCCCTATAGCTAAAGTAGATAAAATCTAACAATTTGAGAGAATCACTGCCCCTTATAGACAAAACTGTCTTTATCGTCAACATTTGTGTGATTGTGTCACAAGAGATAAAGAACAGTAATGAACACAATTGCTTTTTATTTTCAGTACAACCAGATACAACATAGCGAGGTGCCATAAATGCTATATGTTAGCGAGTATATACGTATGTTTTGCAATTAATAGTTTTGGTCTTTTTATAGGATGTTTAAAAGTCTTGAACTGGAGGAAGTACCTCCAGTTGTTTATCAATTGTTGATATTATGCACCAAAGGACATAGGATTTCAGTTCTGGAAGGAGTCATCGACTACTTCACTTGTCTTGATGTTGAATGTGCTCAGAATGAAGGGACGGCAAGGTAGTTGAACCAGCTCAGGTTTTTACATCTCAGAATAAAAGGTGTAGAATTCGTCGTTGATCGATTTCGAACAAAAATTCAGACTTACAATCGGCAAACTCGCGGGGTTTTTTACAGAGATGAAGAACTACAAGGTATTTCTAGTGATCAACTTCGGCATACTGAGGGCAACGTTATTTTACACATCACCTTTGCAATGAAACAAGATCAGGAGCTCGGAAAAGAATTTGTTAAGCACTTAAAGGTCAGTCTTTCGCATACAGCTAAAGTAAGGAAACAAAGTGACTTTTGAGTTTTCCAGCGTTCAAAACGATCTGTTTTATTCCCTTGCCCGAATCAAATATGTCCGAATTCAATTGGATTTTTTTTGCTAGGCAAGCCAGCAACATCCACAAAAGATTCTCGTCGCTTTTAATTTGGCTATTGCATTATCTGTTGCCCAAATTCATCGCTTTGAAGAACCAGTAAGTCGTTTAGCTAAAGCTGATCCATTATTGCATTATTTATATAGTTTTTTTTTAGGTTTCAAGTCATTTCTCAATGCCATTCGTCGAAGTAACTATAATTTGGTTCATTTCTAGATTTTTGATGTACTTAAAGCCGCTGTCCTGAAGTGTTTTAAAAGCATTAGGCTAAGAAATGCTTCAAAATGGATGCAAGGTTAAGATTTTTACCATTAAAATCATCCCACTAATAACAATATAAATTTTAGACAGATTCTGAAGGTTATGAAAATTAAAAAAAGCTGTTTCATATATCTTTCCAATTCAGATAACGTCGAAAATATTCCAGATATATCCAAAGAAATCCTGCAAACGGTTCAGAATAGGTATACGTATAACTTTTTGCATTCACGTCACTTTCTGATCTTGAATGCCGAATGCCAATGGTTTTGAAGAATTGATTAATTTTTGTTCAGCATGTTTGGTTGGGATCACGTTGCCCAGGGTATCGTTCAACTCGGATTCCTGTTGATGGATGCGTTTGGTTCAAAGAACCATGGTAAGCAATACGTTTATAACCAAAGTTGCTGATATGTGTATGCAGACAATTTGCACTCGTGATATGTGAGAGGGTCAACGAGACTATGTTTGCATAATCGAGAAACGGCGAGCTGAAAAATGCATCATTACTATACTGGAAAGAGAATCTTAAATTTAGCGAAATCACACAATTTTGTTAGAAAGTGCCATAGGAGAAAATAATCCTGCGAAGTGTGAGCTTTTGTGTATGAACTCGAAATGCTTCGATGGTTTCAGATGCAAGTAATATGGCGCAATGCACTCCACAACAAGAATCCTGTCAATTGGGAAATCAAATCTTGTTAAAAACGTTCAAGGTAGAAATCTTTTGAATAAATCTTCATAGATATGGTAAAAGCCTTGCTGAACATAATATTTGTAGAGGTTGAAAGAACTCGGGCATATATACATGAATTCTCGTGCTTTACCGTTTAGGTCCATGATAAGATTCGTACTGAAATCCTCGAACAGATTTTCAACAGGCTGCTCACAAAAGCGACCAGTACTTCCAATCACTATATAGGTGGGTTAAGTGTTAGGAATTGTTGCTAAAATTTTCCTGATGAAGAAAATATGAGTGTAGTTGAGATGTTTAATAAAGTATTTTTTACTGGTCTTCACCAGATCTTCTTCAGAAAGCGGTTGTCTCTAATCCTCAAGCTCTTCTGGATTCCATATCTAAGGTTAGATTAGGATACAGAGTTTGCTTCCGGAGTTATCATAATTTTTCATTCAAAGAATCTGTGCTTTACATTCAGGTGAAGGAGGCGTTCGAATATTTGTCGTGTTTGCCTTTCATCACAGCTCGAGGCCTTTTGCAAGCTGTCCTGGTAAGAGTGTGAATTGTGGTCATATTGATAATATTGTAATAATTTCGTGGCGAATGACTAGTACAGTAGCTGTAGCAGCCAGAAAAGCATTCCTTTTTCCTGTTCGTAAACTGAATAATGAAAGCTACAAAATTAATATCTTATTCACCTACGGATGGCGTCTTTCTCTATTAGCCTCTCATGAAGATCAGCATTACGCTAAGAGATTCGTTGATGCTCGTCTTGAGGAAAGCCATGTTCTCGAGGTAGTAAGGATAAAACTTTATATCCTGTTTCGTCGTCTACACTTTACAGTCTTTACGACACGATGACAGGCCGCCATAATAGCTATACCCGTTAGTTAATAATCATGTGTAATGACAGAGTAGAAACTGACTAACCTTTGATTGTAACACAGGAACTTGGAAGCACGAAAAATTGCAGTTAGTGGTTTCCTTCTGGTGTTAAAACATTTCAAGGTAAATTAACATGGATCAGGTTTTTGTATGCTGTACTCTATACTGTAGTTTTGAAGTTTCAAACTGTCTTGGAAACTGTCAGTGTTGTAAACTGTCTATAGGACCCAGTTAAATGATAAGACCTGAGCGTGTTGTATGTTTCGTATTAAGGTCCGTGCAAGCAACATAACGTCAAGCCAATCTTTAAGTCAGAGCAGTCAGTCTTCGGCCCATTCATCAAGTCAGATTCAGGTGGATGTTCACAACACCAGCAGTGGAGGCAACACGGGAAATGAAGCTTTGTGTTTGGAAATTTTAGGTACGAATTTTGGACAACAGAAGAAAAACTAGTATAGAACTATCTTAAAATGATGAAACTCGACCGATGCACGCATACTGTATGATCGGACTCATTCTGCATTAACTCTGTGGTTTCTGACTGCTATCAATAGTTTTACTAATAGCAGATCGAGCTTCTAAGCTGGCTTGATGAATGAACAAATAAGGTTCCACGTGCACAGCACATGACGAGTTTTATATTATTATATTAATTCCAGGGGGGTTGCGTCGTTGCTTCAATCAGCAGGCTGACGTCCGCATTCTTCTTTACGAGGTATGTAAGGACCACTGAATCACAATCTTGCAAGATCGCATTGAAAACTATCGTAACTAGTTATCGTTCCTGGGCAACTCCTGGGCAACATATAAAAGAAAAGTTAAATTATCTTCCTTCGGGGTTATATGTTAAGGGTCTTTGCGATGTTTTGAATTTAAACTCTGAGTTGCAACAGTCAGCGATGGAAATCGTTCACAAACAAGTGAGTATGGTTTATCAGTTCTATTTAAATTTTCTTAAATACCCTGCTCAAGTCATGCGCATTATTTGGTGGTGGACATTCGCGATGCATATAAATACAAAATGCGTTCTGTTGTTTTCTTGTTAGTTTTTAAAATATTATGAACACGACGAGGAAATTCTTCCGCCTCTAAAACTGGATCCTTGTCTGACGGCAGCTGGCGATCAGGTCTTCTTGGCTGAGCCATTGGTGGGTCAAATAATAAACTGGGTTATATTAATGTGTCCTGCATGCTTTATATTTGAACCATAGATCCAAATACATAAAATTTATATGAGTCTTCTATGCCGTATTGCTATCACCTCAGGGACATCTCCTGAGTTTACTTCAACAAAGCCTGGTCAGAAATTTGAACAGTTCTGAACAAGATGACCCAATGGACACAGGTGACTATATCGGATAAAGTAATAGAATGATTATAGTGAATGGTATACTCGACCTTGGTAAGAAAAAAATCAGTCATGGTCGAATATATCGGAATATAGTATACTCGACCTTGGTCAGTTCCGAATGCTTGGAGAATGCTCTTAGATATAGGATATTTTCATTTGTGATTTATTGCTTTTTATTTAGATGAGACAGAGGATTTAAATCGTTTCACAGAAAAATTAAAAGAGGAATTTACCTCATTGACACAACGCATGAATAAAAGCGAGCTGGATGACTTTGAACTTGTAAGAAACTGAATAGATTGTGAACGTTTTGATCAGCGTTCGTTTATTTTGGCTTAAAATTTGTTAAGATTTTTAACTTCTATTCCTGACATTGACTGATTCTTTTGGTATGATGAAGCATCATGTCGTGTTGAAGGAATTCTCACACTGCTGAAGTTTATATGGAGATATTTCTTTTTGTTTTCCTTGTTTGTCGTAGGACAAGTCAGCAGATTATTCCTTGGGTAATGGTGTGGGAGTGAAGAACAATATATTCGCCTGTCTGGTCCTTGGAGTTTTTGAGGTGAATCTGTTCTTAATGTACGAGTGCTTGTGTGCTAGTATACATACGAAACCGGGCATACATATGCAGCTTAGCACATTTCAAGACAATTTTTCCCCATTATAAACACGTTTACTGCTATTGCCCACTTCCCTCTGACGTCTATATTGCTCTCTTGGTATGATATTTATATGCTAGGTTTTGCTAAGTGGGGATGTTATTACGGTTATACATTTTTAAAATGTATGTTTTGAACAAGTATTGGGATTTCTGTAGCCTCTCGCCATGCAGGATCAGAGTAAAAAGCGATTGTGATCTCATTTTAGGTTCTAATGGAGCACGCGTTCACTGTTGGAGATTTCAGGTACATAAACCATCATGTAACATTATGTACAGTAAATAGAATATTTTAATTCATTATTAACCTGATAATGCAAACAAGATATAAAAAAATTGATGCCTTAAGCATGCAGGATTCAAATTCGCCTCGTTGACCGTGCATGAGCGCCCTTCATGTTCGTAATCTAGTGTGTTTGCTTCGCTTTTTCGTTATATTCCAGCGAGGAAAGCTGTGAAATGATCTTGAGTTTGTTCAACAAATACTGGAAACTCTCAAATCTTCTTAAAGGGACGAACGCAAGCCAAGGTACAGTATATATACTGTAGGGTCTCTGTAATATATACAGTATACACTCATCATTTTCTTTGTTTCGTACTTTTCATCATTTTTTTTACGAAGGGAAAAAGGCAAAGCAATCTTCATCAAAACAGATTGCAAGAAGCCTGTTCTCTTTGAGTGCTATAGCAAACATTCTCAAGGCCGTATTGAGGTATGAGCTAAGTAAATTTTCTGTGAAGTCCTTTGAGTTCACTAACCACTAATCTGATCGAGTTTTATTGCATGATTATTTCATTCAGCGATGCTCTTCCCGGCCATCAAGCCAGTCTGGACACTTTACGAAATTCAGGCGACTTTGTTCAGTACATTCTCACTGTAACACTGCAAAAACTCACTCAGGTGTTTATCCACATTAATTTCTTTTATCTTACTGAAGTTGTTAAAAATGTATGAAACCTCTGGGTATTTCAAGGCATAAGTCTTCAGGAAATCTAATCGTGTTTAGATAAATGACAATGGTTATTGTGATGGAGCTAATGGGAAGAATGCGGAGCATGTTTATCGCCAGTGCACGAAGATTGCCCGGTGAGTTTCAATTGTAAATATGTGTGTATTTCCCCATGACTCAGTCATTGTGTTAAGGATAATTGTTAGGGTTCGTTCCTTAATTTTTGTCTATGACAAGCTTTACTTCATATTTCTACGAGTCCACAGCCTCACGATCTTTTTTCTCCCCTCGCATTCATAAATATCCCCTAGAATTCATAATTATCCCCTCGAATTCATTATTACCCCCTTTCATAACCTTCCCTTCATGTCTGCTATAAAGTGTCAACAAACTAAGGCGTCTGAACTGTGTATTTTCACTTTCTCAACGATCGTTTCAATCTCCTACTGTATGTCATAATATTCACACCTTCACCTGATTCCAATTGACTTAAATTTGTTGTTTCTTTGGCTTTCTAACGCGTACAGAGTTTTGCTTAAGACGATCAATGGGGAAAGTTCCATTACTAAGAACTTGGACAAAGTTAGTCGAATATTTTGCAATTTTCTCAAATTTTAAAAGTTGTTTAAATTTTTCGAATTTCTAAATTTTGTAATGTTCGCGGTATGTCGTTTAGATCGTCAGCCATAGTTTGCATAGCATGTTCCTAGTGATCAATATTATTGGCAACAGATATCGCGAGAAGATACAGAAATTCCTGGCCGCCTTAGGTAAGATCATCACGAACTTCATCTACGGACTTACTCTACTATTAAGTCCATTTCAAAAATTTACCCACTTATAAAATGAAAAAATGAAACCTCTCTTGTCTGTTTGCCTTTAATAAATACAAAATGAAAACTGCCCAAACATGAACAGATTACAATTACCTGCCTCGTTTTTGACGTCTTTTGTCAAGTATCTATTGTTTGAAATATTTCATTGTGTGCAGATCGGGATAACCAGGAACTTGAAGCGGTTGATGATGAGAATGAACTAATTCATCGACACATTACGAAATATCAGGTCAGGGTCTTCATCTGAAATGAATGAGGTCATATTAATGAGAGAGTGTTTAACTTGGGCATTTCTGTAATGAAGTATCTTGAAATTGAAAATAGAAATTCAATTCTATCCTCAACTATATAAAATCAAGTCCAGAGTGTATGCAAGATATGTTAGGTTGTGAAAGTTGCTCACAAATTCAAACTCTCGTTTTATAGGTTTTAATCGTGACGACTTTGGCTTCTCCCAGCGATACGATGTCAATGAAAGACCTACCTCACATGATTAATATTATATCTTTATTGACGCGATGTTTGAAACCAGCTTTAGACAAGGTACAGCTACAAGTGTTCACAATCGTTTCAACTGATATAATAAATTATACATATTATTCGCGGATGTTAGATCAATATGAATTGCATCTCCGAGAAAGAATCGATCATGTTCGACTGTATTACGTTCATGATATCATCTTGATGTAACTGTATGTACATGCATATATGATCAAAGCAATTATTCTGGTCTGTGGCCTGATCTATCCAAGTACGGAAGATTTGTCTGATAATGAATTTTTCATATTTAAGATTTCGCAAGTCCAGTCTTGGGTCAAGAGAATTTGCATGGAAAACAATATTGGTAAGAAGATGCTACTATTGAGAAGACCTTTGAAGACGCTGCCATTCTGATCTTTGGTGTTCCTACATCATGCTACCGCTTGATCGTTTTTCATATGCCTGATTAACCATAATGTTTACTTTGTTTTTGATACAGACGATGTGAATGTTTCCAAGAGCTTTGTGTCCTTTATGCTAAGTTTGACAACGCAAAGTAGCAGCAAACTCACTTTGGTAAGTGAATTACATCCTTCAATGATCACATTAAAGTATGTGCCCGCGAGCCTCTATCGCTGCCCAAAACTGCATTTGAAATAATAATTCCATATCCAGAAACCCATCAGTCTTCCCTTCCACTTTTCTTTTTCAACTTCCACCTCAATGACCCCCGGTGCCATAAATCTAGATGTATCCAGATGGAGTTTTAAAATTATTTTGATTCAAGGAAAAAGAGTTGGCCGCTGATATCCATAAAAATGTTGGTGATATTGACGAGGTATAACTGTCGTGTGTGTTAGATTTTTTTACGCGCCGGCTTGTTCCTCAATTCTTATATTTTTTTTATTGTATTGATCATCAAATTTTAACGTTCACTATCTTACCGCATTCTGTCCAATGTTTGCAAATGAATTTCATTCGAGTACAACTTTGAAAGATTCCCTAAAGCTTAACAAAAATATATGGCCGACACTTTGGCTCACCCTTGTTTATACTTTGTACGTTTATTTTGACAGGACATTGAAATGACTGATGATTCTTATTTCGCAATTGTCAACGAACGGACAGCAGCACCCAGCTTGTTGGTAAGAATAATAAAAAAGTCTTAGATTCACTTCTGGAAAAGCACATCGACGTTTCTACCACAGTCTCTTTGCACAAGATATATTTCATGAATCCATCTCAATCTATCGTGTACGATGCTGCTTGCATCCATCCATGAGTGATCCATATTAACATTCATTATCATTATATTTTCCCAGATGGTCTTGTTAAGCCAGACCGACAAAGTGTTGGATGAAATAGACTGGTTTTTGGCGAAGATAAAAGCTGATAATACCAAGACTTCATTGCAAAACGAAGAAGGTTGTTTTGAATTCGTGTATCCAAAAATCCTTGTATATATTACTGTATTAGAGTTATTCTGTATATACATGCATGCACTTATGGCATTTTCCAAAAATTTCACCGATGTTTTTTTTCAGAAGAGGACGATGCTAGTCCATCGTCGCCAAGAAGCGGTCAAGAGAAATCAGTTTGTGATCGGATAACAAGCATAGTGCATGCATTTCATGAACTTGTGCAATCTGCAATTCCAGTTGGGACGTGTACAGAACTTTTGCTAAAGGTAGATGAAGCCTGTCTAGTTGTTTCCAACATTTTAATCCTCCCAAAATCCGCCAAAGTTAATAGTGTCGCACAATATTTGTGCAACAGACTAGCAAATGATGAACAAATGAGTAGCTGTTTGTATTCAAATAATTTGTGTTAAAATAGACATTTGTGATCTCTTGTAGACACTAACGAAGTTTTATTCCACTCTGGGTGTCATAGCTAAATATGTAAGTATATATACATATACGTTTGGCGGGAAATATATAGTGGTTTTTGATATAACAACTTGCTTTTGCTGTCTACTTTAGTATCTGTCATTGTATGCTCAAAAAAGGGGTCATGTAACTCCATCGTTTGAGAAAATGGTACGTACAGCATTTTGCCTTGATAAACTGCAGTGACTTTTAGAATTGGAAATAGTCAATGTATTTTACACCTATTGCTTGTAATCTGCAAAGATCTCGTGAATCAAATCTCCCGCCTTATTTTGCAGGTGAAATGCTCTGGAACTCAGCTTTCCCAGCAAGTGTACGCGTTCCTAACATACGTTCAAACTGCCGAGCAAGAAACGCGAGGAAAAGCAAAAGATAAAGTTTCGACAAGAGCTGGAAACTTAACCAAGGTATGGTTGGCGTGCAGAACCCCTTCCAGAATTGCTAGTCCAATTAATATTTTGTAGATTTCAGGTAGGGTCGCAACAAAATGAAATCAAAAGTTTATATTAATTATTCAAATGTCCATAACACTGAGATGGCATCTCTGTAAATAGGTACGAGTAATGAAGGAAATGAAGTCTGTTCCGAATCTGATCTATGCGGTTGAACAATACGAACGGTATCTTATTCAGCTGACAAAGAAATCAAAGGTATTGTGGCAAATGGTCTAATAGTTTTAGTAAACTATCAAAACGGAACGGAGTCGAAAAGAATGGTTGCTGACAAATTTAGCCATTCACATGCATGCAGAATTTCTGGACGAGCTATTCGGTTTACAAGCATCTAAGAGGATTGTTTTTATGTGTAGAAAATGATTCGGTATTCTCGTTTAATGTAGGTAAATTTTATGGAACATTTTAAGCGAAGCACTTCGAGAGATTTTCGAATCAACGGCGCAACTCTCGATGCTGCTCTGAGAGAAGATTCAAGTGAAGACGAAGAAGAACCGGTACACTCAACCTTATTTTGTATTTTTCAAAAAGAACTTCTTTTTCCATTGAAGTGAAAAGCTTGATCCTGCATATTGCATTGCAAGATTATTTCGTCTCAACTGTTTTCGTTTATAATCGTCTCATCTTTCATTTCCAGGATACGGCAAAAGAGAACGAGGAACCTCCAAAGAAGAAGGGTAAAAAGTAGTGCGCTTGGTAACTTGTTGATTTTCAAAATTCTGTTTCATTTTTACTTTATATATAGTTGTAAATAAGTTCGAGTTACCCCAGGGACGCTATGACAAACGTTGTTGAAGAAACATTTTATTATGAGACATGTTTCTAAAGAATAATAACAGATATTCTACAGATTTATGGCGATTCACGTGGTCTGTCCGTGATCATTACAATTTGAAATGTTTCCACATTATTTTCCCTTTATTTCTCTCACTCCAAGTCTCATGTTCCGGTTATACAAACTCTCATTCACCAATTTCTTTAAACATCTTTGTTTCTAACATTCGAATGTCGTTGAACAGCAGCGTGGGTTCGCAGTAAATCATCTTCGAACACAATTCAACAAGTTGCCTTAAAGATTTTGACAAAACAGCGTCGTTCCACCATCTCGTACGTGATATTTCCCATTGACGGTCGATTGTCACGGGAAAGTCATAAAGAATGTAACGATTTTTGTGTACTTCGTTGCTGGATTCCTGCTGAATTGTTTCAGATCTTCTCTTATAATAATCAGATAATATGTCCGAACGTATTCCTTTAGGTCGAGTACTATCCTCAATTGTGCTTTCCATCGATGCTTCACGGTTATTTTTGTACATTTTAGCAGACAAAAACGGAAAACTATTTACACTTTCCCTCTCACTAATCTCGTCGTTTTCGTCTGTCTTCAAGAACAGACTAAACGTACTAGCATATTCTTCCTGCTTTTTTACGTTTAAACCTTTGACACCCTTAACCTGCCGTTGATAGCGATGAACAGTGCTCTCAGGCTTCCACGCGCCGAACAGTTTCTCTTTGCAGAATTTGCTGTAGTTTCGACAGTCTTTGAGTTTCCCTAAATCTTCCTTGCTCCATGGCACACCGCGTTCAAGACGCAAGGAATGAGACGTATGGATGGTTTCAATAACATCGTCCCAGGTTGGAAAGTACGTTTTCCCGTCTTCTTCCACGTCTGTCGTTAGCTTTGACAGCTCGCTGGAAAAATATACAAGAGACATGGAGTGTTAGAAGAAGGATTTAACAGACGAGACCTCGTATTCTACAGAGAAAGAAGATCTTGGCGTAAAACTGAGTCATGCACTTACTGTTCCGTGAAGTCGTCTAAACCGTAGATCAACCTCAGGGAGATGATGATATAAGCCATTGCCAAATCGTCGTAGTTGAGAAGACCACTTAACGATTCAAAATTCAAGTCGATGATTTCGACAACGCTACTTATGTAACGGTGGATGCAAGCTGAAATAAATGGCAAAGATATTTGTCAACGCTGGGTTACAGTACCCAGATCTAAGCGAGGGTTAACAAGTGACAATGAATAGTTATGTTAGCTACAAATATATTTAGAAATGCATTTTACCCGGAAGCTGAAGGTCGATAGCGAATCTTGCAATGTATATATTGATTTCATGCTTGGGTATATCTGGAAGGTCTATGAATGTTTTCACTCTTCTGGCAAGTAACGTGATGTTATTCTTGTTCGGCACAGTCGATCTTGTGAACATCATAATGTCAGACTGGGATAGCTTCATGTGACTTGGAAAGTGTTTTGTTGCATCAAAGTAAGGAAAATGTCCCTCAACCGCCCATCTAAACGGAGTGTAGAAACCACAGGAATATTAGTTGGTGTGCTGTTGTATGTGACATTTAGGGATACAAGTTGTATGTAACTGCATTTTCGAAGATAAAACTCTGTGCATTTGTCATATAGAAATGCAAAGTTCTTTGTCACAATCGTGGTATCCAACCTTATCAGATCGGCCAGGCATATTGGTTCTTTTATCCACAGCAACGACAGGAAGCAAAATGCCACCGTGTGCTGCATGGTCATGAATCGTACATCGTAGTATTTTTTACGCGATCTTTGAACTGTGGTTCGATGAACATCCACAGATCCAACGTGGCTACCCGCATCGATATTTTCGATCTCATCAACGTCTTCAAACAATCCCCCGGTAGGGTCATCATCTATGATTAAAAACGGAAGAGAAATGAAATCAATTTCATACTCTTCCAAGTGTGAACGCGTTTCTAGACTAGAGTTTAGTTAATTTTTGCAACCTCCCAACAATTTCTCACCTTCATAAAAATCTTCTCTCGCGATTTCAGAGCTCAACTCCAAAGCATCATCGTCAATGTTTGATTCACCTCCAAAACATTTTGGTGTTTTGCGAGGAATCGAATCGGTTGGTATAAAATCTTCACTTATGAAGTCCCGAGCCCTTGTCACTCCAGAAAAATTTTGGTTCTGCCGTGTACCAAATGCATTCGTTGATTTTTCCACGAAAGTGAACCACATCTGACCAATGATATTCTGAAAAAAACACCCAATTATTTTCACGTCTTTCAAAATATTTAAGTCAAACAATGCCTTCAAAATAGCGATAGAAATTTTTATCTGATACATGTGGTAGTAATATGGTGGATGATAACTCGAACGTGATTGCTTTGGCAACTTTACATGTAAGTCGTTCATTTGCTAAACACCAAGCCTATGTAAGGCTTTTAACCTATTCAAACATTTCAAATATGTTTTCTGTTTTACCTTTATAGCAGGATCTACACCAATTTTCATTAGAAATTCAATTTGTGCCTTTAAGACAACTTGAAATCCTTCCAAAGTAAACCAAGGTTTTCCACAGTCGAACACTTCAAATATATTAATTAGTTTGAAACATTACTAACTACTAACCAGTAACCATTCACATATAGCAACAATTCACTGACACTCAAGTTAATAAATCATTTGGCCTTTGAGACATGGTAATTGAATAACAAAGGGCAAATTGCCAGCTAATGTTTGATCACCTTTCCTTTGTCTTTTGTTAGTTTTCTTCAGACTTAGTTTTCCATCAATAGGTTCATTACGATCAACCTCATGAACTTCCTCTCTGACATCCTGAACAACATCAAAACATATATGAATCAAAATGCAATGCAGCTCATGACAGTCTCCACATGCAGAGGTGAGCTTTCTCTCCTAAGGTAAGCAATGCATGAGCTAGGACATTCCTTGCAAAGCAATTTCAAAACACACCATTTCACAGTCTGTGTTCATTAAGCTCATGCACTTTTTATGGCTCATTACCATAGAAATAATAGAAATGTCTATTATTTCTATACTCATTACACTGTTTGGGTAAATATTACCCAAAAATGAGAGATTGGCAGATGGTTATCTGTACTGGCTTACCAATGAAACTCAGCCGATACCAATTCTCTCTTTGAGGCCAATCAGTGAGCTAATTGCACATGACACATATACAATGTTGAGGGATTGAGAGAACTAAAAGCACTGACTAAAAGGGGCAATCTGTTATAATCATTGATTTATCATTGATTGATCTACCAGTGATTATATTCTAATCTGACCATGTCTTGGCCTAGCTCCCCCACACCCACAGACCTGTGGGGAAGAGCAGCTATGTCACAGCACAGACCCGCCTTGCGACTGCCACTGATCTCGATACCTGTGATTGGGTGCCACATTGGGTACAAAAATACATTCCGTCCATCACATCGAAAGTTTGACTGTTACAAATAACACATTCAGGCATGTTGTCAGCCAATCACAATACAGTATAAAGGTCTCTTAGTGCCAAGAATAATCCATGTGCATTTTTGTCTACAAATTGATAGTCCGTGAGAGTTGGGCACGAGTTGAGCCGTCTGGGGTCGATTGTTGTCCAGCGGTCACCACAGGAAAATAAAATGGCGGTTTAAAAATTGCAAATATTTTTACGTTGTTTTGATTTATTTTTCTGAAAATCGACACGCTTTAAGAAAAAGGAAACGTTTGTAAAAGGTTGCTGGAACGCAGTATTTTATCGTAACGCGGTAATTTAGTGTTTACGACGCTTAGATTACAAGGTAGGTGTGCTTTTATTGCAATTGGCCTTTTGATCTAGCACCTCTGGTGAAGTAAATTCGAACATTTTTGCTGTGGAATTGCTCTTAGAATGTACGATCAAAGTTGAAACAGGATTCAATAGTATTGTGTATGATACTTTCATATAAATATACTGTATACTGATCGTTACATATTAATCTAAAGCGTCTGCAACACAAAAATTGTTTTGCAGTAATAAATAATAATCGCCTGCGCACTGCAGGAGAGGAATCAACGTGAGCCTCGCTCAAGAAAATGTGAAAATTGTTTTTTTTTGTGGTTGTGGCGTTAATTCCCTTTGTACATAATCCTGGTGTGTGCATGAATCATTCTGATATGTAGAGAGATTCATACACATACTAGGTTGAAATTGAAGTCTTGAATTTTGAATGCAAATATCCAAATACTGTGGTAGAAGAGAGGTGGTACTTATAGATCTGTGTAGATGCTTTGTAAGATTCTGCTTGAAATTATTCAATAACAATTAACAAAGTACTGCCATAATCTATTTGTTAAATGAAGAATCCTAACTCACAATAAATTCCTTTATAAGAATCTTTGTTCTAGCATAAATTGAGAAAAATATATCTTGCTATAGAAAATCTTGTTCTATAGTAGATGAATCTACATACTTGTGTGAGCAGACCGTACTTGACACTTTGTCAATACTCCAAAATAGAACTTTATAATCTCTCTGAGAAGGTCTTCTTTATTCCCAAATGTTGCTCTGAAACAGCAGTCTTTCTTGGTCTGGAAAATTTTGAAAACTTTTGTGCACATACTGTAGATGAAAAACCTAAGTTTCATCAGATAACTTGCTAGTAATCAATGCAATAAATGCTATATATATATAGCAAGGTCTGCATACATGTAGTTCATCTTCTTTTAATTCTGCCCTGTTAAGGGTGAATTCAAACTTTACAATACCTGTACATACGTAAATATCCAAATAAAAAAATGAAGACAAATTTCTTCTTACAGTCAGACTATTTGATCGCACGGTTAATCAATCCATGTGCAAACCATGACTGCCTCAGTGCAACCCTGGAACGATCCTTTTAACGGCTCAGCCATGGATGGCATAGAGGAAGGACTTTTAGATGAGACATGTGATACCACTCAGAAATTCCAGGAAACATCTACCGCATTTCCAAAAACAACTAACCATGGTTGGAAAGAGCTTGTCAGTGATCCCAGCCTAAGTGAAGTCGATGTTTCTGAAAAAAGCAGAGCCCAAGACCATGATGCTAAGGTAGTAGTCGGTCGCAAAGATTGGGATCATTATCTCAGCGCTTTCTCGCTAAATGACGAAGATGACGGAAGATTTGTAGCATTAGAATTCCATCCAGAACAAAGAGACGACGTTGGGATGTCCGCCAGGGTTGATTCAGTAGAAAGTCGAGAGATGAACTTCAGCAAAGGAAGTATGCTTCGTAGTGCTGATGCTATAGGTACGGTAGACAGTGCAGTAATGCCCAAGGTGTCCGCTATTACTGGAGCCAAAAACACTGTTGGAAGCAAAGAAGGTCAAAATCAAAATACCATCACACATGAGAGTTCTTCCAGGAACACCTTTGGTGTTTCCGAAGACTCCTCATTTCATGCAAGAGGAGCTGATATGAAGCAACCATTTGCAACTAATGCGATGTTTACTTCTTTCAAAAACCTTCCAACAGTAGATTCAGACATCTTGATGAACGTCGGTGGTGGAACCCAAGCATCTGACAGACGAGCGATATCGGCGTTAGATAGCCATGATGCCGTTTCATATTTTCCGAAACGGTCGAGCTTCTCTCCAAGGGCAACTTCTGCGCCACTCTGGCAAGAGGAAGATAAGAGCAAACAATCGTCCCTCTTCGGTGCAGTGAGCACATCCACCGATTTCCAGACTGGGAAAGCTGCAAAAGATTCCGAAGCTGGTCGTGTTGATATTGTCGGTGAAGTACGAGCAGAAAGTGCAGCGAAGTTGGACGATTGGGAAGGCCCGTTAGAACACAGGAAGATATCAGATGCAGACGAAGACAGTGATCTACCAAGATCTGCCATCACGAGGAATCCATCGGGTGAAGATATTAAAGATGGAAGTTTAAAGCGAGATTTCTCGACCAATGCACCTTCTTTTTATGCAACTTACTCTACTTCAAAAGCGCGTTTCTCAAGGCAAGGAACAGGGGATGCTGGAGGGACATCAGGTGAAAAAACCTCCGGTGATCGTAAAAAATCCGAAGATGGTGTGAAAGGTAATTTTGCTTCCAGAAGTAATTCAAAAGTTGCAGAAAAGGAGTTGGAAATAGAGTTGTTATCAGAAGATGGTGACCGCCACTCCGTCGTTGGAAGTGGCTCAGAAATGGACGATGCTGTCGAGAAGAGAGACTCGGGTTTGCTGGACGATATGAGGACAAGTCTACCTTCTACTGACATCCTAAAGACCTCCAATCCGAAAAACGTCGATCATGCAGAAAGCTTTTTAGAAACGTCCAATGTCACCACATCCAGGGAGGCGGCTGAGAATCTACCAATCCGTCCTCTGACGATAGGAGACAGCTTGAACATAGGTTCAACTGTTGCATACAGACCTATAAGTCCCTTCTTGGCAGATACTCATCCTGCTGGTGCTACCTCATATGATCCTGTGGTACCGTCAACAACCTCGGCTGCTGCCAGCCATCTCTCAGGTTCGCAATATTCCGAGGGTGCGTTGGACGCCGAAGAGGAAGGAGGTGACATGTCCGCTCGCGAACGTCTCCAACCGTTGGGTCGCGATGGGTTAGAAGTGAAAAAAGGACCTCCTTGGGGTATAACCATGCCCTTGTTCCAACCAAGCTCTCGCGATTCCTCGCTTTCTTCCAATGACAGCAATGCAAGCACCAGTCAGTTTCATCAACTCCAAGCAACTTCACCACAACACTCCAAGCAAGAAATTGAACCTCTGCTCAGCAGATCTTCCACACCGTCCGAGTCTGATCTATCCCGCAAAGCGTCAGTAAAGTCGCTGGAACCAAAGGAACCTATGGGAGTGAAGATGATGACCGCCACGGACAACCTCAAAACGCCGTTAGCAAAGTTTCATCAGCTACACTCCGCTGCTGATGGCGACAGCCCTGTTTCAAAAATCCTCGGGCCAACTTTCAAGGCGACGCAAAAAATGTTGGAGGAACTCCAGAGAAAGCCTCTTGGGGCATACGATGAAGATCTGGACCAGCCATCTGTTGAAAAAGCTGAAGGTACAAGTAAATATGAGGGTGAGACTCCAGTTGATCGAGAAACACTTGTTGCAGACAAAAGATTTGATGCTGGTCAAGATGGGGGCAAACAGGGGGAGAGAAGTCAGGACGTTAGTAGTATTGACGCCCAAGACAAAAGACCTCAAGACAGGAGGTCGTCTCACGAGAGGAGATCTTCGAGGGAGAAGGTTGAGAGATCGAGCCGAGATTCGTATTATGACGACTCGATCAATCTTCGAACACCTGATTCATCGCATGCCCCTAGGGCAGCATCTGGCGTCTTGAGTAGCAGACGTGGCTCGGGTATGGATGATATTGAAAAAGCCCGAAACAGCAGACCTTCTTCAAGGGAAAACGACGTTGGGAAAGCAAGCCGTAGTTCATCTCGTGTGAGCTCCATTGTCCGTGGAACGCCTGATATTACTCCTACAACTACCACAAGCCTTAGAGCCACGAACGATACTAAAGCTCCTGATGCAGTTGACATTCAGAGAGTCCAAAACAGCAGACCCTCCTCAAGAGAAAACGAGAAGAAATCAACACGGGATTCGTATTATGGAGCCTTCATAAACCAAGCAACGGTTGAAACACCATCGACAACTGCTGCGCAAATTGGCATTGTCGATAAGAACCGCAGCTTGAAAGCGAATGATGTTCAAAGAGTTGAAAGTGGAAGACTTTCTTCAAGGTGGAATAAGACTGCATTGGATACAGTGATCGTACATTTGGGTGAAGCAGATGCTACCCGAAGTTCGCCAGCTGATGTATCTCAAATATCCCGAAACAGCGGACATTCTTCAACTGGAAGGAAGGTTGAGAAGCCGAGCATGGCCTCAGTCCTTGAGTTTTCAAAAGGGGAAAATTATTTCCGATCTACACAGATCCCAAACGTTTTAAGTCAACCGCACAGTTCAACGGTTTCGTTGCAAGCTGACTCCGCACGAAGACTGGGCAATGGTGCCATGGGTAGCCAGACTCGAAGGAATGAAAGTCATAAAACAAGTGGAATGACAGACAGCACTTTGGGGAACAGTGTCCTCCTTTCTGGTCATTTGGTTACCACTGGAGCGGAGCCGGAACCCGAAGGTAGTGTTTTAGTATTTAAATAACATTCGTTATTGTGGCTGGTTTTCGCTTCAGAAACGTTATCCCGAAAACCAAGTGAAGAAAGGAATGCTATTTTTGGTTGTGAGTTCTCGATCAAAACTAATAGAATTTATTTTGATTATGTGTGGAGGATAATATCTAGAGTGAAATCCAGCCTGTAACGAGTTTTTCAAATCTAGATTCAGTGTATAATTATTAGTTTTTTTGGGAAATATCTAGGTTCAGCAAGAGAGAACGTCGAGCCAGAGATTATCCAATCGCCGAACTTGGCAGAAGACCGCAACGATGCGAGCGATTTGAGCGAATTCGACCGCGTCGCTTCAGAAAGCATCTCGTGGTCCAATGCCTTGGCCAATCAATTTCGAGCTGAAATGAGATCTGCGGACCTTGACTTTGAAGAAAGATTTCAAGGTCCGCGAGATGACCAGGCCCCTGAGAATCTGGCAGCCATTTCATCGCGCCAAGATTCAGGTCTCAGCGAGTCTTCAACTAACGATGAGGTATACCGACCCAAACGACTCGCGCGATTGTCCGCAGGAAACGGACCAATCGGAGTCTACGACGTACGTCTGTCGTCGGGTCCCGGAAGTACGAATCGAAAAAGGTTAGCGCTCGGTAAGAAACCTCGGGAGAGCTCAAAGTCATGGCTAAATGATGGTATTTATGTATCTGATGGGACGGCAGGGACAAGCGGTACGGATAGGGATAGCCAAGGCAAGAGCCAGCAATCTGGTCATAGGAGATATAGGGATACTTATGTATCTGAGGGGACAGCAAGCGGGCCTGAGCATGTTGATAATGGGATCGACAGTGGTCCCGAGGAGCAGTCGACGCCGAAGTCGGAGGGTATTACTGGGAGGCAAAGTAATTCACTCAAGAACAAAGATTTTCCTTACAAAGAAAGCAGTAAGACTGCAACGGACACTTACTATGGTTTAACAAACTTTGAACCTAAAAGTGGAGGCCGTTCCAGCTTCACAACATACGACATCGAAAAACCTCCACAATCGTTCATGGATAGGAAAGACATTGCCAAGGCACCGTTTTCCACATTCGATATAGACAAACCTATGCGTGCCAATCCCCCTGGTACTTGTAGAAACGAGAGCGTTACCAGGGGGAGTTCAGAGCTTGGCGGGAAAGTCTTCTCCACCTTGAAGAATGGAAGCAGTGTTGCTACGCGGCCTCAAAAAGCCGCGAAGGTGGAGTACACGTGGAGCATTTCGAAGCCTGTCATGTCTCAGCTTATCACCAGAGCTTCGGCGACGCACGATCACGATGAGGAACTGGAAACGAGTGCAATGCGGCAACAACTTCATCGTCCACCTTCTTCGAAGCAAAAGCCCTCGCGACAGCCCGAACATCGCCGTAATCGCGCCATACGCCAGAAGGAGGCTTCTCGACAACGCGAGAAGGACCGACCTTCCCCGAGCACGGAGAGCGGTAAGATCGAAGAAAGGAGTGGGGCGAGTGAAGGCCGGAAGAAATCCGTCGCCGATATAATTCTGGAGAACATGATTCAAGACGAACAAAAGCAGAAAGAACGGCAAAAGAAACGCGAAATGAAACAGGAGCAAACGACGCAGGATTTAAACCATTTGTGGGAGCGATTTCAGGACGTGTTTGGAAAGAAGTCGCGAGGAACACCTGACGGTAGTAAGAGGGCGGTGCGGTCCAGACCCCCTCGCGAGGCAACACCTTCCGATATCTCGCCGCCTTCAAGCTCGGATGTCTCTTCTGGTGGTAAGAGAAGCAGCATTTGTGGACAGTCTCTGGAGATCACCACCGATAGTGATGAAGAATTTGAGAGATTCTTACATCGCATTCGCGAGATTCAAAGCAGTGAATCAAGTAAGTCAAATTGTTCTTTTCTCACAGATACACACGATTATTTCTGCACTGAAAAAGTTGCCTAAATATCTTGACCATATTTCACATAGGTCAGTGTAGCATACTAGTTTTGTTTGGTTTAGTTACGTTTAATTTTTAAAGAGGACACAGTTTCAATACTTTTCTTCTTAGACATTTCAACGAGAATGTTGACGGTAAATTTCACATCGTTTTGTCATCATCTTTAATATATCAGTTTCAAGTTTAAAAGCCGCTAATTTTTATGTATTCAAATATATGTTTATGGAATAGATGGTGAAAATCCAGGTGTTTACAGTACATCAGTGTGACAGTGTATATATATACGTACAATTGAGAATAAATACCACAGTTTGCTACTTGTTTCATTGGGATAAATTGAGAAACTTTCATCAACAGGTTACGCAGAAGACATGCGAAGTCTTCCATCACGAGCATCTTCAAGTGACCAGCATTTCACGCGGGAAAAACACGAAGCAACTCCGAGTGACCGCCTGCTCGGTAAACCTCGTCATACGACCGTTGACAGCTCGGCAAGTGTGACGCCAACTGCGACGTCAGACGACGAACACGCGAGGCGAAACGAGTCACGAACGCCTGCCTACCAACGACCCAACAGAAAAGCAGATCGTCAAAACGTTATCGGTCCAGTTGCTGTCCCGAGCTCAGCAGCGAACGCGAAATCGATGATACCAATGTGGTTGAATGTGAAGAATAAAGAAATGACAAAAATGGGGAAAATGTCCACTTCTGTAAGTCTGAATCTTTGCTCACTTTTCAACCAATTGATTTTGTGTATGTTTCCCAGCACGCTTGTTTGTTTGTTTGTTTATTTGTTTGGTTATTTGCTTGCTTCTGTAATTGCTCATTTCTTGTGTACATTTTCTCAGTGTACTTGTGGCGCAAAAGCCAGGAAAGAGATGCCTAAACCCAGCGGTGTTCGTGACATCGGTGTGAACTGTCCTACACCTCCGTTGGAAGTGCAGAACGTGCGACTGCCGGTAGCTGCCGACATTGCTGTGCTGAGAGCGGGGTCCCCCGAAGAAGACATTCTTCGTCCGGCCCCGGCATCGCTCGTCAAGCTATCGTTGCAAGACGCCTTCGTGATCTCCAAGCAGGAATTTATCGAGAGGTCACGCGAACGGATAAAAAAGGTTAACCAAAGACGAGATGAAAGAAAGAACGAGAAAACAACTGATGGGAAAGTTATTGTTGTTGTCCCCAGCGAAAGAAACAGGCACATGACCGCGGTTCTAAAACCCGAGGAAGATAGGGTGCACGAAATGAAGTCGAATAAGCGATTTGGTAAGTTTTAGCTGATTTTCCGCCGTTTATAGCCTGTGGCCTTTTTGTATAAAACTCTTGATTACATTTTGTGTTGTTGAATCGTAGGTAACTCAAAAATACACGACTCCCATTGGCCAATTCTGGTCAACTACATTTTACAATCGGTCCTATATATTTATGAGAACTTGAATGTAGTTATTATAGCATATGGTAGTATGGTAGCTTGAGTGTAAATATATATGGTCATTATAATCATATACATATTTTCTATTTTTACAGAGCAACTTCAGAGAAAAAAACCGCGTCCTATGACTACCAGAGAGATACGCGATGTTAACAAAAGGTTAGTTTAAAATGTTTTACTATAAATTATACTAGGCAAGGAGTCTAGAAGATACAGGTTTGCTAAACCGGATGTTCCGGGCAGGGTTTATGGTACGCACCTGGCTATGTTACGAAGTACTTGTTGTTCTTCATGCAAATATGGATTTAAATATCTGTAATTTTGGCAGGGTGTATAAAAATCTTCCCGAGGTGAGAAAGAAGAGAGACGAGGAACGTCGAGCAGAGTTTTACAAGACGAATCGTTTGCGCGCTCAGCTTTATGGCAAGGTATAGAGATCATTTTTGAACACCGCCTGTTTTCTGGCTGTTCTTTATTAGCAAATTCCTAAAAGGCTGGTTCTAGTTGTCTAAATAAAATATTGAGGGGAGTGGGCGAGAGTCTTTGGGGCAGGAAATATGGCCGCCTGTGCATTATATTATTTTGTAATTTAAGAAAGAAGGTCTATATCACTATATTTGTGTCCCTCCAAACAATAGTTTGGGGGGAAACGCTGCATCTTAAGACTTGCCTTGGGATGAGATCATTTGATGCGCGCGCGAGAAAAATTCCTACCTTTCATCAACAATGAAATGTCTGCGTGACAGACTTGTACGACATGATCACTTTCTTGTGCAACATGATCACTTTCTCGTATAACATGCATGATCACTTTCATTAGCACGTACGGAACACAAATCGCATATTTACCGCTGTCTAAACAACGATAATTTTGATCAACGCTCGAATTTCTCAAGGTAAGTGAAAATGTACTATTTTGAAGAAGTCATTTTTTGCATCTAGAAAGTAGAGTAACAGCAGTAAGTGTAATTATTATCGTGGTGTTTACATTATAATTTGTTTCTTTAGAAACGACACGAAGAATTAATTCATTAATTGGGAATATACTTGCAATGGTTTCCAATCAAAGTCTGTGATTGGTCTGAAAACTTAAACTGGACAAAATAACCGGTTGAATTTTTCAAAGCAGGTTTGTTAAAGGAATTGCATGTGGAAGTCGGATCTGTTTTGATATGTGACTATATTCATTTGTTAATCGTGCAGAGTGTTTTCATTAGTACATAGTATTTATTTTAATCCAGGGTTATTGAAATTTGGAAACATCACAGCACGCAATTTTTAATTATAGTTATGTTCTTTGCTTTGCTCTAAATTTCACCTCCTCAGACCTTGCATGCTGCTTGGAAGGCTAATCTAGGGAGGGGGGAAGTCAAAGCCACGGCCTTTGACTTTCAGCTTTTAAAAAGATAGGTAAATTGTATTTTCACACACATATATATCCATATCAGTATGAACTGATTTCAAGGACGGTCAGATTAAAAACACATAAATTAATAACAAGATTCAAGACAAATATTAAATTTTTTTAGAACTGTTTTGGACGCATTTTCATCTCCGTCTTTTTCAATGAAAAGTGTCCAGATTTCCAATAGTACCAGCTTATTCCGACGGCATTTTTACGACCTGTACTTTGGTACAGGCCATTGAGGTTGGAAGAATGACAGTTCTTGTACCACCAACCTCCCTTGTAATCCCCAGCACAATGTATATCCGCTGTCGCGTCATTGTCGCTATCATTTGTGGAGAACTGCATTTCATTATGCCAAGTAGTGAGGGAATCTCCAGCGTCACCTTTTAAGAAAATAAACATTTCTAGTTCAGTATTTCTAGTTCAGAAAATCTCGTTATTATTTATCTAAAAGAAGGTGCATGATAAGACGAAGTAAACGTCCTAATGCATGAGCGGGAATATTAACAGTGGGCACACGTATCTTGAGTTGGGCCCAACGTTTGAAGCGAAAAAAAATTCATAACCAAAAACGTAGCATAGCAGCGAGAGCGGCAACTTTCTTTGGAGAGTTTTTGTTTGGAGCCGACTTTCTAAGGGAAACAGGAACATTGGTTATAACGAAGACAACGCAGCCAGCGCTTTTGAGCCGCCATTGTCGTATTTTTTACCCATTCATCGTATCGAGTATTCGCTATTATTTTATCCACATTGAGTATCCATATCCAAGTTTTGAGACCAACTATAAATCTTATCGAAACAGCGTGCTCGATTAAATCCTTTGTGCTATTTAAATATGGTATGTTTAAACACCTAAAAATCGAAACCTATAAGGCGTGTGATTTACCTGAATAATTGCCAATATTCAATCTATATTTGTCTGATTCATCAGCCACACTAAAGTTCTCATATTTAGCGTAAGCTTCAGTGTTATTGAAATCCATCAAATCAACTCTTAAAACATTTTGACCAGATTTGGTTAAACGACGTATTTTATCAAGACCCAACCAGAACTCGCCACTCAAATTACCAAAGCCTGCTTTATAGTCTGACCACCCACGAAAGAAATCTTGACTTCCATCTTGTCTTCTTTGAAACACGGTCCATCCACCACCATCTCTGCTCATATCACATCTGACTTGGAACGATCCCGAACCATCAGGATCGATGGTATAAACACCATCTTTTATCTCTCCTAAGTTATACAGGTGGGCACAACTGGTGGCTATAAAATTGTAAAATATCAAACAGCTAAGAATGTAAATATTACATTATAAGGATTACTTAGGTTTTCTTTTTATTTAAAATACCTTGCTGTTTTTTCGGTTTTGAGTCACCGTTCATTAGTATCCATTCTCCTTCTCCAGTCATTGCGTTGTGATCTGTCTTTCCAGTGATGTTGGTCAGTTGGCAGTTCACAACATTGAGCGTTTCTCTGTAGTTGAATCCAACACATTTTGGTTCATTCTGACAGAGTTCGTAACATTCTATCGGAACAAACCCTGATTTGACGGTATGACTTGATATAATTTCATCTGGAGGTAAAGATGATCCTTCTAAAAGTAGAAAACATGGTTGAGAAAGCTTAAAGAGGTGAACGTTTTTTAAGACGAGAACAACGCATAGGCATTCTATGAAATATATACATATATAGGCGACTCACCTGTTTTTATGGTATTGTAAATGCTGGAACGACAGTTCTGTGCAATGATACAACCAATTTCAACAATTAGTAAGGTTATTCTCTTAAACATAATGTGTTTTCTTCGACATTCACTTGCTGAAATAACGCTTCATCGTAGGGGCAGGTGGTAATAAACGTACGAACCTTAGATGTTCGCAGTATAACTGAATAGTCTGCATGGCCTTGCAAGAAAAACATTTACATATTTTTTAATATTTATTAATGATAACGATAAGGATACGATTTCATTATTATACTAATTTTCGATTTCAGCTGTCGCTTGCCATGCTGAAAGTTTTTTAGGGCGTAACCACCTGAATTATCCTCCCAAACCAAGATACACTAGCATCAGTACATATTTTTTTTACTTGAAGCTATCTCTAAGACTATATGCTTTTGTGGAGTTTATTTTGTACATTTTTAAAAATATTTTAATGAATGTTCGTTCATTTGAGAACCCCTGTACGAACAGGAAAGATTGAGAACAGGAATATTCACAATTTGCCCCGCATTAAACCCAAACAAATATCCAATAACATTGCTATGGCTACACCAAGAATACTTAGGAATACTCATTTAAACGAGAAGAAATTCATAAATATTTATTGAAGATCAATTACATTAATTTATCGCTCAGCATCGAAAGGCTGATTAAAAGTTTTAAATAACAAAACGCCGACAAAATAAGCCTGGGGTAACTGCACTATAGTTCTTTCAATAAGGCGGCTGCCGTTGGACAACGAGGGCGGATGATTCATTTTTTCAGTATTCTAAACCATGCAATTTACTTCCGGGACCGGTTGCTCGAAAGGCGTTTAGCTTAATAGTGTATTTACTGCATAAGATGCAGGTGAACAAAGCGTAAGACGTTTTTGTTGTATTATAAAATAGGTTTTTGAAACAAAACAATCACATGCTATTGTTAGGAAGACTACACGACTGCCAGGATGATATTGCAGGCCTGAGTTTGTTTCTGGTCAATATTTTTACGGTCAATAATATAATATTTTCAATAGTCAATAAATGACTTCATATTTGTTACTTAAGTTTCTTCCTTGAACAAAATACGGTCAATTGAGCAAAGTCAAAAACATATTCATTCCTGCAAACATAGATTATATATTGTTAAAGTAGTATTTCTATATCATTATAAAATTTGATCATGAAAGGAACAAGTGCTATTTCTATTATGTACAAAATTCTTAAAGTAGGTTTGGTCGAATTTTCATCTCCGCCTTTTTCATTGAAACATAGCCCTGCCAATTTAACCATGTTATTCCGGTGGTAGAAGGGTTACCTGCTCCCAGGTACTGGCCGTTGAGACTGGAAGAATGACAATTCTTGTACCACCAAGCTCCGCGATAACTCTTTGCACAATCACCATCATCCCGAGCATCGTTGTCACTATCCTTGGTAGAGAACTGCATTTGATTGTGAAAAGTCAGAGAATCAACTGCGTCACCTTTTATGAAAATAAACAAAAAGTATTGCGTTCAGTTCTATAAGTTCACAAGACCATACCGGAAAGTAGTAGGTTTTTCCTATAAAGATTGAATTTGTTCCGGCATGGTTTACCTGAATAACTGCCAATATTCAATTTGTATTTGTCTGATTCATCAGCCACAGTAAACGTTCCATATTTAGCGTAACGTTCAGCGCCATTGAAATCCATCAAATCAACTCTTAGAACATTTTGACCAGATTTGGACAAACGATGTATTTTATCAAGGCCCAACCAGAACTCGCCGTTAGGATCACCAAAGCCTGCTTTATAGTCTGACCATCCAAGGTAGAAATCTTGGCTACCATCTTGTCTTCTTTGAAACACGGTCCAGCCACCCCCGTCTTTGCTCATATCACATCTGACTTGGAAAGATCCCAGGCCATCAGGATCAATAGTGTACACACCATCTTCTTTTACTCCAGATTTATAGACATCGGCACAACTTTTTCTTGTAACTATAAATATATATATATAGATATATAGATGCCCATGTGTATGTGTAGCGGTTAGATTGATTCAGTCACAAATAGAATTGAAGTCGCGTGGACTGTCCAATGGGACAAACAACGGTTGGTTTCTATAGTGCATGGTATTGTCTTCCAAAGACATCGTCAGACTAATAAAATTACAAGCAAACGGTACAGTATTACATATACAGTACTGTGCAAAAGTTTTAGGCCCCCAGTCAAATTGTCACTTGTTAGTAGAATTCATGCTATTGCAAGACATGCTTGGTAGAAAGACTTGTAGTGGTCTTGCACTTGGTGTACAGCCACCATGAGAGACCATTATTGCGGTACAATGCCCACTCATTGACCTAACAAGCTTGTTTGTTACATCTGGATCAACAGCCTCACGTGATGCGAAAATGGTTTCTTTCATTCTTCCAGATGTCGAGATGGGCTTCTATCTGACCTCTTCCTCACTTATCCCCAAAAATGTTCAATGAGGTCTACGTCAGCAATCTCTTATAGCCCTGGGCTGGTCAATATCACTTTCTTTCAGGCTCTTTTCTGAATGACATGGTACCCCCATCTTACTGGAAGATATAATCTCCACCACAAGCCATCTCATCTATTAGGAAAGCTCTAGATACAAGCCAAACATACCATTTTACGATCTTGGGACTTTCTAAAAGGTGGAGAGAGCTTTGCGACTGAGACTTTATCTTTGAACAAGATAGGGCACCATGTGACAGAGAAAAAAGCCCCACTGAAAGAAATATCAATCAGTTCAGGGCAACGAAAGAATTCTGACCTAAACCTGTTCGAATATCTCTGGGAATAAGTGAAGAAGAGGTCAGATATAGAAGATCATCACGACATCTGGAAGAATCAAAGAAACCATTTTCGCATCACGTGAGGCTGTTGATCCAGATGTAACAAACAAGCTTGTTAGGTCAATGAGTGGGCATTGTGCCGCAATAATGGTCTCTCATGGTGGCTGTACCAAGTGCAAGACCACTACAAGTCTTTCTACCAAGCATGTCTTGCAATACCATGAATTTTACTAACAAGTGACAATTTGACTGGGGGCCTAAAACTTTTGCACAGTACTGTAGGTTACCGCTTTCTTGTGTAATTTTAATAGTCTGACGATGTCTTTGGAATAAAGACGAAATATCAAGATATTACTGTCTCTGTATTTACACCCTTTGCATGTTTAGCTTGAATATATCAATAACACAAGATATCCACCTTCGGAGTTTGTTTTATTTTGTATTACTGATAAAGGAATTGATAAACACTTTTTCAAGCGAATGGGTTATTTACATGCAGGGCAGTTTCTGGCGCTACTTTTTTCATATTCTAGTCAACAAGTTTCTGAAGATAACTTCACTAACATAGAAAAACATACAAGTATACATCATTGGTATGCATTTATACTCTTATTCCACATAATTATGAAGTTTTAGTTTCGGAGGCGAAAGACAGTTGTGTAGTAATTCATGTAGTGAAGAGTCAGGGCTTCTTAACACCATGCGGAGGAACCAAGTCTATTTTTATTTATATCTTTTCTATACCTGAAAATACTGGATTATCATTGAGCATTAGTGCCCATTTTCCTTCTCCAGTCATTGTTGTGTGTTCTCTCTTTCCAGTGATGTTGGTCAGTTGACAGTTCACAACATTCAGCGTTTCTCTGTAGTTGAATCCAACACATTTCGGTTCCTTTTGGCAGAGTTCGTAACATTCTATCGGAACAATCCCCGAGTTGACGGTATGATTTGATATGATTTCCTCTGGAGGTAAAGACAATCTTCCTAAATAGAAAACATGGTTTTAGGAATAGTTTTCCATCACTAAGTGTATTTCTGTTTTAAAACTAGAAGTGAGAAACATTCTGTAAGTCGGTAACATAGGTATAGCTCACCTGTTGTAACGATACTAAAAGTTCTGGGAGAACAGTTTTGTGATATGATACATGCAATTTCAACCATCAGTAAAATCAAGGTTTTCATCTTAAACATGATTGCATGAGGTTAAACGACTTGTCGACGGTGCTGTCTTCGACGTGTAGTGGCTGAAATGACGCTCTATCGATATGGCAAATGATAATAAACACAACTTCTATGATAATTATCATAAATTGTATTTTGATAATTTTCTGCAAGTATTGTAGAAAAAAACATCTGTCGGATTATAAGAGCCCATGCAACATGTGGCTTTTAAAAAAAACGTTTGGACGAAGAGTTATTTGCTGGGCTCTTAAATTTGGTTTCTTTTCTACAAATGAATTTGTTTGCATGCCCTCCAAGTTGACATTAGCCGACCCATTATCATTGCAAGTATAAAGCCCGTTTTCCACTGGGCGAATTTATATCTGAAATCCCGTGTGACATAGAATGAATTTGAGTGTGACAAAGCTTTTAGAATACAGGCGTTAGTTCCAAATTTGAATATTTTGCGGCTATTGCAGGGCTGACATATCAACGTGCACTATCACACTTTGTTCATTATTGATGGGAGGAAGTGTGCAGTATTGAAATTTAAAATATACTTTCTTTGTAACCCAACAAGAATTATTAAATTGAGCGTATAAAAAAATTAAGATGGTATATAGCAACAGCGGGCTTAAAAATATGTCATATTTTAGGGAGCCGAATGTCACGAACCAGAAGCTTGTGGCCTCAGCCTCTACGTATTTTGGGCCCTGGTCCATTCACAATAATTTTTAACAAATTTATTGCTAAATGCATCCTTTATTTTCTTTACTAAACGACTGGAAGAACTTTAACATCATAACTATATTCGCTCTTTAACGTCTAGAAAAATGGCAAACGACCGAACTTAATTAGGTCTTAGACGAGCTAATGGCCACGTTTGGCAAGAGCACAGCTGATTACTCACGTGTGCTATGTGAGCTATTAGCTAAACAATGAATAAATTCAGAAGCCAATGAAAATACCTGCTTTTATAAAGTGGCTGACTAAAATTAAAGAATAATCAAAGTTTTTTCAAGGGTTGGCGAGTCTGCTGTAAAATTTTCGATTTCATTCCTGAACTCTTTGTTTAACACATTAAGAAAAGAAAGAAGCCATCGCCCGCGTCTATTTATTTAAAACAAAGTAATTGAAGACGTGATGTTTTTTCTCTCTTTAATTTTTAATAATGTTATTTACTCGAAAACAAGAAAAACGTCGTCCGGGTTCTCACAGAAGACGTCAAACCCTATTAAAAAAGATCGAAAGCTCTTGTTGTAATTTCGTGATAACAAAGTGCCGAAGTTTTTCCAACATTTCGTAAAGAAACGTACTTATAAATGGTTAATATTTTTCAGCAATGTTCTTCCTTGGTCGGTGAAGACTGGCAAGTGATCCAACCCGCCTACTCATAATTATAGCATAGTTATATGCAATATGTGACCACTTTGAAAGGCTTAGCAACAAATGTGGAATAACAACTGCCTAAAATAAACAAAAACACTTCTCGACGTTTTGACCTGAGGGCTTTCGTATATCCTGCCAACTATCCTGACGAAAGCCCTCAGGTCGAAACGTCGAGAAGTGTTTTTGTCTATTTTAGGCAGTTGTTATACCACATTTGTTGCTAAGTTATTTGAAGACGCTGCCACGCTGCTCCTTGGTTATATTGGAACGTACTTTGAAAGGCCTTATACATTCAAAATGTATGCACAGAGCCTATCCTCGTTTCCAGCTTTCCCGCGTACCGCGTGTGCCGAAAGCAGTACGCGGGAAACCTGGGAACGAGGATAGGATGGGACCGAATGAGATAATTTGGCTGGAGCTTATTTTGTAGACCTAGATACACCTGTATCAGTACATCTTTTTTATTAAGCTATCTCTAAGACTATTGCTTTTGTACGAGTTTATTTTGTATATTTTAAAATATTTTAATGAATGTTCGTTCATTTGAGAAGCCCTGTCCGAACAGGAAAGATTGAGAACAGGAATATTCACAATTTGCCCCGCGTTAAACCCAAACAAATATCCAATAACATTGCTATGGCTACACCAAGAATACTTAGGAATACTCATTTAAACGAGAAGAAATTCATAAATATTTATTGAAGATCAATTACATTAATTTATCGCTCAGCATCGAAAGGCTGATTAAAAGTTTTAAATAACAAAACGCCGATAAAATAGGCCTGGGGTAACTGCAGTAGTTCCTTCAAAAAAGCGGCTTGCCGTTGGTCAATGAGGGTGGATGATTCATTTTCGTCAGCATGTGCCTAAACCATGCAACTTACTTCTGCACGGGACCGGTTGCTCGAAAGGCGTTTAGCTTAATAGTTTATTTACTGCATCTGCATGCAGTTTAACAAAGCGTAAGACGTTTTTGATGTATTAAAATAGGTTTTTTTGAAACAAAACAAGCACATGCAATTGTTAGGATGATACACGACTGCCAGGATGATTTTATTTACTCATTTCAATACCTCGAAGTCCATTTTACGCTTCGTTTAATCTCGGTTACCGGACTCACATGCAGGATAAGACAATAAAGTGTTTTTCCAAACGATTCCGTCATAATATAGGTTGAATGAATAACGTGAATGTAGATAGAAACTCTAACTAATATTGCAGTCCTTAGTTTGTTTCTGGTCAATATTTTTATTTCTTAGAACTGGTTTGGACGAACTTTCATTTCCGTCTTTTTCATTGGATAATAAGTGTACCATGCCTTCCATTTTATCACGCTGTACAGGCCATTGAGGTCGGAATAACGACAGAAATTGTACCACCAACCTCCTTTGTGGCGCGTAGCACAATTACCATAACTTCGAGCATCATTGTCATTATCCTTGGTAGTGAACTGCATTTGATTGTGATAATCAAGAGAATCACCTGCGTCACCTTTCAAGAAAATATACAAAAAGTTATATGTTCAGTTCATTTATAGTTCACTATTTTTTTAAATTTGCCTGGAAAAAATGCTTGGTTTTTTCGATAAAAAAACTCGCATTGGTTTAATTACAGTAAAGGTCTCACCATAGGTAGCCCAGAAGTCTGTTGTACTCAGTTTTCGACTACATTGTTTACGGTCAGCTTTATACTGACTGTACTATAATAATATATAGTAAACAATGCCGCGCTTCAATTTTAGTACTGAAGTGCTTTCACCCTGCAGAGACGCAATTAAGGTGACTGTGAACATGTTGGGGCGTATTGGCGTCAATACTATTTTATGAGATTTTGCATTTCGACTGGTTCAATGCTTTTTTAAAAGATGAGAATTTATATTTATCCAGACCGTCGTTTACCTGAATAATCGTCATATTCAATCTGTATTTGTCTGATTCATCAGCCACACTAAACGTTCCATATTTAGCGTAAGCCTTGGCGCCATTGAAATCCATCAAATCAACTCTTAAAACATTTTGGCCAGATTTGGTTAAACGATGTATTTTATCAAGGCCCGACCAGAACTCGCCGTTAAGATCACCAAAGCCTACTTTATAGTCTGACCATCCACGATAGAAATCTTGACTTCCATCTTGTCTTCTTTGAAACACGGTCCACCCACCCCCGTCTGTGCTCATATCACATCTGACTTGAAACGATCCCAAACCATCAGGATTGATGGTATAAACACCATCTTTTCTCACTCCTAAGTTGTACTGATGGGCGCAACTGGTGGCTATAAAATTGTAAAATAATTCATAAGATTCACAATATTAATATTTTAAAATTGCATAATTAATGCTCTATTATCTGGTCTGTTTCAAATGCATGGGATCTTTGATGTAGTAAGGTCCTTTGCAACACTGGGACTATCCGTTACTGGTAACGGAATTTGAGGGGCAGTTTTTAACCACGTTTTTTTTGAAACGATAGAATTATTTACAGGCTTTCTGTTTTCGTTGCTAATTCTATAGTTATGTAGATTTTCATGATATAGCTTTATTATCATAGAAAAACGTTACGAATCGTTTGGTACACGATTTTTAAAATGGTCAATTCAGATGTTCTATTCGCATACATTATTGCATACTCTATTCTATATAATCTGAGGTTTTAGTTTTGGAGAAGAAAGACATTGTGTCATATATGATTCATGTATGGGAGTTGAGTACTTATTGACAGCATTGGTAAATTTGATTGATTGGAAACTTTACTGACTATATATTACTCTATCCAGTCTTTTTTTATTCGCATCCGTTCTACCTGAATTCAAAAGCGCTTCTTCATCGACCATTAGTATCCATTCTCCTTCTCCAGTCATTGCGTTGTGATCTCTCTCCCTTGTGATGTTGCTCAGTTGGCAGTTCACGACATTGAGCGTTTCTCTGTAGTTGTATCCAACACATCCCGGTTCTTTCTGGCAGAGTTCGTAACATTCTATCGGGACAATCCCTGAATTGATGGTATGACTTGATGTTATTTCATCTGGAGGTAAAGAAGATCCTTCTAAAAGTAGCCAATATATCAAGTTAGGAATTTTTAACGAAAGAAAAGTTAGAGCTCCTTCACTGCGAATATAAGTATAATTCGCTACAAATCAAGCATTCTTTGAAACATTTATTCTTTCATGCAAACAGACCACTCGGACTCACCTGTTCTAATGATGCTATAAATTCCGCGAGAACATTCCTGTGAAGAGATACGTGAAATTTCGACCAGAAGTAAGATCAAGGTTATTATCTTATACATGATTCCACGAGGTTTGTAAACTCTGCTTTCTTCGACATGCAGTTGCTGAAATGAAGCTTTATCGTTACGGCAGGTGATAATAAACGTACAAAGTCGATAACTAACAATAATGATCATCATATTCCAATGCTAAAAATTAATAGTCAAACATAGTTGCAAATTAAAAGCTCATCTAAAAATATTATCCGCAACATAGGCATGTGCATCTGATGAAAAAAGCTAAACCAAAACTGCCTGAGTACATACGTATATTTAAGGCGGAAACGTTGAAATTGCAATTAAGTTCGAAGCTAAATAGAATCCAGAAGTATTACTGTTTACATACCATCCAAATTTATCTCAGTCGGCCCGTTTCGTTTGAAGTTTTTCAAATACTAGAACAGACTTCATTTTCTTCAAGCGATTCCGCGAGGTGCTCCGCAGTGAAATATATCACTATGTTCAATACATCACTTGTTTTCGCCAAAAATGTAGAAGATCACTGCATGCACATAGATTACTTTGGAAATATCAGTATAGTTACTGCACTTCTTTGAAACTCGAAATATCGAATTTAGGCTTGTAAGCTTGTTTATAAAAGTATACGTACGCTTTCTATCACTATCAGCCTGCCTCAGACGTGAGATTGTAGTTCACAAAATGCATACTTCCAGTCAACAATTTTAATACGGTAATATAAACCCCGTTTGCACTACACTCTATTGGCATGGCACGGCGAAAATGGTGTACCAGTGCCCAATTTTATTATAGTGTTCAGGCTACCTAAACAAAGACCGGGCACGGATGAAGTGGGTCACGGGTACCAATTATAGCCGTGCCGTTCCGATAAATCGAGTGTTATGTAAACGGGGCTATATACTGTAATAGGCTGTATAAGTAAAGTTATCAGGACCGCATGCAGCTAGATCGCATAATTGGGCAGGGGGGATGCATATTCATATATTCAGGTTAACATATCTTAGAAACAATAGCTTTCAAAAGAAATCAGTCGGTCATAAGACGAATATATGTGTGTACACACCCCATACAATTAAACTTTCGCGGCTGCGGCCTTGAAAGTAATATTCATTTAAAATAAACAAAATAATACAGACTTCTTCAGAAGCATATCGGAGTGCAGTAATCTATAGTACGTTTTACAACATGTTCTGTGATGGTTATATATACGCCGTTTTAATCAGTTGACTGGCGAAAATATTATATTTCCGCATGCATGTAAAAGTATCGTGTTTTTATATACGTGCATTTATTACAATTTTTGTGCGGCCAAAACTCTGTGGCATAATTGACGTTCATAACTTTATATGAAAGATGGTATATATTACCATTTCTGTATCATTAAAATTTAATTATAAAAGCAGGGAGTGAATGCTTTTTTCCTAAAGGTTTTTGCAGGAATATCTTAAAACTGGTTTTAACGAATTTTCATTTCCGTCTTTTTCATTGAATATCAGAATGCCAATAGATCATCAGTTATTATTTATGCGTGCTAAGTTCATCATGCAGTGCATGTGCGCCAGGTTCAATGTTTTTGTTCCATGAACACATTGTGTTTGGATCATGTCACTAACTCCATGCTGACCCCAAATCATGTTGCTTATCAGTGCCTCATTCAGGTTACAATTATTTAGGTTGTATGCGGAGTTCTATAAATTCTTCTAAATCTGTTCGAAAACATATCTATACAACACCACATGTAATTTGCTAGGATTCGCTTTGTCACGCAGGAATATTTTAAAACTGGTTTGGACGAATTTTCATCTCCGACTTTTTCATTGAATACCACGAACTTTTCCAATTGTACCAGTTTATTCCGATGGTATTAATCTGACCTGCATCCAGGTACACGCCATTGAGGTTGGAAGGATGACAGCTGTTGAACCACCAACCACTCTTGTAGCTCGTAGCACAATTACCACTGCTCCAAACATCATTGTCATTATCCTTGGTAGTGAACTGCATTTGATTGTGATTAGAAAGAGAATCACCTGCGTCACCTTTTAAAAACATAAAAACCCACAATAAGCAATATGTAGTAATACTGCATGAATGGTTTTGTTTTTAAATTGTTATTTGTATCAACACGCTGCGTTTTCTAAAACCAAATTAGAAATGAACCCAGCTTGCATAGCATGACTGCTTTCTTTTACAACAAGAGCTAAAAACAACTAACAGCGCAAACATTAAATTGAGAGCAAATCCTCGCCTTTCCCGACACAGCTAGCCCAAGCCAAATATGCATTTTTTTAATACATAAAAGATGCCTGCGGAGAAGGCTAGACAAATTGGTGATTGCCTAAATAATACTCGATGTCTTTGAACGCGGTTTAGGTTCGCTTGCGCGGTGGCATTTGAAACTCAGATAATTTCTTTGTTTCATCAGGAAACTGAGATTCATATGTTATTCTTAATTCACCTAAGTAATTTCCAACGTTCAATCTGTATTTGTCTGATTCATCAGCTACAGTAAACGTTCCGTATTTAGCGTAAGCCTCGGCGCCATTGAAATCCATCAAATCAATTCTTAGAACATTTTGGCCAGATTTGTGCAAGCGATGTATTTTATCAAGGCCCAACCAGAACTCGCCGTTAAGATCACCAAAGCCTGCTTTATAGTCTGACCATCCACGATAGAAATCTTGACTTCCATCTTGTCTTCTTTGAAACACGGTCCAGCCTCCCCCGTCTGTGCTCATATCACATCTGACTTGAAACGATCCCATGCCATCAGGATTGATGTTATAAACACCATCTTTTCTCACTCCTAAGTTGTACAGATGGGCACAACTGGTGGCTATAAAATTGTAAAAAAATTGAGGTTATCCTTGTGCTTGAGCTTGTAAAGCGTAAAATTGCATTATCAAGGTGTCTGTGTTATCTTATTTATCTGACTCTTCATATTCAAGATAAACATGCAAAGGGTGTAAATAAAGAGACAGTGGTATTTCGTCTTTATTCCAAAGACATCGTCAGACTAAAAAAATTACAAGCAAACGGTACAGTATTACATATATAGGTTACCGCTTTCTTGTGTAATTTTAATAGTCTGACGATGTCTTTGGAATAAAGACGAAATATCAAGATATTACTGTCTCTGTATTTACATCCTTTGTTTAGCTTGAATATATCAATAACACAAGATATCCACTTTCTGAGTTTGTTTTATTTTGTATTACTGATAAAGGAATTGATAAACACTTTTTCAAGCGAATGGATTATTTACATGCAGGGCAGTTTCTGGCGCTACTTTTTTTATATTCTAGTCAACAAGTTTTTGAAGATAACTTCACTAACATAGTAAAAACATACAAGTATACATCATTGGTATACATCATTGCATTTATACTCTTATTCTACATATAATTATGAAGTTTTAGTTTCGGAGGCGAAAGACAGTTGTGTAACAATTCATGTAGTGAAGAGTCAAGGGCTTCTTAACAGCATGCGGAGGAACCAAGTCTATTTTTATTTACATCTGTTCTATACCTGAAAATACTGGATTATCATTGAGCATTAGTGTCCATTTTCCTTCTCCAGTCATTGCGTTGTGTCCTCTCTTTCCTGTGATGTTGGTCAGTTGGCAGTTCACAACATTGAGCGTTTCTCTGTAGTTGAATCCAACACATTTCGGTTCCTTTTCGCAGAGTTCGTAACATCCTATCGGGACAAACCCTGAGTTGACGGTATGATTCGATATGATCTCATCTGGAGGTAAAGACAATCTTCCTAAAGTAGAAAACATGGTTTTAGGAATAGTTTTCCATCACTAAGTATATTACTGTTTTAAAACTAGAAGTGAGAAACATTCTGTGAGTCGGTAACATAGGTATAGCTCACCTGTTGTAACGATACTAAAAGTTAGTCTGGGAGAACAATTCTGTGAAATGATACAGGCAATTTCAACCATCAGTAAGGTCAAGGTTATCGTCTTAAACATGATTGCATGAGGTTAAACGGCTTGTCGACGGTGCTGTCTTCGACTTGTAGTGGCTGAAATGACGCTCTATCGATATGGCAAATGATAATAAACATAATTTCTATGACAATTATCATAAATTAAATTTTAATAATTTTCTGCAAGTGGCTTTTAGAAAAAATGTTCGGACGAAGAGTTATTTGCTGGGCTCTTAAATTTGGTTTCTTTTCTTCAAATTAATCTGTTTGCATGTCCTCCAAGTTTATTTTAGCCGACCCATTAACATTGCAAGTATACTGAAGCCGTGTTACCACTAGGCAAATTTTTCCTGCGGCACGAAGCGATATCTGAAATCCCGTGATGCGATGGTTGTGGTCACTAGTTTCCTTCACATGCTGAAAACGTTGCTGACCTGCTCAATAATTTACAATGCATGCGGCATTTACTTTGTGGGTAATTATGCATGGCGCTCTTTTTTAGTGCGGTATATTATTAGGATGATTTTGAAAACGTTTAGGCGCGCCTGTATTCATGCAAAAAGCTCACACTCTTTTAGTGTGACATAGAAATTTTGTTATTATTGGTCAATAAGAAAGTTATTTCTTAGTCAATAGAAATATCTTGGGTGAAACACTGCAAACCAAGCACGTTATGAGGAGATTCAGATCTCCCACTCAATAAGTTGTAGTGTGACTGAGCTTTTATATAGAATACAGGCGTTAGTCCCAAACCGCAGCTATTGCAGGACTTAAGGTGCACTATCACACTTTGTTCATTATTGATGGGAAGTGTGCAGTATTGAAATTTAAAATATATTTTCTTTAAAACCCAACAAGAATTATTAAATAGAGCGTACCTAAAAATCAAGATGGTATATAGCAACAGCGGGCTTAAAAATATTCTAGGGGACAAAATGTCAATATTTTCCACGAAATAGCAGCTTGTGGCCTCAGTATCTACGTATTTTGGGCCCTGGTCCATTGACAATAATTTTTACCAAATGTATTGCTAAATGCTTTATTTTCTTTACGAAACGTCTGGAAGAACTTTATTATCATAACTATATTCACTCTTAAAAGCCTTCGGATTTTTTTTGTTGGTTAATTGGCAAGAAAGCTTTTAGAATCAATCCATACGCCGTTTTTCTTGTTTTTTGAAAAATGGCATTAAAAATTAAAGAGAGAGAGAGAGAGAGAAATAATTACGTCTTGATGACTTCGTTTCAAGTTAAAAGATATCGTAGATTTAATTCGGCTATTTCGAATTTCGTTTCAAATTTTCACGCTCTACAGTTCTCGCGATGAAACAGGAATAAGTTGGAATGCTGCAAAGTTATCTGTTGTCCACAAGACTGATGAGTTAGTATAGTTTTCACAGCATGAATTAGCTCATAAGTTTGCGATGTCCATTTGCTAATTTCTGTCCCCCGGCCGGTTTAATTTATTATTTTAAACATTTTAGAGAGGAATGATAGTTTCAACTGAGATTATAGGACTATTGTGAAGATCCAATATTTCACATTTTCACAGACCTGACAAGTCGAAAGTTTATAATTCAACAAATTAAAATCATCTGCCATTGTTTTTCTGTCGATAAACTACATTTTTGTATGTTTTGTTTAAAAACTAAAACGTTTACGTTAGCGAAACAACGGAACTTAAGTCTTAGACGAGCTAATGGCCACGCGTGGCAAGAGCACAGCTGATTGCTCATGTCTGCTATGTATAAAGTAACTGACTAAAATTGAAGAATAATATTTCGAAATTTTTTCAGTTGCGTGGTTGGCGAGTCTGCTGTAAAATTTCGATTCCATTCCTTAACTTTTTGAGAAAAGAAAGAAGCCATCGCCCGCGTCTATTTATTTAAAACAAAGTAATTGAAGACGTGATGTTTTTTCTCTCTTTAATTTTTAATAATGTTATTTACTCGAAAACAAGAAAAACGGCGTCCGGGTTCTCACAGAAGACGTCAAACCCTATTAAAAAAGATCGAAAGCTCTTGTTGTAATTTCGTGATAACAAAGTGCCGAAGTTTTTCCAACATTTCGTAAAGAAACGTACTTATAAATGGTTAATATTTTTCAGCAATGTTCTTCCTTGGTCGGTGAAGACTGGCAAGTGATCCAACCCGCCTACTCATAATTATAGCATAGTTATATGCAATATGTGACCACTTTGAAAGGCTTAGCAATAAATGTGGAATAACAACTGCCTAAAATAAACAAAAACACTTCTCGACGTTTTGACCTGAGGGCCTTCGTATATCCTGCCAACTATCCTGACGAAAGCCCTCAGGTCGAAACGTCGAGAAGTGTTTTTGTCTATTTTAGGCAGTTGTTATACCACATTTGTTGCTAAGTTATTTGAAGACGCTGCCACGCTGCTCCTTGGTTATATTGGAACGTACTTTGAAAGGCCTTATACATTCAAAATGTATGCACAGAGCCTATCCTCGTTTCCAGCTTTCCCGCGTACCGCGTGTGCCGAAAGCAGTACGCGGGAAACCTGGGAACGAGGATAGGATGGGACCGAATGAGATAATTTGGCTGGAGCTTATTTTGTAGACCTAGATACACCTGTATCAGTACATCTTTTTTATTAAGCTATCTCTAAGACTATATGCTTTTGTACGAGTTTATTTTGTATATTTTTAAAAATATTTTAATGAATGTTCGTTCATTTGAGAAGCCCTGTCCGAACAGGAAAGATTGAGAACAGGAATATTCACAATTTGCCCCGCGTTAAACCCAAACAAATATCCAATAACATTGCTATGGCTACACCAAGAATACTTAGGAATACTCATTTAAACGAGAAGAAATTCATAAATATTTATTGAAGATCAATTACATTAATTTATCGCTCAGCATCGAAAGGCTGATTAAAAGTTTTAAATAACAAAACGCCGACAAAATAGGCCTGGGGTAACTGCAGTAGTTCCTTCAATAAAGCGGCTTGCCGTTGGTCAATGAGGGTGGATGATTCATTTTCGTCAGCATGTGCCTAAACCATGCAACTTACTTCTGCACGGGACCGGTTGCTCGAAAGGCGTTTAGCTTAATAGTTTATTTACTGCATCTGCATGCAGTTTAACAAAGCGTAAGACGTTTTTGATGTACTAAAATAGGTTTTTTTGAAACAAAACAAGCACATGCAATTGTTAGGATGATTACACGACTGCCAGGATGATTTTATTTACTCATTTCAATACCTCGAAGTCCATTTTACGCTTCGTTCAATCTCGGTAACCGGGCTCACATGCAGGAGGAGACAATAAAGTGTTTTTCCAAACGATTCCGTCATAACATAGGTCAACTGAGTAACGTGAATGTAGATAGAAACTCTAACTAATATTGCAGTCCTTAGTTTGTTTCTGGTCAATATTTTTATTTCTTAGAACTGGTTTGGACGAACTTTCATTTCCGTCTTTTTCATTGGATAATAAGTGTACCATGCCTTCCATTTTATCACGCTGTACAGGCCATTGAGGTCGGAATAACGACAGAAATTGTACCACCAACCTCCTTTGTGGCGCGTAGCACAATTACCATAACTTCGAGCATCATTGTCATTATCCTTGGTAGTGAACTGCATTTGATTGTGATAATCAAGAGAATCACCTGCGTCACCTTTCAAGAAAATATACAAAAAGTTATATGTTCAGTTCATTTATAGTTCACTATTTTCTTAAATTTGCCTGGAAAAAATGCTTGGTTTTTTCGATAAAAAAACTCGCATTGGTTTAATTACAGTAAAGGTCTCACCATAGGTAGCCCAGAAGTCTGTTGTACTCAGTTTTCGACTACATTGTTTACGGTCAGCTTTATACTGACTGTACTATAATATATATAGTAAACAATGCCGCGCTTCAATTTTAGTACTTAAGTGCTTTCACCCTGCAGAGACGCAATTAAGGTGACTGTGAACATGTTGGGGCGTATTGGCGTCAATACTATTTTATGAGATTTTGCATTTCGACTGGTTCAATGCTTTTTTAAAAGATGAGAATTTATATTTACCCAGGCCGTGGTTTACCTGAATAATCGTCAATATTTAATCTGTATTTGTCTGATTCATCAGCCACACTAAACGTTCCATATTTAGCGTAAGCCTTGGCGCCATTGAAATCCATCAAATCAACTCTTAAAACATTTTGGCCAGATTTGGTTAAACGATGTATTTTATCAAGGCCCGACCAGAACTCGCCGTTAAGATCACCAAAGCCTGCTTTATAGTCTGACCATCCACGATAGAAATCTTGACTTCCATCTTGTCTTCTTTGAAACACGGTCCACCCACCCCCGTCTGTGCTCATATCACATCTGACTTGAAACGGTCCCAGGCCATCAGGATTGATGGTATAAACACCGTCTTTTCTCACTCCTAAGTTGTACAGATGGGCACAACTGGTGGCTATAAATTGTAAAATAATTTATGAGATTCAAAATATCAATATTTATAATTAATGCTCTATTATCTGGTCTGTTTCAAATGGGATCTTTGATGTAGTAAGGTCCTTTGCAACACTGGGACTATCCGTTACTGGTAACGGAATTTGAGGGGCAAATTTCTACAACGTTTTTTTTTCAAACGATAGAATTATTTACAGGCTTTCTGTTTTCGTTGCTAATTCTAGTTATGTAGATTTTCATGATATAGCTTTATTATCATAGAAAAACGTTACAAATCCTTTGGTACACGATTTTTAAAATGCATGGTCACTCCAGATGTTCTATTCGTATACATTATTGCATACTCTATTCTATATAATCTGAGGTTTTAGTTTTGGAGAAGAAAGTCATTGTGTCATATATGATTCATGTATGGGAGTTGAGTACTTATTGACAGCATTGGTAAATTTGATTGATTGGAAACTTTACTGACTATATATTACTCTATCCAGTCTTTTTTTATTCGCATCCGTTCTACCTGAATTCAAAAGCGCTTCTTCATCGACCATTAGTATCTATTCTCCTTCTCCAGTCATTGCGTTGTGATCTCTCTCCCTTGTGATGTTGCTCAGTTGGCAGTTCACGACATTGAGCGTTTCTCTGTAGTTGTATCCAACACATCCCGGTTCTTTCTGGCAGATTTCGTAACATTCTATCGGGACAATCCCTGAATTGATGGTATGACTTGATGTTATTTCATCTGGAGGTAAAGAAGATCCTTCTAAAAGTAGCCAATATATCAAGTTAGGAATTTTTAACGAAAGAGAAGTTAGAGCTCCTTCACTGCGAATATAAGTATAATTCGCTACAAATCAAGCATTCTTTGAAACATTTATTCTTTCATCCAAACAGACCACTCGGACTCACCTGTTCTAATGATGCTATAAATTCCCCGAGAACATTGCTGTGAAGAGATACGTGAAATTTCGACCAGAAGTAAGATCAAGGTTATTATCTTATACATGATTCCACGAGGTTCGTCAACTCTGCTTTCTTCGACATGCAGTTGCTAAAATGAAGCTTTATCGTTACGGCAGGTGATAATAAACGTACAAAGTCGATAACTAACAATAATGATCATCATATTCCAATGCTAAAAATTATTAGTCAAATATAGTTGCAAATTAAAAGCTCATCTAAAAATATTATCCGCAACATAGGCATGCGCATCTGATGAAAAAAGCTAACCAAAACTGTCTGAGTACATTACGTATATTTAAGGCGGAAACGTTGAAATTGCAATTAAGTTCGAAGCTAAATAGAATCCAGAAGTATTACTGTTTACATACCATCCAAATTTATTTCAGTCGGCCCGTTTCGTTTGAAGTTTTTCAAATACTAGAACAGACTTCATTTTCTTCAAATGATTCCGCGAGGTGCTCCGCAATTAAATATATATCACTATGTTCAATAAATCACTTTGTTTTCGCGCAAAATGTAGAAGATCACTGCGCATCGGTTATTTTGAAAATATCAGTATAGTTACTGCACTTCTTTGAAACTCGAAATATCGAATTTAGGCTTGTTTATGAAAGTACGTACACGCTTTTTATCACTATATCAGCCGGCCTCAGACTTAAGATTGTAGTTCACAAAATCCATACTTCCAGTCAACAATTTTGATACGGTAATATAAACCCCGTTAGCACTACACTCTATTGGCACGGCGCGGCTAAAATGGTGTACCCCCGTGCCCAATTTTATAGTGTTCAGGCTACTTAAACAAAGGCTGGGCACGGATGGAATGGGTCACGGGTACCAATTTTAGCCGTACCGTGCCGATAAATCGAGTGTAGTGTAAACCGGGCAGTATATACTTATGTATATTTAGGGACTCAAAACAATTATATAAGTAAACTCATCAGGGCCGCAGCTAGATCGGATAATTGGGCGGGGGGGGGATGCATATTCATATATTCAGGTTAACATATCTTAGAAACAATAGCTTTCAAAAGAAATCAGTCGGTCATAAGACGAATATATGTGTGTACACACCCCATACAATTAAACTTTCGCGGCTGCGGCCTTGAAAGTAATATTCATTTAAAATAAACAAAATAATACAGACTTCTTCAGAAGCATATCGGAGTGCAGTAATCTATAGTACGTTTTACAACATGTTCTGTGATGGTTATATACTCTGTTTTTAATTGACCTGCGAAAATATTATATTTCCGCATGTAAAAGTATCGTGTGTTTTTATTATTACAATTTTTGTGCGGGCAAAACTCTGTAGCATAATTGACGTCCATAACTTTATATGAAAGATGGTATATATTACCATTTCTATATCATTAAAATTTAACTATAAAAGCAGGAAGTTTATGGTTGTTTCCTAAAGGTTTTGCAGGAATATCTTACAACTAGTTTTAACGAATTTTCATTCCCGTCTTTTTCATTGAATATTAGAAAGTCAAAAGACCATCAGTTATTATTTATGCGTACTAAGTTCACCATGCAGTGCATGTGCGCCAGGTTCAATGTTTTTGTTGATGAACACATTGTGTTTGGATCATGTCACTAACTCCATGCAGACCCCAAATCATGTTGGTAATCAGTGCCTCATTCAGGTTACAATTATTTAGGTTGTATGGAGGTTTGTAAATTCTTCTAAATCTGTTCAAAAACATATTTATACAGCACCACATGTAATTTTCTAGGATTCGCTTAGTCATGCATGAATATTTTAAAACTGGTTTGGTCGAATTTTCATCCTCGTCTTTCGCATTGAATAAGACTGCCACTTGTTCCATCGTATTCCAGTTTTGTTATCTTGACCTGCACCCAGATACAGGCCATTGAGGTTGCAACGATAACAGCTGTTGTACCACCAAGCTCCTTTCCTGAGCGTAGCACAATCAGCACTGCTAGCATCATTGTCATTATCCTTGGTAGTGAACTTCATTTGATTGTGATGAGCCAGAGAATCACCTGCGTTACCTTTTAAGGAAATAACAAAAAAGTTATATGTTCTGTTTTTTAGTTCAATGTTTTCCTTTCTAAATTCTAAAAGAAGCCTCCAGAAAGTGCTGGAGTTTTTCTATAGAAAACCTCGCATTGATTCAATTACAGTGAAGGTGTTCTGCATCCCACTCGATTGATATTGAGATACAAGGTTGAAATGGGTGAAAATGGAATGATGATGAAACGTAACAATAAGTGGTATTTCAAAACAAAACAAAATTTGCAAGGAACACCTTTCAGTACAATTTTAGTACTTCAGTGCGCTCACCCAGCAAGACGCAGTTGACTTTGAACATGTATATAGGAATGTATTAGCGTCACTGATACAATTTTAAGAGATTTTAATTTTCGAGTTGTTCAATGCTTTTTTAATAGACGAGAACCTAAATTTAAGCTCGCCGCACACGAGAGCTATACCCAGGCCGTGGTATTACCTGAATATTTGCCAACAGTCAATCTGTATTTGTCTGATTCATCAGCCACACTAAAGTTCTCATATTTAGCGTAAGCTTCAGTGCCATTGAAATCCATCAAATTAACTCTTAAAACATTTTGGCCAGATTTGGTTAAACGATGTATTTTATCAAGACCCAACCAGAACTCGCCGCTCAAATTACCAAAGCCAGCTTTATAGTCTGACCATCCACGAAAGAAATCTTGACTTCCATCTTGTCTTCTTTGAAACACGGTCCAGCCACCCCCGTCTTTGCTCATATCACAACTGACTTGAAACGATCCCGAACCATCAGGATTGATAGTATAAACACCATTTTTTCTCTCTCCTAAGTTATACAGGTGGGCACAATTGGTGGCTATAAAATTATAAAATATCAAACAATATATAGCTAAGAATGTAAATATGACACAGTAACGATTACTTAGGTTTTCTCTTTACGTATATCTAAAAGACCTTGCTGTTTTTTCACTTTTGAGTCATCGTTCATTAGCATCCATTCTCCTTCTCCAGTCATTGCGTTGTGATCTGTCTTTCCTGTGATGTTGGTCAGTTGGCAGTTCACAACATTGAGCGTTTCTCTGTAGTTGAATCCAACACATTTCGGTTCTTTCTGACAGAGTTCGTAACATTCTATCGGGACAAACCCTGATTTGATGGTGTGACTTGATATGATTTCATCTGGAGGTAAAGATGATCCTCCTAAAAGTAGAAAACATGGTTTTGGGAATAGTTTTCCAACACTAAGTATATTACTGTTTTAAAACTAGAAGTGAGAAACATTCTGTAAGTCGGTAACATAGGTATAGCTCACCTGTTGTAACGATACTAAAAGATGTGGGAGAACAATTCTGTGATATGATATAAGCAGTTTCAGCCATCAGTAAGAACAAGGTTTTCATCTTAAACATGATTGCATGAGGTTAAACGACTTGTCGACGGTGCTGTCTTCGACGTGTAGGTTGAAATGACGCTCTATCGATATGGCAAATGATAATGAACATAATTTCTATGATAATTATCATAAATTGAATTTTAGAAAAACACACATCTGTCGGATTACATGCCCATGCAGCATGTGGCTTTTAAAAAAAATATTCGGACGAAGAGTTATTTGCTGGGGTCTTAAATTTGGTTTCTTTTCTACAAATTAATTTCTTTGCATGCCTTCCAAGTTGATTTTAACGGACCCATTAACATTGCAAGTATAAAGCCCGTTTCCCACTGGGCGAATTTATTCCTGTGATGCGAATTAAGCGATATCTGAACTCGCGTGATGTGATTGGTTTGCGAAAAAAATCGCCGCGAAAAAGCAGAATCGCTTTCTACTTTTATCCGTTCGCGCGAATAAATTCGCCTAGTGGAAAATGGGCTTGTAGTCACTAGTTTCCCTCACTTCCTGAAAACGTTGCTGACCTGCTCAACAATTTACAATGCTTGCGGCAATTACTTTGTTGGTAATTATGCATGGCGCTCTTATTTTAGTGCGGTATATTATATAAAATGATTAATTTTGACTACGTTTACACGCCTGTATTCAAAAAGCACACTCGCGCTCATGTAGTGTGATATAGAAATCTTGTTATTACTGGCCAAAGAGAAAGAGAAAGTTATTTTTTTCAATTCTCAATTTATTAAGTCGGTAAACTTTTTAGATCACATGCACCAACTCAATTCTCAATTTATTAAGTCGGTAAACTTTTTAGATCACACTAACTCAATTCTCACTTTATTAAAGTCGGTAAACTTTTCAGATCACACCAACTCAATTCTCACTTTATTAAGTCGGTAAACTTTTTCAGATCACACTAACTCAATTCTCAATTTATTAAGTCGGTAAACTTTTTCAATCACACGAACTCAATTCTCACTTTATTAAGTCGGTAAACTTTTTCAGATCACACCAACTCAATCCTCGATTTATTAAGTTGGTAGACTTTTCAGATCACACCAACTCAATTCTCAATTTATTAAGTCGGTAAACTTTCTCAGATCACACTAACTTAATTCTCAATTTATAAGGTCGGTAAACTTTTTCAGATCACACCAACTCAATTCTCACTTTATTAAGTCGGTAAACTTTTTCAGATCACACCAACTCAATTCTCAATTTATTAAGTCGGTTTAAGTCGGTAAACTTTTCAGGTCACACCAATTTATTTCTTAGTCAATAGAAACATCTTGGGCGAAACACTGAAAAACAAGCTCTTATTGAAAATACCGCCATTGAAACGTTATGAGGAGATTCAGATCTCCCACTCAATGAGTCGGAGTGTGGCTGAGCTTGTAGAATACAGGCGTTAGTCCCAAACTTGAATATTTCGCGGCTATTGCAGGTCTTATTTATATATCAACGTGCACTATCGCACTTTGAAGACGTGATGTTTTCTCTCTCTTTAATTTTTAATAATGTCATTTACACTAAAACAAGAAAAACGTCTTGTTGTAATTTCGTGATAACAAAGTGCAAAAGTTCTTCCGACATTTCGTGAAGAAACGTATTTATAAATGGTTAATATTTTTCAGCAATGTTCTTCCCTTGTCAGTAAAGACTGTCAATTAAGTGATCCAACCCGCCTACTCAAATATCAATATAGTTAACACAATATGTGACTACTTTGAAAGGCTTAGCAACAAATGTGGTATAAAAACTGCCTACAATAGGCAAAACACTTCTCGAAGTTTCCACCTGAGAGTTTTCGTATATCCTACTAGCTCTCCTGACGAAAGCCCTCAGGTCGAAACGTCGAGAAGTCTTTTTGTCTATTTTAGGCAGTTGTTATGCCACAGTTTGTTGCTACGTTATTTGGAAACGCTGCCACGCTGCTCCTTGGTTATATTGGAACGTACTTTGAAAGGCCTTATACATTCAAAATGCAGGCGCAGAGCCTATTCTCGTTTTCAGCCTTCCCGCGTGCTGTGTGTGCCGAAAGTAGTACTCGAAAAACCTGGGAATGAGGATAGGATGGGACCGAATGAGATAATTTGGCTGGAGCTTATTTTCTAAGACTATATGCTTTTGTGCGAGTTTATTTTGCACATTTTTAAAAATATTTTAATGAATGTTCGTTCATTTGAGAACCCCTGTTCGAACAGTAAAGATTGACAACAGGAATATTCACAATTTGCCTCGCGAATCCAAACAAATATTTAATAACATTGCTATGGCTACACCAAGAACACTATGAAATACTCATTTAAACGAGAAGAAATTCATAAATATTTATTGAAGATCAATTACATTTATTTATCGCTCAGCATCGAAAGGCTGATTAAAAGTTTTAAATAACAAAACGCCGACAAAATAGGCCTGGGGTAACTACCTGCACTGGTTCCTTCAATAAGGCGGCTGCCGTTGGACAACGAAGGTGGATGATTCATTTTCGTCAGCATGTGCCTAAACCATGCAATTTACTTCTGCATGGGACCGATTGCTCGAAAGGCGTTTAGCTTAATAGGTTATTTACTGCATAAGATGCAGGTGAACAAAGCGTAAGACTTTTTTATGTATTATAAAATAGGTAATAATATTTTTCAGCAATGTTCTTCCTTGGTCGGTGAAAACTGGCAAGTGATCCAACCCGCCTATTCATAATTATATCAGAGTTATACGCAATATGTGACTACTTTGAAAGGCTTAGCAACAAATGTGGTATAACAACCGCCTAAAATAGACAAAAACACTTCTCGACGTTTTGACCTGGGGGCTTTCGCGTATATCCTACTAACTATCCTGACGAAAGCCCTCAGGTCGAAACGTCGAGAAGTGTTTTTGTCTATTTTTGGCAGTTGTTATACCACATTTGTTGCTTTGTTATTTGAAGACGCTGCCACGCTGCTCCCTGGTTATAATGGAAGTTGGAACGTACTTTGAAAGGCCTTATACATTCAAAATTTAGGCGGCGCAGAGCCTATCCTTGTTTCCAGCTTTCCCGCGTACTACGCGTCCCGAAAGCAGTACGCGGAAAAACTGGGAACGAGGTAGGATGGGATCGAATGAGATAATCCGGCTGGAGCTTATTTCCCTTTTTGTTGCGTCGCTCCCTCACTTACATTTCTGCGATCAGAGAAACAGATTTGCATAACACGTGTACAGGACGATGCGTTCCGACGCATGAAAACCGTCCACGAAGTTATTGTTAAATTTTTCATGGCACATTAGACAATGTTATATATTGCTGTTAAGCTCAATGTCGAGTTAATTACCTCATGTTTACAACTTCAACTTATTCCATTCGTTTGTTTTAGTTTATAGTCTTGTTAAATACATCTTGCTCAAAGTTCTGTAGAGTTTGCATGCAAGACGAGATGCGTGTTGACCGCAACCCATTGTGATTTTGGCAAACAAACGGGCGACAAGGAGACGTCGTTAATGATTCTGTCAACATGACATAGCAATCTTCCTTTGTTTGTGTCAGAGATTCCAGCGGGGCGTTGCAGTGTCAGATAGCAGGATTGCAGACCGCTGTTTAAAACGTGAAGCTCTCGTGTTATCGATTCAAAACCAGTAAGGGTCGATACTGATAGGAGCAACGCAGAATTTGAGACCAGTCGAGAAAGGTGAACGTCGGGATAATGTCGTGGCTACATTGGATATTTCTTGTGGTATATTTTGGATATTCATTTGGAAACAATAAGCCAGCAGTTCGTGTGAGAATCACGCAAAAAGGTCTTGACTATGGTATGTTAAATTGGCTATACGCAAGTTTGTCTTATATTCATGGTGTAAAATTTTCGACAACGTGTCAAAGGTATTTCACTGTCAAAGATATGACAAAACTACGTACTTATTGGCGGATACTTGATGAAGTTTGTCTCATGCAAAAACTTATTCAAGTTTCGACCATGCCCTTTCCAGGAGGGCCAAGCTAAGTACGTACTTACGAAGGAAACTATTTTTTCTGGATATTTAAGTTCATTTTAATGGAGCGATGAGTTCCGGTCATATTTTACACAATTTCTTTACATGGTAAACTTTAGTTTACAAAGTAGTTGTCTTGACGCTGCAGTGATATGCCAATGTAGCTATTTATTTAGTTTTGTTGCCTTAGTTTGTACGATAGATTGCTAAGCCTGCCTATGTAAGGCTATGTTACCCCTTCCTGACGCGTTTTAAATTGCATGTTTGTCGGTGAATTTTTCTGACCTACTGAATAGGAAGTAAGCAAAGATTAAAGACAAGACGAGCGATATGTTTAGACCCATCCTTACTTTTGTTATACAGATTAAAGAAACAAGATCCAAACATTAGCGGCTTTTTTCGTCGTATTTGCGTAAAAAACATAGCACTCCCTCCCTGTGGATTTCCTTCGTCCAAAATGGTAGACTTTTGGGGACATGTTACGCGCAATGTATATTTCCGATTATTCAGTTCGAATTTCGTTTACAAAACACGGCAGCAAACCAATTTCTAGACCGAATAAATCTAAATCACGAATTCCTGGACTAAAGGATGTCTTTACTGAGTTAATCTGGACTAATTGCTGAAAGGAAGGAACTCCATGCTTCGTGTGAGGTCGCACTTTTGACAGCAATTAACGGTTCATAATTAGACGCTATTTTCCCTGTGCATGCCAATTTTGATTTAATCATATCTTGGTTATATAAGTTATACGTAAATATTTGTTTGGGAAGAAAATGCAACAATAGACAGAATGCGAACGTTTGACGCACTTTGCTGCAGGACCGCGCGCAATTTGCATGAGGTGCGCAATTCAGCGTTTAACACAGTCGGCGCAATTAGCCTGGGGTGATGACATGGCAAAATAGAATCTGTTTATTGATCCTTAACTCATTGAGCGCAGGCACATTTGGCCGGGGGTAGCAACTCGAGGTGCGTGGGCGAAATACGAGGGTCGAGGAGCCCGCATAACGCAGTCGTTTGATCTTCTTCATAGTGCGAGTTATTATTATCATTTGATCGCATTTAGTCGCATGTGAAATTACTTTGATCCATCTGAGTTTACGCAAAACTTACAAAATTGTAATCGTAAATACCTTGCTAAGTTAGGTGCACTTATTGATGATCACCACTCAGTAAGTAGAGTAGTGCTACGCTCACAACGAGAACGGATCCTGATAGTAGTAGTGGTAGTAGTAGTAGTAGTAGTAGTAGTAGTAAAACTTCATTTAAAAGTCACACGCTAGCCCCGTCAACTTTAAGCTGATTTCCACGAGGAGCGTGTGATTTACATTTAAAAACATATACACAATTAACTAAATACTATTATACAAGACAATTATCCACTACATACAACACGCCACGCTACAATACACTACGTAAACAACTTACATGTATTAATAAAAGTATGGAATATGGAGAGTTATAAAGAAGAATAAGGAAGTTAAAATTTATACCTAGAAGTGTTTAATTTGTATGAGTACGAATTCTTTCTTTAAACATTGTCAATGTATCCGAACTACGCATATCCATAGGGAGAGAGTTCCAGACTTTAGCGCCATCATGTTATTGAACGTTGCTCTCACATATCCCATCCTTTGTGTGGGTGTAGAACGAGACAACAACACAGTTATCACAGGTTCTACTCAGTAACTTTAGTTTAACTACATATTCCCCACGATTTTACCTCGACTCGCTACCCTCGAGCTCAGAAGTCTATCCGCACGACTAACTGCTACAACAACATCGGAAATTGCTGTGGATGAAGAACAATTTGGATAGTTTTATGTTTGTTTAAGTTTGAGCGTATATTTATAGGGTACACACAACGCTGTAGGTAGCGACCACGAACTAGCGTGCTGTTTATTCAACCAGATTAAGTTTGATTGTTAAACTTTCTCGTGCTGGGTAAAACGGCGCCTACCCACTAATATGACACGCACCCGCACATATGGAGACCATTTTCGCGCTCTGGAAATCTTCAAGCCCTAAACTTAGCCCAGTGGGAAACTGCATTAAGAGATTTTCATCTTAGTTTATTCAACATTTCGTCCAGAAGGTCCACGCAGCGTAGGTAAAAGCCTCCAAATTATGTTTACCAGCATGCTCCTGAAATGATGCAGTCTAACAATTATTCAAAAGGAGTTCTACTGAGTTATCTTGTTTTTATGAAATGAAGTAGAACTTGTTTTCATTGGTCGCCTCACCTCAATGAAAGCCTTGCATGCACTGAAAGGGTCCATGCTTGAAGAGAGTTTACACGATCGTTCGACCAGCCACAATGAGTCAGCTCAAAATTGATGGGCTGATTCAGGCAGGCAATACCAAGCAAGCTAGAATCGACCTTTATCCAACTCTGAAGCACCCGAGCAATTTTAAATGGAATTGCCTTCAACTTGATCCTTGATAATGCATTAGCGTCACACAAGATAATTATGAAGGTGGCAAGGTTAGACATCATGATTGTGGATAAGATTAATTTTTAAGTGCAGTGTTTTGATCCGTCACATATTGACAGGTATATCACATAATCTTTTCCTAGTGTGAACTGACTTCACTCCAAGACGCGCGTCGACTGGAGTGATTAGTCGGATTAAGTATAGACTATCTAAAAAATGAAGCGAGATTATTTTTTTTGACAATCCTTAGGGTTTGGTCCTCTTTGGATGAGCCAAAGCTCTTCTCAAACGTTACCAGACTACCCGCATGCATTGTTCTGAATAAGATAAAAGGCATTTTACCCTGACGTAAAGATAGGCAACCAGTAAAATATGACGAAACTTTTGCCTAAATTCCGTCGTTTCGATTTTTATTGACATACACGTACTCGGTATCTTTTCCCGAATGTCTTTACTCAAAAGCCTGTCTGGAAAATGTCCAAAACTGTTCGTTCACGTTGATTAAAATTCGTCAGGAAACACAATAGATCAGCTTGGACGTAAACAAAACTGATCGAGAAGATTGCCGAGTTGAAATATCGTTTTTCGTTGAGACCATTCAGTTTACGTTTGAAACAAACTGATTTTAAGTTTTCCACGCATTTATTCCTATATCCAATATGTATGTTTCTTGCACTTATTTACAGCAATTGACAATGCAATGGATTATGCGAAGGCGAAAATGAAGAACTATCCTTTGCCCGACAAGAATGGCAAGTTAGCCAACTTCTTCTTTGATGTGAAATACAGTTTTACCAAGTAAGTTAATCAGTCAACGCTGAATTGTGTGACCACTTCTTGAGTTTAACCATGTCTAACGCATGGAATTCTGAATGCTATAGATTGCTACTTTTTTATTTTGTTCGAGAGTAAAATCAATTATCATTTCAGCATGACGATATACAATATAAACATTTCGGACAAATCTTTGCGACCTGTTCCAAGACGAGGATTGTACACCGTTTTGAGGAATATCAACTTTGACATCAAAGGAAAATGGAAAATCAGTATGGGTTGGTAAGTTTGATGCATAACTACTCTTCTTCTCTCCGGTTAGATTAGTGCAGTCCAGTCCAGTCCAGTCCCGGCATCATTTCGCAACGTAAATCAAATTTGGGAAACGTGAAATGCTTCTGAATTCACTGTAGAAGGCAAATTGCTTTCGAGAAAGCAGATTAACACAGTTTCCCCGACATTCTTTCCACAAACAAAGCGAGAGACAAACAGGAAGACGCTTTAAAGAATTATAAGCTAAGGTTTTCTATCGAGCGAAAATTCGAGCGCTAACTCAAAGCCTAAACAGGAAACATGCCTGGAAGGATCGTTGGTAAAGATGACCGCACCGAAAAATAAAAGTAAAAGAAAACAAAGTATAAGTTGTGGAAGGATGCAGATATCCTGACAAATTTTACGCACGATGATGGCAGGAATACTGATGGTTTAAAATATTTGTGGATTGGATGGTGAAATTAATGTTCTCAACTCCTTTATATAATATAGGTTTGCTAATTATGGTACTTTCAATGTCGCAGTTCAAGGCATGTCCGTTGGGATCCTTATTGATCTAGGTACAGTATATGTCATTGTTCGAATAACATTGATGGTTGAATTCGAGGTTGAATGCCGCTCATTCTCGCGTTGTATATAAACAACAAAGTTTTGGATTGTTTTCAAAATATTATTAGTAGCATCAATCCCTACCGCGAGAAGCGTTTAACAATAACGAGACTCAATGATGGAGAGACAAACAGAATACTAAAAAGCATGAATGGAATTTTATCCATCCAGGTGTGAATGGAGATCGCCTTGTTGTTTCCCGAGTGACTTGTGCCTCACGACTTGATGGCGTCAGCATGGCGCTGAAATCCGGACAAGGGACAAGGTGAAGTGGAAGATAGTTTAAAAATCGATTGTATCATGCACTTCGCTCGCATGCCCGATGGCGTATTATGATTCGCCTAATGCCCATCATGACATCATCATCCTAAAGACGTTTAAAACTTGCAGCTACCTATTCCTGGCCACCCAGCAAATGATGAAAAATTATGTGAAATCAAAGATTCCGAGAATAGTAAGTATGTGGCTTGGTATTATAATAGGACTGGCGCACCAGGCTAGATTAATTTGTAGAGTATGAGCTGGTTTAGAGCGATGGTAGTTTCCAGAGAATGACATCGTACGTGTGTTATCAAATTTTTGACAAGTGCTTCGTACCAAACCAATGTAGCCGGCAGATTCTGACCGCACATTTACCCATCTAGGTTTGTGAAGAAGGAAGAAAAGCGATTAGGAAACACTTGAACAAGCAGTTTTCCAAATTCCCAGGTAATCTTTATCTTGTGAATATCAACTTCTCGATTTTACAAGTGTCAGGAAATTGTGTTCTGATACAAACGCGTATAGAATTTTTTTGTCCCAGAATTTGCCATTTGTCTAATTACATTACATACTATTATCATCGATCATTTGATTATTGCGAAGTATTTCTCCTTTTTATTTCCAGTAAAACAAAACCTGAAAAGATCAGTAACGCTAGATTACTCTGTTGTCAAGAGACCCGAGTATAAAATTGGAGCAGTAGATTTATTTTTAAAGGTACACCTGGCATTTGCACTTATTCCGTCAGTGTCAAGTTACTGAGTGGCGCGTGTGTCTCTACAGTGCTGGCGGAATTCAATAACGTCCACTATTGTACTATTGTCTTTCCTTGATTTATCAGGGCGAGTTTCAGCCAGCGGACGGTAGCATGAAATGGCAGCAGCAACCCGCCGACCTGCCACGTGATTACGCACGTGACCGAATGATGTACGTCACGATGATGGATCACATGATCAACAGCGCTAGTCATGCGTATTATAACCAGGATGCAATGCGAGTGAAAGCCACGGTGAAACAGGTAAAACATTTGTATTAGCTTAAGACAAGACTGAACCATCATGACCCCGAGTGAAGCCAGTTTAGTCACTTGTGTGAGCTAGCGTTTTGCAGCACTCAGTAGGAATAGCAGAATTCTGTCGACTGCATTTATGCAACTTAACCCGTTTCAAAGCTATTGCCCTATAATGGTTAGATATTTTTTATTTGAATATGAAGTGGTTCGGTGAAATAAGTTGATTTAGAATGGATGGAAACGGTATTGCAGCTGATGCGATATGTATATTGAAAGCACTAAGCGATTAACACTACTCTAAATATCCAATGATGAACATTTTAACCTTAATATTTTATTTGCACTTTTAGGTTCCTCAACTTCATGTCAAAGGAGGATTTTTCAACCGCTATCTTTCTCGCATAAATACTGGGCTGGGATTAGTAAGTCGTTCACTACGAGTAACATAATCATGAGCAAAACAAAGCGGAAGAAATCTTTCCCTTTGGGGCCTTTAAGGTCGGGAAGAGAAATGTTCTAAAATCTTCGCTCTGTTTCCTTTTGGGGTTATACGAAGAGCGTCTTGGTCATATTCAAGCCTGCATTTGACGCTTCATTGCTTTCCTTTCGTTTTCAACTTAGTTTTTCGATTCCTTCCTTATGCCTGTATTCACTTGGCCGATATCAAAGTGGTTTATATAGGCTTATGTAATAATATATTTTCTGTGCAGATAAAGAAATCTGCGTGCGCAAACTGCGATCTTCATATTACCATGGAGGCAACTTCGCCACCTCAGATCAGAACAAGTCATTCTGGGATACATTTAACCGTCCAGGCAACGACGAAGATCAACGTGGTACTACCCGGTACCAAAAGAGAAGAACTTAATCTGGAAACGGTAAGTATTAACAAAGATCGATAATTTCACATTCTTGTAATCACCATAGTACATATGGAGCAGTTTCTTAGTTGAAAGGCATTTCCTGAGACCAAATTCGACGGACCCCCCCTTGAGGAGAGTTTAATCCCTTTTTTATCTTTTGTACCATGACTATACCTTTATCATTTTAGGCCCTGTCTCCCCCTCATCTCCGAGTGATTTTCCACTCTCTAGGATCCCCAAAGTGTACTTTTATTACTCCTAGACTAGAACTGTTCAATATGAACAGTTGAATTCGATATGTCTCTGTTCTCTCGTTTTTGTAATCTGTACTATAAATATGTAACATACACTTTTGTATTTTCTTTAGAACATAACTGCAACGGCAGTTCCAAAACTCAACGGGACAAAGTTAAGCACGAATATAACAGACTTGAGGTAAGTTTTTAAGTGAAATGTAAACAACTGATACTTTATATATCAGCGATGTTTTTACAATCCATTTTCTACAAGAAATTGAAAATTTTACCCCCCATTTAAAGCATGCATCGATGGCACAAGAGTTACCCTGTGTGATTTATCACTTCTTGATTTTTTGCCAGATTGAACACAAGAGTTATAAATCCTTCTCTAGTCACAACATTATCGGTAATGTTAGTTACATGTTAGACAAAATAACCGGAGAATATTCTATATAACTTTCGTCCAACATTCATCCTGAAATTTTACCGTTGATCATTATGCGTATACCGAATTGGCTTTACGAGTATTGATGCGAATATTTTTTTTCGTCCACGTAGGGGAGTGTGGAAGAGATGAAAGAAATCGTGAAGAAGGAGGTTGAGAAACTCTTGGAGAATGGTATCTCAGGTACGGAGAAATTATCGTAGCGGTATCTTGTATCGTCGGGAAAGATCGATAACCACGCTATTTTAATGGTAAAATGCTTGTCCTATGTAAAGTTTCCAGCATGTTTGGCGCTCATATACAAACATTAAACAATATAACCATGCTTTGGTTATGATGACAAATTTTTTGAAATGGATAACCACGCTGTTTTAATGGTCAAATGCTTGTCCTATGTAAAGTTTCCAGCATGTTTGGCGCTCATATACAAACATTAAACAATATAACCATGCTTTGGTTATGATGTCAAATATTTTGAAATGGATAACCACGCTGTTTTAATGGTCATAACGACGCTGTTTTAATGGTCAAATGCTTGTCCTATGTAAAGTTTCCAGCATGTTTGGCGCTCATATACAAACATTAAACAATATAACCATGCTTTGGTTATGATGTGAAATATTTTGAAATGGATAACCAGGCTGTTTTAATGGTCAAATGATTGCCCTATGTAAAGTTTCCAGCATTTTGGCGCTTGTATTGCTTGTAAATTTAAGCGAACTAAAAAATTTTCGAAATTAAAGACTAATTACGGAAAAATTATTGGTGGGGCTAAAGCCCAGCGAGCCACCCTGCTCCGCGGTCTCTGCACTGTCTCGGTCAATGAACCTTGACCACCTTTGTCTTCTTTATTCTTTATATAACCAATCATCGAGACATCAACAAATCATCTCTCAGTGGTCTCATATTGTAATCATCATATTGTAATCCATAACCACTGTTTGCTGTATTTTCCAGGAGTGGAAATTCCTTTGCCGCTCTCAGAAAAATTCCAATTAGTCGAGCCGAGGGTGTCGTATGGCGAGGTAAAATCCTTTGCACTAAAATGTATCTCTTGACTCTCAGTTTCGCTGACCTGCCATTTCCTGTTTTTTGTGCCCTTATCGTATGAATTGCTTGTCAAACAAACGAGATATTTTCCCTTGCAGGGTTACATGACTTTGGAAACTGATATTCTCCTTCGTTAAAGAGAACCTTCTCGATACTCGATACTGTTTTTTTACCCGAATTCTGCGTGGTTCAGTTTCAATATAAGTAGTTTCAGTTCTTATTTTATTGTATTATAAGAAACTCGATGTTATGGCAATGGTTTCTGTATAGTTTGTTATTGCGTAATATATATATTTATATCAGTATGAAAGTTTAAACAAGAGTCAGACGTGTTACAGTATATAGTGCACAAGATTTTTAGACGTAAGTATGGCTATATAAATACGTGGTGTTGGGGAATAAATTGTGATATTACATGCTTTTTTGGTTTTTGTCTTTTGATTTCACCTGTAACTTCTTGTTTTGCAAACTTTTAATTGAGAAGATAAACTTAATAGCTGGTATTTGTCCGTCGTAAATGTCTCCCGGCCTAAACGTGTGATTGCATGCATGTTCTCCATTCACAGACCGATACTCATTAATATTTTTATGTCGAGGTATTTTTTTGATAGTGAAGTATTTGAATGCTTTTTCTTAAAACGGCAATTAAATTATCAGAAATTATAACTAGAGTCTGCCATCTCAAGTGGGAGCTAAGTACGGGCAATTTGGAATTGCTGTCAACATTATGCATTGTCTAGTATATTCCGCGGACTCGTATTGTTTATTAATGACCAAATACATGCACTCTCAAATGGAAAATTGCTCTTCAACTTTCAACTATTCTCATGCCAATATCTTAAGAGATATTTATCTGAAGTGATGAAGAATCGGCATGATTCATTAATAATTCATTTGCAAATTCAATACCGCCTATCGATGATTATGTCATCGCCGATAGGACAGATGACTCAGTATCTCGTGAATCGTGATCTAGTGATCCAGTCCACAAATGAAATCATATTCAGTTTCCACGTTAGAAATTCTCTTCACCAGCACTGTCAGTTTTCGTTCTATGACAATGCATATTGTTATGCATTTTGCGTCATGAATGTGTTTAATGTTTTAGCTTGACAATCACAATCATTTTTAGTATCTTTGTATCAAAACGTTTACTGAAGATAAATTTTGTTGTTATTAGCGATTTTTAAAATAGCACGGTTGTCTTGTAGTGGTCATAAAAACGATTGCTATTAATGTGCGAATGGGAATAAGTATTGTACAATATTGTAGTTCTATAGCGCTAGCGTAGCTAAGACGATCGATGCAACTGACATTAGTGACATAGGGTTCATTGAGACTGTCACCTTTGAAGTGGGTTTTTCAGTGATGCATTCATTGCATTGGGCCTGATTACATTCAAATTAATATGATGTATTGACCATAAATAACGAATGACCAAATATCTATTAAAAAACTGTCATTGATTATTAAAGGAAATTTTAATTAATTATACGAAGAACAGTCGAAGAAAGTTGTGTTATATTTTCCAAATATGGTGTTTTCTTCAGGGTATTATGACAATGACGTCATAACAGGAAGTTGAGCATGCAAACAGGTTTACGCCTCGTCTGGACAAGAAGAAGCTTTATTTGTCAGGTTTTGTGAACATTTTGCAGAAATAACGATTAATCGCTCTTGTCAGGATGTCCTACAGCTTGAGTGAGTAGTTTGTGTTCTTTTCTGTCCTTCGTGTGTCGATATTATGTTTTGCAGTGTCGGTTTTTACCAGTTTTTATCGAGATTAAACACACAGATTAGTGCAGCCAGTCGAGCTTTAGGAATTACTGTTCGTAATTCTCGGTTGAGATTGCAGCAGTTAGAGTTATTTAAAGGCTAGGATACTAATCGATCGCTATGTTTCTTTGTAGAACACACCTTTGCTGCGCTGCCTCGTACCCAAAGAGGCCGGAGGCTTTGCATTAAAGGCGATCCAAAGGGGAAATACATACTGTATTCGTTTAATAAGGGTGTCATTATCAGAGATGTCGAGGTATTTAATCTTATTTCTTGAAGACACTATCGTGTGGGTCTTCGATCACGAAATACCCATGCTTCTGTAGCAGAAATTTCATTTCTTTGACTGGATTTATCTCAGATATAAGTGCAAAGTATAGTGCTTGAGTATGTACCGGTATATAACAGTTCATATATGAATGTGTTTCCCTGGTTGAGTGCTTTGATGATTGTTGGGGAGGAGAGCTATGAAAGCAGTCAAAGGAAGATTGGAAAGTTCAACTTTGTTATCGCCCTTAATCATCAGAACACATTAACTATGGTCATGTACAACATGCATGGTTTTTTTAAATCAATTCTTATTGCCTTTTAAAGAGCTGAGTAAATCTCCTTTTTTGGTCTATTTCCTTGTTGAATTGCAAGAACTGGGAGATATTTATTTCTCAAAATGTCATGTATGAATGTGAAATGAATGTGCTTAGATTACAATCTGGATATCAGTGGCTATTTACTGTACCTCTAACCATGTTTATTAGCCTCAGATTAAATTCTAGGGATCTCTGGCCTACAATAACCTCAATCTATCAACCAATAACCTTACCCCCAGTTATCTTAACCCACAACACATCCCTACCCATGTTTATTGCAAGTTCCCATCCCCTTGTCACCTATTAAATTATATCTACTCTTGTAATTTAGAATCCGATGAATGCTGATGTGTATTCTGAGCATGCTCATGAAGTATCTTCAGCTTGCTATGCCCCAAGTGGTTTTTATATTTGTTCTGGAGGTATGAATAAAGCAACTGTTGTATGGATACAATGTCTGCTTTGAATTTTGCTTTTGCAAAATTACTTCACATATTTGTTTGCAATGTTTACTGCAAAGTTACAAATTTATTTTGGCATTGTGCCTATCTGAGGCTTTTCATGTTCCATTTAGTTAGAATTGTTTATTATTATATCATGAAACACATGTCAAAATTACATGATTTCAAAATGTTGTAACAAACTTTTGAAGTAAATTTGCAGGGTAGTTTTTCAAAGAAAAAAACAATGTTAAAGCAAGCTTTAACTGTTTTTAATTACATGCAACCTGACGATGGAGTAAACCTCAAAACATTGTTACAGTTTAATAAAATTTGTTATTAAGAAAGCCTTCTGGTTGTTATTAAAATTATTATTGAAAGTGAAAAGAAATTTCCCAAAGGAAAAGTGAAATTAAAATTGATCGGTTTGCTTTCTAGATGTATCTGGTAAGGTGAGGATCTGGGACACAACGCAAGCCGAACATCCATTAAAGGCAGATTATCAGCCACTTGGTGGAGCAATAAAAGATATTGCTTGGTCGCCAGATAGCAAAAGAATAGTTGTTGGTGGGGAAGGTCGTGGATTGTGAGTACAGTGTACATATATATTTATTTATACTTTTTTGTATAAAACTAGTTTTTTTTGTTTGACCCAACCTAGGCTTGCAATTCTTGATTCTTTTAAGTCCTAGAAAATTACAACACTGGGCTAAAGCAGTTTTTTAAAAACTGATATCAGTTTGTCGAAAAGATATTGATAATTTTGATTGTTATATATTTTTCTGTGATTTAAAAGGTGACTGGTTGGTTAGTGGCTGACACCATTGAATATCATTTCTCTCCAGGTTTGCACATGCATTTCTTGCGGATACTGGGTCAAGTGTGGGCCAAATGATGGGCCATTCAAAAACTGTGAACACAGTTGACTACAAGTCATCTCGTCCCTTCCGTGTGATCAGTGCAAGTGAGGATTTCAGTTCAGGTTTTTATGAAGGACCTCCATTCAAATTGAAGTTCACCAATAAGGTACATATAGGACACAGGCCACATTTAAGTGACGATAATGATACTGGGTATTAGTAAGAATAGCAAGGCAGTTGATGCAGGAGGACAAATAATATGGTTTTCTTCTTGTTGTTCCAGCGATACAATCTAATTTTAATCTATAATTTTAGGAGCACTCCAACTTTGTAAATGTTGGGAGATTTTCACCAAATGGTGAACGATATGTGACCGGATGCAGTAGTGGAAAGGTATATGCTGATTATGGTTCAAACCATTCTTCAAACAGTCTTTTAGAAACACTTGTAAGTTTCACTTCTGCTTTACTAGCTCTACATCTATGATGGTAAAACTGGTGAACATACTGGTGAAATTGGAAGTCCTGCGCACAAAGGAGGAATCTATGATGTAAATACCGATCGAATGAAACAATATTTTACCATTTTAAATATATTTTTGTACATCCAGGTGAAGTGATTGAGTCTCTTTCATACAGGTCTCATGGTGTTCAGATAACAAGCATCTACTGACAGCCTCTGGTGATAAAACTGCAAAAATTTTTGATGTTGATGCAAACACATGTGTCCAGTAAGTCACCTCATAGCAGGGCTGTTTTTTAAATCATTAGCTGGCTTAAACCAGCGGTCCAGTTGTTTTACAAGTCAGGAGGGGGTGAGGTCTAGGTGTCTTTGGTTAAAAAGTGTCTTGTCGTCAGATTATTTATATAGACCTAGACCTAGAGCTTTTCACCCACCATATCTACGATGAATGCTGTACAATGTACCAATCTGTTTTTTATGATGTTTAGAGAGTTCACATTTGGTTCGGATGTACTTCACCAGCAATTAGCCTGCCTCTGGATGGGTGACCATCTCTTAACCATTGAACTATCCGGTTACATCAACTACCTTGACAGGGAAAACCCCAGTCAGCCAAAGAAAGTTTTGAAGGTAGGAATTCATTGAATAAACAAATACTTGCCAAAACTTGTGATCTGAAGGAGCTGTTCACCAGGAACTTTAAAATTACACCATTCGATTCTGTGTTTAAAGAATCAAGACTCCCTTTCTCACTTTCTCTTTGGAAAACACGCGAATTCATACATTATGTATACAAGTTACCAGCAAAACATTCATTTTGCAAAAAATCCAACTTCTCGATTTAGGGTCACAACAAAAATATCACCACATTTGCAGTCACGGAAGACAAGTCACATATTTACACTGCGAGTTACGATGGTCAAATTTGTATCCTTTTTAAAAATACACTCAATAGTTTTAACGCAAGGGCTAGTTTGTAAGATCAGTGAAATGTCGCACAGTGCGATATCACTGAAGACCAGTCTCGATTGTGTATAGATCTACGTATTGGTTCGGTAAATCAGTGGAAGGTTAAAACCTTAACCATTCAATCAGATTGCTGGGATGTAAGTAACGGAATGTGTGAAGCAATCTCTGGTAAACATCACTCAAATCAAGTCTCTAAGATTGCAATTAGTGGATCAAATCTCTACTCTATCAGTATGGACGATTCGTTTAGGGTAACTTCAACAGAAACAAACGAATACAGGTAATTAAAATTAAATCAAGGCCTGTCTCAGACGTCAAACTTTTCATGTGCCGGACGTAATGTTAATGAGCTGACTTTGTTTAAGTTCATTTGCATTCGATTCGGCACATGAAAAGTTCGACGTCTGAAACGGGCCTAACAGCAAAGATTGAGAATTAGAGAGAATTGTTTTGAAGTCGCTTGCAACCATTTTCGTAGACTTTTTTTCTTTCGAGAGATGTAAAAAGTTGGATAAGTTACGGGTGTTCAAATAAGGGCCTTTTTACATCAGAACGTTCGAAACTATTCTCTCGTTCGCATTTATCAAAAAGAAGAAAATTGCACTGAAAATTGCAGCAACAGAATTGCAAGTATAAACGGGGATTACTGTCATTGAGCGCCGTTATATTCTTTTTCAGTGGAGACAGCATAGCTTTCGATGCTCAACCAATCAACCTGGCAGTGGGAAAAGATGGTTTAGCAATGATCATCTGTGTTGATCAAACGGTAAAAAACCTTGTTTTTTTGCAAGGCCTTGAAGTGTCTTTCATTCCACTGGGGGAGTGGGGTGACCTTTGAGAATTCACATTCGTTCTTCTGTTTCCACCGTTCAGATTGTTGTTACTCGCAACGGAAAGAAAGTCGCCAGCAAGAAGTTTGATTTTCAGCCATCCGCAGCCAGCATCCATCCCAACCAAACGGAAATTGCAATTGGAAGTCAAACGGTATCCCTTTTTAATTCGAAGCTATTCGTTTTAAGGCGCTGAATGTCTTTTAAAGTTCACATAAATGGTCGTCTGTATTACAAAAATCTAACTAGCCACCATCTTAAGGCACTTTCTCCACTCATCGCAAAAACCTATTTATTTATGTATTTAAAAATATTCTAAAACCGTAACCCTTCAGAGAAGATCAGTTTCCGGGCATGGTTTGGGGTACAAGAGTTGAGTAGTGTAACTATATATACTTTTGTATTTGATGCAGAAACCTGAGTTGTATGTGTATAGCCTGGATAATGACACAATCGGGGAGTTGAAGAAGACTGTGGAAAGTCTTACTCGCGAGGTATCTGTGCTCGAGTATTCCCCCGATGGCGCATTCCTTGGAGTTGGTATGGCTGGAAAAGACGTTACCGCTTTTAAAACAGCTGATTATTCGGTGAGTACTGCACGAAGTGTCGGAGAGGAAAACATCATCGAGAAAGCGAGGAATAGACCTTTTTCATAATGACGTCAAACGCGGAAAGACTGATCTACACACGAACTTTAATTGGCTCGATAGTTTTGTGGAGCCAATCAAATTTCGTGTAACATCAGACTTTCCGCGTTTGACGTCATTATAAGAAAGGTCTATTGGCTGTGATTGGACCACTGACCTATATATATGTCAAGGGCCGATTGTATTGTATAAAAATGAAAGCCAGATAGCGCTATCCACCGGATAGTGATTTTTTCAACCGTCCAAAAAATGCTCGAAAATCAATAAAATTTCAGCTTTGGAACCAACAATTATTAAGAGGATCCTCGATTTAGAAATACTAAGATTTAATCAAAGTCATAGCAACCAACGGGTGATTTTAAAACGATTGAAAAAAACACAATCCGGTTGGATAGTGCTATCCGGCTTTCATACAACCGGCCCTAGAATAATATGTAGTTCATAAGATGAATATAATGTACTTTTTGCCAGAAGAAGTAAATATTATTCACATTTTGATTGGGTTACTGAAAACGTAAACAAATTTGCGAAAACGAATTCAAATGTATCTCCTGATGGCTTTTATTTTAGGAAGCATCGCGGGCTTGGAGCGGACACAGCGGTCGTATCACCTCGCTCAGCTGGACATCAGATTCCCGGCACCTCGCTTCCGGCTCTCTTGATTCAAACGTCTTCATTTGGGATACTGAATCAATCAAGAAAACCGTCATAAAAGGTATGCTACATATATCCAGTGTATATATCAGATCAGTGCGGTCTACCAAATCTGCCCCTACCAGTTATCAAGTCATATCGGGCAATGGTTAACGGGGTAATTTTTCATCAACTAAATGTTGTGTGTGTGTGCTCTTTAGGCGCTCATCGCCTTAGTAATGTCGTGGGTGTTCAGTGGTTGAACGACAACCAACTCACTACAACAGCGGCAGATTGCTCTATCAAAATCTGGGATATTGTTCATCACTGACGAAAATTTGCCTCTTATGTTACCAAAGAAGCCACCCTTAATATGTGCGATTGCTCGGCGTGAGGAAAACTTGACAGTCACTATAATTTGTATTAATTTTTACATAGATTCATTCCACCTTGTTTATATAGAATAAATTTATTATTTTCTAAATATGGTTTATTACAATATCGCGAGTTACGTACAGTACATAACTGCACCACCACAATTACAATATCCTAATCTATCACTCCAAGTCATTCATGATTCATAAGCACCATAGCCAACGGACAAATACGAACACCACAAACGGTATCATCGTTTTTGTTTTCACGCTTTATAATGTAATGTTTATTCTAGGCTGAAGTTCATAATGATATTTCATGCAATTCATAGGTATTCGTATTTGTTTTTTTATTGGATTCCTAGCATTCTATTCAGATTCTTACAAAGCAGTTATAAATTGTTAAACGTTCATGCTGAGATGTTTTAAATGGTTATTTTATACGCTTAATACGAGGTAATTATCCGGTTTGATTTTTGAATTTGATATCAGAATATTCAGCTTGTCAATGCCGTTCTTGTCTTCTTCGTCTCTCGACCTGGACTGAAGCTTGGCACATCAGGTAGCCTTGAAGCTGGATCTCCTTTTTCATCAGCAGGACCCCGGGTTTCGGCTTCTGAAAAAAAACCCTCGACTTAATTCAAAACCGGACACAAAACAAACATTTTCGTTCAAGATACATAATGTTTATAGATAAATTTTGCAACGAAGACAGGGATCCACCAAAAAGTAAAGCCCAATCACTGTGATACTTACAACAATATACCTATAGTTGTACGGCCATGATCCGTTGAAAGTACAGTACAGTACGTTCCATATTGTTTTCTCCGTTTTGAAGCAAACATACCTGCGTTGTTATCACCCTCCATGAGCGCTTCAAGTTCTCTTTCTAAGTCTTCGAGATCATCGTCAGGGACACCAGATGTTGCAGCAATTGATTTGGAACCTAAAACAGGTACTTCGCGTTCAGTATTTCCGCAGTCACCATAGCAAATGCATCGATATATCGAGGATAACTCATCTCTTGTAAACATTACCTTCGCTTATTGTGCGATTAATTTCGGCTGTTTCGTCCATCACCTGAAACGCGAAACCACAAAACGATCGATTAGGAAGAATTCGCATGAAAGGACATGTTTTGATATTGAAGGGAATCAATTCAGTGGAAGTACTGTGCGTTGAATGAATCGTACCCAAGTCCTGCTTTGCAAATCGGGGTGATATAAAAGGTTGAAAAGCATTGAAAAAAATGCATTTTTTTTCTATCTTCCTTAGGTTAGTGTACGAATGCAAAGAACCCCTTTCCTCGCTGTTTCAAAAGGTATGTAAAGGTATTTTTTCCATAACGATAGGGGAACTAGGATAGATATTTCTTTAAGCTATATTTCCAGGCAATTTCATTGGCAAACGAGAGAAACCCGAATAAGGAAACCTCGAAAGTTTTCAAGTACATGTGCCCAAGACATCTGCATCAATGAATTGGGAGACTGAAAAAATATTTCGTGCATTAAGGCAGCATGTGCATGGACATACATCCTCGACTTCTTCCATTATTTTCTCCACGTTATCGATTGTGAAACCAGATTCTTGTGAGATTGTTTTGAACACTTGTGTTCCAGCCTTCAGAGCCTCGATTACCTAAACGATTACCAAAGTCGGATTTCAATAATACAGCAGGTTTTTTCACCGAAATTCCATTTTGCATGCCTACGTTTGCATCCGAGTGAGCGTCTTGTATTCGACCAAGTATATCTTGCGTGTTCATCAATAACGATTCCTTTTTGTCCAGAGTCTTTGACATCATGTGCTTGCGAGTAAGAATTTTCTTCGCCTAAAAAAATTTCGAACAGTTATCCAAGTCAACGAGTTTTATACCCAAGGGTTTTAAAACGTGACAATGCGACAAGGCGGTACCAACCTTGCTTTTAAGTCCTAGTTTAATGGACGCCACTACTATGGTTTGTAATCTGGAAAGATTTGAAACATTCAACGGTATAAGTCCAGTATTTTCGATACGACTAAAAAGGCGGGATTATGAGTATAGAGAGACTCACTCTTCAATCTCGTTTTGAAGTTTTCTGATTTGTAACTGAATCGTGGCTTCAGCTTTCTTCAGTCTTAAAGGATATAGATTATGGTATGTTACCTGAACAGAGATTGGTTGGGAATTGGATTGTAGTGTATTAGGCTGAAAGTCATCTAATGCCTTACCTCAAAATATTCAAATCTGTTTCAGAAATTGCGGCTACTTTGCCTTCATTCTTATTAGCAAACTTAATCACCTACAAAAAAATAGTCGATCTTAAAAAGGCCTCGAAAGTTTTTGGCCATTATTATTCGCTCATCAGCTGGGATACTCGAGCAAGGAGCTGGTACCTTTTCCCCGCCATCTGAAAGATGAACTGAAACCAATCGTTCTTTTCTTAACTGGCAAATGACGATCTCGAATTCTTGTTCCGACAAATTCACATTGCTTGCTTTCAGTCTAGCTTTTAGCACCTTCTCTGGCACGATGTTGTCCGTTATCGGATGTTTAACCGTTTGATAATGGCAAGAGAGTATTTTCTCGGCTTTTTTCTTAAAAGAGGATCAACATGAGGTTATCTATAGCAGAGAAACGGGGATTTGCTAGCTATTACTCAATCCTGGTCTGCGAGTGGCCCGTCTTACAAAATTAAAATTCTCGAATATTCTACGGACTGCTAGCAATATATTTCATGACGTTTATACTTTGTCATAATTTATACTTGCACGATTATCTAGCTCCTTTTGTTAACGAACTTTGTTTTCACAAGAATAGAGGATCGAGAATATTTACAAGTAGATTTAGTATTTATTAAGAGGGGGTGATTAATATTCTCAACATCGTGTATTTTACGCATGTATTTGCATGATATACATCAAGATAAGGCGTTTTAACTGTTCTCTAGATTAGTTTAGTTAGTTTTCATTCATACTTTCACAGACGACAGAAGCAAAAGTGGACCCTCGATTTCGTTATTCTGCCAAACTTTTCCTACGGTCCACCATAGAGATCTCTTCGCCATTCCATACGACCATTCGCCCCAAGTATCATATACAGAGTCTAGAAAGTCGCTCGTACGAATAACCTCCCCGCTATTCAACATTTCTTTTAGTACTGTACACAGTCCAAGTGGCGTCACTCCTTTTCTACGGAACCTCGTTTTTAAAACGTCTATATCAAAACACATTTGATCGAGCGACTCGCAACTTTCAACGATCGCACTCGTCCAAAACTGAAGTTTGCTGTCCCAATGTTTAGGGTTGACATTTCTATTCTCAGAGAAGGCAGAAAACATAAAATTCATGCGATTATCATCTTCCCACTCCACTGGAAAGTACGCCATCTTGAATTTTTTTTATTATTATGACGTGTTTCCACTTCCTTTTCACACACTTTCAATATCGTCAGCGATTTCAAAATGGCGTCCTCAAGAGGAGTGAGGAGGGTTTTTCAAATGAGAAAGAAAATTTTGATAATAGATTTGTTTGGCGATTAGCATCTAAATACTATGAGTAGTAGTGTTGAATTGGTCCTGTTCTATGGTCCTCCATACATTGTGAGCAAAATTATTGACAATGCATTGCTAATATTGCTTTAAGTTTCAAAATGAAATGCCCATAAAATTGCAACCACATGCAAATTTTTCATGTTGCTTTTCAAAGTTGCTAAAGTATTTCAAAGCTTGTCTCCTCCATTTGATAGGATGCTTCCTAAGTAAACATTTTGCTTAGTATTTCATTTGTAAAAGCCACAAAACAAACAGCCTCTTCTATTTTCGTAGGGAAAAACGTTATATTTTGTGAATCATTACTCCAGAACCCATGAAAGAGTTGCAGCCTCTGACATTTTTAAAGAAGACAAATGTTCAAATCTGAGGCTAGTTATTTTGAAAGTCATTGGATTGTTAAGCAAGGTATGTCTCTAATCTTATATGCCCAATGATTTGGCCCATTTTGGTGAGTTTAAGTAACTTCTTATGCCTATATAGGGTAAAAATGTTGTGGTTGACGATGAAAACTGGTATCTTGCCACTAGAGAATCTTACACAAGTCTTGTCAAAAAAAAGGTAGTTATGAATAAACTAGGCAATGTTGTTTCCATATAATAGGGAATTATAATAGTTTCATAATAAATTTAATGTATTAAACTGGATTCGAATGGATTAACTTTTATCCCCACTGACCCCACATTGTACTCTAGGTACCAAACTGCACATTTACAATGGTTCAGTTCATTACTGACGTTGTTTTGGGATATCAACAATGTTTATGGTCCCGAGAATGGTCATTGGTTGAACAAACTTTATTGAGTAAAACTTCTCATCTGTCATGGCTGTCTGAATCTGATGAAAAACTTGATTGTTGGTTTGCCAGACGAAGAAGTGATCTAAATCCTCCAGGTTTGTTTGACATGCAGTGTATGTGTTTTTTAGCAATTTCTTACCAGATTTGTCCTAATATACTGTAGAATCCCCAACAACAGCTGAAGGCTTTTCAATTGTGACGGTTAAACCCCAGATGACATGCAGGTCATCCTATAAGGTATGCAAGCTAGTTTGCTTTATTCTCGAGGGGTCAGAGATTACAGATCATGGATCCGTGTTTATATCCAAGTGATATATGGAGATATCTTATTTTCTCAACATCCTATATAGTTCAATCTCCCAGCACTCTTTGTTCAGTGGAAGTCAATTTTAGCAGATGGTCAAAATGAGAATCTTAATTTCAACCAAACCATCGCAGAGGTTTTAAACAAGTGGTCAGAAAAGTATCCATCAGGAAGAATCATTATCATTGGACCAAAGACAAAAAATGATAAAGGTTATAATTGATTCAAGTCTGTCTATAAACAAGTTGAGACATGTTTAATTCTTCGAAATAGAATACAAACAAATATATATTTTTTATTTAGACATCATGGAGGAAAATATTAAAACATTGTTGTTACAATTAGCATCCCAGGTTTGTGCAATATCATGTAATAAAAAGTTGATCAGCAGAATGATTTAAATTTAAAGTTTTTTATCCTTTAATTGTGTTTGCTTGAGCCCTGCACAGCCAAGGTTTAACCTTGCTTTTCCTATGCACAAATATACATTAAGAACAGTAGAGTATATAATTTTTCTTGCTTTATTATGTTAAGTGCACTTATAAGTTTCTTCACACAATGCACTATAGATTCAATTCACTTTTGATGGATGTTTTATAGCCATTTGCCTTGCAATGTCTATGGGCAGCAAATCAACTTAAGCCAACACAGTGCAGTGCCTTTTTAATAACAGATTGGTTACATTCCATACGTCAGAAGTGTATTGGATCCGACAAAATTGGATCGTGTGAAGATAGATGGCCTTTTTGAAGGATACAAACGTTTACCAGTATCTCAGTTTAACCGTGTCGGGGTTTTTTTTGTCTAGTTGATCCATCCAGTATATTTTACGTTTATTGACGAGAAACATCAGCCGGATCAGTTCAGTAGATTACCTCAGGCCGGAGTGATCGCGTTCTTGCAGAAATTGCACACAATCCATCTCTTTCATAAGGTATATGAAAATCACACATAGCTTAATGTTTATTGTACAGTATATATCTTGCAATTGGTCTTATCCATATAACTTTCCAGTTTATATTACTGCAAACCTCATTGCTCAGACTTGACATATTCGTCACAGGGGACAATATACATTTACTCAAGCGATGAACATTATCGTGCCGCTAATTCGGTTGGAATTCGTACGATCAAGGTACAATAGTGCAAAACGCCACTTTTTACATATTGTCGTCTGCAATTTTAGTTGATAAAACTTTTCCTACTTTTTAGGCTACAAAATTGTTCAAACATCCACACTTGGTGAGCATGATTTACGTAAATTATGGTTTGAAATCATGATTAAAATATGGTTCGGTAGAAATATTAAACCAAACTGACACATCCGTAATAAGAAAGTCCAAAGGAGGGTAGATGCGTGTGATGTGATGTAATTTATTGCTTTGTGTGTTGTGTTTTACGGCTGTGTTGCACAACTGTTATAATGATAATTGTGTTACTTTCTGTTGTGTTTCTTTTCATTGTTATCTCACTTTCGTTTTCCTTTGTAGATTGACTCAATTTACTGTGGCGAGAAGCCTACAACATTGTCGTTTTTACAAAACGTTGTTCAAGTCAACTGCAGATCTTCGTCTTGTGAGGAAAGGCAAGGAGAGGCCGTCGACGAAACCCTAGTTCCCTTCTTCTCTCGAGCACGCGAAAGTACATCGCCATTTGTGTGGAAATATTGTTATGGGAAGGTCACTGGTGTCTGTTTTAAAAATAAGCTGGCTTTGGAAAGGTGAGAACAAGGCGCTGGTGAGAACTAGCTACTAATGCAGATAGTGATATTTAGGTTGGTTTAAAACTGCCTGTGGTTTAGTAGCTACGAATCTGTTGGGATGAAGTTAAGTTTACTTCATTTATTGTCTGGTCAATTCCTGTAGTTTCCATTGTTTTTCCAAGCATTTCAATGCCTGCTTAGAAAATCAATATTATTTTGTGCTAATCTATTCAAGCTTCGTAAACAGCGTTCAGACGAAGGGATCTGCGAATTACACTCATTCTTATTATTTCACGAGGTATAGAGGCTCTATATTTTATCCATATCTTGCAGATATCAGACGCAGTACAAGTTGGCGGCAAAACCCGCTCGCCCGCCCGGAAAAACGAAGCAAAAAACCTCAAAAACCATTCGGGTACCTTCGACATTTCCTCGCAAAACGTCGCCAGCTGCCGGAACAAGCGCTCCCCGGCCGGCGGCCGTGCAGAACCAGTCGGCTGATAGCGATGCCAAAGCCATGGTTGGAAATATTGATCTTCGCCAGGTGGCAGAGACGACCGGGCGATATCTTGGAGGATTTCAGTGCAGAGATAATGTGTTTGACCTAAATGTTGAATGTTTGGAACGACGCTTGAAAATAACCTGCAAATGTAAGTACTTTTGCTTAGCGTTTGTATTAATAATTTATAGACCAAGCCTCTTGGAAGCTTTTTTTCATCTTAACCATCGGTCTAGCCTGAAAGAGCTTCGCTGTTTTTTTTTAGGCAGTGGTTCAAGTAAACAACCTTACGACGTTCACGTTATCCTGACTGAGTCTGTGGGTTTGCAAGAAGCTCGCTGCTCGTGTCCAGACTCTGCTGGCAAGACGGGCCGATGTAAACACGTGATAGGCTTGTTACTCAAGTATAAAGATAACCAACCAGCAAATTCAGAACCAGCCGTAAGTGGAATATGTTGTTGAATGTTCATACGAAAGCGGCCATATACAAAAGGACAATATACAATAATGATACAATAAAAAAGTTTACTTAATAAGGAGTCTGTCAGACAAGGCCTGAAAGATTAAAACAACTTTGAAAGGTTCATGAAAAGCTTGCAAACACATGAAAAATTTAAGTAGTAATGTCCAGAATCCAATGTAGTTGGGTATGGATTATGGGCAGGTTTGGGACTACCTAATACGCAGTATTTCTTTTAGTCGATCTAGTTTAAGCATTTTTATCCACCGAAATGCTCAACAATTTTTATCCGCTGTGTTTTGTAGAGTCGTGTTGAGTCTAGTAAAAGCAGTTCTTCCAAAAACCGTCGAGATACCGAAAGCAACAGTACTTCATCGAGCGGCAAAAAGCGCAATGTTCAGACGCTGTATTGTATGAGCCAAGAAGAATTCTTGGAAACGGCTAAAGAAGTTCTCAGAAAGGTGAGCAGCATTTTGGAAGTCCAGTGGCATTCTGTCTTCGTGACAGACCACGTACTGTACTCAGGTACGAGTTATATTTCAATTGGTACGTATGTTCAAATTATCGATTTTCATAATTTTAGCACGAACAAACTCAAACACAAGAACAAAGTTTGATCGAAGAGCCCGACAAGATCGATGGAAAAACAGACATTTCAGATTGTCAACGAAAGGAAAGGTTTGAGTATTTTTTGTTTTATTTCGATGCGATGACGTATACCACTTGGTTTTGTTGAAGTGTTTGACCCGGTGTGTTCACAAAAAAAAACTATATTTAAGTTCCAAGTCCTGACAAAACCACGCAAAATGCTGTGTGTTTTTGAGACGTATAGCGTAAAGCAAGAACTGCGAGAACGACTTAAAGGTTGCATATACCTTTTAAGATGTTTGTTGAAAATCACGCCGATTAAAAAACACCACAAATTTCTCGAAAACTCAAGATATGAGTTGTTAAAAACAAGCTACATAATTCATGAGATGACGTTTTGACTTCGTTTTGAAGTCATTGTCAAAACCAAGATCAGATTTTTGTGGTGTTAAATACGTTTAAAGCAAAATAAATTGCTATTTTGTGAACTTCATAGATCAACACCGGTCGATGTTGACCTTGAAGGCGAGATCCTGAAGGAGACATTGTTCTCTGCCATAAATCAATCGGGAAATGCACATAAGAAACTGTGTCCCGAAAGGATACCTAGTTTTGCCGAGGAAACACCGTCGGACAAACTGTCTGGCTCCGACCAAGGCAACGATTTAGTCATTGACCATACAATCGTGATTCCAAGTAGCTTGGTACCGGAGACTGTAACTTTTGTTCCGGAAACAATACGGTCCGTGTCCACGTCCTCGAGCCACGCGAGTTGCGAGGAACGTGTCGAGGAGACGAGGGGTCGTGGAAGGTTCGAAGTTGATAGTTTTGAAGCATTTTTAGATGAGGTGATTTAGATGAGTAGAGAGGGTTTAATCCGCTTGTGGACTCGATTTAATGAAGGGATTAACCGTTCGGACACATAAATGCAATTTCAATAACCTTTAGCTGCGATTCCTGGCCTGAAGGCGCGCTAAGTTCAACCATTTCGCGGCAAGGTATGAAATGAAATTTTGGAAATAACTGAAAAACTGCTGAAATCTTAAATCCTATGCATTCACAATCTCTTGTGCTATTTTACAACAGACGAGACCTGTCCATAGACTGTATATTAATATATATTTTTTATAGATGTCTATATATTTTACAAATTATTATATCAATATTATATCTATAAAGATATTTAGTATAAATGACATCAATTTTTAGTGGTTAAATTGATATTCCTTTATCAATTTTTTTAACTAGAGAGAGCTTTGTAGCTTCATTAGGTTTCGCGGAGGAATTCTTTCAGAAGCCCTGGGGGATGGTTTGAGATTGTTAATACGGACAGGATATATACAAATATTAGTGTTCGACCATTTTAACATCTTGTACTGCTTGAGGCTTAGTTAAGTCACTGACTTAATTTATGGCAAAAGTTGTTAAAAACCTTGTGCATGTCTTTGCCTTTACAGTTTTTTTCGATTTCTTGTCAAAACATGTCTTTTAATGTCCGCGTAAGGATCGTCCTTAACTGTGATTAAGTTTTCTCTCATTTTGTCCTGAGCATTCCCCGTGGGGCTGTACAACGCGACCACCAGCGTTTTCTTTTTGTTTGTTGTGGAAACAAAACCCATGCCAACTTTTTTGCTGTTCTTCCAAATAATCTGTGTGAAGTCCTTTGTTTCTGGCTTTATGCTAGGACTGGTGAAGCTAAACTTTGTGATTTCTCCATACCATTTCTCCACGGCTTGTTTAGCAATGTTTCTCGTTGTATACGGTAAAATTGCGATGTTTTCACCCTGTTTCTCTATCTCTCGTTTGAAGCTTCTCCTTGTTGCATGAAGTAGTTTGCTAGCGACGTTTTTGGCTTTCTTTGCAAGCGAATCGGACCACGTTAAGGCCTCTGCATTGTGACGCCGTCTGAATTCATTGTGCATCTTCACCGCTTCTTCCTTGAATTCCTCTGCAAAAAATATACTTGTTGGCATAAGTAGTTTTGATAACAGTATATGATCCCTGTTCTGGGAGGAAAGAGTTACAAGAGTTACCTTGTCTTGGATTGCGTTTTCTGCTTCGCCCCTTCCTAATTCTTAGCTAATTTCACCTCACCTCACCTCACCTATCCTCATTTCACCTCACATCATCTAACCTCATTTCACCTCACCTCACCTAACCTCATTTCACCTCACCTCATCTAACCTCATTTCACCTCATTTCACCTCACCTCACCTCACCTCACCCTATTTTACTTCACCTCACCCTATTTTACTTCACCTCACCCTATTTTACTTCACCTCACCCTATTTTACTTCACTTTACTTTACCTTACCTTTCCTTACCTATCGTTTCTCCCTGTACATACAACATATAGACCTACCATAATCAAAGTCATCCTGTTTCTTTTCCATCTTTTTCTTCTCCTTTTCTTTCCGATGATCTTCTTGAACTTCTGCACCCAAACTCTGTCCGTCATACTGTTCTGGATAGATGTCTTGCGATTCGTCGTGAAATTGATCATATTCTTCATCGTAGTAATTTTCATTTGAGGCTCCATCCTGTTCGTTGCTGTCACTCTGTTCTTTCACTTCATTCGTTTCTTTCGTCCCACTCTCTTTCTCTTCTTCTTCATTCTGTTTCTCGACATCTATGTTATCTTCCAGTTGTTCAATCCAGTTGTCAACGTCGTCAGGCTTCTGGCTGGTTTTCTCAGGCTCGCTTGTCACTTCTGGTTTGTCCTTCTGGCTTTCTGAAGAATCTGAATTCGATGTTGCTTTATCTTTAAGGGTTGCTGACTTTACCGGTGCATCTGAATCGGTTTTACCTTGAGGAAAGGAAAAGCAGATCCAGGTCAGAAATTGTTTCGTCTTCCCTCTCCTCTTTAGTAAATAAAGACATTTAGGACTTGGGATTTTAAAACTGTATTCTGGTGTATTCAATAACTATAGTCTAAAGGTTTGGCTATAGAAAGTAGTAAGCCACGGAGGGATGCAATCTCCAAAGTCTAAAGGGCTCGAAATCCAAAATATGCACTCGAATAATTCAAATTCTGGGTACAAGAATATGGCATAGGCTAGTTCCAGTTAAAAATTGGCTACCTGCACAGAAATAAAATCTGAAAAAAAGTCTTACAGCAAGGAATAGCCTGTTTCCAGTTTCACAATAGTTCCTAGTTGTGAAAGACGCTGAGAGAGTTGGATTTATATATGAATTTGCTTTTCTGAAATATAATTTTTCGGTATGGCTTTTGGTATAATCCTTCCACTTACCTTCTTTTTGCATTTCCTTAGTCATTGCCATGACGTCATGCTTCAATTCTTTCGGATCCTTCTCTAAAAGTTTGTCCAAGAAATCCAAAATGGCGTCCCCGGTCACTTGAGATTCATCCGCATGGACATATTTAATGTGTTTGCTTTGTTTTCTTAATTTTAAATTGTTTTCGTTTGTTTTTCCTTCATCATGGATGTCATCATTTACTTTCTCAGATGTTTTCGAGCTTTTTCCCTTCAACTCGTCAAACTCTTTGAGGATTCCTTTGGAAAGATGTTTCTCCTTCGATTCTTCTTTCCCTTTTGTCAAATGTTTTTGTTTCTTTTTTCGAGCGAGTTTTTGCCGTAGTTTTTCTTCACTGTCCCACATCGCCTCCTCCTGGTTTTTTTCCTGTAGACGTTTGAGCTCTTCTTTCTCGTTGTTATCCGTCCCATCTGCCATATTGTCGTCCATGTCATCGTGATCCGTCACGTGATCATTCACGTGATCGTCCATGTGATCCTCCGCGTTACCAGTCCCCTGATCATCCATTGGGTCAGTCATGTCCTCTGTGCTCTCAGGTTTCTTCGTGGCTTGGTCGTCGTCAATTCCCTCGTCGTTTCCTGAAACGCTTTTATGCCCTTCGTAATCCGCACTTGGAACGGGATTCTCGATCCCCGTTTGTCCGTCATCGTCTGTGTTATCCCCATATGAATCATCATACGTCCCTAAAATATCCTCAAGCGTTTGCATCGTGTTTTGTCTCGCGTGGGCCCGAGAGGGACGCTCGGTGGTGCTCGTAAGCGCATCCTGAAAATCGTCCGCATCGAAAGATTTCGCGTTGGCATTGGAAGTTGTTGTGGTGCTCGCTAATTTCATGCTTTCATCGTTCAATACTTTCGCATCAGCGTCAAAGGTGTCCAGGTTATCCTGTTCGTCTGAAGTCTCATCAGGGATGCCATCAAAACCGTCATCTTTCCCTTTGTATCTATCTGAGTGCCCAATGTACACCGTCTCCGGTTGAACGCTGAGATTATCGTCCAACTCCTGGTTTTTGCTAAAGTCTGATTTCGTCTCCTTCCCGTATTCCGGAAAAGTTCCCTTGTACTGTTTCTTCAGCAGATTCACGAACCTCTGCTCCTGATCTCTAGGGCTCGCCAAATCTGGACGGTCGCCAATTGGCACAGTTTTTGAGAACTCTTTCGTTTCCGCTTCGATATTGTTTTCGTAAGGATCGTCGATTTGTCCTGCAAGATAAATAGGGAACACAATATTGAAAGGCAGTGTGATTTTTATGCGCGATTTTGGAGGAAATCTAAGTCAAATTTTAACTTTACCTGCATTTATCACATCATTGTCAGTATCAGGTGATGTGTTGTCGACCAATCGCAGGATATCTGAAGAATAGGAGTATTTTAGACGGAAATTTGTGTAAGAGAGGTTCAGAAAGGGCATTTAAAGAGCATCAATCTGAACTACGTATGTAAACTGGAGTATATCAAAAGGAACACTTTACCTTTTGAACTGAGGTCTCCAATGCCTGTTAAGTCAAAATTCCTTTGTTTTCCTTCCCTAAGAGGTCTTGGATTAGCTGTAAGATTGACAAACTCTTTTTACTCTGTTTTGGCTGTTTGAAATCTGAATGTATGTTAATTTTCATTACTGAAGTAGCACAATGTGTCTTGTTTGGTCAATTTATGTTAGTAAGTTCACAACGTACTTTAGTCTTCAGTGAGAGTTTGTCTTCCAAAGCCTTGTTTGTTGTTGGCGTTGCAAGTTTCGTCGAGTTCTGTGTGTTCATGTCAGTCATTTCTTTGACAAAAGTTAAAGTACTGCAAATACTTTGTAAATATACTTTTTCTCACCATCTTACCATCTAGTAAATGGGCTAAGCAGAGAAATACGATAACCATGAACTTTATTCTTACGGACATATTTCGTCCGAGGTAACGAGGTCGCTGTAAAAAATGGAATAATTTTAATAAGGATCTGCGCATTTTATACTGTGATGGTCATACTACATGCGTCTCAGGTTTTACCAAAACTTTCAAAATATATCACATGATAATATATTTTATATATATACATATATATCGATGTCATTGCAAAGGTAATTGGCTCCAATGCATGTTATTATAGTTCAATTAGTTCATATTTATGTTTACGTTGTGTTTTTCATTGCTTCATTAAATGTCGGTTAAATTAGTAATAATATTTATTTGATCTTAACATTTATGTTTAATTTTAATGATTTAAAAAGATGATATTCGATTGAAACTTAGGAAGCATTGTGTAACTTTAGATACAGGATTTAGTCCACGAGTGGAAAATAAGTTTAAAGGAATTTAACACTGCGATATAGCATAAATAAAAACAATTGCTATAAATACCTGTTGCTTCAATCTTTCTGGAACCGAAGTTCAAATCTATTCACTCGTATACGCTTTTCAAATAGCGGGGCGAATCATAATGCTAAAAGTATAAAAGAGATCCTTTGTTATCCAGAACTTTAACTTTTCATTTTAATTTAACGCCCAGAAATCGTTGGCGTTTCCAAATGAAAGTTCAATTCAATAACGTCATGCTCAGTGCTTTTAGTTATCATTGTCTGTGAGAAGGTGCGGGTTGCTAGCTAGAATTACTGAACCGAGAAGACGACTTTTTTAAAACTAAACAATCTAAACTTCCGTGTCATTCTTTGAGGCGCCTGTCAACGGGGATGAAGGTTGCCATAATTGCTTCGCTCTTGTTTTCAACATTTATCAATTTGAGATGCATATGGTTGGGATTTGGACGAGATTTTTTACTAAAATACTTCCAGATTGATCAGTATTTGATAAAATCTTTGTAATCTTTGCCTTGTTTGCCTGTCGACTCTCGATATATAATCAGCCGTTTTCCGTCTTTAATTCAGACCAAATGCATAGACGAAAAATCCTAATTCAACGGGCGAGTAATGATTAGCAAAGTCCTTTAAGAAAAACAAGAAAGGAGAAAGTCAGTGAAACTTATATGCAGCGTCTTTCCAAGTAATCGAAAAGTTTGTTTACCGTTTTGACGAGTAAACCGCCTAAAAACAAAAGTTCAGTTTGGCAGTCTCTCATAGTGTGAAATAGTCTATATACTCTTGATTGCTTAATCGAAATAAGTGTTAACTGCCTATATACTTACATATCTATTTAAGCGATACAGCTAGGGCATGTCATCGTGAAAAATGAATTCAAAATATAAAGGTTGAACTAGTGTTCATTTGATGACATACGCCAGGGTAAGAAACAACATATCGCAAAGTGTTCATGGGCCTTCATTTAACATTGGATTTAAATAAAATTAATTACACTTTTTACCATGATAATAATATTCTACGATTTCAATACAAAACAGAATGAACGTAAATTGTTCAGCCATTATCACTTTACCGTCGTCGATTTTGAAGAAAACCTAAAGGTAGCTGGTTTTCTATAGTGTCGTTCTTTCTCTCAATGCGAAGACAATATAATGGTTCAGCCTAAATGTAAGCTAAATATATTGTTTTGGCACAGCCTTTAGCTATCTACATATAGTTTACTGGATGGGTTATTGGTAATTGTTCCTCCTCGGTACAGAACTATTATGTACATTGATATAAAATACTTTCAAAGTGTACTTCATGTTGATCACCGCTTATATTCATGGTATAAAATGCTTGGTGTGAAACCTATACTGTCCCCAGTCCCTGCAGTACCATGCACGGTTGAGCAGGCGAAAGCAACCTATGCATGGCTACACGTGTCGTGCAGGAAAACTCTTCTTGAAAATACTCGCGTATACATCGCTGTGCTGTTCGCCATCTGAAGCCAAGTTTTCCCTCAAAGTTTCTTGTTCATTTCCTTTGGGATTATACAACGCTACTACGTAAAGTTCCCCCGTGTCGTCGTCCTTGGCTGCCCCCATACCCAAGGTCTCTGTCCCCTTCCAAATGATTTGGGTAAAGGCTTTGGTGCCCTCATCCACAACAGGATCGGAGAACGTGAAATTCTGTTTCTCGTTGTACCAATGTCTTGTCGCTTCTTCACCGGCGTTTTCAAGCGCTATGTTTGGTATCTTAGCAACGTTTTCGCCATAGCCTTTTTTCTCGACTAATTCCGAGCGTCTTGCGCTGCCTCTTTTTGCCGCTTGGTAGGCGAGTTTCTCGGCGGCTGACGCCAAATCTTCCGACCATTTCAAAGGCTCGGCGTGATGAAGTTTTCTGTAATCGTTGTGACTGCGCAACCCTCTCTCTGCGAACATCTTCAGCTCTAAACCGATAAAATCTCGAATTAATTTCTTCACATATATACGAAGACTAATCCTAAATCCAATCGTAATCCTAAATCCAATCCTAAATCCAATCTTAATCCTACAGCTTGTCCTAACTCCTAATCCTGCAAAATCCTCCTTAGGATCGATTACACTCTTGCTCTGAAACCCCTCTCATCCCCTAACTACTGTAATTGTACCTAAACTCTCCATTCGTCCTGGTAATCTGACATGCGTGGTTATGTCCACTTACGTTCACTGATCCGAGCGAGAGAATTCTGTTGGTTGGTATTGTATTGTACACTGGGTGCAACGGCAGGCGCTGGAGGAACTGTGGGGGTAGGTGTAGGTGTAGGTGGCATCGGTGTTGCAAGCGTAAGGGTGTCCTCTGTTCCAGTGTACGGAGAGATTCTCTTCTCGTTACGTTTCGGAGAGGATAAACCCAATAACGAACCAAGCTGACGCAATGCATCAAGGGAAACAACGGCGCCACCTTAAAAAGGAATATACGTGAAAAATTATCATCGTGTCATATAATCCCATATCATCTTATTGAACACGAGTTTTGAAGAGAATGTTTAAATGAAAATTCTTCTTAATATTCCAACACCCCCTGACTCTGACTTGACTCACCTGGAGTGTTTGCTCCACTGACGAGATCTTTACTTGAAGCCTGCTCTTCCATATTCTTCAAAGGCACCAAGTCAATTTTACGATGTCGAGGTTTCATTTTCCTCCCTTCATCCTCGTATTTTGACACGTGGCTCACGGACTTAATGGAATGTTTATGAGCGCTGTTCTCCAACGCTTTAAGCAAATTCCTCACGCTATTCTCGTAGCTGGTCGTGTCCGTTTTCACCGCATTCACCTCTTGTAGCGGTTCACTTTTCAATGTTTTCGAAGCGACTCGTCTTAAAGTCGTGAACGATTTTCCTTCGTAACTTTGCTGAGGTGTTTCAGGTAACTTCTGATGCTTTTGAGCAGACGTTTCTCTCCCCTGGCTATCTTGTTTGTTTACGAGGTGGGCAAGTTGTTTAACCTGATGCTGAATCTTCGTCAGCAGCCTTCTGTTGCTTTGCTTTGTATGCGATAACTTTGCTTTCTTTTTGTGATGCTTTTTAACTTTGTTTTCTTGCACTTTTTTTGTGTCTTCGTGTTTTGAGTCGTTGTCATTATTGTCGCTTTCTGTTGCCGCTGGATCTGTCAACATTCCTAGCTCATCTTGTGGTTGCTTTGAAGGAACTTTTAACAAAACCCAAGATTTCTTATCTCCCTTTTCTTCTTCGGTTGTACTTTCTTTTAACAACGAGAACAATCTCTCCAGATTGCTTTCACTTCCTCTGAATTCCTCCTTATCCTGACTTGCCATATTCTCCTTTGCCGATTTCGTTTCGCCATGTTGTGTTGATTTTTCACCACTGTTGCTAGGTTGAAAACTCTTAACCAGCTCCAAAATATCCATGCTTAATTTCCCAACTCCATCCGAGCCTTTCGAGCTAAACTTCCTATTCTTATTCAAACTTTTTCTGTCAGCATTTTGAGTTATACCTGTCCACGATGTGATTCTTGGGCGAGCTTCCTTCGTCCTCAAATCAGCCTTCGTGTCCACACTCTTGGTGTCCTTCATAACCATCTTAGCATCTTTACCGAAGATAAGTTTCAGAACAGCGACACCTAAAGCGGTTGCATCGATTGCTTTGTTCATGTAAATGTCTGATTTTCTCGCGGCATTTTCGTTTGCTTGATTGAGCAAAGCGTTTCCAAACTGACGAGGATCAATTTTCAAATGAAGAGGTTTTTCTGAATCGACTGTGCTGATGATTGATTTCTTCTGTCCTGTTTGTGTCGGTGATCTGGTCAACGTTTGAACGCTCTGGGTGAATAGCGTTCTGACCTTGTTGAGAACTCGAGAGTCGAAGATTGTCGACCGTTCCTCGATTGTCGACCGTTCCTTTGAGTGTGCTGTGGATACTTTACAAGTTGCATCTAAAAAATAAACAAGTTTGGCTTTCATAAAGCACGGTTCAGGGTCTGTCATGTGAACAGGAATCTTATCTTCATCTCATTATGTGTATGTACAGTGTGTTTGTGTACAGTGTCTTTGCATTATTATGGCGAGTATTGCGTGAATATCATAGTGACTGTGTGGCTCACCTTGAAAAACGGCTAAAATAGATAAAATCAACTGAAGAAGAAAGACTTTTGGCATCATCTTGTATTTTCCTGAGCGTATTTCCCCCTTTCATCTGTTAATAAATAGATTTTACAATTCTTGTGTTATATAGTTAAATAAATAGAAATTATCTAAGGTGCTTTCAGAGAAAACAAACTACAAATGATTTACTTATACATCACTACGAAGTATCTTGAATCCGTGGTGCAGTAAAAACAGCTAGTCTTTATTATTACGCTTGGTTATATATTTGAACTAATTCGAAAGGAATATTTTATGTTCGACATTTCAAGCGAGAACAAGCCTCTGTTTTTTGCAAGAGCAATTTGGAAAGGATTGACATGCTTTTGACTTCAACCTGTTTGATATATTTATCAAAACCACAGCAAAGCACTTCATGTGGTATTAAATAAATTTGATTTACAAACATTCAAGGCGAGATATTGACGCTCAATTGTTATTCACTTCATACCTGCTATGATTCTTCGTTGATTTAAGGGACATTTTGATCGTTTTCCTCATTTTTAGAAACTTTATCTCGCGATAAATTATCAAAAATTGCAGGAGCACTGCCGACTATTTGGGTCTGTTAACGCTTCGGGAAACATGGCGAAACAATTTTTTGCTGGTGTTGAATACGCTTCACTGGTTACGCAACGCGAAAGGTGCTCCCTTATACAGGGTGTCTAAAAAAAACGCAATTGGCAAGTCAATTAGTCAAACTTTGTGTTTTGAATTAAGTAGGTCTCAACAAGGAAAGCTCTTTCGGCTACAGTTAACTGTTCCATGCTGTTATATGATTGAAGTTTTGCCAAAAAGTTTGGTAGTATTTAAGGACAAACATGAATTTGTAGTTGGTTTCTGAATACCCATGCATGGGACGTATATGATTCTTTTACGGTGCTTTAAATGTTCTTTTACGGTGCACCTTAAAATCACCGGTTGTGCGGAATTCTATCTTGTATATAGATTTATTGTCTGAGATACTTAAGAAACTTATCGTTGTCAGTCGTAGCGTAACTACTTAAAATACTGAGTAAATAGTTTCAAACGTGTAATTTATTTTTCAGTTTATTATAGCCTCCGGTTAACTATTTCTATATAAAACATTATAGTTTCTAAAATAAAAATTCACATTGTTCTGTTAACGATTCAGAAATGACTTGATTTTCTTCGACGTAAATATGTTTATGTCTCTCCTAAAGCTCGTCTTTATTTTGAAACTAATTTGGACGAATTTTCATCTCCGATCTTTTAAAAGAATAATGGTAAGAATTTTTCCAATGGTACCACATTATTCCTCTGTTATTAAAACTGCCTGCACCCAGGTACGGGCCATTGAGGCTGGATTTATAACAGCTGTTGTACCACCAAGCTCCTTTACAGTTCGTAGCACAACTACCACTACTATAAGCATCATTGTCGCTATCCTTGGTAGAGAACTGCATTTGATTGTGAAAATCAAGAGAATCACCTGCGGTACCTTTTAAGAAAATAATAAAAAGCATTTTTCAGTAATAAAAAGAAATACGTTTAAATTTTCTCGACAGAACCTCAGAACCTCGTTCTGGCGAAGCCATGAAAAAATAATATACGAAATTCAGGATTTTATTCTACGGAAGTTAAAATGGATGGAAAATAATCTTTACTAAAGACTTGAACGTGGACGATGCGAACAGTAAAAATAGTTTAAGGTAACGAGTTCATATTTAAACTTTTGAAACTGCACTGTTATGCCTAAATTATGGAGTAGTGGCTATGATTAGCTTTGCATGCTTTCATAGTAAACATATACAAGATAATCAATAATATGAACAAGTGAATAATTTAAATAGTTGACAAATCCTAGTATTTTATCGCACGTATTCGTCTGTTTCAATGAAATTTAAATAGAAACATTTGACAGATGGATAAGGTCTTTTTTTCTATGTTATGACATGCTGGAAAGCGTTAAAACAAAAATTGGCTATTTTGGTTTAGACTTTGTTCCAAATATTTCATCCCATGGGGGTTAAATTCGTTCGGTAGCCCGCAAATTTAACAAACAATTTCCATGCATTCTGCTTGTTCTTTTCTTAAAGGGTATTGGCAATAAATTTTTTTATTCTTGCGATCAATTAAGCATATCTATGGAATACTTAATTTCCTATTTTTACTTGTCCAGTGCGTTTATTTGCTTAGATATATCCGAAAGCATTTGACAGCCATCCGCCATCTTGAAAAAAAACTCATATGCTAATATATGCGAAAATAAATTTGTGACGTCAGGTGCAGGGGAGCAGATTTACAATAGTATGCGTGCAAGCGCATTCTAAGATGACTTTGACCAGAAACCAACAGATAAACCAATTTTTTTCTTTCAATTGGATAGAAAACTAAGCGCTACTACCTTACTCTACGTATTAATGGTAAATTTAAAATAAACACGTTTATTTCGCCGTCGTAAAAGTGCTGATTATCATTATAGCTGTTACTATGTCAATTACGCCGGCTCGTCTAATTTGTACATTTCGTATACTGATCTCTACGCACACGACGATCAGGAAACCAATGTATATTTTCTCACTATTCACTAAACGTCTATTTATTTCGCTAGTGTTGAATTGAAGTCGAAATTTTAGCCGGCATCATCAAGGAACATTAGCATATCAGCTACATATATTTAAAGTGTCAACATTTTCAACTTGGTCAACCCAGATCAGATGACAATATTAGCCTCCACAGGGCTTGTTCATGTTGTCATTTAATGCGCAACAAACATACAAATTTATTATTTTGGTACTCTACTAGACTGTCTGAAATTTTATTGTTTGTGCATCTTGTAGGCACAGCATTTTTCAGTATATACGCTACAAATTAAGTTATACAATTGGATACTTGGCCCTATGTAAACATGCAAAGAACATGACTCATATGAGGCATCTATCAGGTTGCTGTGTGGGAGTCAAAACTAACGCTAAATAGAAAGCAATGAAGATAATTTTAAAGATTCAGGCAAACTGTTCCACAATAAGCAAAAACAGAGTTAGATGAGATTGTTATAACCCATGGCCATGCAGCACTATTTTGTAGTTTTTGCAGTTTATCGCTCAACGATGCCATCCTAGACGGAGTAAAATGGGGAAAATGTGGCTCAATTGACACTTGATGCACTCTAGCTGCTAGCTGTATCTTATATATCTTTATTCCTATTTGCGTTAGAGCGCTATTTCAGGATGTCACCAGTAAAACTGTTTATAAATTTCATCAATATGACCTTTTCCAAATCACGTTTTCGTCAATTGTAAGACTAAAAGATTTAGATATTGTAACTAACTCTTTCAAGTTGATTGTTGCTATTAACATGCAGTTTCATGATCATCAAATGTTGCAAGTCTTTAGCAAGAACCAATCATCACGGATACGGTTTACCGAAAATCGTATTCCAACGTTTTTTCGTGCCAACGTAATGATTCAATAGCATTCAGACTCTCCAAACACAAGCATTTTTAGCCCAAAACGCATGGTCGACTTCCTCATCAGACGATTGACTATCATCTGAGTCACTCTACGCAATGATATTGCTTCGCTTCAAACCTGGTTCGGTTTCAAATTGATAGGGCAATACCTCTTCTACTTGTTTATCATGGCTATTTTTCATTTAAGTGATTGAAAAGCGCGAAATCCCTTACAAGAACTACGACATCGCGACTTGCGCGTATAAAATATATTTGTTGTTTTGATCTCCCCTGCACCTGACGTCACAAGGGTCAAGTTACCAAAAGATAATTTTTTTGAAAATCGGTCCAAGATGGCGGACGAATTGAATATTAATCATGAAATAACTCGAGAACAAAACAGTTTGGGTAAAAAATAATCACATATTCATAATCAGGAGGTCGAATATAACTGATAGCAAGAATAAAAAAAATTATTGCCAATACCCTTTAATATACCTCGTTTAACGATACAACAGCGAGTTTGGGTTTGCACAGAATTTATGCCAAGGTTAGTTAACAATGCTCAAGAAGTCATACCATGAAAAACGTTAAAAAGGAACATTATTATCTTTTCTTATTTAATATGCCATTTTTGACTAATTTTTACACTTTTCAAAAACACGTATTAAAAGTAAAACGCCGATATCTCGGGGAATACTGTATCAAAATACACATCCATGGTATACACCAAATTTTAAGTTAGACATTCACGGATCTAAAGAAAGTTATTTCAGTGTGTAATAGGCCTCTTAGTTTTGAAGTTATACTCAATCAAACAAGTTAACTTTTTTTTGCGCCACCCGGTACATACCTGAATAACTTCCAATGTTCAATCTGTATTTGTCTGATTCATCAGCCACACTAAACGTTCCATATTTAGCGTAACGTTCAGCGCCATTGAAATCCATCAAATCAACTCTTAGAACATTTTGACCAGATTTGGTCAAACGATGTATTTTATCAAGGCCCAACCAGAACTCGCCGTTAAGATCACCAAAGCCTGCTTTATACTCTGACCATCCAAGGAAGAAATCTTGACTTCCATCTTGTCTTCTTTGGAACACGGTCCAGCCTCCCCCATCTCTGTTCATATCACAATAGACTCGGAACGATCCCATGCCATCTGGATTGATCGTATAAACATCGTCTTGTCTCATTCCGCATTTATAATAATGGGCGCAACTGGCTGCATGAGTTTGAATACAAGCTTCTAGAGAATTAATAACCTATGATGAGTTTTGTTCTAAGAGTACACTATAGCTACGCTGTAGAATTATTTGAAACGCGCGTATTGATTTTAATGAATAAAACCTTTCATTTCTAAAATCCGTGTCAATTCATTCAAATTGGCCGTAAGATTTGCAACCACCGAAGTAAAGGTAGCTTTAAGTTGGTCCACCTATATAAGAACGAAAAAAGATTAATGTTAAAATGTTATCACTGTTACCACGTCATTTTGTGGTATTCATTGACATCATGACGCTAACTCTTAATTGTTGGAAGTTTTGCTTCATTGTGTTCTGGATTTTAGTACAAATAAGAGCACTTTTTAAAATAAGGACTTCAATTATTGTTTAGGACTGTGTTAAGTTTATATCTAGCTCGACTATATATAAACGTAACATAGTCCTAAACAAAGTTATGATGTTGGAAATATAAAAAACTGCCACTAAAGATTATGACTACCTTTTTATCTTCAGCAATCGCATTCCATCTTTCATTTGACCTTACATAAAGTTTTTGATTGTCTTTTCGAAATTTTAGTATTCCTGAAACTGCTGGAATTTTATTAACGGTTTTACTATCAGGAACAACTATAATCTAAGACAAAAAATAGGAAAATAGTAAACGCATATAAAATCATCCAAAACACTGGAAAGCTCTAAGAAAAATATAGTAATTATTTAAAATTAAATTAAAATGGCTGAATAGAACATAAAGGAAATATCTACCATAGTGTTATTACCTACCCCATCATTTAAAAGAGGATTGTTTGGAGGACAACGACCCTAAATTTAAAGGACCATAACATTAGGACCAACAACTAATATCTGTTGATTATCTTCACCAAGGACGTGGAAGCAAAGTTCATGTTTGCATGGGTAGCTATTTTGAGGTATCTGATTTACCGAATTTACAAAAAGTACGGAAATGCAAGGTCTTTAAAAGAGGTTAAAATAGGCAGACTTACTCTCTTAGGAACAGCGTTTTGACCAACCAACTTGTACCAGACCTCGTCTCCGTCAGCTTCAGAAACTTTATAATCCATGCATTTGTTCCAAACTTTCTTTGGAAAAGATGATCTCACCCAGAACCATGAATAAACATTCTTTGTCAATGTTGCGCCAGGTTTTGCCTTACAATCGGTGCCACAGAGATCTTCTGTGCTACCTGGTGGACTAAAACAACTGCAGCACTAAAATTAAGATTGACACCTTAGATTCAATTCAATTGATGACTGGACTTGATATTTGAATTCTTATTTACACTTCCTAAGTTAAGTTCCTCGTCGCCTGTCTGCCTATGCCGATGAGATTTTGGTTTTGGTTTTTGGACGTTTTCGTTAGACTTGTTCCAATCAAGTTAACCTTCCTTGTCGGGTGATCCAGGAAATTTTAGTCGACGTTTCTTTTGGTCTAGAATGACATCACTTCTATCAACTTACCACTCCTTTGTCACAACCTATGGATGCGGTTGAATTTTGACGGATTCCTGATGTATCGCTAACCACACTGTAACTGGTGATATAGAAAAATAAAAAATCGTTAAAACAAACTGCCCTATGGCACGTATGTCGAAAAACATTTTATAGTCTATATATCACTCCTCTACATTTATCTCAGGTGTTGGCGTTCTGCAGTTAATAGCTACATACCTGAAAGATCCTGACGAGTCAGTTTGAAGAAGAAATTTTTGGTGAAAAGCAAAACCATGAGGACATTGTTTTTCAAAGCATTCGTTCATCATCGCCTTAAAATGAATGAAAATAGATAGCATGTTTCCGGAGGAAAGCCAGAAAATATTTAGTCGACGCATTCGACCAAAGCGTTCAAACGAACAGGACAATAAATAACAGATGTAAGAACACCAACCCATCCAGACTTCAGGAAAAAATGACGATATGTTCCAAATTGCGAGCAACGGAATTTTGTCGTGACGATTTTCTCAGTCCGGAGATCTTTGACATAAGCGATGTCACCAATGCCGGGTGATGTTGCATCACAACCCCCCTGATTAACAATCATGATATTTTTAAGAGGACGAATACTTTGCAGCCGGTAGGACCTGCAAAGATAGGGATTGACTTTGGTAGATATTTTAGATATTTTATAATCTTAGATTTCCAACAGACAATTAAGTTCTGCTATTACTACCAGTGAGCATTTGCTTTGGCGATGTTCTCCGTTGTCGACACTTGTATTCTGAAATCAAGAACTGGAGCGTCACCGAGATCACTGGACCACTGAGATTCACCAAATGGATCAACTGTTGTGTTTTTGGACGGAACTTTCCATGTTACAGAACTGTTGAGTTTACCAATCAGCGCAAATCCCCCACCGTCTGTTGTCATGTCACAATAAACCTGCGGTAAAAAACAAACAATTAAGAGCGCGCACGAGCACCGATGACATTCAACTCATTATAATATTCAAAGAGTTCCAAATATGACCAATGACAAATAAATTCACCAACCCTCTTGGGAGCACCTCGATTCAAATTTATCCAATAAAATCCGTCTCTAGACTCGAAATTCTTATTCAGAATGTCCGTGCAATCGTAGCCGGGATTGAAATATTCTCCGGCGGGATTGGAACCTAGTACCAATAAAAATGGATGTTCACTTTTGCAGATATTGATGCAGAATTCCGCAACTTTTAAGAAAAACAACACTGAAAGCATTACCGTCCGTTGTTTTCCAGGCATAAACTCCATTTTCTTCCTTGCAAATTAACAGTTTATCATTATTTGAACGATCTTTGATCAATTTTAACAAACCACGTTCCTTCTTGCCACACGAGCCAGGATCATAACCTGTTTGAATGTCCACACTCTGTAACAAAATCAAATAGATCGAGAAGACGTTCAGTAGCTACTTCCAATTACGGGATTTAAATAATCTGACCTTTACTTCAGGTGAAACAAATGAGATCCACGAGATTAAGATATTGATGACCAGCAGTGTAAAGTGAAACATGTTTGACGCACTAAAGGAGAAAGTTGTTTGTATAGTATACTGTAAGGCATAAGTCCAGGTTCATACTGAGTGCCTGACACGCTGGTCCGTAAACTGGTTCGTAAAACTTGCTGAACACAATGCCCTTTTTGAAAATAGTAATGAAAGTAGTTAGGAACATGCATGGAAAGTTTATAAAAAAGATCTGTCCTTTTACGATTCCAGGTTACATCTATATAGCAACTTGCTTTGGCTAGCTTTATATAGTAGCACATACGCTATCATTTTTCGATAGTAATTCATATAATATACGCGAATTTTTCTAGGGATAAAAATGCATGCAAGTACTTAGCGAAATATTTCTTTTATTAATACGTGTTGACATATCAGCGATTGTTGCAAGACCTTTCCGAAACGAACTCTTCATGACCATGTTTTATATCTATGGCTGACACGGATGTACACGGATTTTTCATCGATATATCCACAATTTAAGTAGACATCTCGATCACGACTTGGAAAATGACAACGAAAGCTACCATATCATGAAATTTTAGCAGATGAAGTAACGTCGAAGGCATTAATCACGCATCTTTCGTAATCGTTAAAGCATATTATTTTTTAAATGGTATGTGCTCCATTTGATTTTAAAAAATCACGCAGTTAGTCCAAGTATGCTCGCCAGATCTGCGTTTATAATTTTCAATAATCGCGGTCCTTGTAGTTTATTTCATTTAATTCAATAAATCCTACGAACACATGTTATTGTACAACTATTAAGTATTAACACGCAGTTTATATCCTGGAAAGATTTTCAAGATAAATACAGCTGTGGTTTCCCATGACGCCACAATATTTGAATACCTTACGAACGCTCTAGAAGAGATGCGAATGCCATTGCGTCATGTAAATAGAAAATTTATTCTCGAGAAAATATCTTATAGCTACAATTCTATGCTGCCTTGAGCTAGCGCCGCAAATTTAAAAGACATAACTGTATATAATTTTACCTGATATCAAATTGAACGACGACAAATTTCAAAATAAAGCTTGTAAAATGAGCACGTTTAGTTAGCTAAACTGCACATGTGCTCTGTGTTCTGACTTCAAGTGATTATTCAAGACTCTCTTGAAGAAACTAATTGAACTATATGACACTCCGAAAGATAATACTCGCGATCTGCAGATATAATGTTTCAGTGAATTCCATTTCTATATATGTATTTTACCTGTTTTTTTGCAGAAGCAAATTGGAAAGGATTGACATGCTCTTGATTTCAACCTGTTTGATATTTTTATCAAAACCATAGCAAAGCACCTCATGTGGTATTAAATAGATTTGATTTACAAACATTCAAGGCGAGATATTGACGTTTTATTGTTGTTCAGTTTATACCTGCCAAGATTCGTCGTTGATTTTAGGGGCATTTTGATCGTTTTCCTCATTTTTTGAAACTTTATCTTGCGATAAATTATCATAAATTGCACGAGCACTGCCGACTATTTGGGACTGTTAACGCTTCGGCAAACATGGCGAAACAATTTTTTGCTGGACAAACATGAATCTGTAGTTGGTTTCTGAATACCTTTGGGACGTATACACCTTAAAATCGCCGGTTGTACGGGAATCTATCTTGTATGTAGATTTCTTGACTGGAATACTGGAATTTCTTGAATAGAAACTTATCGTTGTCCGTCGTAGCATAACTATACTTAAAATAGAAAACAGTTTTAAACGTGTAATTTATCTTTCAGTTTATTATAGCCTCCGGTTAACTATTTCTAAAACATTATAGTTTCTAAAATAAAAATTCCCATTGTTCTGTTAACGATTCATGTCTCTCCTAAAACTCGTCTTTATTTTAAAACAAATTTGGACGAATTTTCATCTCCGATCTTTTTAAAGAATGTCGGTAAGATTTTTTCCAATGATACCAGATTATTCCTTCGCTATTAAAACTGCCTGCACCCAGATACGGGCCATTGAGGTTGGAATTACAACAGCTGATGTACCACCAAGCTCCTTTGTGGCTCGTAGCACAATTACCACTGCTCCAAACATCATTGTCACTATCCCTGGTAGTGAACTGCATTTGATTGTGAACAGCAAGAGAATCACCTGCGTCACCTTTTAAGAATATAGTAAAAAGCATTTTTCAGTAATAAAAAGAAATACGTTTAAATTTTCTCGACAGAACCTCAGAACCTCGTTCTGGCGAAGCCATGAAAAAATAATATACAAAATTCAGGATTTTATTGTACGGAAGTTAAAATGGATGGAAAATAATCTTTACTAAAGACTTGAACGTGGACGATGCGAACAGTAAAAATAGTTTAAGGTAACGAGTTCATATTTAAACTTTTTAAACTGCACTGTTATGCCTAAATTATGGAGTAGTGGCTATGATTAGCTTTGCATGCTTTCATAGTAAACATATACAAGATAATCAATATTATTATATACACAAGCGCCAGATATGAGGTATGCTGCAATTTCATTGGTTGGCTACTAGACAGATATTAGTGAACTTAAGCAAGTGACGTTTTTGACAACACGTACGTTGACCGGAAGTAAAGTTTTTGTTTTCCACCAATCACAATCCTTGACCCAGTCTTTTGACGTTACTCATGCCGTTTCTGTTGTTAAAAACGTCACTTGCTTAAGTTCACTATTAGCTCATATCTGTCTAGTAGAGAAAGTAAACAAAATGGCGGAAAGATTTGGGGAGTTGAGTGAAATAGAAATCCAAGCTTTAGTTGATAATAGCACACCAAAATGCACCGAAAAGGCGACAACTGTTTGTGTATATAATAAAACAGTTATTCTGCTCACTCTCGTCGTATATTGCCAGGATATGGCCGATAGCTCATATACGACTCGAGTTCGCAGAATAACTGTTAAATATGAGCAAGTGAATAATTTAGATAGTATAATTTATTGCACTAACAAAACGTTAAAAACGAACATTATTATCTTTTCTTATTTAATATGCCATTTTTGACTAATTTTTGCACTTTTCAAAAACACGTATTAAAAGTAAAACGCCGATATCTCGGAGAATACTGTATATCAAAATACACATCCATGGTATATACCAAATTTTAAGTTAGACATTCACGGATCTAAAGAAAGTTATTTCAGTGTAATAGGCCTGTTAGTTTTGAAGTTATACTCAATCAAACAAGTTAATTTTTTTTGCGCTACCCGGTACATACCTGAATAACTTCCAATGTTCAATCTGTATTTGTCTGATTCATCAGCCACACTAAACGTCTCATATTTAGCGTAACGTTCAGTGCCATTGAAATCCATCAAATCAACTCTTAAAACATTTTGACCAGATTTGGTCAAACGATGCATTTTATCAAGGCCCAACCAGAACTCGCCGTTAAGATCGCCAAAACCAACTTTATAGTCTGACCATCTAAGGTAGAAATCGTGACTTCCATCTTGTCTTCTTTGAAATACGGTCCAGCCACCTCCACCTTCATTCATATCACAATAGACTCGGAACGATCCCAGGCCATCTGGATTGATCGTATAAACATCGTCTTGTCTCATTCCGCATTTATAATAATGGGCGCAACTGGCTGCACGAGTTCGAACACAAGCGTCTAGAGAATTGATAACCTATGATGAGTTTTGTTCTAAGAGTACACTATAGCTACGCTGTAGAATTATTTGAAACACGCGTAATAATTTTAGTGAATAAAACCTTTCATTTCTAAAATCCGTGTCAATTCATTCAAATTGGCCGTAAGATTTGCAACCACCGAAGTAAAGGTAGCTTTAAGTTGGTCTACCTATATAAGAACGAAAAAAGATTAATGTTAAAATGTTATCACTGTTACCACGTCATTTTGTGGTATTCATTGACATCATGACGCTAACTCTTAATTGTTGGAAGTTTTGCTTCATTGTGTTCTGGATTTTAGTACAAATAAAAGCACTTTTTAAAATAAAGGACTTCAATTATTGTTTACGACTATGCTAAGTTTATATATAGCTCGACTATACATAAACTCAACATAGTCTTAAACAAAGTTATGATGTTGGAATTATAAAAACTGCCACTAAAGATTATGACTACCTTTTTATCTTCAGCAATCGCATTCCATCTTTCATTTGACCTTACATAAAGTTTTTGATTGTCTTTTCGAAATTTTAGTATTCCTGAAACTGCTGGAATTTTATTAACGGTTTTACTATCAGGAACAACTATAATCTAAGACAAAAAATGGGAAAATAGTTAACGTATATAAAATTATCCAAAACACTGGAAAGCTCTAAGAAAAATATAGTAATTATTCAAAATTAAATTAAAATGGCTGAATAGAACATAAAGGAAATATCTACCAGTGTTATTACCTACCCCATCATTTAAAAGAGGATTGTTTGGAGGACAACGACCCTAAATTTAAAGGACCATAACATTAGGACCAACGACTAATATCTGTTGATTATCTTCACCAAGGACGTGGAAGCAAAGTTCATGTTTGCATGGGCAGCTATTTTAAGGTATCTGATATACCGAGTTTACAAAAAGTACGGAAATGCAAGGTCTTTAAAAGAGGTTAAAATAGGCAGACTTACTCTCTTAGGAACAGCGTTTTGACCAACCAACTTGTACCAGATCACGTCTCCGTTAGTTTCAGAAACTTTATATTCCATGCATTCGTTCCAAACTTTCTTTGATAAAGATGTCCTCACCCAGAACCATGAATAAACATTCTTTGTCACTGTTGCGCCAGGTTTTGACTTACAATCGGTGCCACAGAGATCTTCTGTGCTATCTGGTGGACTAAAACAACTGCAGCACTAAAATTAAGATTGACACCTTGGATTTATTTCAATCCATTACTGGACTTGAAATTTGAATTCTTATTTACACTTTCTAATTTCCTCGTCGCCTGTCTGCCTATACCGATGAGATTTTGGTTTTGGTTTTTGGACGTTTTCGTTAGACTTGTTCCAATGAAGTTCACCTTCCTTGTCGCTGTCGGGTGATCCAGGAAATTTTAGTCGACGTTTCTTTTGGTCTAGAATGACATCACTTCTATCAACTTACCACTCCTTTGTCACAACCGATGGATGCGGTTGAATTTTGACGGATTCCTGATGTATCGCTAACCACACTATAACTGGTGATATATAGAAAAACAAAAAATCGTTAAAACAAACTGCCCTGTGGCACGTATGTCGAAAAGCATTTTATACTCTATATATCGCTCTTCTACATTCATCTCAGGTGATGGTGTTCAGCGGCTAATACATACCTGAAAGATCCTGACGAGTCAGTTTGAAGAAGAAATTTTTGGTGAAAAGCAAAACCATGAGGACATTGTTTTTCAAAACATTCGTTCATCATCGCCTTAGAAAATAGATAGCATGTTTCCGGAGCAAAGCCAGAAAATATTTAGTCGACGCATTCGACCAAAGCGTTCAAACGAACAGGACAATAAATAACAGATGTAAGAACACCAACCCATCCAGACTTCAGGAAAAAATGACGATATGTTCCAAATTGCGAGCAACGGAATTTTGTCGTGACGATTTTCTCAGTCCGGAGATCTTTGACATAAGCGATGTCACCAATGCCTGGTGATGTTGCATCACAACCCCCCTGATTGACAATCATGATGTTTTTAAGAGGACGAATACTTTGCAGCCGGTAGGACCTGCAAAGATAAGGATTGACTTTGGTAAAGATATTTTATAATCTTAGATTTCCAACAGACAATTAAGTTCTGCTATTACTACCAGTGAGCATTTGCTTTGGCAATGTTTTCCGTTGTCGATATTTGTATTCTGAAGTCAAGAACTGGAGCGTCGCCAAGATCACTGGACCACTGAGCTTCACCAAATGGATCAACTGTTGTGTTTTTGGATGGAACTTTCCATGTTACAGAACTGTTGAGTTTACCAATCAGCGCAAATCCCCCTCCATCTGTTGTCATGTCACAATAAACCTGCGGTAAAAAACAAACAATTAAGAGCGCGCACGAGCACCGATGACATTCAACTCATTATAATATTCAAAGAGTTCCAAATATGACCAATGACAAATAAATTCACCAACCCTCTTGGGAGCACCTCGATTCAAATTTATCCAATAAAATCCGTCTCTAGACTCGAAATTCTTATTCAGAATGTCCGTGCAATCGTAGCCGGGATTGAAATATTCTCCGGCGGGATTGGAACCTAGTACCAATAAAAATGGATGTTCACTTTTGCAGATATTGATGCAGAATTCCGCAACTTTTAAGAAAAACAACACTGAAAGCATTACCGTCCGTTGTTTTCCAGGCATAAACTCCATTTTCTTCCTTGCAAATTAACAGTTTATCATTGTTTGAACGATCTTTGATCAATTTTAACGAACCACGTTCCTTCTTGCTACACGAGCCAGGATCATAACCTGTTTGAATGTCCACACTCTGTAACAAAATATAAACAATTTTAATTTCGCATAGATCGAGAAGACGTTCAGTAGCTACTTCCAATTTCGCCTATATGCATGAGTATATGTACTCGACACTTAACAGTTATTCTGCGAACTCGAGTCGTATATGAGCTGATATTTTATTATATACACAAACTTTGTCGCCCTTTCGGTGCATTTTGGTGTGCTATTATCAACTAAAGCTTGGATTTCTATTTCACTCAACTCCCTAAATCTTTCAGCCATTTTGTTTACTTTCTCTACTAGACAGATATGAGCTAATATCTGTCTAGTAGCCAACCAATGAAATTGCAGCATACCTCATATCTGGCGATTGTGTATATAATAAAAACAGTTTAATGTTACATAGGCAACGTTTTAACAAGACTGTTATCAGGCGCGTTTGCACTTTTATGATTTAATGTGCGATTTTCTTCTTTTGATGGATGCGATGATGCAAAAATCACAAGTGTAAACGGGCCTATGGGATTTAAATAATCTGACCTTTACTTCAGGTGAAACAAATGAGATCCACGAGATTAAGATATTGATGACCAGCAGAGTAAAGTGAAACATGTTTGACGCACTAAAGGAGAAAGTTGTTCGTATAATATATTGTAAGGCATAAGTCTAAGTTCATACTGAGTGCATGCCTGGCACGCTGGTCCCCAAAGTAAAACTGGTTCGTAAAACTTGCTGAACACAATGCCCTTTTTGAAAATAGTAATGAAAGTAGTTAGGAACATGCATGGAAAGTTTATAAAAAAGATCTGTCCTTTTACGATTCCAGGTTACATCAATATAGGCTAGCAACTTGCTTTGGCTAGCTTTATATAGTAGAACATACGCTATCATTTTTCGATAAGTAATTCATATAATATACGCGAATATTTCTAGGGATAAAAATGCATGCAAGTACTTAGCGAAATATTTGTTTTATTAACACGTGTTGACATATCAGTGATTGTTGCAAGACCTTTCCGAAACGAATTCTCCATGTTTTATATTTATGGCTGAAACGGATGTACGCGGATTTTTCATCGATATATATCCACAATTTAAGTAGACATCACGACTTGGAAAATGACAACAAATGCTACCAGTATCATGAAATTTTAGCAAATGAAGTAACGTCGAAGGCATTAATCGTGCAATTTCCCGTCTCAAACATTCTGGTAAATGTACATACGCTATCTTTCGTAATCGTTAAAGCATATTATTTTTTAAATGGTATGTGCTCCATTTGATTTGAAAAAATCACGCAGTTAGTCCAAGTATGCTCGCCAGATCTGCGTTTATAATTTTCAATAATCGCGGTCCTTGTAGTTTATTTCATTTCAATAAATCTTACGAACACATATACATGTACAACTATTAACACGCAGTTTTTATCCTGGAAAGATTTTCAAGATAAATACAGCTGTGGTTTCCCGTGACGCCACAATATTTGAATACCTTACGAACGCTCTAGAAGAGATGCGAATGCCATTGCGTCATGTAAATAGAAAATTTATTCTCGAGAAAATTTCTTATAGCTACAATTCCATGCTGCCTTGAGCTAGCGCCGCAAATTTAAAAGACATAACTGTATATAATTTTACCTGATATCAAATTGAACGACGACAAATTCCAAAATAAAGCTTGTAAAATGAGCACGTTTAGTCAGCTAAACTGCACATGCGCTCTGTGTTCTGACTTCGAGTGATTTTTCAAGACTCTCTTGAAGAAACTAATTGAACTATATGACATTCTGAAAGATAATACTCGCAATCTGCGGATATAATGTTTCAGTGAATTCCATTTCTATATATGTATTTTGCCTGTTTTTTGCAGGAGCAAATTGGAAAGGATTGACATGCTCTTGATTTCAACCTGTTTGATATTTTCATCAAAACCATAGCGAAGCACTTCATGTGGTATTAAATGAATTTGATTTACAAACATTCAAGGCGAGATATTGACGCTCATGCAATTGTTGTTCACTTCATACCTGCAAAGATTCTTCGTTGATTTTACGAACATTTTGATCGTTTCTCTCATTTTTTGAAACTTTATCTCGCGATAAATTGTCATAAATTGCACGAGCACTGCCGACTATTTGGGACTGTTAACTTTTGGGCAAACATGGCGAAAATTGCTGGACGAACATGAATCTGTAGTTGGTTTCTGAATACCTTTGGGACGTATACACCTTAAAATCGCCGGTTGTACGGGAATCTATCTTGTATATAGATTTCTTGCCTGAAATACTTAAGAAACCTACCGTTGTCAGTCGTAGCATAACTACTTAAAATAGAAAACAGTTTCAAACGTGTAATTTATCTTTCAGTTTATTATAGCTCCCGGTTAACTATTTCTAAAACATTATAGTTTCTAAAATAAAAATTCCCATTGTTCTGCTAACGATTCAGAAATGACTTGATTTTCTTCGACGTAAATATGTTTATGTCTCTCCTAAAACTCGTCTTTATTTTAAAACAAATTTGGACGAATTTTCATCTCCGTTCTTTTTAAAGAATGTCGGTAAGAATTTTTCCAATGATACCAGATTATTCCTTCACTATTAAAACCACCTGCACCCTGGTACAGGCCATTGAGGTTGGAATAAAAACAGTAGTTGTACCACCAAGCTCCTTTGTGTGTGCTAGCACAATTACTACTCCACCGAGCATCATTGTCGCTATCCTTGGTAGTGAACTGCATTTGATTGTGATAATCAAGAGAATCGCCAGCGTCACCTTTTAAGAATAAGGTAAAAAACGTCTTCGTAAATAACATTTTAAAGCAAAAAATATTATTTTAAACTTTTCTAAGGACGGTGCGTCGAATGCGAAGGCTGAAGGGTAGAAAATAATATTAAATTAATATTTAGAGTAACGAGTTCATATTTTCAGTTTAACTCTTTGAACTGTAGAACACTGTTACACCGAAAGTATATAACATACTGACTATGAATAGCTTTGGTTATAGCTTGTTATATCTGTGATAACTGTGAATCAATTGTGAAGTTTTCATATCCCTCAAGCAAAGTTTTCCGTGGAGTAGTAGTGAGGACATTATAATAAATTATTATATAGTATTAGATAATGAATTAAATATTTAATTTTCACTGAAAACAAGAGATTCGTCCCGTCTCTGAGCGTCGCGTGTATGTACAGATAAGTTCAACAACTGAGAATCTAAATTTAGGCAGAGCGTGCGTGTGATTTACCTGAATATTTGCCAATAGTCAATCTGTATTTGTCTGATTCATCAGCCACACTAAAGTTTCTATATTTAGCGTAAGCTTCAGTGCCATTGAAATTCATCAAATCCACTCTCAGAACATTCTGGCCAGATTTGGTTAAACGATGTATTTTATCAAGGCCCAACCAGAACTCGCCGTTAAGATCACCAAAGCCAGCTTTATAGTCTGACCATCCACGATAGAAATCTTGACTTCCATCTTGTCTTCTTTGAAACACGATCCAGCCACCTCCGTCTCTGCTCATATCACAACTGACTTGGAACGATCCCTGGCCATCAGGATTGATGGTATAAACGCCATCTTGCCTCACTCCTAATTTATAGAGATCAGCACAACTTTTTCCGGTAATAACTGCGCAAACGGAAAAATGTTACAAAACATCAGAATAGTCATTTCAATAACAAAACATTGAAGTCTTTCCCTTAGTCAAACTGTTTTCCTTCACAGCGATATCCTAGGCGGGTTTCTTTGATTCAACCCATGCTGTTCACAGGGTTTATTTTTTGATCGGGATGCAACAAAAGCGAAAACTAGCGAACTAATGTTTTTACAATTGTAAATAATAATTATGACATCCTGCCTGTAGATTCTCTTGTTTATAAAACAGAGTTTCACACACCTGTACAATTGGTTCCTGGACCAGTATAACCAGGTTTACAGGTGCATTTGTAGTTGTAAGTGTTACTGACACAAACAGCGTTGACATCGCAAGGATTGGACGAGCAAGGGTCGATCTCTGAAATAATACAACAAATGTTATAAGTTGTTGTAGACATTAACAAAATCATCGTAACAGAACTTGAAAGTTTGATATTTTCTCTTACTTGTACAATTGGTTCCTGGACCAGTATAACCAGGTTTACAGGTGCATGTGTAGTAAGTTGAATGGCTGGTGCATATAGCATTGAAGCCGCAAGGATTGGACGAGCAAGGGTCGATCTCTGGTATAACACAACAAATGTTGTTTTAGTTGTATTAGAAAGAAACATCTTTAAAATCGTAACATAATATGAAAGTTTGCTATTTTCTCTTACTTGTACAATTGGTTCCTGGGCCAGTGTAACCAGGTTTACAGGTGCATGTGTAGTGGTTAGAGTGACTGACACAAATAGCGTTAGGACCGCACGGGTTTGACTTACAATGGTCGGTTTCTGTAAGTAAATTTAATTCAAATACGGCTAATCTTCAAATCATAGCATAACTAAACAAGATCGCAACGTTACCGTTGTTTGGACACAGTATTCTGAGCGCCAATTTACGCCTGCGAATGTTCCGTTCTATTACACGACAGCATGATCCAAGCTGTGGATCGTGTTTTGAACACAATAAGTTGTAAGCGAGGGTACGATTTTTTATATCAGATCTGATATCATCGCAGCAAAGTGCTTCTGTGCAACCAGTTTGCAGAACAACCTGGAACAGAATCACAACCAGAGCAATTCTCAACATTGTTAGGTCTCGAAGATCTCAATTATCCGTCCAAGTAGAAGCCAACTCGATCAACTTGAGAATCTGACTGAGAACAGAGTCAAGCTCGTGTCAATTTATACCAAAGCTGCGTGCACAGGGGAAATGAACTTTGCTCTTCCCCGGCGGGCTTGCATGCCTTCACTATTTATATCTCAGTTTGCGTTTCCGGCATATCTTTTTTTCTGCATGAGCCAAAACAAATAAATCATTATTTCAAGCGTACATTCACCATACTGGAAGTTCTTATCCGAAGGAAAAATTGCTTCCAAAGATACATAATTTAACAAAAAAAATGAAGAACCAGTCGCATGTAGTTGATTAATAATACCTAAGGCAAACTTTGATATGTAAACATCAATGAAACAAATATATAATTTAATCAATTTAAATTTGTTTAATAAAACAACAATAAAACTGATAAGACTAGATTGTATGTGGATCTCAATCGTAGTGCCGAACGAAGGTTGCGAGTAACAGCAATTGATGATGTATAAATTTAGATCCCCTATTTTAGATCCCCTTTTTTTACATCCCCTTTTTTATACCCCCTAGTTTTTTAGATGGAGTTAGCTGACTGTCCCCCAATTAAGTGTTTAATTGCGGTGATGTTTTGCGCCGAAAATAGTATTGAATACCTACGGCTATAGTCCAGAGTTCATACCTTATTAGTTTACCGTCACAGTCATATGAGTTAAACCATATTATAGCCGATAAACTCATGCCTGTGGACTGAACAATAAAGGTTCGTCCCCTTCATCTATATGCATAATTTGTGTAATTGTGTAAAAGCAGAATGAAATGGTATCCCTGTTCTGAATATTTCGATCTTCTGTTCTTGCGTATCAAATTACACTTACAATACCCTTATCCTTATTTGTTTACTGTGAATTAAGTCATATAAGAAGCATACAGCCGATAAACCCATGATTTACAATATTAACATCATTGTCTTGATGTATATACATCATATCCGATAAACTCATGTCGTGAAAGCACTCCTCTAGTCGCCTTGACGTCTATGCATGTATATTGGTGTAAAAGCAGAAAGAGATATCACTGTTCTGAAAATTTCGATATCCTGTTTGATCGTGCATAAACAATTGCAATACAATATAGCACCCATACCTGTATTTGTCTAGTACCGTGAAAGTCAATATAGATCTAAAATTATTTGTATGATTCCATATTATCTTGTTGCACTTATAATAGCGGCTAGCTTAACTTTAGGACACAACATACGCTATATATAAATTTCTACAGGGCACGTAAATTTTGCTACCCGGAAGCGCGGTATATTGGGATATCAATTTTTGTTAACATGCATACACGGATACACCTGCTTAGTGATCAGCAAAAAACGCATTTATTCAAGTGACGATCCTGGAATCGGGGATAATCTGACTTGTCCCCAGTCGCTTTGATGATACGCGAACGAGAAGTTATAATGGCCGCGTCGGCATAGCCTGCGAGTAAACATTAAGAATTTTTCCTAGCCACCGAACTTTAAATATCAGTAATATGTGTCTTATTTAGGAACTGCGAAGGAGTCAGCATGTGTCCTAGGGAATTAGGTTTGCTTAGCTATTGCTGAGCATTCTGATATTGTTCAAATGCGACTTCAATAAACAGTTGCAAACGTGTAATTTATCTTTCAGTTCATTATGGCCTCATTAGCTATTGCTTATGAATGCTGTCTTTCAAACCTTTTACGAGCAGGATCGTCGAAGCCGTATGCATGGGGAGCTGCTCATATGTTAATAAAAGATGTAATCAGCACAACGACAAGTTTAGATACTGCAATTTATATTCTGCGTACCAAGTTATGAATTAAATCTTGTAGTGCATTATTGTGCATTTTGCATTGTGCGAAGTGTCAACGTTTCCGTTTGGCAACCACGTGCAACCGTAACCTCCCCTTTGTGCATAATATTTAAAAGTTATTCTGCGAACTAGAGTCGTATATGAGCTTATTATATACACAAACTTTGTCGCCCTTTCGGTGCATTTTGGTGTGCTATTATCAACTAAAGCTTGGATTTCTATTTCACTCAACTCCCCAAATCTTTCAGCCATTTTGTTTATTTTCTCTACTAGACAGATTTGAGATAATATCTGTCTAGTAGCCAACCAATAAAATTACAGCATATATACCTCATATCTAGCGCTTGTGTATATGATAAAATTAATTATATCCCGTCAATATAACACTATTAATAAAACATATTATAGTTTGGTAGAAACATCAAACTTGATGTTCTTCACCGCCAAAAGTCGCCTCTCAAGCTCCTCAAGTCTCTCCTGAAGCTTTTAAAACTTGTTTGGACGAATTTTCATCATTGTCTTTTTCATTGAATGACTGTGCCACCAGTGCCATTTTATTCCAGTGTGACTAATCTGACCTGCACCCAGGTACAGGCCATTGAGGTTGGAATAATGACAGCCCTTGTACCACCAAGCTCCTTTGTAGGTCGTAGCACAATCCTTACTCCAAGCATCATTGTCGCTATCCTTGGTAGAGAACTTCATTTGATTTTGATAAGCCAGAGAATCACCTGCGTCACCTTTGTAGAAAATAATAAAAACTTCTTCAGTGCATGAATATCATTTTAAAGCAAAAAAACTTCTCTAAGAACACCAACTTCTCTAGCCTACGTCTATTGAGAACCTCATTCTGGCGAAGCCATGAAAAAATAATATGCGAAATTCAGGATTTCCTTCTGAATCTCACTCCATTATTATCAAGGTGGGAAGTTAAAATGGATGGAAATAATCTTTATTAAAGATCGAGCAAGGACGAGGTGTCGGGTACGAAGGGTAAAAAATAGTTTATATATTTAGTTTAACTTTTTGAACTGTAGAACACTGTTATACCGAAAGTATGAAGTACTGTCTATGAATAGCTTTGGTTGTAGCTTGTTATATCTGTGATGACTGTGAATCAATTGTGAAGTGTTTCTATCCCACAAGCAAAGTTTTCCGTGGAGTGGTAGTAATAAATGAATTATTTTATTATTAATAAAATAATGAATTATATATTTAATTTTTATTGAAAACAAAGAGATTCATCCCGTCTTTGAGCGTCGCGTGTATGTAGAGATAAGTTCAACAGCTGAGAATCTAAATTAAGGCAGAGCGTGCATGTGGTTTACCTGAATAATTGCCAATAGTCAATCTGTATTTGTCTGATTCATCAGCCACACTAAAGCTTTCATATTTAGCGTAGGCCTCGGCGCCATTGAAATCCATCAAATCAACTCGTAAAACATTTTGCCCTGATTTGGTTAAACGATGTATTTTATCAAGACCCAACCAGAACTCGCCGTCAAGATCACCAAAGCCTGCTTTATAGTCTGACCATCCAAGGTAGAAATCTTGACTTCCATCTTGTCTTCTTTGAAACACGGTCCAGCCACCCCCGTCTTTGCTCATATCACATCTGACTTGAAACGATCCCAGGCCATCAGGATTGATGGTATATACGCCATCTTGCCTCACTCCTAATTTATAGAGATCAGCACAACTTTTTCCCGAAATAACTGCGCAAACGGAAAAATGTTACAAAATATCAGAATAGTCATTTCAATAACAAAACATTGAAGTCTTTCCCTTAGTCAAACTATTTTCCTTCACAGCGATATCCTAGGCGGGTTTCTTTGATTCAAGCCATGCTGTTCACAGGGTTTATTTTTCCACCGGAACGCAACAAAAGCAAAAACTAGCGAACTAATGTTTTTACAATTGTAAATAATAATTATGACATCCTGCCTGTAGATTTTCTTGTTTATAAGAGAAAGTTGCCAAGTTTTACGCACCTTTACAATTGGTTCCTGGACCAGTATAACCAGGTTTACAGGTGCATGTGTACTTGTAAGTGTTACTGACACAAACAGCGTTGACATCGCAAGGATTGGACAAGCAAGGGTCGATCTCTGAAATAATACAACAAATGTTATAAATTGTTTTAGACATATCATCGTAAAAGAACATGAAAGTTTGTTATTTTCTCTTACTTGTACAATTGGTTCCTGGACCAGTATAACCAGGTTTACAGGTGCATGTGTAGTAAGTTGAATGGCTGGTGCATATAGCATTGAAGCCGCAAGGATTGGACGAGCAAGGGTCGATCTCTGGTAGAACACAACAAAGGTTGTTTTAGTTGTTTTAGAAAGAAACATTTTCAAAATCTTAAGCGATAATATGAAAGTTTGCTATTTTCTCTTACTTGTACAGTTGAATCCTGGACCAGTATAACCAGGTTTACACGTGCATGTGTAGTGGTAAGTGTTACTGACACAAACAGCATTAGGACCGCACGGGTTTGACTTGCAACGGTCGGTTTATGTATGTCAATTTAATTTAAGTTAGTCTGGCTGATCTTCAAATCGTAGCATAACTAAACAAAATCGCAACCTTACCGTTGTTTGGACACAGTATTTTGAGCGCCAATTTACGCCTGCGAATGTTCCGTTCTATGACACGACAGCATGATCCAAGCTGCGGATCGTGTTGCCTTGAACACAATAAGTTGTAAGCAAGGGTACGATTTTTTATATCAGATCTGATATCATCACACCAAAGTCCTTCTGTGCAAATAGTTTGCAGAACAACCTGAAACAGAATCACAACCAGAGCAATTCTCAACATTGTTAGGTCTTGAAATTCTTAATTATCCGTCCAAGTGGAAGCCAACTCGATCAACTTGAGAAGGGCTGACTGAGAACAGAATCAAGCTCGGGTCAATTTATACCAAAGCTGCGTGCACAGAGGAAATGAACTTTGCTCTTCTCCGGCGGGCTTGCATGCCTTCACTATTTATATCTCAGTTTGCGTTTCCGGCGTATCTTTTTTTCGGCATGAGCTAAAACAAAGAAATCATTAATTCAATCGTACATTCACCATACTAGAAGTTCTTATCAGAAGGAAAAATTGCTGCCAAAGATACATAATTTAACAGCAAAAATGAAGAACCGACTGAATGTAGTTGAAAACTACTTATGTTAATTAATACTTAAACATCAATAAAACAAATATATAAGTTAATCAATTTCAATTTGTTCAACATAACAACAATAAAACTGATAAGACTAGATTGTATGTAGAAGTCAATCTTAGTGCCGAACGAAGGTTGCGAGTAACAGCAATTAATGATGTAGACTACATCAATCATCATGTACTAAATAGGTTACTTCGTCTTTGTAAGCTAACACCAGATGCGGAACCGGATCAGTGGATGAGAGAGTTTTAAATTTACATCCTCTATTTTATATCCCCTTTTTTATATCCCTTTTTTTTACCCCTATTTTTTTAAATCTCCTATTATTTCAGTCTTGTCACTAATGGAGTTAGTTGACTGTTCCCCAATTAAGTGTTTAATTGCGGTGATGTTGTGCGCCGAAAATAGTATTGAATACCTACGGCTATAGTCCATAGTACATAGTCCATACCTTATTTGTTTACCGTCACAGTCATATGAGTTAAACCATATTATAGCCGATAAACTCGTGAAAGCATGCCTGTAGACTGAACAATAAAGGTTCATCCCCTTAATCTATATGCATAATTTGTGTAAGTGTGTAAAAGCAGAAAGAAATGGCATCCCTGTTCTGAATATTTCGATCTTCTGTTCCTGCATATCAAATTACACTTACAATACCCATATCCTTAGTTGTTTTCTGTGAATAAGGTCATATAAGAAGCATACAGCCGATAAACCCATGATTGACAATATTGACATCATTTTCTTGATGTATATACATCATATTTTTATATGAGAACAATATAGCCGATAAACTCATTGCTATACAAGATAGCACCCATACTATGCCGCCAAACCTGCATTTGTCTAGTACCTTGAAAGTCAATATAGATCTAAAATTATTTGTATGATTCCATATTATCTTGTTGCACTTATAATAGCGGCTAGCTTTGGTTAGCTTAACTTTAGGACACAACATACGCTATACGCTTCGTGTCATCGTGTGATGATTCTGGAATGTGAGTGGGATAATCTGACTTGTCCCCAGTCGCTTTGATGTTACGCGAACGAGAAGTCATAATGGCCGCGTCGGCATAGCCTGCGAGTAAACATTAGGAATTTTTCCTGGCCACCGATCTTTAAATATCAGTAATATGTGTCTTATTTAGGGACTGCGAAGGAGTTAGAATCATTCAGTAGTCTATCGTGCATTCGCTATATTGCACGTCCTGTTTTTCCTAAACGTGTATAGAAACATTGCTTTCAGCTTCCCTTCAACGTCAGCATTTAAATATTTCTATGCGGGCTTCCGGTTATTTACTTTGGGATAAACGAAGACATTGTGTACAAGTAAAACGACGTGTGGCCTCATTAGCTATTCCTTATGGATGCTGTCTTTCAAACCTTTTACGAGCAGGATCGTCGAAGCCGTATGCATGGAAACAGCTCATATGTTATAAGATATAATCAGCACAACGACAAGTTTAGATTCTGCTATTTATATTCTGCGTACTAAGTCATTAACAATCTATTCAACATCTACAATCTCATTCTACCAGTCAGTCAACTCGTTATATAATCAACAACTATTGTGCATTTTTGAAGTGTCAACGTTTCCGTTTGGCAACCACGTGACGTGCAACCGTAACTTCCCCTTCGTGCATAATATAATTAATTATATCCCGTCTATAACACTATTACTAAAACATATTATAGTTTGGTACAAACATTAAACTTCATGTTCTTCACCGCAAAACTAGTCTCTTCTAAAGCTCCTCTTTATTTTAAAACTGGTTTGGACGAATTTTCATCGTCGTCTTTTTCAACGAATACCATCTTTTCCAATGGTACCAGTTTATTCCGCTGGCATTATTCTTACCTGCACCCAGGTACAGGCCATTGAGGTTGGAATAATGACACCTCTTGTACCACCAACCTCCTTTGAATCTCGTAGCACAATTACTACCCCAAACATCATTGTCGCTATCCTTGGTAGTGAACTTCATTTGATTGTGATGAGTAAGAGGATCACCTGCGTCACCTTTAACGAAAATAGTAAAAATTTCCTCAATGAATAGCATTTTAAACAAAAAAAATTTTCTCTAAGAACACCAACTTCTCTAGCCTACGTCTATTGAGAACCTCGTTCTGGCGAAGTCATGAAAAAATAATATACGAAATTTAGGATTTTATTCTTCATCTCACTCCATTATTATCAAGGTGGGAAGTTAAAATGGATGGAAATAATCTTAATTAAAGATCGAGCAAGGACGAGGTGACGGGTACGAAGGGTAAAAAATAGTTTATATATTTGGTTTAACTTTTTGAACTGTAGAACACTGTTATACCGAAAGTATGAAGTACTGTCTATGAATAGCTTTGGTTATAGCTTGTTATATCTGTGATGACTGTGAATCAATTGTGAAGTGTTTCATATCCCACAAGCAAAGTTTTCCGTGGAGTGGTAGTGAGGACTCTGCTCTTGAATTGCATCCGCATAGAACCTAATTTTCCTTTTCTGCAACTTTCCTAGTCTTGTCTTAAATAATCTCATGTTTCCATCCATGTTACGCCCAGAAGGTATTTAATGTTATTTTTTATCTTAATATCTAATGCTATAAACTGTATTAATCTTTAAAACCATAATTCTTAACGCTACACAAACTCTATCTCTGTACTAATGCTATTATAATGGGGTAACAGGAGGTTTTATTTCACGCAGAGTCGTTATAGGACTAGTCACGTTGTAAAATTTAGCCTAAAAATTAATTTCCTTCATAACTATTTTCACTAAATCTTTCAATCCCAAACGTGCCGCAAACCGATTGTTTTCCTTCTGACGAATTTATAGTGAAACTTTATTCCAGTTGATGTTTTTTATCTCAAACTTGTTACTCTTCATAATAAACACATTTGCTACCCCGGACGCACGGGGTTATGGGATATACTGAAAATAATGAATTATATATTCAATTTTCACTGAAAACAAAGAGATTAATTTTCATCCTGTCCTAAGTGTCTTCGAGTGTCGCGAATCTAAATTTAGGCAGAACGTGCATGTGGTTTACCTGAATATTTGCCAATAGTCAATCTGTATTTGTTTGACTCATCAGACACCCTAAACGTTCCATATTTAGCGTAACGTTCAGCGCCATTGAAATCCATCAAATCAACTCTTAAAACATTTTGACCAGATTTGGTTAAACGTTGTATTTTATCAAGGCCCAACCAGAACTCGCCGTTAAGATTACCAAAGCCTGCTTTATAGTCTGACCATCCACGATAGAAATTTTGACTTCCATCTTGTCTTCTTTGGAACACTGTCCAGCCACCCCCGTCTGTGTTCATATCACATCTGACTTTGAAAGATCCCAGGCCATCAGGATCAATAGTATACATACCATCTTTGTTTTCTCCAGATTTATAGAGATCAGCACAACTTTTTCTTGTAACTGTAAATATATATAGATATATAGATGCACAGGTGTATGTGTAGCGGTTAGATTGACTCAGTCGCGTTGATTGTCCAATGGGACAAACAACGGTCGGTTTCTATATGTCAATTAAATTTAGATAAGTCCGGCTGATCTTCAAATCGTAGCAAAACTAAACAGAATCGCAACGTTACCGTTGTTTGGACACAGTATTTTGAGCGCCAGTTTATGCCTTTGAATTTCCTGTTCTATGACACCACAGCATGATTCAAGCTTTGGATCTTTTTTTGAACACAATAAGTTGTAAGCGAGGGTACGATTTTTTATATCAGATCTGATATCATCACAGCAAAGTGCTTCTGTAATAACAGATTGCAGAACAACCTGGAACAGAATCACAACCAGAGCAATTCTCAACATTGTTAGGTCTCGAAGTTCTCAATTATCCGTCCACTGAGTAGAAACCAACTCGACTAACTCGATCTGATTGAGAACAGAGTCAAGCTCTGGTCAATTTATACCCAAGCTGTGTGCGTGAGGAAATGAACTTTGGTCTCCTTTGACTTTCCTCTTCCTTGAGTTAAGGAAGAACGCGGCGTGCAATGCACGACAGAGTATAATCACTTCTTTGTTTAGGTTCATAATTCATACTTCAGGAATCAGGAAACATCCAGAAAACACAAACTAGACTTTTAAACGTGTACAGAAACATTGCTTTCAGCATTTAAAGAATTTTCTTCCGTGTCGGATTACCTGTTATGAAGACATCATGCAAACGTGAAACAAAACGCTTTTATTTAAGTGCTGATGCTGGAATTGAATGGAATTATTGCGTCTGGTTTAAATGTATCCTTATCATCATCATCTGGAGTCTGTCTGAAAGATGTTTCTTCCTGTTCATCGTGCTAGCTAGAAACGTACGTTTACAAGACGACATACAGTACATAAGCACCATACAGGAAGCATGAAGAAGTGTCGGTACTTGAGACGAAGGTTATAAATACAAATACGATATTGATAATAGTTTAAAGGTTTATAGCACCTGGAGGTTAATTGTAATATGTTTACAATCAACCGGAATAAGGATTAGATTACGAATATTAATTACAAATATTATTAAATATTGAAAGTTTTAAGTAAAAGTTTTAAATATTGAGTAAAAAAAGGTTCTTGGGTATACAATAATAAATATATAATAGTTAATTTTATTAACATTTTAAAAATTGAACACGTCCTAGGGATAAAACTATTCTTATATCGATCTGTTCTACACCTCGGTGGACAGTAATGAGAGTGATTCCTTAGTAGGGGGGGGGGGATAGAAGATGTATAGGCTTAGGTCGGGATCTTAGATCTTTTGAAAGGTTGTTCCACAAATTAAAAAGGTATTATAAGCCAGATCCAAAGTTGAGAAAATAAATGAGAATTTAATCAAGTTAAGCAGTGACGTACAAATACCGTATTGACTGGTTTGAGCTTCGCGGTGCTCTTTAAATTTTTAGAACCTCAAATGCGGCGCTCATTCGGGGGCGGCGCTCAATAGGGGACGGCGCTCTGTAAAAAAATATTAATTGTGGCAAGAACGTTAAACAAAAAGATTTAAAATTTGAAATGTCGCTAAATTTCCACATTTTGACTGCGGGCATCTCGACATTTTACGGAAAACAAACCACTGCCACAAGTCACTGGAAATAGAAGGAGAGAAATTGGCCTTGTTGTAACAGCAAAGTTCTCTGCCGTCAAGACTGATCTGCGCCTTGTGAAAATTCTGAAGACCGATTTAACAATGGCGTATTCAATAAATGAGATTATGTGTCGTTTAAGCGCCGCATTTACTGCGCGGCGCTAGCGCTCATACGGGGGAGGGGCGCTCTTTAGAAGTAGGGTATGTCCTTTAGAAATACGGTATTTCCTCCCCAATTAGCGTGTTAAGGCCCATTTCAGATTTCGAACTTTTCATGTGCCGAACCTAATGTTAATAAGCTAAAATCTTTGTTTAAAGAATTTAAACAAAATAAGCTAAATTTAATAATTAATTTTAAAGTCTTTGCATTCGATTCGGCGCATGAAATGTCATTGACGTCTATAATGCACCAAATCTTTGCCTTTGGTCGTGAAGTAATACTGCCATCACTGCTGAAGTTATGTGCATGGTGATCAAATTTTGATGCTGGTTAGGAAATTGAAGTATTGTTAACAATAAAGAGATGATGATGAGAATGTAAGATTGAAATCTACCGACGTTTATACTTAGGAAGAGACGGGTCATATCGATAGCATTAAGACGTTGATTACCAGCAGTTCAAAGTGAAATACATTTGAACAATTGAACGCGCTAAAAATTAAAAAGTAAGCCGTTTGCGTATAGTAAAATATACGAAAAATATTAATGATTATCAAGCTTACCAACTCCTAGCAATCAGTATAGCCAGTACACTAACTACCCGGGGTGCTTTATATCAGTATATAGATATCTGGTGTTTTATGATTCCAGACTTATCTCATTGTACTTATAGCTGCCAGGTTTGGCTAGCTTTATGGTAGGAAACAACAGACGCTATCATTTCTCTCCAGGGCAAACATAATAAACCACCCGTGTCACATATTCTCAGCGGCTGTAACCCAAGATTTCTCAATTGAGAAGTGCAGGTCTAACCCAGGCCAAATGATCATCTAAATCATTCAATGGCCAGCTATGCGCAAAGGGCAAAGGTCAAATACGTTTGATCCAATAAACGGTGCTTTTCTATGCGCATTTGTGTGTATGCTAATTTGTTCACTCGTCGCGACTGCACTTCGATAGAATTTTAGTATTATTTTGATATATTTCGACATTTAAAATATGGAACCGTCAAAACGTCAAAGAAATCGTATTACGGATGCTCAAAGAATCGTTCTGGAGCGATTATATGGTAATGGAATGGTTGGAACAGGTCATTTATATGACAGCAAAGTCGATCAAGCTACGCAAGAAACGGGCCTGACGAAAACGCAAGTTAAGGTAAACCCAGATTATCTGTGCATCTTAAAGAATTAACCAGAGTGTCTTTTTCAATAGATATATTAAAGTGTAACATGCATAAACAGTGTTTATTTAAAAAGTTGTTTGAATTGCTTAATAACTATAAATAAGATTTTATGCTTGTACTTCAAAATTGTGTTGTTGTGCTCCTTCTAATTACTGTATACTATATTATTATATATTGGTTACAATTTTATATGTGTACTACACTGTATATTGCTTATTCCTAGAAATGGATTGGTAACCAAAAAAGGAAACAACCTTCAACCAGCCAAACCTTTGATGAAACATCTACATTGAAGAGGGCCAAACACATAAAAGGACCACATTCATACAATGTATTTTGCAGTGAGTTTTTCAAGTCTGGTTAGTGAAATTGTCTTTATTTAATTTTTGAAATTAACAATATTTATTGCATGGAGCTAGGTCAGGCATTAACAATCAAATTATATCTTGGTATGGTATCTCCTAAACCTAATTTTTGCCCTGTCATGTGTGTTCACTTGCCCTATAATAAGGCTTCAATAGAGAGGAAGTCTTCATAATTATATTCAATACATTGAAATGGTAATTGAGTTGGAAAGATTACAAAACAAGGGTTGAATGTCTAAATGTTATTTAGTAGCTAATATGCTGCTCAAATTTCTAAAATGAAAAAACAATTGAACTAAATATTAGGCAAAATGTATAGTCATCATATTGAGTTTTCTCTTATTGGATGAGATGAAAAAACAGTTCTTCAAAAATGTTGGTTGATGTGGTTTTTTGTGTATCTAAAATAGTTTTTATATCTGTGTTAATTTAGATGAGTGTAAAGGCTTGTCTAATACTGAAAGAATAAACTAGCTGCAGAAAGGTGGAATTTGCAAAATGAGGATGAAAAAAAGAAATATGGTGAAACTGCTAAAGCCCTTAGCTCAGTTGATATAAAAGTGTTGGATGATGAGCAAAAGAGAAAGCTTATTGAAAGACACTGCAAAAAGCTAGTCGAGGAGGTAGCGGAAACCTTTATTTGGTTTGGCACTTGTAATATTGTTAAATTAGAATAGTTGAGCACTAGGTCTCCCATCCCATTCTTTTGCTATCATTTATCTTGGTTTCTAGAATTTTCTATGTTAGTAACAGGTAAGCTTGGCTACTGTGGATCTGGCTAAATGAGAATAACACAGGTTAATGTAGGGTTAGGACAAGAAATAAGAGCACCTGGCTTTCTAAGGCACCATACAGAGATTAGTATTTCCCTTAGTTTAGTGCCAAAATAGATAAAGAAACATATACATCATAATGGTATGATAAATAGCATGATTAATGACAAAAAAGCCCCACACTACCAAACTGGCCAGTGCAATAGTTAAACTGTAAGTTGAACAAAAATTAAACAGGGCAATCATTATGTGATCATTAGATGTGTGTTTATCCATAGATCAGGATACTGGAGGATTTGGGCTGCCAGACTTCATCTTTGATGATCAACAATGAAGGCACTGTTTTCCAACTGGGATCCAATGAAGGAAATCATTTTTTATCTTGCAACCCCGATATTGGCATAAAATTTCGTGAGTATTTTGGTAAGTTCTCTACAGGTCACTGGTAAAATAATTTTATTTAAGACTTGTGACAATTTTAGAGCAATTCCAATGGGATTCTATGTTTATAACTAAAGTACCAATGACATGACCTTAGGTAGTTCTGTTAAGAAGTACCGCAGAAATGATGTGCAAGATCTCTTTAACAAGAAATACAGTAAGTCTTTTTTTGTCAGAAAATTGTTCACAACTGCTACCGGTAATGTGTTTTTAAACTTTAAAGGGCTGCAAATACTGTAACTTAACAATCACAGCTGGTTGTATAGGTTGCGTAGGTAAATCGTAGGTTAAAAGGTTAACCATCTTCTTATACAACCAGCCCTGAAGAATCTATTACAGTACAACTAAACTTTGATGAATACATACTTCACCCGATGATCAGTGGTTTGCGCAATTATTAGCAATATACTATAATGATTCATGAGATGATTCATAAGAGCTAGACTGGATAACCGAAAAGTATATTGTAAATGTTTACAACATCAGAATTATTTCTAAATTTAAGGTGAAGCGGTTGGAAAGAGCTGCCGGGTGCCGTACTCGAAATGTGGATTCAGAGTTGTTGGTCTCCCTGAAGATATTTCTTTTAAGAAACCATATAACTATGGTTCCTTGCAACTAAAGAAAATCATGGAGGCTGCAGACAAAAAAAAATTCATCATTGAAGATCCAACTCTCAACGAACCATTGAATGTTTACCCGACTGCAGTTTCTGGTAACAATGGTGATTTACAAGGAACTGTAAATGTTGTGAAACCTTTACTAGTAAAAATTGCTGGAGAAGATGCTGCGCAAAGGGTGCTGGCCGATTCTGAGAAGCGAATTATGGAGGAGGAGATTGAGGTGGTTGATTTGCATTTAAGTGATGAAGAGAAGGCAAACTTATATGGTTTGTGTGAAGGTTATTTTTCACCTGATGCATGGTTAGCAGTTGGACATAACATGCAACATTCAAGACAGGTTGAAAACATAGTTTTACCTGTACACACGACTGCAGAAGAAAGATTTTGGCTGTTTCGTACGAATGATAAGCCATTGCGTATAGCCAAGTGTGTATCCTCGGCCAAAATACGGGGTCAGTGGTTGGATCTTGTAGATGATGACACATACACATTCTTGCATAGTGACATTATTACGGGTAAGAACCTTATTCGTTCTGCTCATGGACCATTATATTTTTCAATAGAGGAAGCAGCTACTGAAAATTTTAAGTTACCAAAACAATTTAGATTTGCGATCGAAGGAGTTTTAGGTAAACTACGTAATGAAAATACTTGCGAATGGAAATGATGTCAAATTTTTTATCAGGGTAACAGGGTTAATTATTATAGTCAATTGGTACCAGGGCCGTTGCTAGATTGCTTAATTGGGGGGGGGAGATATAATCATGTATAGTATTCATGATCAGTTTGGCATAAAACGAATGATATGAATACACATGCACTCCCCTCCCCCAATAAGGCTTCTAGCTCGGGCTCTGGTTGGTTCATCGTAGACTCATGTACTTCATAGACTCCAGTTTAAATATTTTCTCAATATATATCATGTGCTTCAGTCATTTATCACGATAAATACCGAAAATGCAGTATTTATTAAATGCAATATATATATATATATATAAATGCAAAAATTAAATATCGGAAGGTTTCAGGTTACAAATTTATATCGATATATTTAAACATATATTTTCCACAGTTCGGTTTTGTGCTAGAGTAATATTTGTCACACACGGTGCATGAGAAAAAATCAAAGCACACGTGTGTATGAATCGCCCAGTTACTGCATTTCTTGCAGTCAAACCTTTCCTTTAAACAGGGTTTTCTGCAGAAAATAAAAAAGGCTGTGTCTAGTTCTGGACACACACATTTGCCACCTGTTGTCTCACAAGCCATGCATAGATCCACAGTCTTCTGACTTATGTTTGGAAGACATCTTAATCGCTGAAAGTAGCTGTTTAACGGCCTTCTGTGGTAATTTAGGGCCTTTAGAAAATCTAATGGCACTTCGCCAAACACATCTTTGCATAGTTTGGTTTTGTGATAGTCTTCCAATGATTGATTTTCTCTTATAAAAGATAGTAAAGATCCAAGTTTGAACGAGTAAGTATTGTGGATCAAAAATCTTAGAGTATGAGCACACCATTCCCCAATGAAATTATTCGATGATTCAAGCGAAACCAATTGGTCGGAAGAATTCTGATTCATTTGGTCCTCAGATGCTGTTGCAATTTTACTTCTGAATTTTAATTCAAAATTGCCTCTTTTAACAAACTTTTGCTTTGTAGACGTACTTTGTTTGGAAAACAAACGCCTTTTTACAATACATTTTTTATGTGTAGAGGAACTTGATGTGCTGGCGACACTTGATGTGCTGGGAACACTTGATTTTCTGGCTGAAATTTTTCCGTCACTGAGGTCTTTACTTTTTCCAAGATTAGCAATGACATAATTTGTTTTTCCTTGTCGAAGATTTTCCAAATAAGCACTTTTGTAAGCGCCCGGGTGAGGTAGGCTGTCGTTCATTGCCCTAGTTGTACCCTTATGGAATACTGACAGATGATTATCCAAGCGTTTCATGTAATTTCCATACTGGGGGCAGGTTGAAATTCGACAGACACCGTCTTTTCTCTATAAATTATTCGGAATTATTTAGGTTAAAAATATGAAGATATCAAGAGTGGTAAGAGCGTAGAAATATTTCATACTTTCAGTAGGTAGGAAGGAAAGGGCCTTCATTCAAAGACCTTTACTATTTAAAGTTAAAATTTGTTAAAATTAGCCCTGTATATACTGTGATATACACTAGTCTCAATACATCTTCATACACGCCCCTTCTTTCATCAATGTATCACCAACTGTACTAAGTAGGTAGTTATTCTTTAACTATAGTATCATGCTGTGCTTCAAAGATTTCATTCACGATTTAATTATATTTTCGTAGCGCAATTCTAGGGAAACGAGCCATTTTTGTTTGTATATGTAATAATGAAATAGCAATCGCCCCATATAAGTTATAGCGTCATAGCTGCAGCATGTGGTCACTCCTTGCGCAAAGAAAAAAAAGGAACAAGCTATGGCAACTACCACGTCGTGAAAATTTGTACCAATATGAATACCAAAATTGCAATTCTCATTGGCAAATCTGATCTGACCTTCGAGGGAAAACATGTCATATTTCTTCTGAACTTATTTCTTCCCATCATAGGGCTCTACAAACAAACAAATTCGCGTAATAAGTAATACGGAGTGTGAATATTGATATAAAATGTAGAACTATATGCTTATAGAAATTACAGTCTCGTTTACCTTGAAATTAATGTCTCGAACTGATAACAAACTATCCCTGAATAACTGAGTGATCTAGAACAGACGCTCTAGAATGGCCAAAAATGACTATAGAATGGCTATAGAATGGCTATAAATGACAAATAACGAAAATACACCTCGGGAATCTTTGCCTTTTGGCTTTGTTTTCGCAACACAAGAGCAAAGTAATACTATACGCGCATATCAGGTTTAAAAAAAGGTTTCTTATTTCCCAAATATTTCATATTACTGTCTTAAATTTCACTTCGTAACATTTTAATTACGATTCTTCAAATGAAATTTGACACCGACTTTATTTACGTTTTTTAACTTTTAAGACAGGGGTCAGTTTTACCCACATTGTATAAGAATGTTACATCTTCACAACATGTTTAGTAAGCTCACCCTCCAAATGAAATTTGACACCGACTTTATTTATGTTTTTTAATTCTAAAGACAGGGGTCAGTTTTACCCACATTGTATAAGAATGTTACATCTTCACAACATGTTTAGTAAGCTCACCCTCCAAATGAAATTTGACACGACTTTATTTATGTTTTTTAATTCTAAAGACAGGGGTCAGTTTTACCCACATTGTATAAGAATGTTACATCTTCACAACATGTAGTAAGCTCACCCTCCAAATGAAATTTGATAACGACTTTATTTACGTTTTTTAATTCTAAAGACAGGGTCAGTTTTACCCACATTGTATAAGAATGTTACATCTTCACAACATGTTTAGTAAGCTCACCCTCCAAATGAAATTTGATACCGACTTTATTTACGTTTTTTAACTTTTAAGATAGGGGTCGTTTTACCCACATTGTATAAGAATGTTACATCTTCACAACATCTTTAGTAAGCTCACCCTCCAAATGAAATTTGATACCGACTTTATTTACGTTTTTTAACTTTAAGATAGGGGTCGGTTTTACCCACATTGTATAAGAATGTTACATCTTCACAACATGTTTAGTAAGCTCACCCTCCAAATGAAATTTGACACCGACTTTATTTATGTTTTTTAATTCTAAAGACAGGGGTCAGTTTTACCCACATTGTATAAGAATGTTACATCTTCACAACATGTTTAGTAAGCTCACCCTCCAAATGAAATTTGACAACCGACTTTATTTATGTTTTTTAATTCTAAAGACAGGGGTCAGTTTTACCCACATTGTATAAGAATGTTACATCTTCACAACATCCCTAGTAAGCTCACCCTCCAAATGAAATTTGATAACGACTTTATTTACGTTTTTTAATTCTAAAGACAGGGGTCAGTTTTACCCACATTGTATAAGAATGTTACATCTTCACAACATGTTTAGTAAGCTCACCCTCCAAATGAAATTTGATACCGACTTTATTTACGTTTTTTAACTTTTAAGATAGGGGTCAGTTTTACCCACATTGTATAAGAATGTTACATCTTCACAACATCTTTAGTAAGCTCACCCTCCAAATGAAATTTGATACCGACTTTATTTACGTTTTTTAACTTTTAAGATAGGGGTCGGTTTTACCCACATTGTATAAGAATGTTACATCTTCACAACATGTTTAGTAAGCTCACCCTCCAAATGAAATTTGACACCGACTTTATTTATGTTTTTTAATTCTAAAGACAGGGGTCAGTTTTACCCACATTGTATAAGAATGTTACATCTTCACAAGATGTTTAGTAAGCTCACCCTCCAAATGAAATTTGACACCGACTTTATTTACGTTTTTTAACTTTTAAGACAGGGGTCAGTTTTACCCACATTGTATAAGAATGTTACATCTTCACAACATGTTTAGTAAGCTCACCCTCCAAATGAAATTTGACACCGACTTTATTTACGTTTTTTAACTTTTAAGATAGGGGTCAGTTTTACCCACATTGTATAAGAATGTTACATCTTCACAACATGTTTAGTAAGCTCACCCTCCAAATGAAATTTGATACCGACTTTATTTACGTTTTTTAACTTTTAAGATAGGGGTCAGTTTTACCCACATTGTATAAGAATGTTACATCTTCACAACATCTTTAGTAAGCTCACCCTCCAAATGAAATTTGATACCGACTTTATTTACGTTTTTTAACTTTAAGATAGGGGTCGGTTTTACCCACATTGTATAAGAATGTTACATCTTCACAACATGTTTAGTAAGCTCACCCTCCAAATGAAATTTGACACCGACTTTATTTTGTTTTTTAATTCTAAAGACAGGGGTCAGTTTTACCCACATTGTATAAGAATGTTACATCTTCACAAGATGTTTAAGCTCACCCTCCAAATGAAATTTGACACCGACTTTATTTACGTTTTTTAACTTTAAGACAGGGGTCAGTTTTACCCACATTGTATAAGAATGTTACATCTTCACAACATGTTTAGTAAGCTCACCCTCCAAATGAAATTTGACACCGACTTTATTTACGTTTTTTAACTTTTAAGACAGGGGTCAGTTTTACCCACATTGTATAAGAATGTTACATCTTCACAACATGTTTAGTAAGCTCACCCTCCAAATGAAATTTGATACCGACTTTATTTTACGTTTTTTAACTTTTAAGACAGGGGTCAGTTTTACCCACATTGTATAAGAATGTTACATCTTCACAACATGTTTAGTAAGCTCACCCTCCAAATGAAATTTGACACCGACTTTATTTATGTTTTTTAATTCTAAACACAGGGGTCAGTTTTACCCACATTGTATAAGAATGTTACATCTTCACAACATGTTTAGTAAGCTCACCCTCCAAATGAAATTTGACACCGACTTTATTTATGTTTTTTAATTCTAAAGACAGGGGTCAGTTTTACCCACATTGTATAAGAATGTTACATCTTCACAAGATGTTTAGTAAGCTCACCCTCCAAATGAAATTTGACACCGACTTTATTTACGTTTTTTAACTTTTAAGACAGGGGTCAGTTTTACCCACATTGTATAAGAATGTTACATCTTCACAACATGTTTAGTAAGCTCACCTTCCAAATGAAATTTGACAGCGACTTTATTTATGTTTTTTAATTCTAAAGACAGGGGTCAGTTTTACCCACATTGTATAAGAATGTTACATCTTCACAACATGTTTAGTAAGCTCACCCTCCAAGTATAGTATGTATTTACATATATTCGACATCATCATAAAATTCTAGATCTTCTTTATATAAGGCTGATATGGGCTCCACCATCTCACTGTCCTCTGTAGTGAAAGGTAAAACTTTAAATCCGGACCATAACTCATTCACTACGTTTACTTGGCGCTGATAAAACATCATCTTTTCAATGGCGAGGGAGTGCAAACCAAGTTCGTCGTCGCTGGAAACTTCACGATCGATAAATGATTGAATTATTTCAATCTGTTTGGTGAGAAATGAAATAAATGTAGACATCTCTTTTTTCACCATATTTTGTTCCTCTTCACACCTATCTTTAAGACACAAAAGATCAACCGCTCTATTTTTTACTCTTGATGGTACTCCTGTTTCAATATTGGGTTCGACAATACCATGATATACTTCCCCGTTTGGATCCTTTACATCATCAAAGGAAATCTCATCGTTCTCATTCATCCCATTAATCAAGCTTACGTTCCGAGTGATGTTGGCGACCACGCGATCGATTTGACTGCCAAGCTTTATTGCAATAGCTTGACCATCTGAAAAAAGGAGTAGAATCGGAGGCAACTAAGTAAAACAAGGGAAATCCAAGTGGAGATACATGTAAAAGATAAACACCAATGAAGAAAGTACCTTCACGGAAGAAAAGGCGTATTCGGACATACATTATTTGTAGTGTGATAAGTAAAAGAGCATAAAAGAAATATTTCTATACCAGCATATTTTGCTTTAAGTTCTAATAAAACATTCTCTCCGACGCCATCCTATGAAGGGTATGAAGTAACTTTTGCTGTTTCTTGGCAATAAGTCTTGTATACGCATTTTGATATGCTTTTTCTTTTTTCTTCCATCTTGTTCGAACACCATGACGTTTCTCCAGGGAATATAACGCTTTTTCATTCCTAAAAAACCAACTAGGAATCAACTAATAACAATAGCCAGACGGAAGAGTACAGCTGCAATACGAATACCTGCAATAACAACAGCAGATGTAATAACAACTAATAATTGAACAGACAGCAGTCTGTTTAATTATCACTGTATAGCCGCATGTCCCACCTACTTATCCTTCTCTCAATGTTGGGAATCCTTTCCGGCTCTTCCTCTCTTGAAAAACTCATTTCGTTTCTGAAAAAAGTACAAAATCCAAATATCAAGAACAAAATACATTTGCACACACAAGTGAAATGTCTAGCAATGCCATAGGAATAAGCAGTCATACCAGAATAAGCATTTATAAGTGTGAACTAAGTTATATGCAGTGCCATATTCCGAAATTGTTATTCTCTGCATAAAATATTTTGTTACCGCAACTTTTTTGCTGAAAGAAGTAAATCCACATAAGATTCATCCCACTGGTATTCAAGGTTCAATTCAATGCAACCGGAGTAGTGTCACAGCATGGCTTTCACAACTGCAAAAAGCCACTCGCTTCAAGTGTTGATTACCTAACAATCATAGAAAGTAGTAGCAATATTCAATAGCAATCAATAATTAAATTAAAATTATTGCAGTTAATTCTCACAGTCCAAATAATATCTATTGTTCCAACATACAATAGACAAGGTTGTTAAACAATATTGTTCTACAGCAGAAAAAATGAAATTACACACTTGTTTAGTTAATCCATGCAACTGCATTATATCTGAGGGTTAATTAATGATCATGGCATGGGGTTTCTGGTTATAAAAGCTTAATCATAGTCTAACTTTTGTTGAAATTTTAGCATGCAGCTTTTGTTTGTGTATTTATGGATGGCTAATCTGTTTAAAAGTTTGGAGAAATAAAACCTCTGCTTAATTAGGTAAGCTTTAATTCCTATGCAACTTGATACTTAAGTTGTTGGAAAGTTTGACCTTGTAGATTTAGTAGCTTTAATGCAAACAAAGAATACTGAACAAATTCCTTACCAAATGCATCAATAAGTGTAAACAACTTGACAATTTGTGTCCCACAATTGTGGGCCCACTCAATTACAGAATTGTCTGGAAACAGTGGGATGAACTTAGTTTCCTAAGAAATAAAGAATGTAGGTTTTGTAGGTTAAAGCAGGTTTAATTTGCCTGAACACATTTGAATTTTAACTTTTTAAGTCTTACTGAATGTGTGAAAATAGCATATTACAGTATTGCAAAAGACCAACATCTTTAAAATCTTGAAAATATGTAACATGTAGGTTGCAAATAGTTATTAAATAGAATAAGAAATTATAGAATGAAACGACATCTTTGACGTACGTTTATGCCATTAAATTGGCTTCTCCTTATAGAAATTAAGCCACGGAGGAGAGCTTTTAAAAGCTAGCAAATATTATCATATTTTTAAAGTTTTTTTAATCAACATTAATAATAGACAATACCATCCATTTATCCATCACGTGAAACTTATTTCGACTTTCGTGTTGTTCAATAGCACAGTTCTCGCAAAAAAACTGCCGTGGACCACAATATTTACAGCGAATATTGGCTTCATTTTGAGAGCAAACACCACACATGACACCACTCGGTAAAATCGCATCTTCGAACTTTGCTTTCAGCAATTGAGGCCGAATTTTTTCCCAGTTGAGATAATTACTAACATTTCTTCTTTGTGTGGCCGATTCTTCATTTTCTAAATCGTCAACGACTGGTAATTCATGAGGCGTTTGAGCGTTATGATCGATTTGCAAATCGCACGATTCGTCACTATGCAAATCTGCGTGGAGGCTTGTCGAATGCTTATTTGAAGCTGTTGTTTCTACATCAACAGTTAACGGTGTAGTTATTGACGATTTTCCATTTCTTCCCAACACAACAGTTTTTACGCACGCCTTTCGCATAATTGTAAAAAATTGCGCCGAAGTGAAGTGCGAAATTTTCTTGAATAATAATAAAATACAACCAAATCAAAGATTAAACTGTTTTATATCAAGTATTCTGATTGGTCGCTTAATATTATATTGAATGATTTAGATGATCATTTGGCCTGGGTTAGACCTGCACTTCTCAATTGAGAAATCTTGGGTTACAGCCGCTGAGAATATGTGACACGGGTGAATAAACACATGTTGATATATCAGCGATTGTTCATGCGTCACATCATTTTCGAAACGAGTTCCACATGTCTGAAATTTTTGGCTGAAAATTACTCCGCTTTGACTGTACTGAAATGAACTGAACACCCAGGTACAGGCCATTGAGGTGGGGAAAAAGATCGCCGTTGAATGTACACCAAGCTCCTTTGTAGCTCGTAAGAGAAAATAATCTTTACTAAAGGCCTGAACGGGGACGATGCGAACAGTAAAAATAGTTTAAAGCAACGAGTTCATATTTTTCTTAGTACAACGTTTAACTTTTTGAACTGTAATGCACTGTTATGCCGAAAAGATGGTATAGTGGCTATGAATAGCTATGCCTTCGTAATAAACGGACCAAACATAGGTTATATCTCTCGTGATTTTCTCGCGAGTTCAGAGTTTTCTCCTTCATTTTCTTTTGACATGCCTGAAATGTCTACGTTATAAAAAATCTTCTTAACTCGTTTTAGCCATAAAATTTCATTCGTTTCGCAAAGAATTAAGTTTATAACCTAAAAGTCCGTTTGCCGATGTTTCAAGTGATGATTCTGGAATGTGAGTGGGATAATCTCACTCGTCGCCAGTCGCTTTGATGATACGCGAACGAGAAATTATAATAGACAGTAAACATTAGAGATTTTTCCTCGCCACCGATCTTTAAATATCATTAATATGTGTCTTGAAGAGGGACTGCGAAGGAGTCAGCATGTCTCTTAGGGAATTAGGTTTGCTTAGCTATTGCTGAGCATTCTGATATTGTTCAAATGCGATTTCAATAAACAGTTGCAAACGTGTAATTTATCTTTCAGTTAATTATGGCCCCATTAACTATTCCGTATGGATGCAGTCTTTCAAACTTCTTATGAGCAGGATCGTCGGAGCCATATGCATGGGGAACAGCTCATATGTTAATATAAGATATAATAAACACAACGACAAAATTAAGTTTAGATTCTGCAATTTATATTCTGCGTACCAAGTCATCAATTCAATCTCGCAATCTCATTGTACTAGTCAGTCAACTCGTTATTTAATCTACAACTATTGTGCATTATTGTGCATTTTTGAAGTGTCAACGTTTCCGTTTGACAACCACGTGCAACCGTAACCTCCCCTTCGTGCATAATATAATTAATTATATCCCGTCAATAACACTATTACTAAAACATATTATAGTTTAGTACAAATATCAAACTTGATGTTCTTCGCCGCAAAAAGTCGCCTCTCAAGCTTCTCAAGTCTCTCCTGAAGCTTTTAAAACTGGTTTGGACGAATTTTTACGGTGCTTTAAATGTTCTTTTACGGCGCACCTTAAAATCGCCGGTTGTGCGGGAATCTATCTCGTATATAGATTTCTTGCCTGAAATACTTAAGAAACTTGTCGTTGCCAGTCGTAGCATAACTACTTAAAATAGTAAACAGTTTCAAACGTGTAATTTATTTTTCAGTTTATTATAGCCTCCGGTTAACTATTTCTAAAACATTATAGTTGCTAAAATAAAAATTCACATTGTTCTGTTAACAAATCAGAAATGACTTGATTTTCTTTTTGACGTAAATATGTTTATGTCTCTCCTAAAACTCGTGTTTATTTTAAAACAAATTTGGACGAATTTTCATCTCCGATCTTCTTAAAGAATATCGGTAAGAATTTTTCCAATGATACCAGATTATTCCATCGGGATAAAAACTGCCTGCATCCAGGTACAGGCCATTGAGGCTGGAATAAAGACAGTAGTTGTACCACCAAGCTCCTTTGTAGACCCTAGCACAATTACCACTCCACCGAGCATCATTGTCGCTATCTTTGGTAGTGAACTGCATTTGATTGTGAAAAGCAAGAGAATCACCAGCGTCACCTTTTAAGAATAAAGTAAAAAACCTCTCCGTAAATAACATTTAAAGCAAAAAAATATTAACATTTTAAACTTTTCCAAGAACATCATTTTTAATATACGAGTTTCAGAATTTCATCCTGGATCTCTCTCCAATATTATCAAGAGGGGGGGGAGTTAAATGGATGGAAATAATCTTCATTAAAAATCGAGCAAGGACGGTGCGTCGGATGCGAAGGCTGAAGGGTAGAAAATAGTTTAGAGTAACGAGTTCATATTTTCAGTTTAACTTTTTGAACTGTAGAACACTGTTACTGACACCGAAAGTATATAACGTACTGACTATGAATAGCTTTGGTTGTAGCTTGTGATGACTGTGTATCAATTGTGAAGTGTTTCCTATCCACCAGCAAAGTTTTCCGTGCAGTGGTAGTGAGGACACTGCTCTTGAATTCTATCGATTCAATTTCTGCCGCATAGAACCTAAGTTTCCTTTTCTGCAACTTTCCTACCTAGTCTAGTCGCAAATAATCTCATGTTTCCATCCATGTTACGCGCACAAGGTATTAAATGTTATTCTATATCTTAATATCTAATGCCATAACTGTAAACTTTAATACCATAATTCTTAACGCTATTTAACCTGAGTAACTAATACAAACTCTATCCCTGTACTGATGCTATTATAATGGGGTAACAGGAGGTTTTATTTCATCCACAGTCGTTGTAGAACTAGTCACGTCGTAAAATTCAGCCAAAAAAATGATTTCTTTCATAACTATTTCCGCTAAATCTTTCAATCCCAAACGTTGCCGCAACCCATTGTTTTTCTTCCTGACGAATTTATACTGAAACTTTATTCGAGTTGATGTATTTTTATCTCAAACTTGTTACCCTTCATAATAAACACATTTGCTACCCCGGACGAACGGTATTATGAGGTATACTGAAAATAATGAATTATATATTTAATTTTCACTGAAAACAAGAGATTCATCCCGTCTCTGAGCGTCGTGTGTATGTACAGATAAATTCAACAGCTGAGAATCTAAATTAAGGCAGAGCGTGCATGTGGTTTACCTGAATAATTGCCAATAGTCAATCTGTATTTGTCTGATTCATCAGCCACACCAAAGTTTCTATATTTAGCGTGACGTTCAGCGCGATTGAAATCCATCAAATCAACTCTCAGAACATTTTGGCCAGATTTGGTTAAACGGTGTATTTTATCAAGGCCCAACCAGAACTCGCCGTTAAGATTACCAAAGCCTGCTTTATAGTCTGACCATCCACGATAGAAATCTTGACTTCCATCTTGTCTTCTTTGAAACACGGTCCAGCCACCTCTGTCTGTGCTCATGTCACATCTAACTTGAAACGATCCGAAACCATCAGGATTTATGGTATAAACATCATCTTGCCTCACTCCTAATTTATAGAGATCAGCACAACTTTTTCCGGTAATAACTGCGCAAACGGAAAAATGTTACAAAATATGAGAATAGTCATTTCAATAACAAAACATTGAAGTCTTTCCCTTACTCAAACTATTTTCCTTCACAGCGATATCCTAGGCGGGTTTCTTTGATTGAAGCCATGCTGTTCACAGACACAGGGTTTATTTTTCTACCGGAACGCAACAAAAGCAAAAAATAGCGAACTAATGTTTTTACAATTGTAAATAATAATTATGACATCCTGCCTGTAGATTTTCTTGTTTATAAAAGAAAGTTGTCAAGTTTTACACACCTGTACAATTGGTTCCTGGACCATTATAACCAGGTTTACAGGTGCATGTGTAGTTGTAAGTGTTACTGACACAAAGAGCGTTGACATCGCAAGGATTAGACGAGCAATAGTTGATCTCTGGAATCATACAACAAATGTTATAAGTTGTAATCATCGTAAAAGAACCTATGAAAGTTTGTTATTTTCTCTTACTTGTACAATTCGTTCCTGGACCAGTATAACCAAGTTTACAGGTGCATGTGAGTTGGTTAGAGTGACTGACACAAACAGCATTAGGACCGCACGGGTTTGACTTACAATGGTCGGTTTCTATATTAAAATTAATTTTAATAAGTCCGGTTGATCTCGAAATCATAGCAAAACTATACAAAATCGCAACCTTACCGTTGTTTGGACACAGTATTCTGAGCGCCAGTTTACGCCTCCGAATGTTCCGTTCTATGACACGACAGCATGATCCAAGCTGTGGATCGTGTTTTGAACACAATAAGTTGTAAGCGAGGGTACGATTTTTTATATCAGATCTGATATCATCACAGCAAAGTGCTTCTGTGCAAATAGTTTGCAGAACAACCTGAAATAGAATCACAACCAGAGCAATTCTCAACATGGTTAGGTCTCGAAATTCTCAATTACCCGTCCAAGTAGAAGCCAACTCGATCAACTTGAGAATCTGACTGAGAACAGAGTCAAGCTCGGGTCAATTTATACCAAAGCGCGTGCACAGAGGAAATGAACTTTGCTCTCCCTCGGCGGGCTTGCCTTCACTATTGATATCTCAGTTTGCGTTTCCGGCATATCTTTTTTTCGGCATGAGCCAAAACAAAGAAATCATTAATTCAATCGTACATTCACCATACTAGAAGTTCCAAGGCGTTTTGCTTAAACGGTTAATAAGTTTGAAAACGCTCTCATACATCATGTGAATGACATGTGAATGACTGGATTAGTGGAGGGAGTTTTAAATTTAGATCTTCTATTTTATATCCCCTTTTTTTTATATCCCATTTTTTTTAGATCCCTTTGACAGTTCCCCAATTAAGTGTTTAATTGCGGTGATGTTTTGCGCCGAAAATAGTATTGAATACCTACGGGTATAGTCGATAAACTCATGAAAGCATGTCTGTAGACTGAACAATAAAGGTTCATCACCTTGATCTATATGCGTTTGTGTAAAAGCAGAAAGAGATATCCCTGTTCTCGGTGTTCTGAATATTTAGATCTTCTGTTCCGATTTTGGGAATCAAATTACACATATCCTTATTTGTTTACTGTGAATTAAGAAGCATACAGCTGATAAACCCATGATTGACAATATAAAAATTCATTGTCTTGATGTACACACATCATATTTTCATATCAGAACTATATACTCATGTCGTGAGCACTCCTCTAGTCGCCTTGACGTATATATGTATATTTGTGTAAAAGCGGAAAGAGATATCCCTGTTCTGAACTTTCGATGTCCTTCAGGGCTGTTTAATCATGCATAAACAATTGTAATACAATATAGTACCAATACCTATTTGTCTAGTACCGTGAATAGCCACGTTTACACTACGTGCTTTGACCTGGCCTGGACCAGACCTAGGGCTAGATGTGAACGTTTTTTATCTCGCCTAGACCAGACCAGACCTGGACCTGGTCTAGGCCACAAAATCCAGGCCGACAGTAAAAGGTGGCCTGGACCTGACCTGGAACAGGATTTTGGTAATGTGAACCGGATTTACCTAGTCCTGAGATAGTGTACATCAAGTGCTTTGCTATATAGGAACAAAAACATACATGTTGCACAACAAATTCATTAAAATAAACACGTTACTTTTTCTTTATGACAATATGCGGGCAACAATTTTTCACTTGTTTCCCTGCCGGGAAACATTGCGTTCATTTAAAGTCATGTGACTACGAATGAACCAATCACATTTAGAATATACAGCACCTATACTGTATAACAAGTCTTGATTAATATGTGTTTAGTCAAGGGACTTCGAAGGAATCAGCAAACCTGGGAATTGGGTTCGCTTAGAAATATTGCTGAGCATTCTGATATAGCTTAAATGCAATTTCAATAAACATTTTTAAACGTGTAATTTAATCTTTCAGTTAATTCTATCCTCGTTAACTATTTCTAAAACATGATTATAGTTTTGACGAAGCGATGAAGCCGGCATGTTTTGCTGACTGAAATCAAAATTTACATTGTTCGGTTAACGATTCAGAAATAATCCTCGAGGTTCTTCGACGTAACTATGTTTATGTCTCTCCTAAACCTCGTCTTTATTTTGAAACTAAACAGTTGGACGAATTTTCATCTCCGACTTTTTAAAAGAGTAGTATGAAAGTTTCCAACGGTACCAGTTTATTCCTTCGCTATTAATCTGACCTGCATCCACGTACAGGCCATTGAGGTTGGATCGAAAACAGTTCTTGTACCACCAAGCTCCTTTGTGGTACGAAGCACAATTACGACTCCAAGCATCATTGTCATTATCCTTGGTAGTGAACTGCATTTGATTGTGATAATCAAGGGAATCACCTGCGTAACCTTTCAAGAATATAGTAAAACTTCTCTGTAAATGACATTTTAAAGCAAAAAATGTATCTAATGTTATTATATCTTAATATCTAGTGCCATAACTCTATGTAATCTTTAATACCATAACATACGCTATTTAATCTAAATGCATCTACCACAAAATCTATCTGCATTAATGTGGTTTACCTGACCGATAACTTCCAATAGTCAATCTGTATTTGTCTGATTCATCAGCCACACTAAATGTGCCATATTTAGCGTGACGTTTAGCACCCCTGAAATCCATCAAATCAACTCTTAGAACATTCTGGCCAGATTTCGTTAAACGATGTATTTTATCAAGACCCAGCCAGAACTCGCCGTTAAGATCACCAAAGCCTGCTTTATAGTCGGACCATCCAACGTAGAAATCTTGACTTCCATCTTGTCTTCTTTGGAACACGGTCCAGCCTCCCCCGTCTTTGCTCATATCACAACTGACTTTGAACGATCCCAGGCCATCAGGATTGATGGTATAAACACCATCTTGCCTCACCCCTAATTTATAGAGATCAGCACAACTTTTTCCGGAAATAACTGCGCAAACGGAAAAAGTTTACGAAATATCAGAAATAATAATCTTTTCTATATACCAGGCGAGTTTGATTCAAGCCATGCTTCTTATAGTGTTTATTTTTCCACCGGAACGCAACAAAAGCGAAAACTACTGCAAAATTGTGAATAATAATTATGACATCCTGCCTGTAGATTTTCTTGTCTATAAGAGAAAGTTGTCAAGTTTTACACACCTTTACAATGGGTTCCTGGACCAGTATAACCAGGTTTACAGGTGCATGTGTAGTTGTAAGTGTTACTGACACAAACAGCGTTGACATCGCAAGGATTGGACGAGCAATAGTTGATCTCTGAAACAATACAACAAATGTTATGAGATGTTGTAGACATTAACAAAATCATCGTAACAGAATACGAAAGTTTGTTATTTTCTCTTACTTGTACAATTCGTTCCTGGACCAGTATAACCAGGTTTACAGGTGCATGTGTAGTAAGTTGAATGGCTGGTGCATGTAGCATTGAAGCCGCAAGGATTGGACGAGCAAGAGTCGATCTCTGGTATAACACAACAAATGTTATTTTAGTTGTTTTAGACACTAACAGAAACATCTTGGAAATCGTAACAACTAACAGAACATGAAAGTTTGTTATTTTCTCTTACTTGTACAGTTGGTTCCCGGACCAGTATAACCAGGTTTACAGGTGCATGTGTAGTGGTTAGAGTTACTGACACAAACAGCATTAGGGCCGCACGGATTTGACTTGCAATGGTCGGTTTCTATATGTTAATTTAATTTGAATAAGTCCGGCTGATCTTTAAAATGAATTCAAATCGTAGCAAAACTAAACAAGATCGCAACGTTACCGTTGTTTGGACACAGTATTCTGAGCGCCAGTTTATGCTTGCGAATGTTCCGTTCTATGACACGGCAGCATGATCCAAGCTGTGGATCGTGTTTTGAACACAATAAGTTGTAAGCGAGGGTACGATTTTTTATATCAGATCTGATATCATCACAGCAAAGTGCTTCGGTGCAAGCAGTTTGCAGAACAACTTGGAACAGAATCACCACCAGAGCAATTCTCAACATTGTTAGGTCTTGAAGTTCTCCGTTCAATTATCCGTCCACTGAGTAGAAACCAATTCGACTGACTCGATCTAATTGAAAACAGAGTCAAGCTCTGGTCAATTTATACAAGAGCTGTGTGCACAGGGGAAATGAACTTCGCTCTTCCTTGGCTTGCGTTCACTATTAATGTCTAGTTTGCGTTTCCGGCATGTCGTTTTTTAAGTATGAGGCAAACAAGGAAATCATTATAGTCTATCGCGCATTCACTATATTGCACGTCCTGTTTTTCCTAAACGCGTATAGAAACATTGCTTCGAGCTTCCCTTCAACGTCAGCATTTAAACATTTCTATGCGGGCTTCCGGTTATTTACTTTGGGATAAACGAAGACATTTTGTACAAGTAAAACAAAAGTCAATTATTCAAACTGCAATTCTGGATTGTAATACCTAAATTGTAGTGGTAATTCTGGATGTGATTGGAATAATTTGAGTCTCGTTTAAATGGAAATTTTTTGGAAAATTTTTTTGCTAGAATAGCCCGAGTGTAAACATTAGGGATCTTTAAATATCATCAATATGCGTCTTATTTAGGGACTGCGAAGAAGTCAGCATACTTGCTATAGGAAATTAGTATAGGTTTGCTTATAGCTATTGCTGAGCATTCTGATATAGTTCAAATGGAAGTTCAAAAAACAGTTGCAAACGAGTAATTCATCTTTCAGTTCATTAAGGCCTCATTAACTATTGTTAAACGACTCTTTTTATGTTGTCTTTCAAACCTTTTACGAGCAGGATCGTCGAAGTCGTATGGGGAACAGCTCATATGTTATAAGATATAATCAGCACAACGACAAGTTTAGATTCTGCCATTTATATTCTGCGTACCAATTCATCTATTCAATCTCGCAATCTCATTCTACTAGTCAGTCAACTCGTTATATAATCTACAACTGTAGTGCATTATTGTGCATTTTGTATTGTTCATTGTGGAAAGTGGCAACGTTTCGGTTTGGCAACCACGTGCAACCGTAACCTCCCCTTCGTGCACAATATAATTAATTATATCCCGTCTAATCCCGTCTAATACTATTACTGGAACGTACGCGTATTATAGTTGGGTTGAAACATTAAACTTGATGTTCTTCGCCGTAAATAAGTCTCTCCTAAAGCTCCTCTTTATTTTAAAACTGGTTTGGACGAATTTTCATGGTCGTCTTTTTCATTGAATGAAACTGCCACATATGCCATTTTATTCCGGTGTGACTACTCTGACCTGCACCCAGGTACAGGCCATTGAGGTTGGAATCATGACAGCTGTTGTACCACCAAGCTCCTTTCCATCTCGTAGCACAATTACTACTAGTAATATCATTGTCATTATCCTTGGTTGAGAACTTCATTTGATTGTGAGAATCAAGAGAATCACCTGCGTTACCTTTTTAAAAAATAATGAAAATAATATATTAAACTTTTCTAAGAACGTCATTGTTAATTCTAGTACGCCCTGCGAAAAAATTCAGGATTTTATTCTGATTTAAATGAATGGAAATAATCTTTATTAAAAGTCGAGCAAGGACGGTGGGTCGGATGCGAAGGCCGAAGGGTAGAAAATAGTTTAGAGTAACGAGTTCATATTTTCAGTTTAACTTTTTGAACTGTAGAACACTGTTACACCGAAAGTATATAACGTACTGACTATGAATAGCTTTGGTTGTAGCTTGTGATGACTGTGAATCAATTGTGAAGTGTTTCCTATCCCACCAGCAAAGTTTTCCGTGGAGTGGTAGTGAGGACACTGCTCTTGAATTGCATCCGCATAGAACCTAAGTTTCCAGTTTTCCGCAACTTTACTAGTTTTGTCTTAAATAATTTCATGTTTCCATCTATGTTCCGCCCACAAAGTATTTAATGTTATTTTAACTTAATATCTAATGCTATAACTGTAATCTTTAATACCAATCAAAATTTTTAGCGCTATTTAACTGGAATAATTATGTTAATGTAATGGGGTCACAGGAGGTTTTATTTTATCCAGAATCGTTGAAGGACTATAGTCGCGGCGTAAAATTCAGCCTTTACTAAAAAAAAATTTCACCGAAACTTTCAATTCCTCACGTTGCTGCAAACCCACTGTTTTTCCTCCTGACGAAGTTATGATATATTATTGTAGTTGATGTTTTTTATCTCAAACATGCTACACTTCATAATAAGAACATATGCTACCCCGGACGCACGGTATTATGGGAAATAGAGAATTATCTATTCAATTTTATCTGAAAATAGAGAGATGCATCCCGTCTCTGAGAGTCGCGTGTATGTATGGATAAGTTCAACAGCTGAGAATCTAAGTTTAGACAGAGCGTGCACGTGGTTTACCTGTATAATTGCCAACATTCAATCTGTATTTGTCTGATTCATCAGCCACACTAAATGTTCCATATTTAGCGTAACGTTCAGCGCCATCGAAATCCATCAAATTAACTCTTAAAACATTTTGACCAGATTTGGTTAAACGATGTATTTTATCAAGTCCCAACCAGAACTCGCCGTTAAGATCACCAAAGCCAGCTTTATAGTCTGACCATCCTAGGTAGAAATCTTGACTGCCATCTTGTCTTCTTTGGAACACGGTCCAGCCACCCCCGTCTTTGCGCATATCACATCTGACTTTGAAAAATCCCAGGCCATCAGGGTTGATTGTATAAACACCATCTTGTCTCACTCCTGATTTATAAAGATCAGCACAACTATTTTCGGCAATAACTGTGGAAACGGAAAAATGTTGCGAAAATATCAGAATAGCAATTCGATAACGAAACGTCAAAGTGTTAATTTAGCTATTTGATGGCGGGAAATGCCAACGACATATCCTTTCGCAGCGATATCCTAGGCGGATTTCTTTGATTCAAGCCATGCTGTTCATAGTTTTTATTTTTCCCCCGGAACGCAACAAAAGCGAAAACTAGCGAACTAATGTTTTTACAATTGTAAAAAATAATTATGACATCCTGCCTGTAGATTTTCCGGCTTTTTTATAAGAGAAAGTTGTCAAGTTTTACACACCTATACAATAGGTTCCTGGACCAGTATAACCAGGTTTACAAGTGCATGTGTAGTTGTAAGTGTTACTGACACAAACAGCGTTGACATCGCAAGGATTGGACGAGCAATAGTTGATCTCTGAAATAATACAGCAAATGTTATAAGTTGTTTTAGCCATTAACAAAATCATCGTAACAGAACATGAAAGTTTGTTTTTTTCTCTTACTTGTACAATTGGTTCCTGGACCAGTATAACCAGGTTTACAGGTGCATGTGTAGTGGTCACAGTGACCGACACAAACAGCATTGAAGTCGCAAGGGTTTGTCTTGCAATGGTTGGTTTCTATATGTTAATTTCATTTAAATAAGTCCGACTGATCTTGAAATCATAGCATAACTAAACAAAATCGCAACGTTACCGTTGTTTAGACACAATATTTTGAGCGCCAATTTCTGTCTGCGAATTTCCTGTTCTATGACACGACAGCATGACCCAAGCTTTTGATCTTGTTTTGAACACAATAAGTTGTAAGCGAGGGTACGATTTTTTATATCAGATCTGATATCACAGCAAAGTGCTTCTGTAATAACAGATTGCAGAAAAACCTGGAACAGAATCACCACCAAAGCAATTCTCAACATTGTTAGGTCTTGAAATTCTCAATTCTGATCCGCATCCACTGAGTAGAAACCAACTCGACTAACTCTATCTGACTGAGAACAGAGTCAAGCTCTGGTCAATTTATACAAGAGCTGTGCGCACAGGAGAAATGAACATCGCTCTGCCTTGGGCTTGGCTTGCGTTCACTATTAATATCTAGTTTGCGTTCCGGCATGTCGTTTTTTAGTATTAGCCAAACAAGGAAATCATTATAGTCTATATCGTGCATGCAATATCGCACGTCCTGTTTTTTTTAAATGCGTATAAAAACATTGCTTTGCTAAATGCGTTTAAATCTATGGATCATCGTTATCATGTATCAAGATGTCTTTGTCTATTGGCGCATGTTTTGGCTAATATTTTTTTGAAAATGTCGGATGGTAAAAGGACTGGTTGACCATGCTAGCGAGAAAACGTGCTGTGTACAAGAGGAGTGCAGTTGAATACCAATTTACAAATAAAATGCAACAATTCTCAGCAAATCTGTTTTGCATGTGAGTTTGCTTTATTCGAATTTAAACTATAATGAAAGTGATGAATATCGTAGTGTTACGCAAGGCTTTATTTAGTTTAGAGATACGCATATGAAAATAGCTGTAAAAATAGGAATACCAATAGCATGACAGGGATTAGTGAATGATTTTTGCCACAAGACGCCTGAGTAAATAAATTTTCGGCCATTAGCAAACATTAATCGCCTTTCCCTTTCATGTATGACATATCGTGGGATTAAATAAGTAATAAGGTGAAAATATTTATAATCCTCTCAGAACTAATACCTGGATAAACAGTTTTAAGTCGTCACTTATCTTAATGGTCGCATTCTTTAAAAAAATGTGCGTGCTGTAGGCCATTCAAGTTCTTATGTCAATCAATTGTGTTAAAAATGTTGCTCGGTCAAGCATGTAATAGATTACGTCATCAAAAGTTCAATTCGATAAAATAAGAGTGAAAATAGTTTAAGTTGAAAGATATTGTTCACAGACGTATTGTTTGTAAATTTTACTAGTTGTTGATGATAAACATTTTAAGTTGTGAACATTTTTAGGTATTGATCGATTGAGCAGAAACCAACTCGACTAGTGCGACAACGCCTTAAACAAACAAGATATGAGAGCTGGAACGAGCTTCCAAAACCAACCCACATTTCTAACTAACAGCGCTGATTGGTTGGATAAAGATCAGCCCACTCTGGTTGATGACGTCTGCAAGTTTCCCTCAACCGTTTCTATAAAAGGGCGTGCACAACACCCCAACCTTGAGTGGACTAGCGGAGTGGACTAGCGGAGTAAAAAGCATGTGAAACGTTAGGAAGCTCAACCTGACAGAACAGACAACCAAGACTATAGAACAAAAACAACGAGGTCCGAAAGGACGAAGATCTGAAGAGAAGAGAAGAGAGGAGAAAAGAAGAACGAAGCCAGAAACTAACATTAATGAACATTAGCTAACTATTGTAAAGATCTCCTACCTCGCGTAGAAAATAAAAGACTTTTAACAGTAGAATAAGACTGGACAGTTTTGACTATATAGACATTTTATAGCTAGTTAGTTCGGTAGTTTGGACGAAGTTTCATCTCTGTCGCTTTCCAAAGTCATGAACGCCCGTTGAAGTCCAGCTAATTCCGGTGTTCAAATCCTTCACACCGTACAAACCATTGAGATTAGAATGATAGCAATCTCTGTACCACCAAGCTCCTTTCTTTAAAACTGCACAGTTAGCAAGACCGCAAATATCATTGTCACTATCCTTGGTGGTGAACGGCGTGTCATTGTGAAAAGCAAGAGAATCACTTGCGTTACCTTTAAAAAATTATATATATTTTTGAAAAATGTAATTTAATAAATAATATTTTAGGAAAAAAGTATTTTAACTTTATTAGTAAACTATCTGCTGGGATTTTCCTTTCGTGTTACTATGAAGGTATGGTTACCTAAAATATGTAATTCATGTACGAATAATTTTAATTGAAGGGATTTAGATGCAGTCTTTGTGACTTGGTCTAAGCACCGCGAACGGATTAATCTGTCGACAGCAGTGAATGTATGTCGTTTAGCTACAACGTGTAGTTTACCTGAATATCTGGCAATATTCAATCTGTATTTTTCTGCTTCATCAGCCACACAATGCTTCCATATTTTGTCTAAGCTTCATCGCCATTAAATTCCATCAAATCAACTCTTAAAAGATTTTGGCCAGATTTGGTTAAACGGTGTATTTTATCAAGACCCAACCAGAACTTGTCTTTGAAATCACCAAAACCTGCTTTATAGTCTGACCATCTAAGGTAGAAATCTTGACTTCCATCTTGTCTTCTTTGAAACACGGTCCAGCCTCCCCCGTCTTTGCTCATATCACATCTGACTTGGAACAATCCCAAGCCATCAGGATTGATGGTATAAACCCATCTTGCCTTACCCCTGATTTATAAAGATCAGCACAACTATTTTAGGCAATAACTGCCGCGCAAACGGAAAAGAAACGAAATATCAGAATTGCTAGCAGTTGAATACCAAGAAGCGTTAAGAAGTGTTAGTACTTGGTTGAGACAAAGGGCAAGGGCAACTTCTTTACTATGGCCGGATCCAATTATCCAAAGTTGGGAATGTGAAGTTCTTTAATCAAGTTAAGTGGCACAAAACAAATAGGCAACTGCAAAAGCCTAGAGGAATCGTTTCTCTGGCCCAAAAATCGAAATCTTAGCGACACCAACCGTGTTAACAAAGAGACAAGTTTTCACAGCAAAGTGCTTCTGTGCAACCAGTTTGGAGGACAAATTAAAAGTCTCGTTTGCGTTTCCTGCAAGTCTCAGCGTTTAGATATTTTCGTGCGTATTCACATTAAGACATTTGCGCAAACGTAAAACAAAACGCATTTATTCAAGTGGTGATTCTGGAATGCGAGTGGGATAATCTGACTCGTTCCCAGTCGCTTTGATGTTACGCGAACGAGTAATCATAATGGCCGCGATTATCCTGGCCAGCGATTGTTAAATATCATTAATATGTGTCTTGTCAAGGCACTGCAAAGGAGTCAGCATATCTTTTAGTAGGGAATTAGGTTCGCTTAGCTATTGCTAAGCTCAAATGCGATTTCAATGAACAGTTTCAACTCCTTTATGTTCTCTTTCAAACCTTTTACGAGCAGGATCGTCGGAGCCGTATGCATGGGGAACAGCTCATATGTTATAAGATATAATCAGCACAACGACAAGTTTAGATTCTGCTATGCATATTCTGCGCACTAAGTCATTAACAATCTATTCAACATCTGCAATCACATTCTACTGGTCAGTCAACTCGTTATATAATCTACAACTGTAGTGCATTATTGTGCATTTTGTATTGTTCATGGTGCAAAGTGTCAACGTTTCCGTTTGGCAACCACGTGCAACCGTAACCTCCCCTTCGTGCATAATATAATTAATTATATCCCGTCTATACCACTATTACTAAAACATATTAGTTTAGTACAAACATCAAACTTGATGTTCTTCGCCGCAAAACTAGTCTCTTCTAAAGCTCCTCTTCATTTTAAAACTGGTTTGGACGAATTTTCATCGTCGTCTTTTTCATTGAATACCACGAACGTTTCCAAAAGTACCAGCCTATTCCGCTGCTACTACTCTTACCTGCACCAGGTACAGGCCATTGAGGTTGGAATAATGACAGCTCTTGTACCACCAAGCTCCTTTGTAGCTCGTAGCACAATTACTGCCGAAAACATCATTGTCGCTATCCTTGGTAGAGAACTTCATTTGATTGTGATAGGTAAGAGAATCACTTGCATTACCTTTATAGAAAATAATAAAAACTTCCTCAGTGAATATCATTTTAAAGCAAAAAAACTTCTCTAAAACACCAACTTCTCTAGCCTACGTCTATGGAGAGCCTCGTTCTGGCGAATCAATGAAAAATAATATGCGAAATTCAGGATTTTATTCTGCATCTCACTTCATTATCAAGGTGAGCAGTTAAAATGGATCACTTGGTGGAAATAATGATCGAACAAGGACGAGGTGTCGGGTACGAAGGGTAAAAAATAGTTTATGTATTTGGTTGACTTTTTGAACTGTAGAACACTGTTATACCGAAAATATGAAGTATGGCTATGAATAGCTTTGGTTGTAGCTTGTTATATCTGTGATGGTTGTGAATCAATTGTGAAGTGTTTCCTATCCCACAAGCAAAGTTTTCCGTGGAGTGGTAGTGAGGACTCTGCTCTTGAATTGCATCCGCATAAAACCTAAGTTTCCTTTTCTGCAACTTTCCTAGTTTTTGTCTTAAATAATCTCATGTTTCCATTCATGTTATGCAATATGTAATGTGATAACTGTAAACTTTAATACCATAATTTTAACGCTATTTAACCTGAGTAACTAACACAAACTCTATCCTGTACTAATGCTATTATAATGGGGTAACAGGAGGTTTTATTTCATCCAGAGTCGTTATAGGACTAGTCACGTCGTAAAATTCAGCCTTTATTAAGAACATTAATTTCTTTCATAACTATTTCCGCTAAGTCTTTCAATCCCAACGTTGCCGCAAAACCACCCTTTTTCCTTCTGACAAATTTATAGTGAAACTTTATTCCAGTTGATGTTTTTTAATCTTAAACTTGTTACCCTTCATAATAAACACATTTGCTACCCCGGACGCACGGTATTATGGGATATACTGAAAATAACGATATATAATATATTCAATTTTCACTGAAGACAAAGAGATTAATTTTCATCCTGTCTTAACTTAAGTGTCTTTGAGTGTCACGATTCTAAATTAAGGCAGAGCGTAGATGTGGTTTACCTGAATAATTGCCAACAGTCAATTTTTATTTGTCTGATTCATCAGCCACGCTAAACTTTCCATATTTTGCGTAAGCCTCATCGCCATTAAATTCTGTCAAGTCTACTCTTAAAACATCTTGGCCAGATTTGGTTAAACGGTGTATTTTATCAAGGCCCAACCAGAACTCGCCGTTAAGATCACCAAAGCCAGCTTTATAGTCTGACCATCCACGGTAGAAATCTTGACTTCCATCTTGTCTTCTTTGGAACACGGTCCACCCACCCCCGTCTGTGTTCATATCACATCTGACTTTGAAAGATCCCAGGCCATCAGGATCAATAGTAT